ACCGTCGATATTTTGTGTATAGGACCGGAGCAATTTCCCTTTGCTTTCTAGAATCTTGAGAAAATCATGAGTTGGTGTGGGCTCGGCTTGGTCGATCTTTTGCTTGAGTTGGGATATGAACCAAAAGAACGCCGCAGTAGAGTCGGGGTCGCGGAATAGAGATGCGTCGAAAAGATCTCGTCCCTTGAGAACCACGTCAGGGAATCGAGCTTTTACAAGGTTGTAGAGTCCGTCAGAAGAGCGAAAATCCTGAGTGTAAAACCTGTGAGATTGGGTTATAAATCAAACAGCGAACAAGGACTTACAGGAATCCCCGACGAACAGGATATTCCTGCACCCGTAACCACCACAATCCTCTTGCATTTAGATACAGCCTTGGAAATATCGTCCAAAGCGCACCTCGTTGAAAGGTTTTTCTTGCTGGCTTCCAGGTCAAGTGTAACTGGAGACATTGTGGTTCCGAAGCCAATTAATATTTAAGGCCGAACAATAGGATATGATAAATAGACAGAGTCAATGAATAGGAGTGCAGTGCAGAGTCCGAGAGTGGTAGTGACAGACTCCTCGGAGTGGGAGTCTAGATGGAAGAACGAAGTAGAATTCCAACACAAGCGCGTTATTGTTGAAAATGTCACGTGTAGCGCGTAAGCGCTCGGGCGCTTATTTACTAGCTTTGAGGCGCTCATACCGAAAATGATTGTGGAAATGGTATACTCATGAGCAGTTCAGGTCAAGAGCTCTACGAGGACATTAAATTGAATAGGATATAATGTATAAATTATAGACAAGAATAACCATGCAATTCAAACAGGTGTGCCGGAAGAATATTCGCTAGAATCAGTCCTCCACTTCAGGCCACTCTAGGTTCGTCCCTCTTTCTGATAAGGAACGGAGACCTGAGCGGTGTGGCACATCGTGAAGGAGTTACTGGAGAAGTCGAAATAGGCGACGTTGATGCAGGTGTGTCAGAAAGTCTGAATGGAGGTAAGCTTTGAAGGAAACCTGCAACCAATGGCGGTCGGCTGGGTTTGGATCGTCTACCATTGCTATCATAGTCGTCGTCCACGACAAGAGAAACGGTAGATTGCTTATGCAATTTGTTTGAGCAAAGCGCAAGTAGTCGTGAAGATTGGCTTGAAGATTGGACTCGTCGAGAAATCTCTTCCGTTTGCCATTGTGACGAGGTTGAAGTCTCCTGGATAGAAGATAATTTGTGACTGGGACTCTTGACCATATTCAAAGGGCGATATGTACTGGAACGACGCAGTCTGACAGCTTTCCTGCTCGGTATGCATGGTGATAGCTCGGTAGATTCATCCGCCGATGAGTCAAATAAACCACCACGGGGCAACATTGGCCGTGATTTGCAGAACAAGGGACGGTTTGAGGAGGAATCGCTTATGGTGGGTCCTACTGTAGCATCAAAAACAGGAAAAGCCGACCAGTCGATGCGGACAGGAGCATTTGGCGATGAAGGTGAACTAGGGTGAAAAGGTGTCCGAAGAGGTGGAGTATCGAATGCTTCACTGAGAGAGCATGTAGAACCAATGTGTAGATCGCTGTCCTGATTTGAAAGTAGAGCTTTCATCGTAGGCGATGCAAAGGAGAGCGTCGAAAACGTTAGGTCAGACGAGATATCCGGAAACTTGTTGTAGAGGTTCAACGATCGATCAGAAATAGTTGGTATCGTAGAGGCCCGTGAGGGCAAGAGTTCAACTGGAGACATAGCGGATGATGGCACAACAGGTCGGATACGAGGTTTAAGAGGGGTCACAACGCCAGAACAAGTAAAGCAGTAGCTGCTGCTATCTATGTTTCTGGCATTTTGCTAATGTCTATCATTAGGAACGGAGCTCGAAGAAAAATGTTCGGAGGAATCAATGCTTACCGAATAATTGTTCATTATTTACGGCGATTAGAAGATAGTGCAAACAGTTCAAGGGCGTGTCCCGAAATGGATGTAGAGAGAGAAGAATGCTCAGGTGTGTCAAAGCGGCGGTTACGTGACGTAAGTAACTATCAAAGTCACGTTATCGCGTCGGTTGATTTTGAACTCTCACTTAGAATAGGTTTCATTTCGTCTCCAGTTGCTCAAACTTGAATGTTTTGCGTCCAAAAACATTACTAACACTGCTCCGACCTTTTGCATAACTTTCCTCTTCAACGAATGGCCCTCGCCAGCTCACCCCGAAAGCAAATACCTCTAGCCACTGGCGACGAAACCAGACCTCGAGATCTTACTCCTACTGTCAGCCCGAGCCATACGAAGCGCGTCTTCTTCTGCGGCGTCGTTGTTGAAGGCTCAGAGAATGGCAAAGAATTAACTGAGGGCATGTATCATTTATGGTCTTATCAGCAGTCGTATTAAGAGACTATACAACAGAAATCAAAGACTTGGTCTTATCTTTGGGAGACGTAGTGGAAGAAGAGGATGTCCTTGGAGAGACAAACAAGGAGCTGGGGAACATTGTTGGTGCTGCTCGCACACTGGCCAGAAACTCCCACTGAATCATCTGCTTATGTAGGAACACCCTGCCACAAGAAAGCGTGCCCTCGCAGAATCCTCTGCTCTTGCGTCCGCAATCAACGAGCTGGTCACGACTGAGCGCTCTTATGTGAAGAAGTTACAGACTCTGAAGAGGGATTATGCCGATCCACTGCGAAATTTTGCTCGAAGCAAAAGTACTGCCATCATTTCAAAATACGAAGCAACTACGCTTTTTGGAAATATCGACAGCCTCCTACCCGTCAATGAAGCATTCTTAACAGACCTGGAGAAAATGATAGCTCCAAACGGCTATAAAGCGGTTGGTGGAGTTGGTGATGTTGCACTTCGGCACTTCAAGGAGTTAAAGGGCTTCGAGCAATACAGACAGTATTATGTGAAGAGAGAAGAGGCACAGCGCTTTATTGAGCAGGAGATGGAAAAACGTTCGTCTCCGTTCGAAGACTATATTGAAGTGAGTGCTGTTTCTATATCCGGTTTTTCCATTACATCTTTCCTCATAGCGAGTCAAATATCAATCAACGGATGCAAGAAATCGAGTCGGACTTCGGGAGCTCCTCATGGAACCTGTTCAACGAATTCCGCGGTATACATTACTCTTTCGACTCATGATCAAGCATATGCCTCCGCACGACCCTCAAAGGGCGAAACTAGAGGAGGCAGATGATATTGCGAGTAAGATCGCACTGGCAGAAGCAGATGAACAGACAAAACGCGCCGCTATCGTGTACTGCCTTATCGCTACCATCGACGGCTTCCCTCCAAATATGTTTTCCAACTCTCGCCGCTTCATTGACTGTATAGATGTTGAAGACATATTGTTGGAAGCGCCTTCCTCCTCTTCTGCATCATCTACCTCTCTCGTTGGTTCCCTACATTGTACCTTGTTTCTTTTCGACGACAAGTTGCTCATAGTGAAAAGGCCTGGTAACGGTGAAAAAAGTGGACGGGTATTAGCAGGGTTAGATGAGTTGGACAAGATCACTAAAAGCGGTTTGCCAACTGGAAAGAAAAAGAACGGAATGGTCTGTAAAGGTGTTCTTGATGTGACTGACGTCGTCGCGACTGATCAGGGTGGCGCAGGTATGCAGTCATTTGTTCGATCTTGTTACTTCATAACGTTGAATAACAGATTTTCACCTTTACCTGGAGACTCCTCCTCAAGATCATAGTGAAAGATGGTCTGGCCGGCCATTCCGATCCTTGTCTGTAGTCCATCCACCGTCTCCGATTAATTTGGACCCTTCTCAGACTGAGGTCGACAAGCAACGTTTCCTCAAGAACCTCTGGAATGTGCAAGCTAGATACCGAGCGCGCTCAGGACAGTCTGTGGTGCTTTGTTCCGAGGAAATGGAGGTAGAGTCTAGAGGGGGAAGACTCACCACTGCTCGAACGTACTATAATGTTTATCAAAGAACTGCGTTCCTCCAAGAGATCAAGAAGGTAACAATATTTCAAGATGTCGAAACTATTGGTGCTGATTCATCTGCTTTTGTAGACCAAGATTGTTGTACATGTCGACGCACTGGGGACAGCTGATGACATTCCTTTCGGGATGCGAGGTCCTCCGCTTGCTGTGATTCGACTTCAACCCCTGGCAGGCGGCATGTGCCGGTACAAGGTCACTTCAAGTGATCCTTCCGATCCTGAGGAAGTGGATGTAGTGCAGACCAGACGAGTCCCTCAACGGATCGTATTGACGAGTAGGGTTGTTACTTACAAGGTGATCCCGTATATTGACCTCAGTTTCCATAGTTCATCAATTCGGTCTTTTCCATTTCAAAACCGACAAAAACTCTCGACCCTCTACGCCGACGGCGCGTTCCAAAGCGTCCATCTTCGGTCTCGACGCTATCTCTAGAAATCTTTTTAACTCGCGGCCTGGCTCTTCTATGGGTGACTTCTTCGCTGGTTCCGTCAGTAGTCGCAAGCGCACAAAGTCTACCGCCAGCCGATCATCTACATATACTCAAACAACTTCTACTGGTGAAAGCAGCATTACAAAATTCTCTTCTTCAAGATCCAATACCATGTCGACGATTGCCACTACTGTCGATGATGGTTCATTAGCTTCGACCCGTTCAAGGACGAAGAATGACAGAGGAAGGTCGCCTGGTCCGTCTTCGGATGCAGACGACTCTTTCAGCCGTAGTCTCAGCCGCAGCCTGTCGAGGTCTATATCTAGAGCATCGAAGTCCAGATCTGTGTCTCGAGATAGAGAGTCAGATTACACGGATACAGACGACGATGAGCAAATACAAATATTGGACAGGTCAGATAACGACATCGACGCACAGCTCGCACTCGCCAGGAGAAACAGTAAGAGCCAGAATGATAGACAGGTCCCTGTCAGAAGTTCCCAGCCGAGTACTGCTCCTATATATGAAGGTAAATTTCCTTTGTTATGCAGACATATTTTTCATTGATTGGTACCCAGTAGAAGAGTTCCCTCATCCTGCCCGACCCGCCTCTCGCGCATCTACCGCTAGGGATTCCACCAGTCAATGTACGATTACCGAGGATCCCAGATCACCCCGATCTCTTTCTCGACATTCTTCCGATCGCCGTCCTATGGGACCTCGAAGTCCGTCACCACTTCCACCTCCTAGATCCCCCCGTCCACTCTCGCCACCGCTTCCCGAGCTTCCTTCAATAGATGACGAGCTTGCGGCTGAAATTAGTGACATTGTGCAACCAACTCCAACGAAGTCAGGCATACCTCGTAGCAAACGGCAAATCTTTCATCCTGTGAATAACATCGATTCAACACCGAAGCCACATATGAATGGTATGGCTCGAGCATCCAGTTCCGTTGAGCCATTGTCCATCAAGAAGAAAACCTCTGTCCGGAATGCAATAGACTCGACTGACACTCCCGTGACTGGTCGCAAGAGTGGACGTAATTCTTTGAGCAGGACGCCTGCTAGGACAGTTACATCATCGCCTAGACGGGTCTCACCCCAAATTCGTCTTGGGAAGGTGGCAGGGCCATCTGTATCTTCACCTCACATGGTCCATGACCTTGACAAAATCGTTTCCTTAGCTCGAACGACAAAGGAAGATGTGAGCGTTACTTGTATTCGACCATATCTTAGATCCTTACCATGGACAGGTTGAATCATCGCATCGGGCAGTCAAACGACTGAAGGTCGAAGTCGAGAAGCATACCTCAGCAATCGTGTTATCAGACAACGATATATCTAGACCTTCCTCACCCGCAAAGGGCTTCCGAACGCCACAGAGAGGCGCTCCTCCTTTGGTAAGGTTTTCCACACCTCCATGAATCAGGTTGAATTTTGACAAGACCTCATTTAGACGAAGGCAGCCCAGGAGCGATTAGAGGAAATGAGATCTCTCATCGGCCAGAGAACTGGAGAGAGCACGCCACGCAGCCACCGGCCACCTGGCGGTGCGCCTAGTACACCTCTGCGACAGCATAGTTCAGTGGACTCTCCTAGTATATTCAACACGTACAACCATGCCACAGGTGCTTTGGATCGTCTAGTAAACGAAGCCGACAGTTCACTAAGTAAAGCAGTCGGCAACCACGATGCCATGCAAACTGCGCTCGTAAAGTTGTCGTCTGCATTCAAGGAGGTGTGTAGCTTCGATGATCGCTGTCTAACTTTTTCTTTTTCGTTTACCGATTTGCAGAGAACCAATGACCTTGAGCGCAGTAAGGTCGAGCTCCAGAATTCCCGCCGTCAGTGTGAGGTGGTGAAGAGTCTCCTTGAAGAATCTACTAAAGAGAAGGAGATTATGTACGAGGTGTGTCTTGGATGTGGACATCAAATTATCAACCACCTTAATGTCTTCAGGCTTTCAACGAGGAACTCGATGCGATGTATAACGATGTGAACCTTCCTGAAGACGAGGCATGGCGGGCAATGACTGAAGATCTTCGGGTCACAAAAGAAGCACGAAATAAATTAACACAAGAGAACTGGTACGTTTTGTAGTATTGAGAGTTGCCTAACTTTTCCACTCAATTTCATGTTTTACAGCGACTTGAAGCAACGCTTGGCTGAAGCAGAGCTACGTCAAGAAGAGTGGGGAGCGCTGTTGCGTGCCCACGGCCTTATACCATAGACTTTTTTCTCTATTGCATGCTTTTTTCCTTTCGCATCTATCATGGACCTCATATGTATGCGCATATCTAACCATCCATATCTGTCTATTAGTAAAACACGTCCGTCATGTACCAAATCTGTATCTCATTCCAGCCATGCTACCAAAAATGTTCATCGGTGCGAGAAACCATGTCCTACTCTTGACCGTCCCAAGTATATCCAATAAACAAATTCGCCCACCAGTTTACCTCTCCGAGCACCAAGATATCACCTTTCTTTTCCTGAATGACAGATTGACCGTCATCTCTACAGACATCGCCATCTTCTTCGACTATGATGAGCATCTCCACCGTTAGGCCAATCGTTATACCTTCTTCCTGTGCAATTTCCGTTGTAGATTTTGGACCTGCAAGAGCGAGGAGGCCACAGATACGGGCAGCAAATGCTGCTCGTGAGTAGGGTGGTGTATGCAGAACGGCAAGGCCTGAATTAAGGGTTCGGGAAGTGATGGTAGGGTTGGTAAAAGCAGGCAAATAGGGGATTACTTGGAGGAACGTTGAGGGTGGTATAAGAGCTGAATATGATTGATGAACAACAAGAAAAGAAACAAGAATCGAAAATGAGTTTGCTCACCGACGCCTCTTGCGCGATTCCAACCACCCCAAACTTCATCTAGAGCGATAATTCCCCGTTTTTTCATCATCCCACCGCTCGATGAGGAAGAAACTTTCTCAGATCCTTGCAATATATTCGCCAATTCCCGAGCAAGTTGTTCCATCCACTCTCGCTCGTCCTTCATCATATCCAACGTGACCGGGGTATTCTCCATCTGCAAACCAAGCTGAGATAGAGAGGACCGAATGAATGTCGCTTCTTCTGGTTCCGTGAGGGTTGAGGATAGAACAAATGAGTAGGGATCGTTGGCCGTCGTTGTTGACGAAGCCGTCAGACGTTCGTTCAGTTCTGCTGCTAAGCGGACCATATCCTTGGCTTTGACCATGAGCGCTTCGAGATCTTGAAGGGCATTTGACATATCTGCGTCGCGATTCTGTGCATTGTTTTCTACCGCTTGCATAATGCCAGCTAAACAAAGAGAGTCAGAGGTGATTACATCGACCAGGAACGTGTTCTCACAGATTCCTGATCGAGCACCATTCGTCCCGGCATTGGAAGGAGTAATCTCCCATGCCCGACCCTTCAAGCTACGTTTCAGAGCAGTGTAAAATACTTTATCTCCACCTTTACGGAAGCTCAGCTTGAGCATTTTCGATTCAATATCATCATCATTGAGACCGGGTGTGGTAGGTCGTGTGGTCGGGGCAGACTTGGCCTGAGTATGATCACCTGATGCTTTGGGCAGCGGAGTGGAACAGATCTCGCATGTCTGCATGGACGGGTGATTCAAGAATGTACATGCAGGACATGATATCGAGCTGGGCTTCCGAAAACGCTGCGGAAGGGCTGAAGTAGAAGCAGATGTTGGAAATGATGAGTCTATACTTGGTTGTGGAACTTCAAAAGAGGCGCTGGAAGAGGCAGACTTTGCTGGCAAACTTCTGGGGACGCCGCATAACGCACATACCCGAGCAGCAGAGGGACTCAAACCAGGTGGATTGCGATATGCACAAACTTCGCATTCCCAACTTCCAAATCTTGAAGGTTCTTCCGATGCTGGGTCCTCTATAGAAAGATGAAGAGTCACTTTGGGCGAAGAGCTGAAGAGACCCGCGTAGTAATCCGTTTTGGAGACATGAGAAAGTGCTAAAGAGAAGGATCTGGACGGTTTCTTTGTGGCATCTATGTAGAACAATCGTTGACTTGTTATGTGGACGGTTCCAGACTGATGGTCCAGGGACTTCTGCAAACTGGGTCATTAATTCAGATTTGGAGATGAAGCGTTGGAAACCTGAAGCAAATAACGATTTTCCAGCCTGATTTCTGGGAAAAAAACTTACCCGTCATATATTCCAATGCCGTCCTGTGTAGAAATCAATTCTTCATCATTGTACATAAGAGCTTGGATCGGAATTGTTCCATCCACAGATTTTGTATATCTTTGTAGAGCCATTGTGTGCAGAGGTACTAGCAGAGGCAACAGTGTAAGCGCTTACACCCAAAGTTTAGATAATCATCAGTAACAATTTGTTATCATTGAGGAAAGCGCTGAACAAGCGCCAGAAACAGAAGCGCGCAAGGTCCTTGCGTACAATTGAGACCAACGGAAAAGACCATTAACAAAGAAGTTGAGAGAACAACGTAACATTTCTAGATCTAGTATGTAATTGGTTATGAATCCAGATATTGGAGAACATTTTTTGATTGAGGCTTGAGCGCACCGAATGTTTCAAATTTCAAGATTCTTCTCGGAGCGCTATGTAACCTCTCCCACATATGTAGAGCGGAAGGTCGCGAAGTGCCCACGGGCACCGTATCTTAATCTAAATTACACTCATTAGTGTGGATACAGTAATGTAAATACACTAATCTAGCAGTGAATACATACTATAAGGGAATACGAGAAATTGAGGTATGAGTACAGTGGAATTCTATGCTATGCTTGAAGTAACAGGAAAGGGACATACAACATCACAATGGAGAAGGAGATTGTACCAATTTTATGGGCTCGCCAAAGTCAAGGTCCTCAGGTAAAACAGGGGAGTTGCCGTTCATATTGTCTGAATTTTCGGGAGCACTGAGGGCCCGCCGATGACTTCGCGAAACTGAACCCATCCATCGTCTAAAAACATTTTTTGGAGAGGGTTTATCGTGCTTGAAGTCGAACGTGGCAGGCGACGATGTAGTAAAGACGGGTGTGAACGTATTGATTAGGGAAGGGGGTCTAGGAGCAAATAAACTTCGAACGTTGCATACTAAAGAGCTTGGTCTAGACCGATTACAACCTGGCTCAGAATGAGGCGCCCCGTTCATTTGTGCAGGATGGCTTTCAAGAACAGGACTAGCCAGGGTTGATGAAGGATCGGAGGATACGGGATTGCTATTGGCAGAACCGCCAGGAAATGTGGGTGACGAATAAGATCGAGAGGAATTCGGAGGATGAGATAATAGCGGATCGGCTTCCTCAGGACCCTTACTTGTCAAATTGAGCTTCTGAGGACGTTTCCGCGTAGTGAAAGACTGAGCTCGCGATGCTGAATTCTTAGTTATAGACTGATCGTCAACCAACTGAGCCAGACTTTTCCTTCGTGGAACCCGTACACTTTCGTGCTTTCGAAGGCGATTCTTAGCCATGCTCAAACTAGAACTTGTTGATGATCGAGAGTTCAGCTTTGAATTCTGAGCGGGGTGACTCGAAGAGCTCTGACGAGGGATGTGTGGTGGTTGAAACAGTTCCTCTTCCTGGGTAGCAGCCTGGGATCGTGCAGAAAGACATATATCGGAGATCACATCGCTCAGGCCGGCATCTATCTGAGCACGCGCAGCAGGAAGATTACGGCGAATGACAAAAGTTTCATACTCGGGACTCGTGGGCGTGGAAAATGCTTGAGCAGACGTGGAGGAAGATCGACGACTAGGAATGGAGGGTACTTCAGGGCTCGAGGTAGCAGTTGCTTGCAGCATCTGGGATTCGGTAGCCAAAGCATCGAGCAATGTCTCCGTAAGCTGATCGCCAGTATCTGAGGCAAGCTCAGGAACAGAGTTGATGGTAGGAAGAGGAACGATAGCCTCGTATGGATCATCAAGCATCGAAGGGACGATCTCCCCTTTCCCATCTAAAAGGATGCTAGCAGTCGGTTCATTGATCCAACTGGAAGTTGGATAGGCGAGCGACTCTCGTATAGCAGTCAACCACGCTTCCCTTTCCTGTTGGCAAGCTGCGGCAAATTCAAACTCGTGCCCTTTGCAAGAGAGACGAAACGAGCATGGAAGCCAGGCTATGTTCGTATCAGTATCAGTGATAATAAGAGATGATCACGAACAACATACCTTCAGATTCGACTGCCTCGATGATTTTGAAGTCGCCCAGTCTGAACCAATGTCTAGGCTCGTATGTCCTACCTTTAGTGACCTTGGCAAGAATAAAGTACCCACCGCGATAAAGGAACGCACCGAGATACTTGACGTTAATATTTGCCGTGCCTGTGGACTGCTTTATTGACCGCTGGTGTATGACATCTAATGAACCGGCGATATGGCATGGCCCAAGCGACGAGAGAAAACCAGGTGTAAGAACCTGCAACGGAGAGGGGGATGGCGATTGTAAGACGTGAGAGTACAATATGCGCGAAGCAATCAATGCAGATCGCACAGCAACGTCCTGCCGCTGTCGGGCCTCGTCAACGGTACTCGCTACATGTCGCATAGCCTGAGCCGCACTCTCGACTACCACATTCCTATCTGAGAGCCAAGGAACACGTATCTTGGACTCATATAACGGTTCGCTCGATTTAAGCTGCTCGAGTAAGAGAGGATATTTGCATATCCGCTGTACCGGTTTGATAAGGTAATCCATGAACGTAAGGCGAGATCTGTTTCGAGGAGTAGAAGTGTCTCTGTCCTTGACAAGGCTATTGGACCGCGAACGAACATAACGCACAGCGTCGTCGATAGTCGCAGTAGAGTTTCGTCTTGATTGCGAAGTCGAATCAAGTTGCGAAATGGAGACAGGAACGGCGTCAGAGGATTTCAGCATCTCAAACGCTGAAGCGCTGCATTTTTGTTCGAAAGCTTCCCAGTCAGTAGGATGCGCATTCTGGACACGCCGGATGACGTCAATCGCTTCTAAATGACCTGCGCAAAACAACTCATAGGATGTAAACCGCGAGGCCTAAAGCATGACAGGATGAGCACAGTAACGAACACCTGCACATTAGAAGACGAGAGATACCTCGGTTGCAAATTTCGTGGAAACAATAGCGATTCCCGCATCGATGGTTTCAACATTTCCTACCGATATCTCGTCGTCAGATGAGTGCTCCGAAGACGACTCCATGTGGATCCCCAAAGGAGCCATTGCTGTGCGTAATTCCTCAACGAAGTGTTCATGGAATTGTAGAACTTCGTCAGCGTTACGAGTCAAGACATCGATCTCCGGGTTTTTGAATATACGCCTTGATGGAGACTTCTCTCTTTCTTTAGAGGGTGCATTGGTAAGGGGTTGAATGTACGATGAATGACCGGTAATATTACTGAGGTGGACAGAGGAGTTTGCCCTGGAAAGCGCGGAGAAGGAGGAATTGAGGCCGAAAGTCGAAGAAGTGCTTGACGAACGCTTCAAGGTAAGAGTAGGGATCTGACGGAGGTATATCTGCATGTAACGTTCAAAATTTGCTGTTACGAAATGAGGAGGATTTGAGAACACACCGAAACCAGGATCCTTAAATCCTGCATATACGACACTTCTGTAGATAGCAATTCCATCAATGCGTGATATCTTCGGATGTCGTCCTTCAACTTGTGCCGGTTGATTTCTGGATCCATCGAAGGTTTTGTAGTCAAAGGTGACACAAACCTTCGACTCTCGAAAGCCGGTCCAATTTCATGATCCATAGCGACTTCGTGCGCCACATTAAATAAAGGACGCGAGCGAACGAATGGATGGGTAGATTCCCCAGAAGGAATGAAGGTTGAGCTTAAAGGGCTAGCCATGATGCCGGTATTCGAGGTTTTGTTCCACCGTGCTTTTCGCCCTCCAACGAATGGATATAGATCTGAAAACGACCTACTACTAGTGTGTGTAGCAACAGCCGGGACTGAATTTCTTCGCTGAATGAACTGATCGGACGCACGAGGAGACATGTAGGCGGGAAACGAGGATGAAGCCGGAAAGAATGACGAATGTGGACGTTTAATTACACAAGTAACCGAACGTTTGAACAATTTCGGGGGAGGCGTGGGCGGAGTGGAAATCCACTTGGGAGACGCCCGAAAGGTAGGAGAATACTCTGAAGGGGTGGCAGGGGCTGTAGTATAGCTGTCGTTGCTCAACCATACACTTTGACTATCACTGTATTCAGATTCTGAGCCAAAGAATTCGCGCGAAGAGCTGCCGGTGGTTGGAGTGCAGATTGGTGAAGCACTGATTGGGGGCAAAGGAAGGAAACCGGTGACAGTAGGTCGGCGTGGACGTCCTGCAGTAGGCTTTTTAAGCGTTGTAGTGGCGTTAACCGCCATTCCTAGATGAGGTTCAATGGGAATGGCGATAGAATGGAGGCTTCTGGACAGCTCGAACGCAGGCCTAACAGATCTTCTGTCAAAAATTGTGGGCTGAAGCGACATGATGTAAACAGATCTACAACGGCGAAAGAGTCTTCAAGCGCTGTGATAGGTCTAAGATTCTCCTGGTCGCCTGAGGCTGCTCTCAAGCTGGAGACACAGAATGAGAAGGAAAAACTGTGAGATGTTACGAATCTGTCAAATAGCTAGATAGGAGGTTCAGAAGAAATCAGAAATCTAGTACTTAGGAAGATCAGCAGAGAGAATTTACGAAGAACTTGGCCAGGAGCAGATTCTATAAATATGACGACCAAAGACACGAAACACCTGCCGTACTAAATCAGGTCCATTGTGGAGAAAGAGATAATGCTCATATCGGGACGCGGGAAGAGGATTCCTTGCTTAGGTAAACCGAGCGGGATAAACTCGTTCCGGCTCCTAGTATATATCCCTACTCGTTGAGACCTCTTCAGACCTCTTCCCATTGGGATTCACGATCTACACTAATTTCAGGCAACACTACAGATAGACTATTCGATGATTGTACCTCCTTATACCTCTTATCGTAACTCATTATCCGGGCGCGTCCAAAACTAGTGAATTTGCCGAGACGCATAACACCGCAAACAGCCCGGCAGTCAGGTACTGGTACTTAGGTTCTGGTTTTTTGTCGACAAAATTCTCAATAGCGAAGCGGTAGATAGATTATATAATGCACTAATATACAATGTAAAGTCACAATCCCTGGAAAAAACGTTCAGCTATTAATCGTAGTCAGTCGGTACGTCCCAAAAGCTAGTACGTCGATATGCTAAGGAGAGATAGCCCTAGGGAGCGAAGCGTAATAACCTATGTGATAAATGAGGTATAGAAGGACAAGGAAAAGGAAAGACGCCACAACGTGCAAAAAATCCGTAGAAATGAGACTTTTGGGTACCTTTTCCCGTATACGTCGATGTACACATCGCTAATAGAGATCCAATTTATCATCCGAACGTGTAACGAATGGTATATTCCTCGCTTCTGCGTCACGCCGCCGTTGATCTTCCTTGTTCAAAAATTTCCGTAGACCTTCAACGTTCATCCCGCTGAACACGCGAAAGGCAGCTTGCTGGTCCGGATCGTGGTCCTAAAAGGCAACAAGACAAGCTCAATCAAAGCAAAACGTTATAAGAGAATCACATACAGATGGCGGCAGGTCTGAAAACCGATGCACGCCTTTCCTCTTCAAAGATGGAACCCCGGTTGCGCTAAGATGTTGGAGACGAGTTAGATTTTTCACCAGAAGGTGAATGGCATCTAGAGATACATGATCGCAGTACGAGATGTATAGGCGCTCCAGTGCCCAAGCATGCTCAGCAAGCGAGAAAATGGCAATATCCGTGAGCTTGTGAACGCGGATGAGGCTCAATCTTCGAAGGCTGGAGAGCCCGGACAGCTCAAAGACCGACATATCAGTGAGATTTCGGCAAACTAATTTGGCAGGGGGAAGTGCAAGCATCAACATTCAGTAAACAAGTCCCCGGCCCTAGTTTAATAGAACAATACTCACAAGCTACATCCACAACTCGTAGATTCCTACAAGCTCTTGCAAAATATACAACTCCTCGGTCGGTGATATTCATGACGTGGGCCAAAATGAGAACATCAAGGTTGTCCCCGAGCGTAGAGATGGCTTCAAGCGAACGGTCGGTGAGATTTGAACAACGGGAAATGTTCAAATTTTGTATCTTCGTAGCATGAGCAATGATACCTTCGATACCTTCGTCAGTTATTTTGCATGACGATAGATCGAGGACACGAAGATTGTCGGCGGTATGTCGTAAAATTAAAGGAGGAAGCTGTTCTACCCAGGTTATCGGTCTCGGTGGAAGTGGTTTTTCTCTTTCTTCTTCATCGTTCTCATCTGAAGGTTCAATCGAACTGGGGAACGCCTTGTCGCTCAAAAGGGGGCAATGAGCTAAGCGAAGAGTCCTGAGCTTCCTATGAACTGTCCGATAAGCAACCCGTAACGCAGGTTATCTCTGTTATGAAATTATTCACCTAGAAAATGACCATACATCTCTTACGGACAATGGGCTCAGAAGGGGAAGGCCAGAAAGTTCTAGCTCAAGCAACCGTGGCGAAGACTTCGCGATTGCAGATATAGAGGGGTCCGTAAGCCCCACGACAGCATTGAGCTTGATGCACTGAAGCGGAAGAGACTTTGTAGTCAGTTCCAGCACTGCTACATCCGATATCTGCTGACATCCTGTAAGATCAATAGACTGAAGATTATTCGCGTTTTCGGCGAGTAAAACGATCGTTCTGTCTGTAATGTCAGGTATGCCAGATAGAACGACGGTTTCTAGATGTGGTGCGCTAGAGAATATCCGAGCCAAATCTTCATCAGAGACAGTAGACGCGAAAGGCTTATGCAGGGTGAGATGTCGGACGCGACGATGCTCATCCGCGGCGGGAAGCCTGTTTGTGACACTGATCATGTCCTCATAGAAAGATTCCACACCCTGAAGGCGATTGGACATGTAGGGAATGCAGATATTTAAATAAATAAGCTGTATCTGGAGTTGGTTTGTCATTTGGTACATTTGTAGATCAGTAGTTTCCGAGTTCTACCATCAAGATCTCGAGCACTTACAAGGAATGGGCCAATGGGAGCAGCTGGAGAAATATAAGATTGTGGAGAAGAATTACACGCCGACCGTTCTGGGCCTGATGAAATGTCCACGTTACCGTGCAGGCCATCAACCAATCAATTGAAACATGTCCCAAACTTCATCGTCTACTGCAAAACCTTCACATTCGGGCCCTGTATTTGACCAGCAGCCTCAGCCATCCGATTCGCAAAGTCGCATACCAGTTACGCCTGCGCTGTTGAGGTCAATTTTCGCTTCTTCCCGTAGTTCACTGGAAGAACGTTCTATTTCGAGGCTGGCTTTTTTCAGGCAAGTCAAATTTCTTTGGTTTTTCAACTAGCCGGTGTTCAATTATTTTGGTCTAGATTTGCTGGATTTCTATTGAGTTGCCTCGGAATTAGCTTGGCTGCGGCTCGGGGGAGAGGAATTAAAAGCGGTGCTGCGTTATTGGGTGTTGTATGAGCCAGTCATCGTGCAAATAAATAACGTGCAAATAAGATAAAGATTTCACCACCGGAATACAACCTTACATCATATCTACAAGGCCTCTTTGCGGAGATACTACAGCTACTATCTTACTGGAGAGGTTGAACACACTACCCCCATCGAAGGCAACAAGATCGGCGGACTCCGGTTCTATCCCTTTCACGCCCAATAGTTGTTCCAGGTTTATTGTAGCAAGACCATACACTTCTCGGGCAGTCGCTGAGGAGACGGAGTCATGATATGCCCGAGCTAGTTGAAACCGAGTTTCAGTAGCCAGCTGAGGATGGTTGACACCCACGCCAACTACCACTCCACTATCTAACAGAATACCTAGCGTCGTTTGGTTCGTCAGAGGTGATCCTGGTAAACTAGTTGTAAAACGAATAGTTTTAGCAACAATGAAACAATGAATGAGTATCAATACCTACATCCTTCTCTGGTCCCAGGTAGCAGCTACAGGTTTGAGAGATGTCAGAATAACACCGATTCTCGCTCGACCTAGGGTGAAAGCTCGTATACACAAAGTTCAAATATCAGATGAAATTTTGTTGCTCACTAAGCTCCTTGGCAAGTAACCATGCTTCTGTTGCTCCTACAAAGACCATTCGCATTTGTCCGCCTATCTTGGCGTCCACCTCGGCCCTAAGCATAATTAAAGAGGCCATGATGTCCGCATTGTGAACCTCCACAACCAACGGAATCACTCCCTATAAAATACATCAATTAAAAAAATTCACGGCAAACATGCGAAAGAGCTACCTCCGCAGCCTTCCGGAAGTACAAACCCGTGTCCTTGTCTCTGCTTTCCCATCCATAGAGAAGCCTTCTTAGGGTGGCAATTTGAGTGCTTACGCTAGCTGCTGGGCCACGTACGTCGAACCTCGGTCGAGTGATCCTAACATGCAACGCTGTCTCGGTTTGTATAATGGCTTCTGGTTCAAGTCCATGGGCAGCATTGGTGCTGAACGTGGTTGATAATCCCCAGATCATACAGTCATCGCTCTCGTACAAACGGTGTGGCTTGGCTAGGGACGATGTGGCGGCAGTCACCCCAAAACGATATGCCATTCTACAAACAATTCAGATGCGATCAGTCTCGAGGGATATCGATAAAACCTGATAAAACTCACCGAGCGTGCCGACTGTCGAACATCAAAGCATCAACTGCTCGGACAATCCCCCCAACATCATGGAAGACGGAGGGTATATCCACGGCCAGGGAATTGAAAAGGCGACCATCGGTTGTTGAGGGCTCCGAAGCAATTTCTTCCAGCCCAAGCGGTGATCCAAAAGTCAAAAGTCCAGGGGAAATGGAACCTCCGTGAAGATCGACATCTACAGTGCGCTCATCTCCTGAGATGATACAATCATCCGCTGAACCAGCACAGATGATTCTACCTTGCTCTACAACCACAATTCCGAATTCGTCTTCATCAGCAACGAATGATTCGTCTATACTATTCCTGCCTCTTGTCCAAACTTCCTTCACATTTCGGAACACAACTCGGTTCCCTTCTCCTCTTCCTTTGAGGGGAGGTAATCCATCCCAGTCTACAGTATCCTGCCTCTCCTTTTCGTACGAAGGCTGACCCGGAGCTTCCATTCGTGTTTTATCTGGCTCGACCACCTCTTCCGGTCCAGTTCCAGTACTGTAGGTCGACCTTCCGGATTCCTTGGTCAAAGGAATTTGTTTCATTCCGTCAATCCAGACGTAAACGGGAGTTGCGCCTATCTGCAAAGGATGGGAATCCCACATCACTACGTCTGCATCATAGCCTTCTTGTAGCACACCCATACGATATCCAAGTCCCAAAGCATTCGAGGGCGTGGACGTAACTGATGTTAGCGCGAGGTCTGTAGTCAGCCCGAAATGATATGCTTTACGGGCTTCGTCAATTAGCTCTCTGGAATTTATGACGGGTTGATCGGTCTGAAGTTTCCAGTTTATGAATTGGGTTCGCCAAGTGCAAAAACAAACCACTCACAGTCATGATTATCGATAAATTGTGAGATGCTAAAATGGCGGGAGCGAATTCCGACCCGCGGTACGATTCGCGACTGTGCCTATGAGCTCGGGTTAAAGCATACATTCCCTGGAACGGATGCATCAACTTACCGATGATTAGTCGATAGAAGAGCAACAGCTGGGGTCCCTTCGAGTCTGGTGGAGGGTTCATCAGTCCGAGTAGGATATCATCAATTCATAGCACTGACGATCCATTGACTAGAGACGGGACAAGGTATGCCTCTGAAGCATGCAGAAAAGTGGATATGGGGAAACCAAATTCGTTTGAGAGCTGTGGAGGTTTCAACTTTCGATATCATTGGAAGAAAAAACATGCACTCACTCGAACCATGTTGTCTATGTCTACAGCCTTTTCAATATATTATTTCACAGCATATCTAAGGAAAGGACGAGATCACCCACCTCAGAGCAATCATTGGTCACCTAATTCGAAAGTGAGGAGTCTCATTGGATACGTTGAAACAGGTTACCGCCTACCTTAACTTTTCCCCTCAAAACATCAACCAACATTTCCCATTGAAAATTTTCAGGAAAATCATCCACACCAGACTCCCATAGACCAGCTTCAGCTTTAGCACAGAACGCGTCCTGTAATTTCATAACCCTTCGCGCCTCATGATAAGCTGAACGCAACGACCACATCATGTCCATACGATTCCCGTAACGTCTGGTCTCATCGCTGCAAGATTGCCTGTAATAGGACATTGAGATAATCTGGTAGCTAGATGGTATCAAGACTGATATACTTACAATAGATGTCGCCATACTGAGGGTTTTTCCTTACTAAAGCCTGTAGCATTTAGCTCGTAAGGAGGGTCCACGACCATTGAAAGTGCTGAACCTTCAGTGGTTCTACGGAGCTTTATCACAAAGGCCTGACCACCTGCGCCAGGTTAAGAGCATACTCTATGTAAAGGGAAAGGAATAAACCCAACCTATACTGTTGGAAGTTCCAGCGAGGATTTGGGCAGAAGTGACACCCGCAGCCAAAGCTAATTCGAAAGCATTGTCACGGGTATGAAGTCCATCGATACTCCGTAACCATGGCAGGATGGGGCCTTTTCTGGAGTCCAAATCATCTGAGCCTGCGACGTATTTTTTAGGGCAAGAGTAGGGGAATGGAATGATTGATTCCACGCTTACCACGAAGAGGCGGTGAGCTGAAAATCCCAAGCTGAGAATTGACATCCACTATCCTTAAAATCAGTCAACGTGGGATTACATAGGAAAAGAAATACATGCCTAGTCCAGGTGTTACCCAACTTCCGTTTGCCCTAATCACCGTCAACTTCCGTGGATCCACTTCCATGACCAAGTCCCGCGGAATGTCTTCTCCTAAGGCACGTATGATCCCGTTCGTCATGAGCAAATCTCCTGTGAGGGTTTGCACATTGCCATCATCGTCCTTTACACCAGTGAATATCGTAGCATTCGTAATAAGATACGACATGTTTCGCATTCCAGGGTCATATCTGTCGGAGACGGTCCTCTTCTGGAGAAAGGATGATAGAGTTGAGGGATCAGGACGTGTATGAAGGGTGTTACATTTTCGCAGAATTTCTTGAGCGTTGGCTGGGACATACACGTTCTGCGACTTCGCTGTGCTCCAAGACTCTAGTGGCAATAAGCGATCATAGGTCCAAAGAACAAACAGCAATAACCAGAGCACGGTAAGCGTCTTTCTAGAGAAGGTTCGTGCGGGTAGTGGAGGAGAATATTCTGAGGGAAGGATAGCAGGCGTCTTCTCTGAAGACATGGTTGTTGGAGTAATTGCCCAATATCACTTTAAGCGGCTGTAATAGGGCTTCCTTTGCCTCATGGATGGCACGGAGAATGCACTAGTCTGCGTGGCTGAAAACTGCGCGACGGAATCGAGGGTCGCCAGACGTACGGAATGTGGCAGCGTAATCAGGATGATCATGACCGGAAAATGAAAAGAAAGGTAGCAGCGCACCAGCAGCGCACTGAATCAACATACAAGAATCAACATACAACTAATGATCTAAATGGCGACCAATTACATCTACTAGTACATATACTAAACTATTACTTTCCCCATGATGTGAGAGAGTCTGTTATTCTAGGCCATCATTTCGGAACCAAGAGCGGGGAAAACTGTCCTAGGAGGCTCATAATGCAATCAGCCCTTCGATCTGCTTTAGCGACGTAGCTGCTGTAAACACTTTCGTATGTATGTATATAGCTTGTGCATCTTCATCGATGCTGATATTTGCTACATCCTGAACCCCTTTGCAATCCACTCCAAAACAACAGGCGTCAACTCATTCCCTAATGGAGCGTTAGCAACTGCAAAATCCATGATCATATCGTCATGAATGCCCCCATCCTGGACCAGAAGGACCGCATCAGAATGATACGGCTTGATCTTCCGTTTGAAAAACACCTGGATTTGATCTAAAAGTCGTTCCTCTTTCCCCGCTGTGACAAGTATCCGGTCTACGACTGAATTCTGAAGGTCAGAAAACCAGTCATCTGGAGCGGATACTGATTCGGCATATGGGACGATTTGCGAATGTTTGTCAGGGAAATCTATGAAGATGGTGTCGACATATTGTCCACCCGGTTCCCGTATGTTTGTAACATCGTAGTGCTTGATTCGAAATGTGGGACCCCATTGATCTGGGTTAGAAAGACCGACCCAAGGAGACATCATATATACCCCTCGGAGACGAGAACCCGGAGGCAAGTTTAATGGAGGGACCAGGGAAGGAAGAGGAAAAGGATGGACCATGTGTGAGAGAAGTTGTGTCATGAGGTTACCTCCAGCAGAGTCACCTGTGATTTGGATGTTGGAAGGGTTGCAACCTATGGAGAGGAGATATTTAAGAGCTTGGGTAGCTTGAAAGAGTTGAACAGGGAAAGCTGCGTTTGGGTCTGAGCCGACAGCTTTTATAAACATGAACGAAAGTCAGCCAGTGAGTTATTGCTTGCTTTGAGGCGACGTACAATATGACAAGACCACAATTCCGATTGCGAGTCCTTGCCTTTCCCATTCTACTTGAGCGTATCTCCAAAACTTGAGCATCATTTCTGTCACTTGAAACATGTATGCTCCGCCTGTAAATAAAGATCAGTACCCATGAAACAATCCTACTTCTGAGGAAGACGCCGCCGCACCCGGTAAATACAGTAAAACCTTCTCTGTCCGTTTAGGACCTATCCAAAACAAACGACCTCGTTCACCCCTCGCTCTGTCAGAGTCCAAGGGCAATTCTTCCACTAGAGCTCCAAGCTCAGGCTGATATTTTTTCACCCATCGTTGATATTGATGCAACCCATTCCCGACAAGGTATTGCATCACATTGGTAGGCAAATAAAAAGAACTTGCTCGTATAATGGTATCACCGATACGACGTTTCAGAGGTTTGTCATTGTAACCGTTAGAGCGGTCAATAAAGGGAGCAAGGATCGTTTGAAAGCATGCGAGTGCTAAGCAAAGCTTTAGCAAAGAGAGGAAATTCAAAGTTTTAACTCACGTAGGTGGACGGCCATGAAAAACATTATGCTGAGATAGTTGGTCCAAGTTAGAGGAGCATTGGCGTCGTCTGTATGAGCCATAGAAACTGCACGCAAATTATGATATCAGTTCCAATCGATATCCCTTCCCTCTTATATCTTTTCACAAACATGCAACGGTACCGGTCCCGGCTCTCGACTCCAGGCGAACTCAAGTCCGCCATTCAGGATTCGGGTCCGTATACACTGCTTTCACTGGGATTCAGTGGATTACTGGGACCAGTGAGAATGCATTTCTATCCGGCGAAGAGACCTCTGGTACAATAGGAAGGAACGGCAGGGAGCGGCCGAACAAGACACTGCAAGTGAATGGTCATGATCAGCTGTAAAAAGATACGAAGCACACACAGCCTATTCTGACCACAAACCGGCAAGGAGAGCCAGGAATGAGATATGTTTGAGGTATTCAACGTCGAAGTCAAAACCAAAGTACGTCTACTGGTCAAAAAGCTGGAAAAAGCCTTTCACAATGACACTCGGAGTGTCAAATATGAAGGTTCCGCCTTGGAAGAATTAGGAAAAGCGAGTGTCAAGAGACTGTGGTTTGTTTACTGACTTACCAGGTCCATGTCCCCTGATACAATTCGGAGGTTTTCAGTCAGACGGCAGTGGCAGCCAATATTGAACATGATCATATTTTGAATATAAGTACCAAATAATAGCCCAAGACTTCAACCAAGGGAGAATTGTACAACGACGTAACAACCAAAAAAACTACACTTGTTTATCTCTAGGTATGATTATACTATGACATTACGGAAGATGAAGAAAGGATCAAGAGATGTTTATACAAAGATACAACAATGTTGAACAATGACGATTCGATGTGAATGAGAGAGAGAGAGAAAAAAAAAGAGAAGAAGGGAGGGTGTGGGACGATGCAATGCTATACATATGGAATAAATCTTGAAATAGAGCGCAAAAACAAACGGCAGGATGCGACATACGTTCAGAGAGATGATGAGAACCATCACTCTACGGAAACCACCCTCGACAGTCCACTCTTCACATAACCAGTGTTATTGCATCTGCGTCCACGTCGGCTAATGCCATCAGCACGATTCAATAGCATGTTTGCCACGATACGTGCTATAGCGTCTCGTTGAGCCTTGGACACCTTGATAGGAGGGGGAGGAGGCGATACACTCGCAATCGGCTGCGAGAGAATAGGAGAGGGCGTAATCGTAGAGCTTGGACGTGAAATCGCCGCAGCTCGTGGACGTAGTGAGTGCGGCGGAGATGGAGACCGAGTTTGAGGCTGAACTGGGGAATCAGCCGTGACTGCGACCGGTGATGGATCGGACATAGTAGGCTGCGGTGGAGACGGCGATCGACGACCATTAAGGAGTGTGTCCAGAAGAAGATTAGTAGAGGCAGTAAGGTTGGCAGCATTAGCTGAATTCTTGTCGTCAGCGTAAGCGAGCGTAGGGCGGTTCGTGTTCGGGTCGTAATAATAATAGTGGGTATATAATGGTTGGGATACGTTCGACGGCCCAGTAGAGGTGAAAACGGGGGAGGTGGATAGAGGAGGTTCCTTCGAGTCTCCGAATGGATCAAAGCGCTCCGTACGTTGGTACAATGATGGGCCAAGAAGGCTGTTTTCCTGCTTCGTTGAGCTGGAGAAGCCAGCTCTCCGGGTCTGGTTCTGCGTTTGGTTGTAGGATGAGGAAGGCAAACGCATTCCATGTGGATAGCGTTTGTTGCTCCCAGCTCGATTAGAGCTGCGCGAGTAACTCAAGTTCGGACCACCACTGGCCTGGTTAGAGTATGAGTTCCTCGCTGCAGAACCACTATACGAGCGACCACGGATGACGAGTCCCTTGTCCGCACGATAGCTTTCGAGACCAGGTGGGTAAGCGACATTGAGGTCGACAGCGGTGAGGACATTGGAAGTAGCTATCATGGTAGACAGTGCGGCTGTGGAGGCGCTGTGGGATGTGAAAGATGTTTGGACAGTTCTGACGGACATTTAAGCTGAGAATAAGAAACTTTTGAGGCAGTGGCGAATGCAAAAGAAGAAAGGAGGCAGTGAGCGTCGGTGTCGACGATGAGTACGAGGGAAAATGACCAGGAGGACAGCCTCTCTTCTATGGTAATTCGTGAACAGAGCTGGGTGGCAAATCGTGTGCCTTATATTGATATTTCCCTTCCTGATGGAGATCAGGCGGCGGTAGGCCGGCAAAAAAAAATAATAATCTCCGCACGGGAGAACAATGCACCATTTCAATTGTTGTCTCTTCTTTTATTTCAGGGCGTAAAAAATACAAAGAGTCCACTGCCATGTGCACTCTCGCCGTACTAAGTTCATTTTTCGTGCCAGGTCCATTTTAATCCTTGTCGCTTATACCGCTCTGACAGATTCACAGAGACACAAGTTTTTCACGTTTTGATTGCCTTAATCTGGCGACAAAGTAGCATATTGCACTACATAATGTTTCTGATCGATATCTGAGCAGCTCCAGGCAGCTTCCGTACAGCAACAGATGACAACGTCGACGGAGACCGGGAGATAACGCTCGCTGTCGTCGGACGCTGCAACTGATTAATTTGAAACAGGACATTGATGGATTACTACATCGCGAGACCATCTAGTTGCTCTACAGGTTGCTCTACAGCTACCTGGACCCGGATCTCCACTGCACGAAATCAAGGTTCGACAATCCCATATCACGGAGCCTTCTTTTTTTCCTTCTGTTTAAATTGAATCTATCACAAGGTACGCCACTGGTACAGAACCAACCATATACTGCTGTCTCAAATAGTAGCTAAATAGCACCTAATAGCACTCTCCACAAGCCTCCACATATCGAACACTATCGAACATCAGAACATGGAAATCATTCCACGGAAACATAATTGCATTGGTTCCGTCACCTCTCATCAGCTCTCACCGTCAAGGCTTTCGTAGTGTTCCGTTTGTATGTTACAAGGAACATACACACCAGTGAAGTATTTTCCTATTTCTTTCAACACATGCTCTCTCACCATTATCAGCCTAGACTGTACAAGCAGTTCAGCAATTGGCCTCAGCAGGCTCAATCCGTCGTTCGGGACTGCAGTATGTATACATATCAGCTATGCTGTAAGATCCTTGTTCTCGAAATCAGTATTCATACGAAGCGGAAACCATCCTATGTACTAGAACGGACATTGTTGGTTTGTATGTTGCGGAAAAACTTTGGAACCTTGAGTTTCTCGTGGGCAAATGAGAAGTGATTATTGCAGCTTGAGAACGTCTGACTCTGTTAGCCGATTGGGAGGTCCATAGAGGTTTATAGAGCTTCATATATAATCGACCTGTTATGATCATTCAGCGCAATTTCCGGAGAACTCAGTTTTCATATATACATGATACAATGGCAAAAGAGCATTGTCGTTCGTCGGAACTGACAGAATCGATATCGTCTCCCAGGCCTACATATTTAATTCCCCTCATACATCTAGGGACGGTCAAAGTGGGTCAAAGTGGATGGGAATAAACCCGCATTTCATACCATGTATGTAGTATATACTCCAGTATCTTTCCTGTCGGAGATCACTCAACATAGACTACGGAAAGAACACAGCCTAGGCAAAAAAAAGTGTTTGTAGGAGCTTATCAAATGGATAATGTTGATCATACTGAGTGAGAAAGCGTTCAAATCATACGCTGAATTTGACTCCCCGAGTGACGTAATGAATCGGTATGATTTATTACGCGTGACGGCGACGGCGTAGTATACGCATCGGGACCGGTCGGCACACATTTTTGTTCTCGACACTTCGAGGTACGGACTGGTTCGGAGCTGATGCTTCATCACAGGCCTGGAGGCTATAGCGTTGTGCCGACACTTCCAGACACTTCCTGCTCGGATCTTCCAAGTGGTTGAACCCACGCCCTCTACCAAATCTCGGCACCCTCTAGATTGCACCACGTACACATTAAAGATGGAAAACAGAAAATGCGTCAAATATCAATTTCCTCGTGGGAAGCTTTTTCGCTCGCATTCGAGAATGTACTGAATGAGCTTGAATGAGTCAATCTCGAGAGCACCCTAAAATATCTGTCACAACTGGAGAAAGGCGGGAACAATTTTCATTATTATACTTTACGTGTTACTAGGCACCGCGTTCAATCCTCGACTTCTTCTTCCTCGTTTTCATCTTTATCACTACTGTCGACGGTCTCTGCACTAGGGAATTTCTTGGAAGGTTTTCGCTTCGTCTTACTGGGTGTCGGATCGAAGTTAGTCTTCTTGGCTTTCAGAATTTCCATGATTTCTGCATATATGTTACGGTTTCATGAACGCCCGATTGCAATAGAGACGAGCACACCTTGTATAGGCATTTCTTCATAGCCTTTGACGCTTCTCTTCATGCTTAGCCAACGACGTTGCAATACATGAGCGCTCCAAAGGTTCCAGTCCTCATCGGCAAGAGTTTTCCAGTCAATTTCGGTGTCATCTCGCACGCGAAGGGAGTCCAATCTGTGGTAGTATATTTGAGATCACGCCGTGCTCAAAGAAAAGTTAGTATAACTTACTTGTGAACCAAGATGTAAGAGTCTTGGTTACTCCATCTGGGTTTTTTCCCATCCAGCTTGACGCGTTTACTAAGAGCATCGGTCCTGTGTATCCATGAGAACTTTAGCGGATGAAAGATGCTGAAAAAGGGTATGTACCATTTTATACGACACTGTTGTCGGTTACGCTTGTTGCCCATGAGATCGCTGACCGCACCCCAGAAAACATCATCGTCCAAAGTACCGCCTTTCTTCACAGTCATTTCTTCTACGATACGCGTTAGCTCTTCCTCCTCCTCCTTAGTCCACGGTCCTTTTGGAGAGATTTAGTCAATTACTTGCTGGGAAAAGAATGAAGCTCACCAGTGACACGAATTTCACGCCCAACAATATGATTACGCCAACGATCACGGCAGTCAGGCGCTCTCCGACCAACTATGAAGCTGATTTTCTCCCATTTCTGTCCAAAACTCGCAACGGCCCTGATCCAGCCAGTAATTGTGAGCACGAAGAACTAGCGAAGATCAGATCGATAAAAAACTACAACATACTCTTGAAGTTTTGCATCTTCAGCGGGGAGCCACTTGCCCTGCGCCTTGAGAGGATGACGTGTACGTCGAACATGATGATATACAGAGATTATGGGTCGTTGAGGGACTGCCCTTGCTAAAGCAGAAATCAGAAAGATTATCAGGGAAAATGATCAGGAAACTTACTTATCTCAGACCAGAACTGATTGTCTCTGCTTTTGTCCTCACTGGGAAAGATAACTTCGTTCAGTTGATCAGGCGTGAGTTGCTTGGCCTATAGGTATGACATTCAACTATAATGAAAAAATATTTTCAATGCGACAGACTCACGGTAGTATATCGCTCGATTGCATCGTTGAGTTGTTTTTCTTCTATGGCTGAAAATTTCCCCTTTTTATATACCAAGCCTGTTCAATCTACATGTCAACCTGCTAGCCAGACTCGAGCGGAAATCTCACCTCGATTTTTGGCTAAATCTAACAGTTTGGAGGTGCTGATCCATTTTGTTGATAACAAAAGTGCGTCCTCTTCCGTGTTATAGTTTTCGATGACCTCGTGCTCGTAGGTAGGTCCCGAAGCAGTTTCAGTAGGCTTCGTGCTCAATATCTTCCCAGCAGACACTGGGACCTGGCCAACAGGAGGCGGAGCCTGAAGCATCAGTTGGGATATGAGATCGGTGTTGAGAGTGCCATTAGGAAGGGTCAAGCCAGACAGTGATGCAGCAGAATCTTGTTGAGGGTCAAGCCAGACCTTCAACACCTGTGCAATGTTCGAGAAATCGACATCCTGTAACACGCGAAGAACCGCTTCAGTCGAGACTTCGCCGGATAGCACGTCAGCGGCTTGAGCTGTTGGATCGTCGGTAAAAGGGCCAGTCGAGGACTGCTGGTCCGAAGATGTGGCCGTTGCGGCAGCAATGATAGCAGCTAGGAAATCCGATGGGGATATCTGAGGTTCCCCGTCGTTCAAAGGCAAGGTGTTCACGGGAAGTTGTGGCTGCTGTGGATTGTGTTCCTTCTTTTTTTTCTTCGGGCGCGTCTCGATGGAGGGCTGATCCAAGGTATTTGGAACTTCATCTCCACTCTTCGCCTTCCGCTTTCCCTTTGGTTTCACAGGAGCATCAAGGGTAGCCGGATCTACAGAGTGTTGACGTCTTTTACCCTTTGCCTTGGAAGAAATGTGAGGCTTGGATGGCGGCACGGAGGACATGAAGTCAAGATAAGGGTAGGCCTGAACGTGAACGTTGGAAGTTTCTCCAGGGCTGTGCTTTATTCTCACAGGTCAAAGCGTTCTACATCTGCCGGAACAGTAATAGTACTGGATGACTTCCCGTAAGGAAAATTAACAAAAGTCTCGTTTTATTTTCTCTCCAAACGATTAGGCGACGTGTCCGATCAACGGATGCTATCAAAAACGAGCTAAAAAAAATCTACAAGAGCCTCAGGACCCTCTTCTAGATTGGTTTTGCTCTCGATTTTTGCTTAAGCGAGCCGCGTATCACTTGTCCGACAGTCGCATCTAACCCTCTCAAGATTAATACGAGCAACAGCTCTTACGGGAAGTCATCCACTATGTAGGTAGCGCTAAGTAAGACACATATACTCTTATTTTTATATCCATTCTTAGTCTTCATCTTCGTCGTCGAACCACCGTTCCTCTGTGTCTCTATCATTGTCTGTGTCTAGTGACTCATCCCAGTCCACTCTATCATAGTCAATATTCTGAGATCAGGCGATGATTAATTGGCTTTGAGATTTAAAGAATGATTTACTTCATACTCACATCCAATAGCCCATAGATGAATCGTTCTCGTATACGACGCTCAAATTCTGCTCTGTTATCTGCTTCGGTTGCTTCCTCCACATCACCAGATTCGACAGGTTCATCTTCAGCACTGTCTTCGTCCTCTTCAGGTATAAATTGACTCTCTTCAGCTGCTAACTGCGTGCGCCTGATGTTCCTCACCCGCTCCGCCTCTCGTTCTTCCTCATAATCACGCAAAAGGGAGCCCAGCTTCTTCACATGTTTCGTGGAACCTTGCATGAAGTCAGTCTGAGCCCACCGTTCTTCGTCGTGTCCTTCCGTAACACCTCGGCGCTCTCTCCCCGGCCATACACTGGGCCATGTGTGTCTGGCTGCAGTGAAAGACAGTTCAGCGGGTTGGGTATCAATATATTTCAGGCGCCGATTCCGGATGACATGAATGACTGTGCGTTGCTTGGGGGAAGTAATAGATGAAAACTTCAGTAAGAGATGAGGAGGAAGATTATGTATATGCTTGATCAGAAAGTCAATTGTTTCATCGGAAGGGGATGGGGAATAGCTTCCATCCTTTTCTACTCCCAAATATGTCAATACTGGTATCATGTCGAAGGACTGGTCGGAGGTCATGGTAAGTAGTTAAGTAGTAGACGCTGAGTAAGCGTTAGGCGCCCAGGGAGTCGCGCCAAACTTGATCCTGACTTTCATCTTCACGAATGAAACTGAATCCAGTCATTGTCTGCCCTGAAATTCCCTAACACAGAGATCAATCCTCCACTTTCTCCCTCCCTATCATCAATCAACTGCCAGAAGATATGTTTTTTGATCATCTCGGCGTACGACCACCTAGTCCAGAAATTCGTTTTTGTCGCTGGGGTTTCGCGTGCACCAGATCGTTTTGTTCCGGCGAAGAACTCTTGCAACACAATTTAGCGGAACATGTGCACACTGCGGTGCCAGTCTATCCTCATGAACTACCAATGCTACGCAGAACGGCAGAAGGGATTGGAGAAAGTTATGAAACAGAGCATTTCCTGTCGCCCGTGCCTCGGTCAGCTAAAGGAGAGGGCAGTTCTCAAGGCGGCAAGAACTATAGTCAGGGCAGGTGTTCTCACTTGTTTTCTGCTATGGTTTATGCTGACTCGCTGCATTTTCGAAAGATTCCGGACCAGCGGCTTCTCTCCCTTCTCCACCTGTCTCTTTATCCTCACGTCCCGGAGGACGTGCAGACGATGAATATTCAATACTTTCGGGATCCGAATCGCCTCGTAGCCAAGCTCAGGAGCCCTCACCTATGTTCTACGAAGATTTGGATCACCGTGACTTCATGGCCCAATCCACTCATATCCTATTGTCTGACGCTCTTGAGCCACCAAGCCCTGGATTTGCTTCCCTCGATGCATCAACCGGGTCGCCGAGACCAGGCTCCATACCTCCGTCACCTTCATTCTCTGATATCCTCGCAAGTAGCACACAGAAAGGTCTTGCAAAACCTCAGTCACCCATACCAAGCCGTCTTTTAGCCCACACGCTCTCGTACGATTCATCTTCATCCTCAAACTCGTGCGCCATAGTCGAAGAGCAACTGACACCAGACGATGACTTTTTGTTTGACGAAAACAGAGACAGACTCAGTCAAAGTCTTCCTGTTGCGGGAGAAGAGTCTGATCATAGTGATTTTTCTCAAGGAGTGCACGAACTGGGTGCCTCTCAGATGTTTCCCACCCAGCAGCCAGAAGAAACAGAATCTCAAAATTCGCATCAGACTCGCCCACCATTCTTACATGTACGCGGTGTACAAAATACTACACTTTCATCCTCAACATCTTCACAGCTACCTCCCCCTGAGGTTGCAGGGCCTACGCGAAAACAATCCTGGTATGGGCCAACAACGCGCCCTCGGAAGCGGTCGCGAGGCAGCAATTTGTCCCCATCAGTATCACCAGTAAACACACCTGCTGCTTCCCCGCATGGGGTGACTGCCTTCGCCGTATCTTCTAGTTCCAGTAGGTCAAGACGCACTCGTGGAATACTCGACCAAGCGACACCTCATCGCATTCGTGACGACCCCTCTCACTCTGGTCTTTATAGAAAACGCTACAAGGTCAACTCCTCTACAGATCCCGATGATGCCAATTCGCGTCTGCCAAAAATCCGATACAATATGCCCGCGCAGCGTTCCAGTCATGATGAAGATTGCGATGCTGACGTGTCGCAAATGCAGACGGAAACACAGCTCACGATGTCTCCTGCGATTCAACAAGAACCATCGTATGGCATGTACGATTACGCTATACAGACTCAAGCACCGTATGACAGCCAGTCGTAGTACTGCCTCTTGGCAACTGCTTCGGAATTGCTTCATTTCTTTCGCTGCTTTAATCCGCATGTTATGGTCTAATAATTATGTATAACTTTACCGCATTGCGTACGTGGCATGTCAAATCTTCATTGCCCTCTCTCTCTACACTGATATATAGTCCCCTCGAGCACTTTGTAATAAATGTCTAAATGAAAGGGTGTCGGACATACCAACTTCGAGGTGTGCCCTCCATGTTCTAGAGGACATATGAGGTGTCAGGTCTCGCCCTGAAATAACGAGTCGGAGATTGAACACCTTGGATCCTTATAAGCGTTGTCTCGAAAAGTGCATTTGGTTGCATGCACAACCCGCCGCTCCCTCCGACTTGTGTTGCAGGGGGCGGAGTTTAGAGAATGTTGCCTCTATGCACACAATGAAAAGATAGAGATCGATGGTGAGAGACTCCTTCAGATCGATGAAGCCTTCTTGCTCATTCTCTGTACTTAACCTCACCAAAATCTCATGCGCGGAAGAACTTCGATTGATAATTAAAACAGATGCAGCGAGAAAGACAAACTCTACTCCGGTTCCTTGCCGTGATTCTGGATACTATCGATTGAAGTTACTTACCTACCTAGTCTCGAGATGAGTCGCAGGAGTTTGATAACTTCTGATAATTTTTAGCGCATACAAGTGCAAGGAAGAGAAGGACAGCCTATCATCTGGGGTCGCCGTTCAAAATTAACGAAGAAGGCCAAGACAAATTCACATTTACACCATGTTTACACCATGTTCACAAAAATAGCCTCGCGTTCTGGAAGTAGGAAGAAGAGAACGATGCATGATCGGGAAATTTAGGGCCGTAGAAGACTGAAGAGTTTGAGACCGAAAAACGCCGTCACTTGCTGTCGATGCGTTACTCGAAACGCCACAATTTCCACTTGACCTTGAGTTGGGTACGATGAGGGAGAAGATCAACGGACTCATATTGGAGCTTGAGAATAGCTGTCACGTTGAGGCTGCACAGGATACGAGTCGCGAGCCAGCAGCCTGAGATTTCAATGTCGCGGAGTCACCGAGCAGAATTGACTCGACTATCGAAGACGGACCTTGGCAGGAAAGACAAAAGAGGTCTTAATCATCCAAGTTCCCTCAAGAGTCTGATGCCGCGGTAAGTACAAGGAGTCAGGCAAGATTTGCGGGTAGTCAAGCTATTGCCAACAACCTCCAGCAACTATATACTACCGAGGTTACACCCGCTGGACAGTACCAGCAGTATTTGCAAAGATTTATGATCTACAGGCTTGCGATGGTAGAGGACCGTCTGGATCGTAGTAGGAAGGGAGTCTCCAGGTCTTCTCCAGCTTGGAATGAGGGAGTCAGAAGCGATAATGAAAACGCCACAGGCACACGTGATCGTTACCCTTCACCGCGCTAACCTTTCTTCGGAACTTCGGACCCTCACCTCGTTTTATTTGAGCTATGCTGCAACCTCTTCCTTCTCACCCGGCGATCCCGCAGTGATTCATGAAGCAAAAAGATACAAGTATTATGATCTTGCAGCATACAAGTAATCAAGATGGCTTTCCCAGATAGTAGTGGCACAGGCTTGTTGCTTCTCGAAGTCAAACTTCGAAATGACTATGTACTCGCTATGCACTGAGTCGGGCGAGCGCCTGTGGTCAGTACTTCGTATGTGATCCGACCTCGTGGCAATGTTTGGGATCTTGCGGTTGTGTGTCCTCGTTGCAAAACAGAATAAAAGGGACGTCTTCACGATGTAAATCATTATTATTCCCTTCGCTCATACCTCACAACACACCATCAACCCTTCCACAAATCCACTATCTCACGACCTTCAGCCTAAATGGAGCGCATTGTCAACTTCAACGCAATTTTGTTCCCTTCAGATGGTGCATTTCTCCATTTGCTTTGTTTCCATTTGTCTAAAACAATCTTGCGCGCAGGACGTCCGCCAACCATTGTACAACTCATGACCAGGTTACTAGTTCCTTGTATACCGCGAATCCGCACGAACGCTGATGCGTCGATTTTTCAGTCCAATGTCATTGCCTGGCCACCACACCTCCTACACTGTTAATCCTTCTCGTATGCCTCATCCTGAAGTTCATATGGACTATGTATGCCAAATATTCCATTCTATCTCGTTGACCCTGCCAATAAACCTGCCTCGTTCCCAGATTGCCGAAAACCTTGGTCCGAGAGCATGGAAATATCAGGTACTTTGAAATTTTCATTCATAACTGGAGTCTGGACAACTAACCCCATTCCTCAGCTCGTCGAAGCTTTGGACTGCATGAATAGAAAATTTGCTTGCCCATATATTATATTTTACCCTGTTGTATCCAGAGATGGCATGCCGTTCCCCATAAATAGGGCGATACGCGACATCCAAGGGCGACGGTTTAATGAAGACAATGCCTGGCGCGGTAATGTCCTTGTTGCAAAATACCATGACAATCCGTTCTCTTCGCTGATGGATGCATCCATGGCCGACTTTCCTATTCTCAAAAACTATTTGCTTTCCCATGGATGTCCGCAGGTGAGTACGTCGATAAAGTTAAACTTGCTCCATGCTCACCTTCACGTATGTCCACTAGTAACCCTGCCATGATGCCCCCGTTTCTTATTTTTCTTCGGACAACGGATTTTGTATCATATATAGTGATAGAGTATAATACTGATACATAGTACATAACTTCACATGGCAAAGTGAACTATTAGAGCTCTTCATGAACCATTGTCGATTCCTTAGCTTCTGACTTATCCTTCTCCTTTGCTTTACCATCCTTACCATCATTTTTGACCTTCGGCGGTTTACAGGGCTCTGGTATTGGACTTGCAGGATTAATCAAAGGATGGTTGACGCGACCGACCTTCTTGTATTCGGCATGATTTGCATAAAACTCCTTCCAATGTTGCACGCCCTGCGTTGATTTTGTAACTTTTCTCCTGGACAACGGTAAAAAATCACAAACCCTGAGTTCAGCTTCAGTAAGGCCTCTTAAATCGTGTGTTCGATGTGTCTTGAAGCAGCCTGTACCGTAAGCCCGCGCTGCGTCTACACCGGCACTGGTCGGAGAAATCATGTAAGAGGCAGGACGTTATATATCTTTTAAGCATAGTATACTGACAAATGGTGGTAGGACCCTCCGGGTTGATATGCTTTGCCATTTGTGACGTCGTAGACGTCGCCGTCAATCTGTACCGGAAATCGTGATAGAACCAGCGGAGGTCGACGATACAAGTAATTGAAAACTCACTGCAAGATAAATCGGTTTACCAGGCACTGAACCATCGAACTTGGCTAAAGTACTTTCGGAAAACAACGTTTGGTCCGTCTGAAATCGCATAAGGTCATAGGATAAGTACAAACAATCCCTGAACCTCATACCGGGATATATGATTTGAGCTGTGCTAATCTGGTCTCATAGTTCCATGTATAGCTTCCTGCGAGCAGCTTTCCCGCAAGAGCAGCAAATACGACGACGTAGAAGAAGAACTTCATTAAACCCTTGAGCCCAACTTCTTCTGGTTCCGTGGGGTCTCTTTCTTCAGGTCCGACTTCCTCTCCGCGCGCAATCTTCTCCTGGCGGATCTTTTGGCGTTCCAGCCACTCATTATGAGCTTTCTCTTGTTTTTGCCGATAGGCCTTATATCTATGCCAAGTTCGCCAAGTTACACAACGTCAAAGGCAGAACACGATTTGAACACACGCAAGAAAGGGCTTGTTGGCTGCTTTATCTACTACCATTCGATTGGGAATTGAAGGATCTTGCACTCTGGGTGTGCTATCGGGTTCAACGTATCGCTCTGGTTCTTCTCCTGTAACTGATGTTTTGAACCAGGACATGGCGGGATAGGAAGAGAAAGTGTGGGAACTTCAATCGCGGTGACGGTTGACGTTGTACCCGAAGACAAGAAAAGTTCGCGACGTGTCCTCTTCGGATCGGGTCTTTCCGTCTACATTGATCCGGGCCATTCTAAACCTGTTTATTGTACGTTCAGTACAGTGAGATATGAGGTGCTACCAAGGTGCTACATACATAGAACTAATGAACCACCACCTGCCCTACTTCCCCCACCAATCTATGTCTATTACGTCCATCCTTCCATTTACCTATGACAATCTTCTCGGGCATCCTGTATAAAATATCGGCAGTGCTCTTCAATTCACTCTCTGAAAGCCAGTTGTTACTTGGATTGTTCAGGAATGCAAGAGATAATTTCGAAATGACATCCATCAGATGTGCGCCAGCCTTGTTACCTATGAGTGGAAAGACGTGATAGTCGGAGAAGGATGTGTGTGCAGATTGGACTGCATGGAATACAAAAGAGTAGCGTTAGCAGTAAGAAAAACACACGGAACAGTGCAATGTATACTGACGAAGTGTTACCAGTTTTGCATCTGGACCCCAGCCCTTCACAGTTTCTTTTAATCTCTCAAAATGTGACGTCCAAAGCGTGAATGCCTCAGAGTTGATGACCAGTAAGCGGGAACCAATGTGACCACTGCCATCTTCAGCATCTCCATTGAACTGATCGCCGGCGACGGTCGCGTTATCGTGAGTCACTCCCTGACCTACACCGGAATATGGCGTAGGCCCCGGAGACGGGAGAGGCTCCAACCACGGATCGAGGATGAGCGTATCGCGGACAGGAATTCGAGAGTAAGTATTTCCTCCAGGTGCTATGGGGGACATAGATGACAGGATGGAAAACTAGAGATTGCTCGTCAGAGTAGGATCATGACTCTTTGATCTTACTACGGACCACCGTGCATCCACCAAATGAGTGTCCCGCTAGGCATACGTCTTCAACGTCAATAGGTGCATTAGACCAGGTTTCTTGAAAATCTGGCTCTCTGCTGAGGTCGCCAACAAAGTGAACGAAAGCTCCAAAATTGTTATCCTTATTTGAGCTGCATACCAGCTTCGCGAACGCTGCATATGTAGTGTATATTTCGTGTTGACGAATGCTGAGTTGATCCAAGCGAAGTTGTAGGACATCTCGAGGTTTTTCCGCCCAACTAATGGCAAAAGTAGTTTCAGCCATAGTACGTCGCAGTTATAGGATGGATCATGGATGGGATAACGCACGAAACTTCACTTTCTCTGATATACAGCAATCGCCTATTACGTCCGTTGTATGGCGCGAAGCAAGATGGCATAGTCCCATCCCGATGCTCCACTGCAACTACTATTTTCCCTGACGCAGCCAATCGAACACAGAGCTGGCTATAAGTGGTGGGACTTCCGCCCAGTCCATGAGAGAAAATCACGAGAGGCCATTTCGCCCCTTCTTCTGAGGGATACAGCAAAGGCGCATCTTCATAGACAGGGATCTGGTGAAGCCATTGTGTATTTCAGTAGAGATGAATAGCAATTGACTAACCTTGATGAACTGACCGTACGCGTATAGGAATGGCGCGAGGATCAGCCAGATCATCCAGCGGGACACACCTAAAGCGATTTCACTAACTGGATCGTTTTAAGTCAAGGTAGAACGCGTCACGAACCAGCGAAGTGCCCCAGTCCAGTTATTTCTGTCTGTAAAGGTCTGTCTTCTTGTGTCAGCTTTCAAAGAGTTGGATCATGATCTGGGTGAGTACACACCCAGTAAGCCAACGGAGTCCTTTTTTATACCTCTTGTCTCCCGGAGGCACATGTGTTGGATAGAAGATCGTGAAAGAGACTTCCTCTAACCGCAGACCGACGTCTTCCTGTCCTAGAATTTTAGCATCACCGGCAATTATGGGCTTTTCAAGTGGGACTAGACAGCGGGTAGCGCCAACTGGGTGGAGACCATTAGGATCTTTGAGAAAGAGCATCTAGTGGATCGTAGACATCGAACTCAAGATAATTGGATGACATGAGTACTCTGGTCCGAGTGAGCGAATCGAGAATTCCGGCGTTTTCATAAACTTTAAATAAATTCCTTAGCTTACATACTTCAGTACGGATACATCAAGTATTATGCACGCTGAAATACGACCCCCGTAGCCTTCTCCTTTCCCAAGTAAGAAGCCTGTAAATCCCTACCCTCGAGACCATGAACATTTAATATTTGTGTATCGCCAGGCATTAGATCCAGCGCGTTGTCACTCCACTTCGGGTCTTCACCATCCCCAGCTACACCAAGTACAACACACTTAGCGGGCATTTTCACCTGAAGGGAAATTGTAGACATTTTGGAATCTCCGCTGCTTTGTACGTTGATTTTTAATCCTGGATCGACAGTATCTGCAAATCGATACGGCTGTGGCCAATCCGAGAAACGGGCCAGCACGTCTCCATTTTCAACGTCGAGCAGCCGCGCTCCAATGACAACGGAAGAGCTTGTGGTCCATTCCGCATAACCTGTCGGAGGTGCATCGTTTGTTTTCGGAGGTTCAGGACAAGTGATCGAAAGCAGCTCTATCGCCTGATTGGGAGGCATTACAACGGCGTGTGTTTCTTTGTGACTCCAACTGGAGCATAGGTCAACAAAATGTAACTCCAGTGTTGCCGAACGAGGAAAGAGTGACCCATTTACAGCCCAGATGTCGATTATAGCTTTGCGAGATTGGAAGGCTCCAAATTCATAGTACTAACGGAGGCCGATGAAACTCTGGCTTTACCAAGACATCGAAGTCAATTACCTGACGGGGCCTGTCATTAGGTTTATTTTTGATAACCTAGTTCGTGCTCGGTTTAGTAGCATAAACTGATCAGCAAATTGATTAGCATACTGTACGAGTTATCCCGACTGCAAAAGTCGCTAATTGGCGCATAATTGTGAAGTACACTGCTTTAGGCCGAAGCTAGAAAGATGTCAAATTCCGCTCGAAGAGCAAGCACTTCAACATACAAAGTAATCGGCGATCGCCCAAGAAGTGACCGGCCAGCAATCGTTCGACTGCCACACTAGAACTCCTCCGGTCTGACGGAAGGACTAAGAATCACACTGTATCGAAAGAGGTGATGATATATGATACATATTGCTTGCCTTTCGCTCCCCATTTACGGCGCCATGACTGGTACGCAAAACCCACGGCTTCAGATTGCATGAGCTGGGTGTTAAAGACAGCACTGAACCAATGTTAATGAATTCAAGCGAATGGGTTATACAATGCACGTACGTTTCTAAATCCTCGGTGACCTTGAAATTGTCATTCATTGCAATTGCGAAACGTCTTTCAAAACTGCCCGCGCGACAATGTTGCGCCATGAGCTTGGACTGGGCATTCCACTCTTTTGGAGCCGCGTCTTTCATCCAGTAAGAGATCGTTTTCATACAAGGCATTGAAGGCATCCCAAACTCGCTAATTTGAGAACATCATTATAAAACTTGATCTAGTGAAAACGGAGAAGCAACCTGACAAATCGCCCTCCAAGCTTATCATAATCCTGGTATGGAAGTTCTTTGCCGCCCCATACGTTCCACTGATGAACATCCCCTACAGTGGGATCAGACGTGTCCCAACCTTTACCGCCGTAAGGTGATCCACGATGATACGGGATAGCTGGATGAGTTAGGGACTCCACTACAGATGGAAGTACGTCTTCATATATTTTAATGGCAGGAAAATCTTTGACGTCTGTAAATAAGAAGATTACGAGCTTGTAAAACATTACAGAGTCAACGAAAATACAACTCACCTCCCCATTGCAATATCATCTGGTAATCTTCATTGTTCCCGCAAAATAATGCCATCGCGGGATGGTGTCTCAGGCGTTTGACATTCTGCTCCGCCTCTTCGCGCACCGAGTCGACAAATGAATCGTGAGCGGGATACACTCCGCAGGCGAACTGGAAATCTTGCCAAACAAGCAGACCGAGTTCTGGTAAGCGATATAGTCTGAAACTTATATACACCAAAGGGCGTCGTTGACATACCATCACAAGTATCGTAGAATACATCGGGTTCATATATCCCCCCTCCCCAAAGGCGCACCATATTTTGGTTGCCGTCACGAAGCAAGGTTAGCCAAGCTCTATATCTATCAGGCGTAATGGTGGTGAGAAAATTATCTGCAGGTATCCAATTTGAGCCTGTACGAAGAATCAGTGAGGCAGTCCACTGAAAGAGTCAAACAGAAATGTAATAGTCACCTCCCATGAACATCCGTACTCCGTTTACTTCAAAGAGAAAAGTTGTGCCAGTACCATACTGATCCGGCTCTTCAAGATCCTCTTGAATAAGCTTCACGTTTCGAAATCCGATACGAAGAGTTTTCTTATCGAGAACGACACCGTCCTACCAGTAGCCAAAAATTAGAAAAAACGCAGCACGAGTGAAGCAAGCGAATATGACAACCTTACCGAGAATGGTGAGCTCCACTGCGTATAGAGCTTGTTCTCCATACCCAACTGGCCACCATAACTTTACTCCATCTCTATCAAAGTTCCAAGATACTACAGTACGACTGGTCTTCGATTCTCCCTCGGTCAAAATATCATCTGCTCTGACGACGGTGTTCTCTGAATCCTTCAAAACCACTCTATATCTATCGATCTCAGTCAATTGTCCTCTCAAACTAACATCCACCTCGAGAGAACAAGTAAGATCGTCATCCACGGATGCCTTGGTGAATATGTCGTCAATACAAACGCTGTACGTTGACAATACAACCGGTCGATAGATTCCACAGGTCATAAGTTCTGGGCCCTGTAGATCATGATAAGAAAAGGTTGTCTATAAATCTTTGAACTCACCCAATCCCAACTTCAAAGAGCGAACACCGAGTCAGAAAGGTTTGAGGAACAAAGAATCGTATCATTTACCGCCAATCGTACTGGGCTTTTCGTAGATATACCCTACTAGGATCTCCCAGGTTAGTGGATCCAGCACGAACACGCCCCATTAGGGACTCTTGCGTCTTAGCATATTGTGAAGCTGATTTGAAGTGCAAAAACAGGGTGTTGGAGTGCTTAAGCGTCGACGAATTAAATTCAGCATGGTAGGTTCGGAACATATTGTCAACTGAAAGGATTTTATGGCCATTCTAATAGGTATTTGTGAGGAAGAAAAGCTCATGCAGCGATGAAGACATACTAGATACGCATCACACACAGTATCAAGTCCTTGGAATTGGAGCATGACTGTGTGGCTTTCATCGGAAATGGGCTCGAATGTGAAAGTGCATTTGTACAACCATTCCGTGTTTCCAACCCCTAGTTATGAATAAGTCCAGAGTCCTAGACGATGAAAGCAAGATTTCCCACTGACATTGAACAGCATGTTCGTTGAAACCAAGATAAGGATCCGGGATTATTCCACTGGCCATCAACTCGACGTGAATTTCAGAAGGACACTTTTGTGCTATCCTCCATCCAGCTGTTAGTTTCAAGTGTCCAGTAACCTCAGGGCCTTCCAGTTCATCAAGAACATGCAAAATTGACGGATCCCGTTGTTTCCAGAACCATGAATCAAGAATTTCCTTGCGGACTCGGATGGGGTACATAACTGGGAGGTCGAGATACCATGCACATGATTGGTGCGTTTCTGTTCTCTTCAGATTCAACGATAGTTGAAGGTCCCATGCTCGGTGCTCGGCCCGTAAACATTCTGGATTGAATTTTTCTCTTTACCCAATAATTAGACTACTGCAATACCGAAAAAAGCCTTGATACCCAAAGGGAAATGTATGGAGTCGGGTCAGGTCGTAAACGTGCTACAGAACTGCCTTGGAGGTGACAATAGGAGCCTAGCATCAAGACCCTGCCCAACCAGTATACTCATCGAATCCAGAACTGCTGTCAAATCAATACCGGAGTCCTCCAAGGAATTTGTGACTAGGTCTTGATTGCCGTCAAATTCTTCGAGGCTTCTGTCCTCGTTCCAGCTTTCGTCGTAATAGATGGAAGAATCATCGTGAAATTTCCCCTTCTCTGCCTGACCATGGTCGTCTATCATGTCCAGCCCATAGCTCGAGAACGACACCAAGTCTGACCAAGTTACAACCGACACTCGATGATCCGCATATAACTTTGATAGTCTTGACGGGAGTGTTTGATCTTGGAGTTTGTCCGAAAGGGTATCAGTAGATGGCAGGGTGATTCCTAAGCTTTGAAGAGGTGCGGATGTCTGGTTTCGCAGGTAAGGTAACTGCGTATTACTTGGCACGAGAATTTCGACATTGTTTGCCTCAAGCGCGCGCGCACTGATTTCTGCAACAGGAGAAAAGCAGTACGAAGCAGGAGTGGGAGGACCGGTAGAATTAGGTGTTGAGTAAGAGCTTATTATGGATTGATCCTGCGACGTTTCTTGGATGCAGGGTTCAGAGAAAGATTGCTCTTTTTCCTCTTCTTCTTCGTCAACAATCTCCATCCCGCCAAATGATCGAGCGGTCTGCCTGTTCATAAGACGGGCTCTAGCACCTCCTCCTTCGGTATCCACTTCGCTACCACATTCGACGAACACCTTCCTGACAATCGATACCGGATCTTCAGAAAGAGGTCGAGAAGTTTGACGGGCAACCTTGGACAAACGAGCAGAATGATGCTTATAGCTCATGCAAGGATTATGCTTGATGTTTTGCAAGGAGTGGCGATGAATTGAGCGATGACGACGAAAATTTGAATGACTGGTTGATTGTATGCTATTTACCGAGGAAGTCGAAGATATATCTCTGAACCAAACAATCGGGCTTTGTTTCTTATGTGTCTTCTTGACAGGCGGCGTGACATAAGGATGCGAAGAACAAGCAGAAGACAGTACAGAGCGAACGTCGCTATTGGTTGAAGTTGAACATGAGGATGCTGGTCTTTCTGTCAGGGTCTTGACCGGAGAAGCAGCGACAGAGCAAATGCTGTGTGAACTTTTGTTGCTGCAAAGAACGGGATAGTTAGGGAACACGAATCGTTGAAGGGGCGGGAGAGGCATTTGAGAGGGAGCGGCTGGAGGAGGGGAACTGGGACAAATTTGAGGAACAAGGGGTCCTTCATTGTAATCACGAGGGGCATTAGCACCATTGGGAACACCTAAGCGAGTTGGAGAAGTCAGGGAGAGAGTATTGATAGAGATTGATAGGTATAACTAACTTAGTGGTGTTTCTCGAAGGTTTGTTCCACATTCCAAGTCAGCGAAAAAAGGTGTGACGGCGTTGAGGCGAGATTTGGGAGATGAAATGAGTGTGTAGATGTTGACAAAGAACGTGTATATGATGTGAAAAAAGGAAAGGAATACAGCCATGTTAAGATAGAGAACGGGAGGTGATGGTGGTGTTAGTCTGTGAAGATCGTGTTGACCTGCGACGATCACTCGTTTTGGCAGAATCTGTCGGCAAGGCAAAGGCAACCACCTGCAACCACTCGAAATTACACATGTCATACAATACACAATCCATAGAATCATACATGCAGCTGTACTACACATTGTGAAGCGTATATACAGACAGTAACAGAATGAATTTAGTTCCAGAACAAGGGAAAAGGACAGAGCGAGTGATGCATGCGAGAAAGTAAAGAAAAGAGAAAAGACAGGACGAGTGCATCTGAAGGGCGGCATAAGATTACCATGATAGGTGGTCAACCGTTGTTCATTCAATGGCCGCCTCTAGCGGCAGCATGTCTAGCGTTAGAGCTTGACGTATGACCTTCATCAGATGTCGTCGGACCCCGAACCTGAAGGGGTGCCCTCCCAAACAGGAATGAGCTAATGTTGTGCTCAGCAGCGTTGATTGTGTTTCGGAGGCTTTTCCTCACACCACGACCTCTAGCGTCTCCGGACCCAGAAGCCGGAATGGAGCCCGAAGGACCAGCGAGAGCTGCCCGAACAGATTCATGCAGCTCCCGAGAGGTATGATCACGTTGATCACGTTCCAATTCCTTTTCCTCTTGTTCTGCATCATAACCGGTGAGCGGAGGGGAAGCCGGTTCAGAGTAAGGCCATGCAATGCTTGACTCAGGTTGCGAGCTGTTACTGAAAACCGGTTGAGCAGATGAAGAGGCAGTTGCATGTTGAAGATCAATGGGCGGAGGGCGAGGATGGGGAGTTAGTACCTGTGCACGACGCATCTGGAAGTTGGTCGGCGTAGCGTTGGTAACAGAAGCTGGCAATCCCCCAGCTGCAACCGCACCTCTACCATGTCCGATTTCAGCGAAATTTAGATCTGGAGTTCGAACTTCGTTTGCTCGAGAGTGAATAAGGCCGTCTTGGTACGAGCGGAAAAAACCTGCTCCATTGGAGTTATTTGTTGCGCCGCTAGCATTAGAAGCGACGTCGCTTGGTGGAGGTGATTGCGATTGTTCAATTATGGGCAACGCTTCCGCAATGTTCCTGAAAGCGCCAACCGATGCAGGTGCTAATCTATTGGAGTTCGAGGAAGAAGGCGAACGCGCGCTGGAAGGTCCTGCTGCCATGACAGCATTCAAACGGGCCAAGAGCGAATTCGGTATGGGACGGTCTGTAGGGATTGTAGGAAGTACATGTTCCTCGGTAGAATTTCGAGAAGGCCAAACGGCACCGTAATTATTCTGTCGATGACCACGATGGACGGTGATGTGATGATTGTTAGCCATTGATGTTCGCGAAATGTATTCGTCTTCCAAGTCGCCATCAATCTCTAATTCTGGAGTATCCTCTTCTTCGATATCATCATCATCCTCATACTCTGTATCATCAGTGCCATTCTGTTCTGTGATACGGTCGAAGGTTTCAGTCAGGTATGCGCGGAGTTGCGCAACGCCTGCTCCAGAGAATACACAGAATGCATTTTGTTGTGCAGAATTGAAATCCTACGAGACTCGCGTCAGTAACCGGACTGCATGAGGATATCACAATGAACTGACTGCAGGTGCCGCACGACAGAAACGCTGTAATTCCGGTTGGCGGAAGGCAGTGACCCCCGTAAGACTAAGGTGGGTCAGCTTGTGGAGTTTTTGGAGAAGGAAATGAATAGCCATAACAGAGATTTGATCGCAGTAAGATAGGTGAATACGTTCTAAAGTAGCATGTCTTTCCGCCAAGGCAAAAACAGCTTCATCAGTTAGATTGGGAACTCGAACCAGTCCAATCCTCCTCAATTTTGGTAGTCCCGCCAGTTCGAAAACGGCAAGATCGCTCAGAAGATGGCAATCTGCGCATCAAACCTCAGATCTGGCAATAATTAAGGTTATCGGAAAGCTTACTAGCAAAGTCCACATATCTAAGCCGAGTGCAAGACCGTGCCAAAGTCCTAACGGAACCGTCTGTGATTTTACTTGCGTGCCCGAGGTGAAGATAGTGTAGATGACGGCCGAGTTTGCATATGTTTTCAACGGATCGATCAGTCAAAAGACCACACTTGGAAAGTACAAGGTTACGGATTTTTGGGGCATGCGATACGATACCTTCAATGGCATCATCCGTGACCTTTGAACACGCTGTGAGGTCCAACATCCGCAAGTGTTCAAAGGTGCGATTGATAATCAATGGAGGGAGATCAGCCGACTCTGAAGTGGAGGACGCAAAAGGGTTGACTGAGGGTTCGGACACACTCTTTGAGTCCCTTCTGATCGGGGCTGGGAATGCAGTATCGCTCAGCTCAGAGCACTGAGACAAACGCATCTCACGCATGTGAGTGGAGCGCGACCATGCATCTCGGATAGCGATGTCGGTGACTAGCTTGCAATTGCTTAATTCGATTTCGAGGAGCAGAGGGCAAGATTTAGTGAGTGCTTGGAGCGGTTCGTCGGTGAGATCCTCAAGGCCACTAAGCTTCACGCGACGCAGGAGAGGGCAGTTGAGTGCAAGGGCCATGACACCTTCATCAGAAACGTGCTTGCATCCTGTGAGGTTGATGCCTTGCAGGCGTCTTGCGACTGATGCAAGACCAACAATGGCCTCATCGGACGTGTGTACAACTCCTGTGAGGTCAACAGCGACGAGATTTGGAAAGCAAGGTAGAGTCTGGAGAATGGCTACTTCTGAAAGTTGATGGCAGTTGACAAGAGTCAACCTTTCTAGACGATCGCATTTACCGAAATTGCAGAAGATGTCATCACGAAGTTCCTTGGCTACTGCAAGGAAATTGAGACGACGAATAAAGCTGGCGTAGGTAAAAGTCTGGTCGGGAACGGCGAGGAGCCTTGCCATTTTCTCGACGGTGAAATACTTGTTAAGATTAGGCTTGTGCCATAATAGTTCGACCGAACATTCGCACCAAGTGCGACAGACCTGGAGAGAGCTGACTAGATCGCGAGCGGAATGGATGTGCTTCAGAATGTGAATGAGGAGTTCTGGGGGTAGACGTGACATAGGGGAAACCCTGTCGTTCCTGCGAGCAGAAGGCGCTGTAGGACGGGACCACTGAGCGGGAACAACGGTAATGTTGGCCTGAATGTCGCCTTCGTCAAAAGGGAGGATAGACTTGGAGTGAATTTCATCGTCATCGTCGCCAGACAGCGAGGTCGTAGAGGGAATCCTTTGATACTTCATGGTGGCCAGAGTCAACAGTTGTTGCTTGACCGAGTGTTCAGTACCTGTTTGCGCGTGTTTCCGGCATGCTAAGGCAGGCTTACAAAATTGGCTTTCATATTTTCAGTGCGTTCCATGACAACTAATCGTAACGACAATGCATTAAAAAATGAGCTCCACATCGATCCACTCTCCTCTCAGAACTCTTTCCAACATATATTGGAAACATCGGAATTGCCTCCGCCTGGACCTTTGTACTACGCAGCCAGAAGGGCTCTATGGCTGAAATCGCCTGACAACAATACGCCTCGGCAATTTTCCCCTTCTACGTCTCGTCACAAACTGGAGAATCTACTCGATACTCCAGATGCCATTCACAGTGACGCAGTATGGGAAGGCGGAATTCACAAGGTTTGGAAGGGTCTCTCGGGAGGTGCCAGCCTCAAACGTAGGCTTCCACTGAATCTCGTGGTGAGTAGGCTGTCAAGCATACCTTCATGTATCGCTTGTTTAGATTACTGCAGATCAAAATTGTTCATTGTGCTTGGGTACGGGATGAAACATGGCCAATGGGTGGAGTGGCACCTGAGCCCGACGACATGGTCACAGAAGAGGCTCAGCCTTCACAAGTACTGTCAGAGACCACCCTTATAATCGACAATGAAAGCAGATAAAATCTTGTTAATTATTACACTGTTAGAAAATACACCACATAGTCGTCCATTTGATTCTATGGTCTTCATGTACGAGAAGGTGGAGAAACCTGCAAGGAATGTCCTAAGTACTGAGCTTGCTATACAATGTAAAAACCTACGAGGATCACGCCGTCTCCTCTAACAAAGAGCATATCCATTTTTCGTTTTGCGACCTGAAAGGTTTTGAGTGATGAATGGAACTGAGAAAGTTTAGACTCATACTGACATTGACGGTTGCCTGTTCCCCTTCATTGACAATCATAATAGTTTCTTCTACATCGCTGAGAATCAAATTCATATGCCCGTCATACGCCTGTATAAGTCGCGGTCTAGGTCAGTGGATGTTTACTGAAAAAGTAAAAACGTGCATTCACGTACATGTAATATTCCAGTCATTTCACGATCCCCTCGTAGTTTAACAAAGACCCGTTCACTGAGAGAAAGACGAATCAAATCAAAAGGTTCTTGGATGCCCGATGATGAGCCATCCATTTTCTTGAGGCTCTGAGCGCGTCGTTGTAAGTAACCAAAAGCAGAAAAGACTCCCACACTTGCAGCTTTTATCACTGACCACCATCATGCCGGTCAGGATTTTCCATTCTCCATATCTTTTGTACAGCTTACTGACACTTTTCACTAGAAACATTACTGTGACTATTGTGATGTGTTTCTGACCCACGACTCTGCATCAGGCATGACTGTTCAATCCCATACTTAGTGCTTCTCTAATACTGTCTTCTCTAGTTCGGAAAGCCCACAATAGCGGAAGGAACCATCTGTCAAATGTTAAGGACTATTATGCTTGTGAGTTGCACCTTGTTACCCTCAGTTTCGCTCTACTGACTAATACCAGCACTTGGACATGATAAGGCGCAAAATATCATTGACCAAATTACTTCAGCTTATGAATCTAGTGGTGGGCCACCTCCGGGTGGATTTGGCTTCGGGCCGCAACATTTAGGCGCACCTCCTCCACCTCAATTCCCCATGCAATTCGGTGGTCCCCCTGGCATGTTTGGCGGACGTACGTGACTTTCGTTCTCGCCTTTTTCCTTGATTGAATTATGTCTGCCTATTTACAGCTCGTCCTCCTTTTCCACCTGGCGGTCCAGGGTTCCCGATGCCTCCAGGTGGTGCGCCGCCATTTCCTCCCAATGGTGGCATGCCTCCACCTGGCATGGGTGTGCCGGGAATGCCACCTCCAGGTTTTGGAGGTATATTACTTTTTCGTTCTAGTTGTTTCTTTTGCTAACTGATTTCAGCTCCTCCTCCATTTCCTCCAAACGGCCCTCCCGGTGGTGCAATGCCGCCTTTCCCTCCTGCTGGCGCTCTATCCGGTGCTCCTCCTTTTAATGGACCTCCTCCAACCCAAGGATCACTACCGCCTGGTCCGCCCACGCTAGGTAGCGGGCCATCTATACATCCCGACCGTTTGAGAATGATGGGCAACTAGGGGGAACTCTATGTAGTTGATAAATGAAAAGCAAACAGCTGTAGGTTCGAAGAGCTTATGCAAAGACTTAGTATGCATGCAGGTGTACAATCGTTCTTTTCAATGCTGTCGTTTAAGTCATCAAACAGTGCTTTATGATATCACAATCTTGCAGCAATTCTACATATAATTAGTACTCTTACGACTCTCGAGATTCGAGGTTCACGCGTTCGCGCTTGAGATTCGAAGTACTTAATAATGCAAAGAAAACTCTGCGCGTAAACGACAGAGGGATCCTCAGGTTCTTCCATGACCATGCCCTTTCAACGAATACTCCGTCGTTTAAGGCTCCCGAAAAACTCCAACTACAGAGAGTCGGGCCAACCAGCGCCGTCGTTGTTATCGTTTGTACTTCTGAAGCAGTCAAGGCCTGGTCAAGGCTGTCAAGCCACGCCCCGATACGTATCTGCCAGTTCTGTAGATCTTATCTTTAGGCGCTTTATCTTCTTATCTAATCTAACTATAGACATGGTATCTATACTCGACGAACGTTCGTTGTATTTGAATTACATGTCCGAGGGGCTCTACCTTTAAGCCGAACCTTCTTTCACTGCTTCTGTCATGTCGACACAACCGCTACTTCAAAGAACAGCTGCGAAAAGAATCGCTCTTCCTGTTCGAGTGGAGCCCAAAGTGTCGTTCGCCAATGAGCGAACCTTCCTCTCATGGCTGCATTTCACAGTTGTCCTAGGAGGACTGGCGGTTGGATTACTGAATTTTGGCGATAAAGTGAGTTGGTTTGCTATTTTGACTTCGAGGGCTTATTCTCACCTCAATGTAGGTTGGCAAGATTAGTGCTGCTATGTTCTCGGTTATTGGTGCGTCACATTGAAAAGTATAAACTGTACTAATCCTTCCTAGCCATGGCTATCATGATATATGCCTTGTACACGTATCACTGGAGAGCCGCATCTATAAGACGGGGCGGGCGTGGACCATATGATGATAGGCTAGGACCAGTGCGTGTCGTATCTTCTATTGTTACAAGCTAGCTAACTAAAGGGAGAATAGACATTATTATGCATTGCTCTCTTGAGTATGTTCACGCGTTCTAGCACTTTTTCTATTGGCTTATCATTCTTCGCCGACCCGCAGTTGCTATAATCGTCAACTTTATATTACGGTTCACTGAATCTTGAGAGGGCGATTCAACATGCCTCTAATTGGACGTACTCATTGCTTGGACTTGACTTATACGCTGTAGTATCGTGGGCCAGAATCAAGGGGGAGAAGGTCGACATGCCCTGTTCTTCCTGTAATTTAACTTAACATTTTATCTCACAGTATCTATGTTTCATCTATGGATTATTTATGGTGATGCTCTCCTGAATAAAGCGAGAATCTTGGATACTTAAGGGACCGTAAAAAAGGTAGATTTTAAGCAGGAACTAATAATAATTACATGCGCTTCTGCCGCTTGGTGCTAGGACGAGTTGAAGTGGCTACAGTAGTATCCACGGAAGAGATGGACATTGAACGACGGGTCTATGGATGCAGCAATTGAGACACACATTAGATTCCAAAAAAGAGAAAAACTGACGTGTTTACGACTCCTAGTACTTCTAGCACTCAGCACGCTTTGAGATCGTCCATTTTCGCCTTCAGGCTCTGCAGTATCACCGCGATCATCCATCTCCATTGCATCAGCAACAGAAGCACTGTCCCCTCCATCTTCTCTCAATTGCAACCGGTTTTTGAGAACCTCGATGTCTAAGTTGACTTTATCTAACACCCTCTTCAACTCTATCAAGTTCGTCGCCGCATCTGTTACAGACTCCAGGCGTTGGCAATTGGCGTGCGTGGGCATCACCAGTCGTGAATTCGTAACCCCGACTTCAGCAAGCAGCGCGTTGACTTTATCAGCGATGCCTGCTTTAGGATAGGGTATCCTAACCGACCGAAAGTACGCAGGTGTGTGTGCAACTTTAGTAGCAGGCGTTGTTGAAGGTGGGTCATTTCTAATGATACAGTGTGTTGTATCTGAAGAGGATTGAGTATAACATCACAAACGGAACAAACAACAAACCATATACAGCGTTCTTATTGAGGGCTGGGGGTCGCCTCATCACAGGAGCAGTAAGTACAGGGGTTTGTGGGATATCGAGGTCTATTCCTTTAAGCTTCTTCTTCTTTGGGTCGGCAATGATGAGTGAAGCATCGTCTTCAATAATATCTGGCAGCCCAGAGTCCACACCTGCGATCGTCCGCAAAAGGTTCTCGCGATCCCGCTTGAATTGTCGTTCGTTTTGGTCCAAACGCTTGATCTCTATATACAGTGCCTCTTCCTCTTGGATCTGTTCTGGTGTGCGATTTGCCAAACTGGCGACGTATTTTTTTCGGAGAATTTCCCTCTCTGAATAATGTTAAATTAGTATGTATCATAACGAAGAAAGTTATACAGACCCTTGTCATACTGAAAACTGAGCAACAGTTGGCTTTTGCTAAATTCATCTCCTGCCCAAGTTCTGTTTCGTATTAGCTTTCGGCAAACACTGTAATACCGGTCTTTCAAGTCCTAGTTGCTGATATGAATGAGGAAACCATCTCTTAAAACGAAAATTTGACCTCTATTTCACGCTTTGGGCCACTCGGATATTCATAACGATCATTGATGATATGCCATCGTATATCATATTCTTGTGCAAGTTTGAAGAGGTATTCTGTTTCTTCTTTTGTCCATTCGCTGTCTGGAATATAATCAGGTCATGGGCACTCTCGATGAAGGGGAGGGAAGTACCTTCCAAATGCCGCGAGTACTCGTCCTGCGACCATTCATAAACCGTTGGCTGAGCGTTATATTTGGCAAATTTATAGTCTATTTTGCTTTGAGAACACATCACAATACCAATAACTTGAAGTGCTACCAGCATCGGGGTTATCAGTAGCCTTCACCCAATGACCTAGTTCCAACGAGTCCGATCGCGCGCCATTTTTGAACAATCGCCACTCCCTGGATGTGTATTTCAGTTGCCTACGGGGCCCTAAGTACAGTATAGACCACGTATACCATTTGACTTTACCTCCTCCTCCCAGATTTGGCTTTTGTTTGAGCCTAGGTTGAGCAAGCTGAGCGAGAAGGGTAGGCGCTGAAGGACCGATTAACGAATAGAGCTCTCGAGATATCCCTTCAGGTTTTCTGTTTGAAACAGCGACTTGTTTTTTTGGCTGAGATGGCCCAGCAGCTGGAGAGGATACAGCAGGGAGGGAAAGTATGCTACGGACGTCTGAGGCACTGGCCATGGCTTCACCTGAAGAACGAATCGTAATTACGTAATACGCAGCATGACTTGATTTTCCTCGGCGATTTCAATGTTCAACGATTAACGATGCCAGTACCATCAGACAAAATAGCGTCTTATCTCTTTCAATCTCGTATCGAGGGCCCAGTATGGCTCGAGGCGGAGGAAATTGCCCTGTTGCGCGCTCGACGATCTGAAGCGGAGTCTGAGGCAGCGAGCCTCAGCGATCACAGTGGCGCGCTGAAGGATGCATACGAGAAATCGTTGCGTCGAGAAGATGCCAAGCTATCCGAAATCGCTTTGATCCAGAACATTCTCTCTCCTATCCGTCGACTACCGCTGGAAATTCTATCCCAAATTTTCGAGCATGTATGCCTTCCTAAATATCACGAACGGCCAGACGAAGATGTTATCAACACCACATTTGCTCTTTGTCAAGTGTGTATAGCGTGGAGAATGGCTGCTTACACAACTCCGGCCATCTGGTCTAAGATATGCATCGAACTGGACAGAAAGCCAGAAACGTTCTCTGGAGATGTAACCTGGGTCAAAGAATGGCTCACTCGAAGTAGAGGTCTACCTTTGGATATATATCTATTCTTAATAGATGTATGGCATGTAGTCACAGAAGATGTGAAAGACAGAGTAAATGAATGCTTGGACTTCATTCTCAGTTTCCGTAGTCAAATTCGGACCCTCGCTTTATCGGGATATCCGCCGTTCTTCATTCCACTCTTCCGCGTTCCGCGCGCCTCGATGCCTCTCCTGGAGAGTGTATCAATCAGAGTTACCGACTATCATCATGATGATTCTGTCGAAAATTTGATACAGCAACATCCTTTCGTTGAAGTCCTACTAGGAGCACCGAGACTGCAGACACTCAAGATCCAGGAGTCCGGATGTCAAATGTCGATCGTGCAGGGACTGGCACTACCTGTGGAACAACTGACTTCACTGGAGATCGGGGCGGACAAAAAATCGGCCTTTGATCCAATCGCCTACTTGAATATGTTGCGTCACTGTACAAACCTTCGCAGTCTCAAAATTGGATTTCCAAAACGTACGACTCGACATCTCTCTCTTTTTGGGTCCCACAATAGCTTTCCCCTTTTTCTCCCCTCCCTCAAGTCCCTCGATATTCTCAATGGGTATTATGGCGGGGAGTTTCTAAGTTGCTTCTCTGTACCTCTTCTCAAAGATTTGACTCTCCGTATGTTCGGCCAGGCAAATATGTTAGACCTTCCTACCGCATTATCTGGTCTTCAGAGCCGCTCCATGACTGTATTGTCATCTCTAGCACTTCAGGTCATCCTGAATGTGGATACGGCCCCTGTGTCCCAGAATTTGGTGGCTATCCTCGCCATGTTCCCCACACTCGATGAATTCCGGCTCTCTACTACTTCCATCGTTAGCAGATTTGACCTAGGCCCTATTCTTCAAGCTCTTACTTTTGTTAAAGGGCGTCCTGTTCTTCTTCCAAAGCTTACAGTTATCGATCTGGAGCTTACAGCCATCAGGATGGACCGTACTACAGACGAATATCCTTCGGATCTGACCTCTTTGGTTCTCTCTCGGTGGTGGCCAGATAATTCTGAGTTGCAGGTTCACAATGGTAACCACGAGGAAACCTCTGAACACCCAGGCATGTCCAAATTACGACAAGTGATTTTGCGTGGGATCTGTTACAAGGGAGCAGATATAGCTCCCATATCAGCACTCAGTGGACTGAAGTTGACACTCGAAGAATGTCTTAGGCTGAAATAAGATTCTCGTGGATTATATATATATATGTACAATTCATGGTAAATGCGTCAATCAAAATATACCCAGACGATGAAATAACAAGGAAGTGTTTTAAGACGGCTGAAAACAAGTCATAATGTAGTGTTACGAATGCTGAGGCCTGAATACTTTATAGATAGTTCATGCAAGAGAAAGAATGGGGCCCATCGAATCCAGCGTGCTCCTCTTGAAACTGCTACTTGACATTCTGTAATGCGGCAAACACCGACTTCCTCCTGTTCCTGGGGCTGCTGGCAAACTCATATCCTTCCTCGCCCTCCATGATGATTTTCATTGTCCGAGGGTCAATCCTGAATTTTCTGTTCGACAGCACTTCGTCTATATCCTTCTGGTCCTGTCTCCCTGCCAAAAGAGCACCCATTCCTGTTTGTCCGCCGATAGACACAGCAGACGCGATGGTGCCAGGCTGGTGTCGTAGTCGGAGATGCCGTCGATCAAAGCGATGGAAAAGTTGGGCTATGGTACCAAAGAAAGCAACTATAATCATCGCTACTGCAAGCAGATGCACAGCGACATCACTCAAGAACAGCCGTTCAACGATGGTCTTGACTTGGATAGTGTTGAGTTCGTTGGACGGAAGGAAGTAAACCGTCTGAGCCAGAAGAGTCAAGTACGTGGTCTGCAAGCGATAAATTATGCCATAAGCATACGAAAATGGGGAGACGAGTATGAAACTCACATAAACCTCCGTTGAATATTGAACAAAGGAATTACTAGTGAAACTGCCCTGCAGTCCCGCCGTGCTCAATTGGGCCCTCTGAAGAACTGCAGCAGGCATTTGCAGTTGAATGGCTGCCTGCCTGGCCAGTACAAACTGATCCGGATTTGTCAAATTGAATTCTACACCATTGTAGGCACGTCCATTGAGAGGCGATCCCGTAATGTTCCCAGATGCAGAGGAAAAATTCGAACTTGAAGTAAACGGTTGAAGTTCCGTGACCTGTGTGACGTTCTGGGCCGCGAGGTCGTAACTAATCTCGACATCAAACAGCTGAAAAGTTGGAAAGCAGACGGTGGCAGATGCTTGAGCACTTGGAGAATACCTGCAAGAATCGTCGAAATCAAATTTGCGCTTGCAAAAGAGATTGAGGCACTCACTCGAAAAACCAGAAGGCAACTGGACTGAATTGAGGAGTATCGGTTGAGCAATTCGTTGCATTAACACCGAAAAGGACTTCTGCTGTGTCGTTAACGATCCAGCTCAATGAACAGCCTTGAACAGATATAGAGTTGTTCCAACTGCCATTGGCGAGTGAAGTCATCGAAACCTATTTATAGATGCATTAAATACCAAAGCAACTGAGATAGACTTTGGAAGGACATACCTGAGCAGCTTGACATCCTGGATCACTTTTCATCGCGGTTGTGTTCACAAATAAAACAGTTCCATTCGTCTCTATCCCTCCCGGAAGCTAAAGAGTGTGAAGCATTGAGTACGAATAATCACAGCAATCAGAAGGCACACTTCGAATGGAGCCACTGTGTAGGGACCAGATATAAATGGCGGATAAGGAAGGTCGTATAAAGAACTACTCGAAGCGAAACCAGCAGCAGTCAAAAATGCTAGTCAAATAGAATGAGCTTTCCCGACTTTAAATCCCGTGAGGTGGAACATACAAGTCAAGTCCTGGAAATTGGTATTCTGATTCAATCCCAGATGAGCTAAATTATGGATGGTTATGTCTGCGTCCAGACCCATAACGATAAGTGAAGATATTCTTAGGCCTGACAGTTGAGATGGAAACCCACCGGGCATCTGCCACCAGGTGTTTCTAACGATGAGTAGTGCTGCGGCCAGTGGTTGGAATGATAACGTTAGTAACACCATCAGCGTCGTAAGCGCAACGAGATAATGTCTGTTACGAGCTGCGTGGGTCCACACAATGAAGTTGCTGCAAGGATAGCTGTTAAATTTCTATGAACAGACAAACAGCCTGAGACACATACTTGCTGCGTGTGTAATCCAACAAAAGACTACGGTGTGGGGGAGAGTCACCATGTACAAGGTCAACATACGGCTATGCATATTAGTGCCAGTCAATGCCATTCCGTTCACGAGGAAGATGAGCAGTGCACACCTGCATCTTCTTTATCTCTATGTCTGTCCAAGCCCATAATGCGACAAGCTAGATGGTGAATGAGTACATATAAGATAGAAATGGGAAGCGATAACATACAATCATAGCAGCAAAAGAAGGTGGTAGAGTCTGAAGCATAATCAGTAACGAGAGTACGGAAAAATCAGAGGGAGTTATACATAGACGTAATGCCACAAAGAAACATCGTCCCCAGCATCGCCATTAGCTGTCCATCCTATGAAGTGGATTGAGAGTGATTCGAAGAGGAGGGGTTGTCAAGGTACTAGCCCACCATTGTTTTTGTTGCTGAAATGAAGAGCAATTTCAAGCCCTATGGCTAAGAGGACGAGGAGGGCGAAAAATGGTATCCAAAACCACGGTCGCAGAGGGTATGGTACCCAAGAATCTGGCAAATTGTCAATTAAGAATGTTGTATTTGACAAAGCAAACAACATACCTTTTTCCTCTAAATCCATTACACTTTCCACCTTGTCGCTCGGGGTATAACGTGCATACTGAGGTTGTGACTCGGAGTCCAGTAAATGTTGTGAAGGAGTAGCCGGAGGTGAAAGACTATCCATTCTTTCGCCTTGAGATTGTTCTGGAGGCGGACGATCCAACTGAGAAAAGACCAGTTACCACGATATAACAAGCCAAAAAAACAATAACACACCTGAGACCGATACACAGGCATTGCAGCGCCCTTCGGAAGCTGAGGAATTTCGGCTGTCTGCATCAAGGGATCTCCTATGGCCGTCCGAGAAAATTTTCCTTCCTCGTCCGCCGTAATTGCTGTGTGGTCAGAGATGAATGAGTGGAAGGCACGATGCATGGCAGGGTGACTGATATCGGCCAACCGCTACTGACAGGTGATGATGGGTTCGGAATTGTCTGATCGTAGAATTCAAGGAAACACTCAGCAAGTACTTACATACAGCTTTTATAAATTCCAAGTGAACTCCATGATTTGCGGTTCCGATCGTACAAGGAAATTCCTTTGTCCGTTAGATTGCAAAGATGCTGTGAATTCATATTACCGTGTTCAAAAGTTTGTGTTGGAAAGACTTAGATAAACCATATAAGGCTAATCAATTTTCTTTATCAGGCTTATCTTTCCCACGATGGGATTGATTCTTTCGCACGATCTATTATTGAGCGGCAACTTGAAGCTGAGCGCTGAAGCGCTGAAGTCTGGCTGAAGTCGGATGGGCCGTGTGCAATAAAAAGTTCTTAAAATCCTTACCCTCAATATATACAGTTGAATGTGAGTCTGGTGTGAGTCTTGGAGTGATGTTCGACACTCGAAATTTCTCATCATGGCCTTATCACTAATATAGGAAAAAAAAGCTTGGGCCCTTTCATGGAAAGTGGACCGATATACATACTACATAGACATAGCAGGACAAGGCAGGACACCATTGATTCAGCGTACAGCATTTGCTATGAATTGTGTTTATTTGATCCAATTATCGTGACTAATGTAAATATGGTGCATACACTACATACATAGATTCAAAGCGCCTTCCCAGCATCCTCCTTTAAGGAGACGATTCGATTCAAAACTAAGTAATCACCTTGCATGCGAGCGGGAGGGGCATTACCCGTCTCATCCTCCAGACATCTCACGCGAGAATCCTTATCCAATGCAAAATATGCAGTTCTGAGACCCTGGAAGCGTACGCACTCTTTCCCTACTAGTTCCGCTCGTGCTTTACTCTCTTCACGCGCCCCAGCGATGGACCGCCTGGCGAGGTCCCAGAAGCCAATTTCCATCATTGCACCTTCGATTGTCTCCAAGCTGTCTGAGTTGATATCAGATCTGAAGTCGGAAGGAGGATTGTCGCTCTTGAAAAGGCGATGGAATACACGAGTTTCTTCGATACGAACAGGGCTCCCAGACGGTGTATGCTCTGCCACCCACTGTATGAAGGCCTTTGGCTTCTTGACATTCCCACCATTCTCCAGACGACAGAAGAGCTCGGTCACTTTTCCAGAAGTAGGATGTAACTTGTATGATGTACAGGTCACAGGATGAGGAGCTTGGAACAGGCCAACAGTTTTGCCAGGTGCAAGACGGAAATAATCTTCCGAGTCTTCTAGTCTAAAATCTTCGGAATCTATGTAGATGGTGCGAGTGAATGGTATTCTAGTGTTTCCAAGTGCGGCTACTTTGGGGTGGAAAGGCTTTTCGATCCATTCCAAATAATCCTCCGAAAGGTTTTCGATCGTAACCTTCAATGGTTGCATGACCATGAGCAGCCGCGCAACAGATCCTTCAAGGTATTGCCTAACGGCTTGCTCGAAGCGGTTGATCTCAATGTTGGAACTGGCCGTAGAAACGCCGAGCGAGCTAACAAATGACAGGATGGCGCCAGGCGGAACACCACGACGTCTGAGAGCTATCAAAGTGTACAACCGAGGGTCATCCCAGCCATTCACGAAGCCCTCGTCGACGAGGGTGAGGATTTTCCGTTTTGACATCACTGTCCCCTCAAGGTTGAGTCGTCCGTATTCGGATTGACGAGGTTTATAGACCTCTACAGCATCGCAGAGCCATTCGTACGATTGACGAGAAAGAATGAATTCCGTTGTGCACAGTGAATGTCTGAAAACGTTTCAGGATTTCTTTTGAAAAATAATGAAAAGGCAACTCACGATATGTTCTCCATACTATCGACCAAGCAGTGGGTGAAATCGTATGTAGGGTAGATCTTCCACTTGTCCTTTGTACGATGGTGTGGGCTATCTAGCACCCGGTATGCGGTCAAATCCCACATTTGAGGATTTCCATCTTCAAGATCCTGCTTCATTCGTAGATTGGCTTCTTTGGGTCGATATCCTCCGTTCTTCATCTTCTCGAACTCGGTTAAAGATTCACCTACAGGGCGATCCCGATGGACACATGGTTTCGGTTTGCCAACCTTGAGTCCTCTATCATTTTTGATTTGTTCCTCTGAAAGTCGGGTCAGTCGAATAATCCTGGAAGTTGTATTTAGATACTTACGAGAGCAGTGACAGACATAGGCTTTGTCGCGTCGAATGAGCTCGACTGCCAATTCATACAACTCATCAAAATAGTCACTGGAGTATGTGATCTTCCAAGGCTCATAACCTAACCATCGAACTGTTTCCAAGATGCTTTCAAAATATCGCTCTTCCTCCTTCTCCGGATTCGTGTCATCGTACCGTAGATAACATTTGCCACCATGGAACGCAGCATATCCAAAATTTACAAAGATGGCCTTCGAGTGACCAATGTGAAGATAACCATTGGGCTCTGGAGGGAACCGGGTCCATACAGCTCCTTGAGTAGCATTCAAGTGTTGTTCTCGTAGATGAGGATGGATCTGGGGATTGCCGCCTGGTTTATGCAGGGCTCCGAGAAAACCTTCTTCAAACACCGACTTGGTTGCGGAGGAGGCACTTCCAGACGCTGTAGCGAGCTTGGTGTCTTTTTTTGGTTCCTGGATTTCTAGTTAGACAGTGGCGAAAAATATATGAAGATATTTACTTTTCCTTTCGCTGGTGCAGCCTGCTTTGGCCCAAAATTGCTGATGAAAGCTTGTTCCACAGCGTTCTTCACTTCGAGCGGACTAGCCCAGCGAAGTTCCGGTATGGCCTTCACGCCGCTAATTGTTCCGCCCAAATTTGCCCATCCAGAGACTGAATTCGATTTGATATAGGCTGTGACATGTTCTAGTATTTCTTCTAGGCTTATGCTGAATCCTGCCGTGTACGTTTAGTCGAAGACAAAACATCAACCTGGAAAACCATACCAACACCGCACGCCTTATCGAAATCGGCATCATCGAACGGAATAGAATGTGATTCTGCATACTTTACTCCCGCTTCAGAAGCCTTACAGTGAGGATTTCGGTCTGGATGTAGATCATAAACACACCTGCAACTTGATCTACCGACTTCAATTTCCCATCTAAGATCGTATCTAGGACATATTTTTCCGATCGTGCATCGATGCCGTTGGATTTAGCCAGTTGTGAAGCGAAAGCAGCGATGAGTCCAGCTTGTTTTTCATCCAATTTGCGGGAAACAAGCGAATTGTCTTCGATAAGCTTCTTCAGTAAGGCCGCACATTTAGGAGACTTGGAGGCCTCTGCAGCCTTGGCCTGAGTGAGGCCGATGGACTTGAACAAAGTTATCGAAGAATCCTCTAGTTTTGGGCCTTTCGTGGGGTTCGACATGTATTCACAGGTAGTGTGTTCAAAGGAGGCGGAGTCATTTCAAGCGCGCGCGCCTTTAGGCAAGGCGTCTATGTACAAAACAGGCAATTCTTAATTTCATTCGAATAAATCGACCAGTATATAATTACAATCTGTAGAAGCGCACAGTCGCATACAGTAACAGTCATGTTATTCAAGCCCAATAGCCCGATATTCCAGGCAGACTGTTTCCAACATTTCGGGATGATGAAGGTATACAATCAAGAGGGAAGCAAGGAATAAGATCATCCACTTCACAGTTCCCAAAACTTCCAGGAACCTGAAGAGCATTGTTACGCGCATGCAGACTTCTCATATTTGAATCAAACTTGTGTTGACCATCAGCATCAGGAGTCGAGAAGGGGTGTATCATAGGGAGAAGGGGTGGAGAAGGGGGTATGAATACCATTGGGTTAGCACTGCTATCGAAAGATTGGCGATGTATGGCATTCAGCAAAGCATGGCTCCTGGGTTGAGGAAGGGGTCGTGCTATGGGGGAGAGAGGTAGGTCGCCCCGAGATGTTTGTGACGCCTTGACTTCTTTGGGCTTGTCTAGCTGCTTCCGAAGAATATCAATCTGTTCCATCAAGACAGAACTAAATGAAGGCTGGACATCTTCTTCCAGCCCGGCAAGTGTAACGAGCGCGGAGACGCTGTTTGTTCTTTGTCAAAATCGAGTTTCAGAATACACAGAGAAAGACATACAAGGCTTCTTTCAGATACGCAAAGCTGAATCGGTCAGTAGCGTCAGCAACCTCATCCACAAGGGTATCAGGAAAACTAATGGATTCATTGTTCTTGAGTTTGTTTTGCCAGTATATAGCGTAGAGTGCGCGCTCGTCGCGATCAGGATCGTCGAAGAGACTGCGAACAGAATAAAGTCAGTCGACCGATCCGACTCGGAGAGCGGAACTTCTAGACGTACTATTTACGATCAAATCGACTGGGGCGGGTACTCAAACCTGGATCAAGACGATCAAAATGGTTGGTTGTTCCAAGAACCAACAGGCCTTCATTTCCTTCGAGTCCGTCCAATTCATTCAGGAAAAAGGATCGATTGCGATCGGTGATTAAACTGTCCAAATCTTCTAGAACCAGGACACAAGGAGCCAATTGTCGAGCTTTATTGAAAACGGTCCTCATTGAATACTCGTCGCCGGCAAAGCCTGATGCAAACTTATGATGAGTGTTCAGTATACAAAAAAAGACTTTCTTACTCTGAAATGACTTGACATATAGAGGGGTATAACCCCTGGCGTCACAGGTCTTCATTACCGTCTTCAAACTGATCGTCTTCCCATTACCTGTTGAGCCATGTCTGGGCAACGCGAAGTTTTCAATAAGTCAATAACTTACCTGGCGGTCCATGCATGATGAGACCACGCTACGAGTTGCAAGATGTCAGTAGTGACAGAGTGCTCCTGACAATAAGCATCCAACCTTCCATGGAATGCCAAGGTCCTTGTACAATTGCTCAGAGTCAAAAAATCCATATATATCCTTCTGGAAAGCTTTCTTGAACTTGTCTTTCAAAATCACATCTTTCCAATCGGCTTGCTGGATGGAATCCCATAGACCCCCGTCTTTCTTCCAGAAACCTTGATTGAAGACCCAAATCTCGTTATGGATAGACTCAGACCATAGACCACAGGCAAGAAGTAATTGTCGGGCAGGCTCTTCTGAACCTATGAGCAATAGGTTACTACTGAAACTATAACCAATTGTATTGGCTACTTACCTTCATGGAGAATGAAACTTTGGGTACCGTAACCAGCAAGACCGACAGGATACTGAACGCAGATCAGGGACATGACATACGATTGCTATCAAATCACAAACCTGCACTACATGTAGCGTAAATTCTTGGTTCTAGAAGGCGACTTGAGGATTTGTTTTCGAGTGGAAAACTGCAACTTACCTGCCAATTCAGCTTGAACCCGCCAGCTATGACCCGGGTTGTAAGTACACCGGGAACAGGCGCGGAAGACCGGCTAAGGGGAGCAAATCCCAGAGTGGTGACAAGAGGGTTGTGTTCAAGAGGTATAATTTGTGCACCCGGGAAGGCCATTGGATGTAACCGAAAGTCAGAGGTTGTAACCATGGAATGTTTAGGATAGAGCTTTCGAAGAGCCTCAGATCTGGGAGAGTTTAGAGAAAGGTGAGCTACAGAAGATTTAGGAAGGATTGAAACGTACGCAGATAGGACTGGGTCAATATGTTTCGCAGAAGCTATAGAATTGCTCGCTCGACGTCAAATTGCCAATGAGGTACGTACAGTCAGCTGTACACACCTTGTTCAGTCCACTTGTCATAGAATGTACTATTCTCTTTCTTCGCCAAAGGCATTTCAGTCAACAAGTCGGCCCAATCGTCAACGAAGCCTTCTTCCATGCTTGGTCGTCCAGTGCCAGCCATTACGTGGAGTGACAATGATGGAGGTTCAGTAACGAGTCTCAGGAGCAATACACTTCGGGGAGCGCTGGGAAGTAGTGTAAGCGTTCGGGTGTTTCAACGAACAATGCGATTCCGACGTTTCCTAGTGATGCAATAGGCTAAGCAGCGTCAGTTCGGCGTCCTGGACATGCTGACCGAGTCGCAATCGTTGTTAAATAATTATGTAAGTATTCCTTCTCTCGTTGCCTCCACGCATTTTTATACACGCGAACGCATACAATTACATCTTGGCATATTGAAAGATGCCACCAAAAGGTGATAACAAAACCAAGCCTGTCGTGTTGCATAGGTGTGCATTTGTACAATCGTGCTAATGATTCCTATACTCATTTGTTCCAAGTAATCATTCATCTACTATGGATGAGTTTGGAAAGGATATCGATCCGCTCAATATCTGCGATGGCTTTGACCAAGATAGTCCTATCTTTTCATATGCTGATGTTGATGAACTAAGAGAAACCAGGGGAAGCCTTAACTCATATAAGAAAGAATGTTATAGCGGATTGGGGCGCATTCATACTGAGATAGGCGCTTTGAAAACTGAAAACCGTGAGCTGGAGGAAAGACTACGCGATGGGAAGATGCATCTCAGATATTTACAAAGAAAGGTGACTCCGAGTCTCGCCAGTTCAGTGAGTTCTTTCTTCACTTGTGCAGCAACCAATCTCAACACCGGTGTGTGCGTTACCGTCGATTTTTCTTCATCTGGTCAGGCACAAAAACAACTTAGCGTATGTAACAACAATTTTCTACTTAACATAAGTGTAGCATTCAATTTGCTTCCCATAGGCCACACCTGCTGGTCAGAAGCACTCAATGACAGACAACCCAAAACATCCTACAAAACGTAGAAGATCCAATACAAACAAAGATACTGTTCTAAAAAACCTCACTGCAAGTTGCCACCCAAGTGAAAGGTGTCTGATTTTATTGGATGTACAATGGCTGACTCTAAGACTTCAGCTATAACTATCTCTGCACATCTCCTCCGAAAGGATAGTGCCCAAGTTTATACGAAGGGACAAAAATATGTTCAAATTTTACCACAAGAAATGACGCAATTCGTTCCATCGTACGCAGGAGCAGATGGGTTTATTTTCACAGTCAAGAACCACCTGGATCGTCTTTTCATGAAGGAGGACAGCATTGCTCAATACCATATATTGGTGCCGGTAAATGTCGGGAGCGACGATTTAGAATATTTCGGAATATACCGATTACACGCCATGACTTTACAGGAATTCAATTCGCAAACTCAAGACGTATGCAATGTCATCTCGAAACTTGGTACTCGTGTTAACTGTCAGTATTAGATCAAAGAAATCATTGCTCGCTGGATCATAAAAGAGAGGTTTCTCGAAGAAGACGAGAGTGAAGTTATTGGTAATCTAACCAAAGCAAAAGAAGTAAGCCGTTCCGAGTTTCATTCTGAGAGTATACGCTTAACAATCAGAGAACACAGAATTTACCGGTGGTGATGATGAATTTTGATAGATTTGACTCGACTTTTGCTACATTGTTGAAAAATTTGGTGAAAACAGATTCCGGAAAGACGACTTGAATTATGTACATGTCTTGAAGAAATATTATCTCCTCACAATACCTGTCCAGCTTTTTAGACTGTAACTTGGATTAATGCACGTCCTTGTCAATGCTTGAACTCTTTCAAACAACTGTAGGTGTTTAGTATCACTTGATCTAGGATAACACAGTTATTTGTACACAAAGGATTTAATTGGGACAGAGCCTAGGATTCAATGTGAAAGACAGACAATCCCGGATAATCCAGTATATATCGTAACCAAGCCATTAGACGAAAGCGAAGGGTATACATATGGTAAGGTGGTGAAGTTCCATCTTTGCGTCGCGCAAGGCATTTTAGAATCGGAGATCTCATCAAAGTTGAACACAACTAGTATTCTCCGTCATCCTCAGCGTCCCCAGAATCAGTCCCAACCTCTTCATAATCTTTCTCAAGAGCCGCGAGATCTTCACGTGCCTCAGAGAATTCACCTTCCTCCATACCCTCACCAACGTACCAGTGAACAAAAGCCCGTTTGGAGTACATGAGATCAAACTTGTAATCTGCAACAGCATAAGGACCAAGATTGGAAGTCATCAAATTTACTTACCTAGACGACCCCAAGCAGCAGCAATGGAAGTAGTGCTATAGTCATATATGAGAAATTATTCGTCGTATGTACGAGTAGAAAGGACACACTTGGAAAGCATACACAGGCTGCGTGAGCCCTTTGCAAGGTCACCACCAGGAACACACGCAGGAGGTTCGTTACAGATACCCAACTAATGAGGGGCATGAGCGTGAGCAGCCGTGCTTGAAGAGACTTTGATAACATTTACCTTAAATCCAGTTGGGCACCAGTCGACAAATTGGATTGTCTTCTTCGTCTTTATGCTAGCAACAGCGGCATTAACATCCTTAGGAACGACATCACCACGGTAAAGCAAACAACAAGCCACTGCAGGATAGTAAGTATGTCGAGGATGTACGTATATATGTGTGAATATCATCATGGACGCGACGCACTATATTTGCCTTCCTTAGGGTCACACTTGACCATCTGGTTCCCAAGTTCGAAACAAGAGAAGGTCATTTCGGCCACAGAGTTCTGTTCATGCCCAGCCTTGTCAACGGACAATAGAGGAGCATAGGTGGTCAACGGAAAGTGAATACGAGGGAAACTACGCGGTGGAATCAATTGACTATGTCCCTTAGCGTAATGTGTTAACGTACGGGACCAAATTCGTTTGGAATTCATTCAAATCGACGTTGAGAGACCCGTCGAATCGTAATGAACACGTGATGGAAGAGACGACTTGGGCGATAAGCCTGTTCAAGTTGGAGAAGCTAGGCAAAGCAACGCCGAGTCTTTTCTTGCAAATATCATAGATGGCTTCGTTGTCAACCTACAAAAAGTTCTCGGGTCAGATAGCGAGTATGTAAGCAAAAATTAGAGCCCACCATGAATGAACAATCCGAGTGCTCCAGAGTCGTGTGTGTTGTCAGAACAGAGTTGTACGGTTCGACGACGGAACTCGAGAGTTGCGGAGCAGGGTAGACACAGAATTCAAGCTTAGACTTTTTCCCATAATCACCGGATATTCTTTCGAGAAGAAGGGCACCGAAACCAGAACCAGTTCCTCCACCGAATGAATGGAACACAAAAAACCCTTGCAGGCCAGAGCAATTATCCGCGAGACGACGAAGTCTATCCATGACGGGGTCAATGAGCTCTTTGCCAACTGTATAGTGCCCACGAGCGTCTAGAACAAATTGTTAATTTGTGCAAATAGCGAATATAGCGTTTGAAACAGACAATTGTTTGCAGCGTCTTCCTTGCCAGAAATCATTGTTTCGGGGTGGAACAAAGACCTATATGGACCAGCCTTGACGTCGTCAATCGCGCCGGGCTCCAAATCGACATAGAGAGAACGTGGGACGTGTTTCCCTGAGCCAGTCTCGGAGAAGAAGGTTGAGAATCCGTCATCGGTGGTAGAAGGTGATCCATCCATGAGACGACCATCAGGCTAAGGCGATAGGTTCAGAGAAGTGGCATCATCTAGAAGGACAGAACTCACGCTCAACCCATGCTCAAGAGTGTAAAGCTCCCCTGCCAGCAAAAAAGAAGGTTGAGAAAGGATAGTACGAAGACACAAAGACGACTTACAGCAAGCGTTACCAATTTGAACACCAGCCTGGCCAACATGAACAGATATAACTTCACGCATGGCTGTTACACTGAAGAAATTCAAGAAAAGCTGAAGCTTGGTAACCCAAATGAAGCGTGGGATATCAACGCTTACCTTCACGCGGGATGCACGTGCTCATTGCTCATCATCACAGCCAGGTGATCATGACATACATACTTCAACTTCCACCGTCGTCAAAACTTGTATTTGCGTAGAATTCCATGTAACAAGCTTTAGAACCCGTGCCTACGCCACGGTGGCTCGCAAAGCTTGCACCGCACTCCAGCTGGGTTCACAGCTTGTTGGGGGCAAGCCCCCAAACCCCCATTTGTCGTCGCTTTGCTCCTCCACACTATATACTTGTTATTCTACTCTCCTTAGTTATACCAATAATATGTATTATGAAGCTAGAAATAGTGCTTGATGTTGAGGAATACGCTGTATGTACAACCCAGTCTGACAGGTAAACAGTGTTAGTACATTATACTGTACAGTTAGGTAGGTCAGACATGGTGCCATGGAGTCCCTCAGTTGTGTTTCAATCAACTATGGTAAGCATAGTATACTCTCTACAACTACCATACTGATGCACAGTAGAGTAAACTGTCCATTAACAGGTACATACAATATACATAGTTGTGTTTTCAACTAAGAGTAAACTGTTCATTAACACTTGTCAATTAGTCTCAAAGAACCTCTGGGATAGGATAGATAGGTGATAGTATGAAACAGACCTCACAATATATTTTCTATGTTCTCAGACATTGCTTAAGTATCACCTGTGCAGCCTCAAGAATTTGTATAATACAATGCAACAAACAACTTGACCTTTGGGATAAATAGCTTTGACCCCTTGTCTTGTTGTAGGGCAGATGACTGCATTCTGTACAGATTTCAGCCTATCTGCCTCACTAATTGACATTGGGATTTGTTGATTGACCATTTGCAAAAGCAAAACAGACTGAAAATTGATGTCTCTCCAATGTAAATGGCAGGTTCATCCAAATTTGAAGATGTTAGCATTATGCAAGGTTCAAATGCAGTCTCCTGCATTATCACCTCCAGGTATTCTAACCTGTAGAACCTTAGAAGTGCATTAGATCAAACTTGCTCTGGAACCAAATATAATTGGAATGATCAAGCAAAAAGATTACATACATGGAAGCTAGATATCTCTAAAATTACTGCAGATAATGAGAGCTGCAAGGGAATTTATCTGAAGGGTGAACAGCTCAAGTATTCAGTATGAGGGAAAGCGGCTGTGCCGCGCCGCTCCGCGGCAGATTTCTGAGCGCTCGCGCAGAGGATCCACAGCCGCTTCGCGGCAATATTGCTTAGTCACTATTACCAATACTCTGCGCGTCTGATATAAGCGCCCCGAGCAAATTTAGAATATAGGATTGCAGAAAAAAAACGACGTACTGCGAAATGCGTAATGAGGAAGAAACGATGAAAACGGTGAAAAACGATTACGACGTAAAATAAGTTTGGTAATGATTAATGAAAAGAACTTCTCGAAGATTTCTAGTATTCACCTGACTCTTCAATATCAGCAGAGTCAATACCAACTTCCTCGTAGTCTTTCTCAAGGGCAGCCAAGTCCTCACGAGCCTCAGAGAACTCACCCTCCTCCATTCCTTCACCGACGTACCAGTGAACAAACGCACGTTTAGAGTATAGAAGGTCGAATTTATGATCAAGACGGCTCCATGCAGACGAGATCGCGGTGGTGTTTGATAACATACACATGCTGCGGCTAACCTTCGCAAGGTCTCCGCCAGGTACATGCGCCGGGGGTTCGTTACAGATACCAAGCTTGAAGCCGGTGGGACACCAGTCAACAAATTGAATGGTACGCTTCGTCTTAATGATAGACACGGCAGCGTTCACGTCCTTGGGAACAACATCGCCACGGTATAGCAAAGCGCAAGCCACTGCGAATTGTTTGTCAAAGTACTTCTTGCCCATTGATGTAAAACTTACTATATTTGCCTTCCCTCGGGTCACACTTGACCATTTGATTTCCAGGCTCGAAACATGAGAAAGTCATATCCGCAACTGAATTTTGCTCGTGGTGAGCTTTATCCGCGGAAATAATGGGAGCAAACGTGGCAAGAGGGAAGTGAATACGGGGGAAGCTATGGAAGAACATTATTACTTGTTACAAAGGAACAGGCCGACAGTTCGACTCACGGAACGAGGTTAGTCTGGAATTCATTCAGATCGACATTCAAAGAACCGTCGAAACGCAATGACGCGGTGATGGAAGACACAACTTGAGCAATAAGCCTGTTTAGATTAGTGAGGCCTGGGGCTGGGATGCTCAAATTCTTTTTGCAAATGTCATAGATAGCTTCATTGTCAACCTGAAAAGTGAATTAGAGAAAGGGAAAACGTTGATTCAATGAGCTATAAAATACCATAAATGAACAGTCTGAGTGTTCCAAGGTGGTGTGGGTGGTCAGAACAGAGTTGTAAGGTTCAACGATTGAGTTTGCGAGCGTGGGCGCGGGGTATACACTGAACTCAAGTTTAGACTTCTTTCCGTAATCCATGGAAAGACGCTCGAGGATAAGGGCACCGAAACCAGAGCCAGTTCCACCACCAAACGAATGAAAGACGAAGAATCCTTGAAGACCAGAACAGTTGTCCGAGAGACGGCGAACCTTGTCCATCACGGTGTCGATCATTTCCTTTCCGATGGTGTAGTGACCTCTCGCATCTATAAGCGATCCAGATGTGATTAGATAGTGAACAAAGAGCGTGGTAAATGAGAAGCCACCTACAGTTGCTGGCAGCATCCTCCTTGCCGGTGATAAGAGTCTCAGGGTGAAAGAGACTCCTGTAAGGACCATTCCTGATCTCGTCGATGACATTGGGCTCAAGATCGATGTAAAGAGATCGCGGGACGTGTTTGCCGGACGAAGTCTCTGAGAAGAAGGTACTAAAACCATCGTCGTTGGCTACAGAGCCTTCAGGAAGACGACCATCAGGCTATCAATGAGCGTTAGCTACGTGAAAAGCTGGGGGCGAAACGCAACGCACACTGAGACCGTGTTCGACTGTGTAAAGCTCCCCTACAAGGATAATCAGCATAACGCCACTTTATAAACGGAAAGGAAAGTGGCTTTGGACGCGTCTTTGCCCTCGAATTTCTTTCCAGTGCATGCAGGCGCATTGAGAAAATATATCTGGCAACTCACAGCAAGCATTCCCAATCTGCACACCAGCTTGACCCACGTGTACCGAGATAACTTCACGCATTTTGGAGTGAGTCTAAGCTGAGATTGGCAAATAGCATAAATAGCGGTAGCTCAGAGCTATATGACAAAAGCCTTACCGAAAGAGGAGGATTTGGAAGAAGAGAGAAGGCGAACGCCAACAAAGCCTCGAAAGAAAGTTCAAAGACCCTTGGAATGTTCTCACGCCACATCACGTGATTTCTAGTCCTCTCGTTTATTCTCAGTCTGAACGAACGAAATACCTTCGTGAACCTAGCCAGGCTAATAACTAATTCGACAAATAGCTGGGCAGTTGGGCTACCCAGGACCTATTTAAAATTACCCGCTGGCCCCTTCAATAAAGTATTTTCTGTGACATAAAGTCGAGATTTTCACCGCAAGACGTCGAGAAATGCATGAGAATGCATGACAGCTTGCAAAATGCAAGAATTTCAGGGCGAACACCTGTGTAGACCTGTGTTTCAACAAGTTCTAACCAGATAACGACGGGCTGAAACTCGCTGTAAATACACTCTAATATCAAGTACATTCGATGTAATTATCAGTGCTTTAAGAATATACTAAGTAGGTAACGAGATTAGATGATACTCTTTCTTCCTGTAATCCCGAATATTAACGGTAGAACAACCATAAAAAGTGCCAAATAGAAAGAAGCGTTTCATGTGTATAGAATCTTGTTCAAATTGCGTCCTTGCCAACTTTCCGTTCCTCTGTTATCCCGGAACGATCAGACCTATCTTTAAGAAACCCGGCAGCTTTCTTGGTCTTTTCCGCCATGAAATACCTTGAACGATGCACGCGAAATGAATATTCGAACAGATACGATATACAAATATACTCACCGTAAAATTGCGTCCCATATTCTCAGCCCATGCACACCTGGTATAATATGAGTCTGAACCTGCTGTTCGGATACGGACTGCCTCGGTGGCCTCATAGGGTCATCGTGAGGGTCGAAAGCAGCTTTCACCGCGTCCAAAGGCTTGAGTCTGGGTACAGTGAGATGCGTGACGGGTGCCGAATGGTATATAGCCATTTTAATAAGCGCAAGGCTCTCGGGCTGGAGAAATTTCAGTAAATGCCATGAACGTCGACAATTATTCATATACCGTGTCTCTCCGCTTGGCGATAGCACTAGGTGGCGGGTGCTCATCATCAAGGTCCAGCGGGCCCCACCGACGATCAGATCGTATTGTGCCGTCTATTGGATTCATGGATGTGCTTCTCTCAGTAGAAGCATCCCGCTTCTGCGGATGATCTGCAGAATCGGTTTCACCTACTAACAAGAGGCCTTGCTCCCGGGCGCTACGCAATAGGTCCTGGATCTTTCGCTCTATCCTTTTTCGATGCTTTAAAACCCTTCTTGCTTCATGCGCAAACATGATATCCCATTTCTTTTGTCCCTCGTGCCATCGCACGGTAGGAGCTTCCTTGATCAGTCCAATTTGAGAGGAGTTTATCTGAAGACAGGCCATCTCCTCCCTAGGCTCCATGTCTCGTGTAACACCCCGAATATCAACCCGTTCGCGAACCATGACAAAAAACCCATCCTAAATTGATGTCAGTTCAGAAACCTAGAGAGTAGGAACTGAGAGCATTACCTTTCGCCCATTTGAAGTCTCTAATCTATCTCCTTTGAAAACAGTAGTCGACTGCGAAGAAGACAAGTTTTCTTGTTCCAGATTTTGTATTTGGTTGGCAACTGCAGCTACCTCTTGGTTGTACAATTTTACTCCTGTCGATTGTTGGCGAAGTACATTTTTGGCCTTCGGGGAAGTTTTCCTAGAAAATATTGTAAATGGCGACCGTTTTGCCATATGTTCGCCTAATGCTTCGCTGTCCACCGAAGCCCTCGAGGGGGGGCGCTGCAGCTCTGGAAACGGTTCAAGTCCCGGGTCGTCATTAGTCGCGTGTTTGACGAATTCTGCAATGGAACGATATGCATACTTTGCCTGACGGGCGTTAGTGTATGTAAGTTCTGCCGCAGTATAGTTAGGTATCACTAACGCTCTGAGTGAAACTAAACACGGTCAGTACATGACACATATCTTGATATTCGTCAGCCAGGGTTACTCGTCATCCAACAAGGCAAGGCATACATACCATCAAACACTTGAAGATGGACCTTCGTTGGCGTAGTGAATTTGGTAGCATTTTCTTTTTGTCTATTCCCCTCCCTTAAGAGGCCGCTTCTAACACGATAATCCTCTGGATGCGCTGCACGATGCGCCAAGTGTATGATTTCGTCTCGGAGCACTTCGCCGTCACCCGCGATGATATACAACGGTGGAAGATTTCCTAACGATCCTTGAACAATTGGCGACACCAGGGGATGTGTTAACTGCCTAAAACAGTGTAATGAAATGGCAGTCATATATCGAGTTCAATTTATCACTCACTCAGTGGTTGCATACTGTTGGATCTGTGAACGCAATTCAAGCGGGACAGCATCAGGATCTTTCATGAGCACTTTCGGTGGCTTCGGTTCCCATAAATCAATATCACAGTCCCCCATGTCTGTGTCCAAAGCTTTTGATTTTCCGCTAGCTCTGGACTCAGAATGAGATGCATGCTTGGGTGACTGTTGGAGCATTTCCTCTTGACGTTGCACGGTCTCTGTTGTATCTGTACTTGCATCCTCTTGGACTCGGTAGGCACTAGGGTGTAAGGTGTCCGCATGTCCAGGTTTAGGAGGTGGATTAGACTCCGTGGCACATACGCGGCCGCCCAGAGGTGGTACAGGATCAATGGGCCACAGTGTAGAGGGTCTGGCTAAAAATCCATGTAGTGGTATGATGTCCTGTGAAAGCGTAAGATATGAATAGGCCGTCGTGTCAGATATACCAACGAGCTCACTGTCTTCGAGTTATGCATGATGCTTGGAAAACTGTGTGTCAAGTCCACCCATGGACTAATCAAAATAGCTCCAGCGGGCAATGGCATACCCATGTCGCGAAGAACAGTCAGAGCGGTCAAACACAGATTTCCTCCGGCACTATCACCAGCCAAAACTATTTTAGATGGCTGAATGGACCGATGACGAGCACCCATGGGCGGTCGAATAAGGTAGAGATCTGTCAAGAAGTGTAAGAAGAGGCTGCACAAGGAACTGGGTCCACTTACAAGCGCTTATCACATCATGCAAAGGACAAGGAAAAGGGTATTGAGGTGCTTTTCGGTAGTTCACGGCAAATGCACGACCTCGAATCTTGCGTGCATAGCGTATGATTTGGTATCGATGGGTGTCTGTTTTATTGGTTCAGTCCTCTCCCAAAGCAAGCTCATACAGGACATACTAATTGAGCCCCAGGAGAAGCCACCTAGATTAACTGGCATCAGCCAAGCATGTTCAGCTCTGTGTATTTACGAACCTCCATGAACATAAAGCTAGAGCCAGAACCAATTAACATTGGCGGGACAGCAAAAACATCCACGCACCATCACCGTCTCAAGATGCTCCATTCGTAAAATAGTCGCATCCGTTTTAGACAATTGCTTGCTGTTCTCAACATGTAGATCATCGAGCAGATATTCGTTCTCTGTGATCCATTCACAATCTATGCCGTCCATCCCTCTGACCTGCCACCATCTTTCCCCACCGACTACATGTTTCAGTTCTTGTGGGCCAAACCATTTGATTAGCACGTCGGCAGCATCATTGCACAGACTTAAGGGGATTCGAACGGGAGCAACCGCAGCCCAATATGGGGCTGGGACATGCGTGTTGGTACTAAATTGATTCGAGACTGTAATTTTAATATCTGGCATTGAGAACACGCACAATGACTGGAGAGACTCGATAGTATTTCGCACTCCAAGCTCTATAAATGCTAAGGAACATGTTTATGAGCAAATATAGAAACAGCGATATTAGAATGTGACCGAACCTTTCACGATGTGGAAAGCCCTGCAAATGTATTTGAATTTCAAAATGGCAATGAAGCGAAAGGGCTCACTCGTCAAAGAATATATCATCTAGTGCCTCTTCTTCTTCGACCGAATCCTTGAATTTCTGCGCGCGCCGTTTACCTGATGGAACATTAGTGCATACCAGATGCATACTGAGAGAATGTGCGAATGAGGATACCATGTCTAAAGAACGTCTGAATAACAACTACGGAAGGAATTGATATGGCAGCATTTCTCTAAAGAAAAGGCACGCCACCTGGAGTTATGTGTATAGCTGCAGAAACTGTGCTGACACCCATGCTAATTTACAGAGAGAATAAGGAAAGAAACTGAAAGAATGAAGTAGATAAATTAGCGCTCAATGAGGTCATCTAGGCTTTAACCTGAGGCTTACACGGTATATTCAGGAAAGGAAAGTCAAAGCGATTTCTTCGCGCTTGTTAATGATCACTTTTACACCTTTATCTGGAGCAGCCCGTAATTCTCAAACTTCGCCGCTTTGTTACCTGCTACAAGTGGATGATGTCAAGATTCTGCTAGACTGTGGCTCTCCGGACTGGGAGCCAGAGAAGAAAGAGACCCCATATGCATGGGAAGAATATTGTCACAGCCTGCGAGAGTGAGTGGTATCTTTCCTCCATAGCTGATATGTAAAGTTCAATTGGATGCCGATCTCAGATGCGCTCCAACCGTCGACCTGGTTTTGCTATCTACTGGCGATTTACAACATTCCGGTCTATATGCATACGCGCATTCCCGGTGGGGTCTGAAAGCTCCTACATACACAACCTTACCAGTTCAGGCAATGGCTAGGATTGCATCTATTGAGGAAGTAGAGGGACTAAGGGACGAACAGGATATCGGAGACCAATACCAAGTAACTGAGGGAGAGGACGGCAGTATTCGTCCCGAGGGAGAGGAAGAGAAAGCGCCAGAGTCCATCACGAAAAGCGGGAAGTATGTGGCGACCCTCAGGGAAGTTCAAGACTCTTTTGACTCTGTCAATACCCTTCGTTACTCCCAGCCTGCGCATCTGCAAGGTGTGTATTAAATTTCTCATCGCCGCATTACTGATGCACATTACTCCGGCAGGTAAATGCCAAGGGCTTACTATCACTCCCTTCAATGCTGGTCATAGTATTGGTGGAACCATATGGAAAATTCGCTCCCCGTCGTCCGGCACAATCATGTATTGCGTCGACTTCAATCATATGAAAGAAAGGCATCTGGACGGAACAGTACTGTTACGCTCTGGCGGGATTTTTGAACCTCTTGCTCGCCCAGATCTACTGATCACGTCTGCAGACCGTGCTTCTGTGATCTCTAGTCGGAGGAAGGACCGTGATGCTGCTTTAATGGGTACGAGACTGGCTATTTAAATTTTTTTCACTGAACAACAAGCAACGTTTCGTAGACACCGTCACAGCAACTCTTTCTTCCCGCTCCTCACTTCTTCTACCATGCGACTCTAGTACACGTGTTCTGGAACTTCTTGTCCTTCTTGACCAGCATTGGAACTATTCTAAACTTCGATATCCGATTTGCTTATTGTCTCGTACTGCAAGCGAGATGTTAACGTTCGTACGGAGTATGATGGAATGGCTCGGTGGCACAGTTAGCAAGGAAGATGTTGGAGAGGACGGAACGGGACATCGTAGACAGGATCGTAAACGCAGGAGAGGAGACGACGATGACAATGAAGATGCCTTAGGCGCTTTCTCTTTACGGTTCAGGTGCGGCTTTTACCCGCCCTCAGTGAATGTTCTAATGGTCAAGATTCAGGCATCTCGAGTTATTTCCAAATCCCCAAGCACTGATCCAAAAATACTCATCCAAAGACCCAAAGCTGATCCTAGCCGTCCCTGCTTCTTTATCTCATGGTCCTTCGAGGCAACTCTTTTGCAGTTTTGCCGCTGTTCCAGACAATGTCATTCTCCTCACAGGTCGGAGCGAGCCTGGAACCCTTGGTCGTATTCTCTTTGATAAGTGGAACGACGGTCAAAGGCAAGAAACAAAGTGGGACAATGGCAAAATCGGGAGTAACATCATGATGGATGGGATCATGAGATTACAGGTGCCATCGGCGAGCTCTTACGGTGTACAATTGAACTTAAATTGCTTCATAGATGAAATCCAAAGAGCCCCTTCAAGGTGCTGAACTGGAGCAATACCTGCAAAAGGAGCAAGCTGCTCGGGAGAAAGAAGCAGCTAGTCAAGCTGCATTGGCCCGTCAGCAGCGTATACTTGAAGCTGACGAAGACGACAGCGACTCAGATTCCGACTCAGACGAGGATGAGGAGGACGAAGTGCGGAGGGCTCTGGGCCAGACTGATGATCCAGACGAACGCTCCTTGAAGCCGCGCAAAGGGGATAACAGTGATGGGAATGACTGGAATCACATCGATGACGAAGGGTTGACCAAACAGCTACTCTCATTCGATATTTATTTAAAAGGCAACGTTTCCAAGGCCACGTCGTTCTTTAAGCATGTTGGTGGACAGACTCATCGGTTCCGAATGTTCCCTTACGTTGAAAAGAAACGACGGGTGGATGAGTACGGTGAAACGGTTGACGTTGGGATGTGGCTACGGAAGAGTAAAATATTGGAAGACGAGGCTGAAAGTGATGACATTAAAGATTACAGGCGGCGCCAGGCTGAAGAAGAATTGAAGGTATAGTCATTCTATGATCTGCATAATTTGAATACTGAGGTTGAGTTTTAGAAAGCTGCGTTGGAACCTCCCTCAAAATTCGTCACAACCGAAGTTGAAGTTCAAATGACCTGTCGTCTACTCTTTGTTGATCTCGAAGGCCTAAGCGATGGCCGTGCTATCAAAACCATTATACCCCAGATCAGCCCTCGAAAAATGGTATCCATCGACGATATCTTTGTATTCTGGACAGTATACTGACCTTTGCGTAGGTCATTGTCCACGCTACCGATGATGCGACAGACGCTCTCATTCAGAGTTGCGCAAATATCCGGGTAATGACGAAAGACATTCATGCACCTCGCATAGGTGAGAGTGTGCAGATCGGACAACAGATTAGCAGTTTCTCGATTTCCATCAGCGACGAGTTACTTTCGAGTATGAAAATGTCTCGGGTGCGTGGTCTGTCTCGCTTCAGAGCAAAATCGGATACTAAGCGCCGCTCCAGTTTGAGGACAATGAAGTAGGATTCGTGACAGGACGTGTTGTCACCTCCGCTAGTTCTATTATTCCAATTCTCGAGCCTGTGTCTGTATCAGCGCTGCCTAAACCGGTTGCTGCCCAACCCGGAGCTGGAGCGACATCCCGTTTGCTCGGTTCTCGTCCGCCTGCAACCCTACCGAGCTCAACGATGATAGGAGAGCTAAAACTTACTGCTCTAAAATCTCGTTTAACAGCAATTGGGGTGCAAGCGGAACTCGTCGGAGAGGGTGTACTGATATGCGGGGGTGGTGCAAAATACGATGGGGCATCAGATGCGCTAGAGGCAACCGTAGCCGTACGCAAAACTGGGACGGGGAGAGTGGAGTTGGAAGGAAATGTATCAGATGTGTATTATGTGGTTCGTAAGGAGATATACGCTTTGCATGCCCTGGTAGCGGCTTGACTACAAGAAATGTCTTTATCTATGTTGAATTCTTCTACTGAAGTCGTGCTCAAAGAATCAAGGGTTGAGGGCACAAAAAGATCTACAGGAAACTGCTGTGTAGAATTTTGGTATATTCTTAAGCTTAAGGTGAAGGACAGAAATTCTTGTGAACACACTTTTAAGAATATTGTTAACATTTATATTGGATCCAGAATTCTTATAAAGAAATATCCTAATTCAGCCTGCAGCACTTAAGAATTTCATCTGGCCATTCTCAAGGCTGAATAATCCCCTGAGCACCACTGCAGACCAACACCTTGCTCTAAAAGGACTAAGACTACATGCAACTCCAATGAACCAGATTGTAGGTACTCTAATTTATCTATTCGATTGATTCTAAAATTCTAATCCAAATCTACAGTCACGTCTATACCTCCTCCTTGCGATAACTTCAGGCTGACACTAATGGTGTGAAGGGATTCAACAGATACGGTCAAATAAAAAAGTAACGACTCAAAGAAAGTTACCTGGCCATATTAGGAACAAGAAAATCAGGATTCACTGTTTCCATCTGCGTTTTGTCGTGTGTGGTGAGGAATCCGATCGTCTTACATCCGGCCCTTTTACCGCTTTGAATGCCTGCAGGAGCATCTTCAAAAACCACACCTGTCATGCAAAATTGGATTGTTCAGGAAAATCGATGGTCAGATCGATCAAGGGGGCACAAACAATTTTCAGGCTTTACTCCGCATTTCTCTGCGCCCAATAAATATGGATCAGGACTGACATGGACGATTGAAATGAGAATTGCCAAGAGCTGAGGGAATAGTACTCACGCTGGCTTGCCAACTTTGACATCTTCAGCAGCAACGAAAGCGTCCGGTACGTCTATCCCAGCATTGGCAAGTGCGGCAAGGGCGTATTCGCGTGTAGCTGAGGTACAAATAGCCCAAGAAGGATTGGGGTAGCGTCGACCCGAATTAATCTATGATTCGTACCTGGACATTCAAACGGAAAGCAAAGAAAGGATTCAAGGACAACGCACCTCTTGTATCGCCCGCGCGACACCCGGTAGTTTGAGAATACCAGGTCTACCTTTAGCAGTTGATTCAGTAACGATTGCCATTTCGAACCGAGAGGCTTCTGACTAGAAGAGCACATCAGAGAAAGAGACGGTCCCGCTATCAGAGCATACCGTAAGTTCTTGAGGATCTTCAATGCCACAATACTTCCTCAGATTGTCGACAGTGCGAACGCCGTGAGCAGCTGATGGTATGATAATAATGTTCAGTAGGACGGCCAAAATCGATTTTATGAAGCATCGCAATCATCGTACAGCTAAGGATATCTTCTATGTTGATGTCCGGATACTTCTCCTTGAATAGCTCCCAGGCCCCTACAACACCTGCCGTGGAATTGACTAGCGTCCCGTCCATATCGAAAAGGCTGAAAGGGGGCACCAACAATGGAATGAGAGTGTATGTGCGCACACTGAGACGACAGAAATATGAGAGCTCACGCTGCATCTACATGAAAGGTAACCGCGGGCATTCTGACAGGATACTGAAATTTGAGAAATTGCAAAGAGAAAGCCAGAAACCAAATTTCGGAAAGACTGATGCCGGGAAGAAGTACCGGCCCGATCTCTTCCTCTACTTCGTACTCATACTCATGCCACCCCGTAAACGAACTGTCTTTACGCAGGAAAGCATTGACCAACAACTACAACAGATTCATCTATTGGACCAATCATCGTCATCTGAGAACCTTGAACAGCTAGGCCCTATCATCAAACAAATTCATACCGGTCGGCAACAGGATGCATTTCTGCGTTCTGTCCAGGCATTGGTTGATTCCAAGGATGCAGAGATAGAAAGGATTTGTGGGGAGAACTATCAAGACTTTATATCCTCTGTCTCGACACTGTTTACTGTGAAATCATATACGGACAAGATGAAGGAGAATATCTCATCTTTAGATGCCAGCGTTTCACAGCTTGGCCGAGGACTTGTTGAAAAGAAACGTGCTTTGCTTCAAACAAAGAAGACGGCTGCAAATCTTGATGAGGCTATCGACAACCTCCAAGCCTGCCTACGGGTCTTAGACGTTGTCCATCGAGTTGGTGAGATGATTAGGGAAGGCAAATATTGGAGTGCATTGAGGGTCCGTCGAATTAGTCCTACCATTCTCATTCATAAATGCTATATACACACATCCAGTCACTGGAAGACATTCAAAATCTGCCCCAAACCTCTTTGTCCCAAACACCTTTCTATCGACATCTTCTTTCGTCGTTGCCCTCGTTGCGAGTGCAGATAAAGGACGCGGTGACAGCTTCTATGAAAGAATGGTTGCTGAAGATCCGAGAGAATAGCGGCGAAATAGGCCGACTAGCATTAGAAGCTATGGAAATCCGAACACGACGATGGAGATCAAGGCGGGACAAGGATCCACTGCTGAGGATGAGTCGAGTTGGAAGTGCCGTGGAATTGGTTACCTACGAGAAGACTGAATGTAAGTGTATGATTTATATTGATCATGGTGTATCAATGATCCATGGTGGAACAGTCAACGTTCTCGATAACGACAAACTCACCGTGGACTTCAAACCTCTTTACCAATGTATACATATATATACGACTCTTGACTCGTTAGACGAACTTCAACGGTCCTACCAAGCTGATAGAAAGGTACGCGGTTTCAAATCGACGCACAATCTCTACTGAAGCAGGTCAGATTCAATCCGATTTAATACTACCAATGCCCCTCCCACTAGGATCACTTCCTGCTGTAACACAGGAAATTTCCGGTTATTTTATCGTCGAGACACACGTACTTGAAACTACTGGGACCTTCAGATCTGGAAGAGAAGTCGAGGAACTATGGGAAGGTGTCGTGTCACGTCTTACTGTTGCCGTACAAAGTGCCCTTCGTCCAGAAACCGATCCAGATTCGTTTCTACGTGTCAAAGAGTGCCTCATCGGGTTTATAACGACACTCGAGGTATACCTTCCGCTACTGTGTTTCGTGATATGCTAACTGCAGGTTATCCCAAGTCCCCACTGTATTCAACAACTTCTTTACATTCTTTCATCATCGTCTTATTTGAAAAGTACGCTCAGCTATTGGAGAAGCAGTTTTCCAAGCGTTTTGATGATGTTAGTCAAAATCTCAAATTTTTCGCTCGAGATCTAATGTTTTTAATCTGATAGATTGTTTGGCAAGACGATTGTCAGCCTATGTATATACAATCTCAACAGGAACTCAAGACCGTTTTGGATGTGGTGTGGATCAGTGATGAGGAGAGAGCCGAAGTGGCGAAGTAGGTCTGGCTTAGTGTCACAGCTTCGCCGTTACTGACCGGTGTGAAGAGTTTCTTTGCCCCAGAGCCTGCCTTGGTCTCAGACTTTCTATCTGTGCTGCGAGGATGTACGAACATCGATTACACCTATGGCTGATTCCCTATTCATTCTTAGACCATCGGCAGATTCGTGGATTCATTCAGAAATTCTATGCTTTTGTCGAGGGTGTGTCGCAACATCATCGAAACATAGATGACCTCCTAAGCAAGGTATGGCCATGATTTCCCAAATGGTATAGTACGATCTTGATTTTATGCAGTCTCTTGACAACCTCCTCATTAACCACATATGTGGCTCAATCAACAACCGGCTCGCAGAAACAACTAATTTGTCTCAACTTGCTCAAATCGTAACTAATGCTGAGCATTTTCAAGTCGCTTGCGAAGAACTAGAACGTTCGCTCACGAGCCTCAGGTGAAGATATCAAACTGTTGGAGAGTCACAGTTGTGTTGACCGTAAATAACAGGACAGCTCAGCGAGGAGGTACTATTCGACTCAAAGCCTCATCTTCGTTCGATGAGACCTTCACTCGTTCTGTCACGCGGATCAAGTCTGTTATCAACTCCAAACTAGATGATTTCTTTGAACTTTCGGAGTATAATTGGGTGCCTACATCCAGGGAGGAGGGGCCCAATATGTATCTCTACGAATTAGTCAATTGGCTTACCACTGTGGTGGACAGTCAGTTACTTATTGCCTCATCGTATATCGACGAGGCATATATGGGTGCTGCTGAATACATCGCCGAGTGCTTCATGGTGAGTAGCTTCAATCTTGCGTCGGAACTAGGTGGCTTAGTGTGCATCCTGGTTAAAAGGATTTCTTAGCAGGTCGTAACATCGCCATGATGAATGAAAACGCCATATCAAACCTTCTAGTAGATTGTGATTTCCTCGAAAATGAGTTCGGGCGAATAGGAAGGCCACATCTAAGCTCTGCATTCAATGAGCTCCGTGTTGTGAGTGACACAAATAGTTTTGATATACGCTTTCCTAGAATTGACACCGCCTCCAATCGATATCGTAGACGACCGGAATTGTCCTTGCAGACAAAGTGCAAGAGTTTCTTATCCCAGCTAATAGGCAAAATACTTATGCAGTAGTGAAACATAAGCGATTGCAGGCCCTCCTCGAAAAGCTGGCTCAGTACGGATCTACAAGGCGAGATACGCCTGGCCGACAGTTGGGTGAAAAGAGACGAAAAGAAGCAGACGCTGTCGGCAGATTATTTCCGGGACAAGGACGATAGGTTTATTACTCTCACTGTAATGATTGATAGGCAGTAATAAAGTGGGATTTCTAAAGAAGATAGGAACCCTACGTGGAGAATCCGGGTCCGACTACGTACATGAAAGATGAAGAATTTTCATGGAAAACAAGTTTGAGCAAAGAGAATGATAGAGGGAAATCCGAATAGCAGGAGGAACAAGAACATGGAATTTGGGGTGACGAATGCGAAGCACTTCATACATTTTCGGCATCGTGGAAAATCGTGAGGGTTACAACGCTGATAAAGTAGAGTATAAGGGGCGCGACGGAAAACTACACCGCCCGCTTGATGTGATCGCTCAACCATTCTAAACCTTCGTACAATCCATCTCCAGACGTAGCACAGGCAGCCTGAGAATAGATGACAATCATGAATAGCAATTACAATTGAGAAATTGTACTACTAACCTGTATAAACCAGGTTCGGTTCCTTAGAGCATGGAGCCCAAGTTTGTCAGTAATTTCAGCGGCGTTCATTGCATTAGGAAGATCTTGCTTGTTGGCGAAGACCAGCAGGAGAGCGTCACGAAGCTCGTCCTCATTCAACATCCGTTGGAGTTCCTCGCGAGCTTCAACGACACGATCTCGGTCATTAGAGTCGACAACAAAGATGATACCCTGAGTGTTCTGGAAGTCTAAAAAAGCGCTGAGCAAAGACGTGTCATAGGAACCAAAAGACACGTACAATGTCTCCAAAGAGGACGAATTTTGTCTTGCCCTCCGACATCCCAAACCGTGAAAGAGATATTCTTATATTCAACAGTCTCGACGTTGAAACCTAAACGGAAATAAAGTTGGTCACCATTCCGTTGTGGTACAAGCATTCAAAAAGACACACCAATTGTAGGGATAGTCGTCACAATTTCGCCAAGCTTCAATTTGTACAGGATGGTGGTCTTACCAGCGGCGTCAAGGCCGACCTAAGCACAAGAGATGAGCATTGGGCTCTCACTGCAAATGCACTAGACAAACCATCAAGATTCCTACAAGAGTTTAGTCAGTGCGTGTCCGACTATGAGTTGGCTGAAAGATGAACATACTCATTTCCCTCGTGCCAAAAAGGCGAGTGAAAACTCTCGAAATATTCAGACCCATTATGAGACGTCGAGCTCACGGACTTGAAGAGAGGTGAAAAGATGTTAAAAGAGACACGAGAGTGTTAATGTAAGAGAAAGCGTGTGACAGTCTGGTGACGCCTGGGTGCGTTTGTGACCAAACCAACTCGTGAGAACTTGAGCAAGATTGGAAATTGAAATTTACAGCTTCAAACGCTTGGCCCTTTTATATTGGCCTCCCCCAGCCTTCCCCTCATTAGCACTTTCCACGTATCAATAAACGTGTTCGTCGCATCAATGTCGACTCGGTATCATGCTACTGTGCGCGCGCTGAGCGCTACCAACAACATAATAACACGACAAGACACGTATTGTTAGCAGGACATACACATACGCATATTGCCATATACAGAATCACTGCTAATTGATACTTTGCATTCTTAAGAGATTTACAGTATGAGTTCTCATCCCGGCATTATGCTTGGCCACTCTATAGATAGGATCATCGAATGAACAATTCCAGGAGATTCCAGGTCGATCGGGTTTCAGCAGTATGTAGCGGTCAAGAATCAAGATGTTTGTCAAATTCTTCGACTGCGATTTGTATGATCTGCGAGTATCAGGATATCCTGAGGATCATTAATGTGGATACTCACGAGCTTGAATTTCCTACAAAAGTTGCAGCCAGCTTCCAGACATATGCCAGAACACGAAGGTTGCCGTTCAAGGAAATGCCAAACTATAACTGCCTCCAACTTTAACCCTATCTCCTTCTAACATTCGCATTGCGGATACATAACGTTGTTTCAAAGGAAGGTTGATTCATGACTAACATGCCATATTAGTTACGGAATAGTATTTTCTGCTCGTTGTATTGTCCGGGGTGGGGAAGGTTTGGATGCGTTGAAAGTTGCAGTTGACTACTTAATACAAATGTCCATATCAAAACATCTCAAATGAATACTGCAAGGAAATGCAAGGCTACAACAAATCAGGAAACATACAGGAAACAAAAACACACAAGAAGACAAGCTTGCCAGTGAGAGAAATCACGAAAATATATCAGTCTTTCAAGCTAGTCCAGCGGTTGTTCAGCTTGTCCCTCCAGTTGACATAAATACCGTTTGAAGTTGACTGAGCATACTGATATAGCTCATACAGAACCAGCTGCTCTTAGAAATCTGGGATGGGGCAGGATGGGGCGGATTTGTTCAAGACCTGCAGTTGCAATGTTTGGTGGACCTGAGCAACCTGAGGCGGGAAGAAAACTTACATTCTTGAATTTGCAGCACTTGCGTAGTATTAACACTTTGTGTGTGCATGACAACAATAAGGTATATCAATGCCTAGTTATTATCAGCAGCATTGAAGTCATGGTACTCACAGTAAGCTGCGATGACAGTCGCACTTCGAGATAGCCCTTCCACAAGACAACGCCCTCATCACGAAGAGCATCTTCAATAAATGCAACAGCAGAAGGAAGACCGGTCAATTAAGAGGTCTACTAAATCGACGTCTTCGACAGGCATGCGCTGATCCCGTTCACAGAATGCTCCGTAGAGACCGACAGGATATGCGTGATGACACTAGGACAGCGAAGATCAGGATCGAGTTCCAACAGACAACTGGTGTCCTCGACTTACTTCACAAACTAAAAACAACTTAACCCCCAGATATGGTAGGCCTTGTGTAAAATGTATAACAAGGCCAGCTCTTGCCCAAGAGAAGTTGCACAGTCGATATTTGGAAAGATTTGATGTCGAGAGGTCTATATCGGACCAGAGATAACTTGAAATTCAAGAAATAATATGGTGATCTGTATCCAAAATTTGAAGCCAAAGAGTCATGACTTGAAGCATCCATGATGCTAGAGGAGGGAAGTTTATTATGTTGTGCTGCTTCTTGGAAATCTAATTCAATCGTCGATAAAAAGAGTTGATTCCTGTGCAGTCACCTGCGCAGACATATCTAAACAAATGTCCACAGCACTGTTACTCCCAAAAGATGGAATCACTCCGAAAGGAGGCGGGGTGCACATTGAGTCCAGAAGCAGCCTGAGAATAGTATGCAGACGCAAAAAAAACAAAGGTCCCTCCTTCAAGAGAAACTGAAGAGACTCAATAAACCTGAACATTGAGCTCCGCATATCTCTCGCCTAGTGGAAATTCTGACGAATGATGACTAGAAGTGATCAGGTCAACTTTGTATCAATCCACTCGACCACTCCACTCGGCATGGAACGAGCTACGATGCAGATATAGCGATGAGAGATGAATTGTATGCAGTCGCATTGGATAGCGATTCTGAACCTTTCTGAACGCGAATGGATTGCAAGATTGTTGTGTTCTGTTGTGGTGTTATAAATGTAAACATTTGGCATTTGTGAACTTCAAAGCTAGGTTGAAGGCAATCGCATTTGAAAATTGGAAAATGTCTATGCAAATGCTGAGAACCTTGTACACAGATGTTGGGCACGTTATACTTCAACGGCTGCGAGGCGGTGGCACTTTGAACAGCAATACATGTTGCGATGGTGAGGCTTGCACGTGTCATTCGCGAGCGAAATCTCCAGTCCTTGCTTTCGCCTTGAAGGATTGCCGCGATCGAATAATTTGGGAATATCATTGTCGAGAGTGCACTGGTACGAAATTTAAACTCAAACTCAGAGATTTTAGCTTTGTTGCGCCACATCACGGTTACCACACATATAATAGCACAACTTGAATGACGACGATGCTAATTCCATCCTTCACTCTTTTTCTCTAACCATCACCATCCACACTAGACTAGTTGAACTATGAAGATTGAATGGGCATCTGATGTAGGCACAAATCCTATCCCGTCTCTCGATTGAGGTTACTGACTTTGGTGCTATGCGAGTAGTTCCATCGAGATGGCTCCAGGCGCAGTCATCCAATAGCTTCAACTATGCACGGTTGGCTGGCAAAGATGAGAGGGACTCTCGTTGGAAATGAGAAACTTCGAAGCGAGGTGCGTTGTACCAAGAATACGCCACAATTTCAACTTTCGCTAACTTTGCTATACCGTAGGGAATGCGAGAAATGAGACAAGCCAAAGCCAATCGAAAGCATAGAAAGCAGAACAAATCCCAAGGCAAATCCTCTGCCAAAGGAGGAGGTTTCTCGCTGTTTGGATCTGGGCGAAAGCCCGCTTCACAACATAGAGGTTCTAGAAATGTCACTCGAGGAGGGCACGGAAGTGGTGGCGGGAGTCGCCCAGCTTTACGACAGCATAACAGTAGCAGCCATCGCCTGGTGGGACAAACCTCTCGAAGAGGTTCAGGAGTTCAATCGCGAGGCTCAAGAACTCCGACTAGGCCAGGGCCAAGCCGGAGAACGACAACTACCAGTCAGCATCGCGGCACAACACCACGAAGGTCCAGTGGGCATTGATCGCATGTGTTATCGTTACTTCTGGACATTGTTAGATGTCAATAATTATTCTCCTGCATACTCACTGTACAACATGACTTATCGCATCTACATATTTTCACTGTGTACTTTTCACGTCCAACTTGTATACAATTTCCTTTTATGTCAACTGTTGTTACTACTAATTAGATTATTCACCGTCGAGGTACATAGAGATCTTTGACTTGCAACTTCAAGAGACGATGAGGTCGCGAGGGCAAGCAGCCAAGCAGTGCGGCCATTAATTGCGGCACTGTCCACAGCAGCCACTGCGGCAAGTTACACGTTTTGCTCGTGTGGCAGCACAACATCACAAGTCAACATCACGACATTTCGCTTCATATGATACTCGCTTGCTGATCAACTAGCTCTTCCCCACTGACTGCGCTGGCGCAGAGCACATTCTGGCAGGTCCAAATATGCCCGACGAATATCAGACAATTCCTGCCACCATTATCTGGTTTCATTACATCTCCTTATTAACGAGTATTTCCATCGTTGTCATGTCCATTTTCGACTACGGGACCTTATCAGTGAGCTCTATACCCTACTACTGCTTTGTGCGCCTTGAGTTGCCGCTAATTCATATCATCAGCTTTACATGAATCCGCTCGTAGGACTGCTGACGATTTTCTTCCATGCGTCGTTAATCATCCTCACACACAAAAGGCCAGAACTCAAGGGGATGCTTTCAGTAGAAGCTGTTGTGTTCGCCTATCTTTTATCCCTAAGCTGGCTAGCCTGCTTTGTCGTGATGGTCTATGTTGCCTGGAAGAGCCAAGGAAGATCACCGCAGCTCTTCGGGATGGACGAAGCCTTCTTGACCGCCATCGACAACGCAACGCAACGGCTGCAGTTTATGTGCACTTCGTTGGAATTTGGTCTGCTGGGAGATTTGGCTGTGCGAAGTACGTGGGCGAGGCGATCTGAATTCGAGGATTGTGCGGGAAAGGATTACGACCATTATAGTGTTAGGTATTGATTGCATATCTGGGCCTACAATCAATGGGAATGGAGGATATAATACCAGAGAAGACTGAAATTTCTTTTTTGTCGAGCAACTTGTGCTCACGAAGTGGAACTACCAGATCCATAATCTATTGTCCTTGGACTCACCGCTACGAAATGCCGTGCTAACTTCCAGATCAAGTCGTTCCTAGTCATTCCCAGCCTACAGTCGCAAAATTAATTCAAAGATATTTCCCAACCTCTCCTAACTCACTTCGTGCAACGTGCTCCAAACTTCAACTTCAGCGAGCGAATCGCACCACATGAACTTCCTGCGACGCATTGTATTCTTGTATCGAGAGGTTGCCGTCAATGACTCTGAGCATCATGCGAAGATACTGTATGTAGCATCATGCACCCTCACCATCAGCGGATAGCAATCTACATATAGCGATACGTCGTATCAATTCTGATACCCGAATCAGTAAAACTTAGGAGAGAGGACATGATCAGAATCATCAGATCGAGGACGAGACGCATATGGTTGCATCGGTATGTGAGTTATTTGGTGGAGAGTACGGAGACTGGCCTATACTGACGGACACCGACCGGCGACATTGATCGGCATTGAGGAGCAGCCAGTGCGCCGCAGATGCATACAGAACGGCGCTGCGAATCATGCAGGACAACGATCCTCAAATGTATCCAGTGTACCAGCAAGCCTACGTACGAATGATAATCCTGACGATGTGAGTGTCCTGCCCTTCCATAACCTTCCATTGAGGCATTCAGGATTCATCATCAGATTATTATCTCGAAAAGGAAAACTTCCGCGCAAGCTAACCCGGAATTGGACAGATAACCATCCACTAGCGCCCCCAAGTGCTTTTTAGATGTCTTTAGTCGCGTCGCTTCAGACAGACTGGTCAGATGTGGGGCTCCCTATCGGACTCTATCGGACTCCGCTTGAAGTCTGATTGTGTTCCAGGACGTTCCATGTCAAAGATATATAAGAACATTCAGCAAACACGAATTATTCAGGCCCACCTGCGTTGTCACTCGTACGATCATGCCATACGGTACTTCCGCCTTGCTTTTTGCGTCGCTGGGCGTAGCCGCGGTGGCTTTGGTGACATTCTTCAGAATACGTCGTAATCAATCCAACGCAGCGAAGGCCTCCTACCCCCCCGGACCAAAAGTTGCGAATATGCCACTTCTTGATGCGTGGGTGACGTATCGTGAATGGGGAAACGTTTATGGTCAGTAGTCAATACCCCTTCATGGTTCAACACTGTTGAACAAGATATATTCATCCAGGAAATCTTATCTACCTTCCTGAATGGAATGTCCTGATAACTAACAACGCGGAAGTTGCCATTGACCTACTGGAAAAGCGTGCTCGCATCTATTCAGACCGAGCCATGTCACCAATAATGAAGCTGTAAATAACGTCGTTGCTCTGGTATACTGATATGCTTACCCAATGTTTTATCGAAGATGCGGGGGTGAAAACCTACTCTCAGTCGAAGTGAGTCGACTCAATGCTCGTAGCTTGTCAGACTGTTGAACCTATGCTAATGAACGACCTCTCGTAGCGTTATTCCGAAAAGTGGCGTAGAGACAGACGGGTCTTCCAGCAAACCTTCCGTCAAGCTGCGGTCAGTAACTTCTACCCGGCCCAATACTATAAGGTGCATGAATTCCTACGGAACTTGATATACAAGCCTGGCGACGCTCCGGCTCACATTCAAGGGTGAGCATTCACAAAACCATCTTTACCTGAAGAAATGCAACTGACCGACTGTTTCTTGTCAGACTCTCTCAAGGCCTTGTGTACAAATCTCTATATGGGCTCGACATCACCCCCGAAGATGATTTGGCCAAGAAGGCTACAGGGATAGTTGGGACTTTCGCCAGAGCCCTAATCAGTGGCGGCTTTCCTACATATGAATGGTTTCCGTGGCTAGTTTACCTGCCTTCCTGGTTCCCTGGATGCGAATTCAAACGGGTTGCAATCGAGTGCGGCAGAGTTGTAGAGGAGGTAGACACCATCCCATTTGACATCGCTGTGGAAAATTTGGTGTGTATACTTCCATTCGCCCTTCATAGCATTCACGTTCGCTTACTTTTCACAGAAAAATGGCGTTAGTACGTCTCCTATAGCCGAATTGGCGGCACAGAGGCCCCAAGATTATAAGGAAATCAAGGCGATGGGTACGATGAGTTTCATTGGTAAGGTTTAATATTGCGTACATTTTTGCCGGGTTATCTTAAACGTACTTTTAGCTGCAACGGATACGGTATGTGAACTGCTCGTTGTCATAAGCCAGTCTTCCAACACGTGAATCAGACTATGTCTTCTATCTCTTCATTCATGCTGGCTATGTGCATGCATCCCGACGTGCAGGCCAAAGCCCAAGAAGAAATTGATCGTGTTGTTGGTAAAGATCGATTGCCCGCCTTTGAAGATCGTCGGTCCTTGCCTTATGTTGAAGCCGTCTACCGTGAAGTTATGCGACTTGACCCTCCTATTCCTCTTGGTAAGATATCTCTTCTGCGATATCAATACTATGACCTAGCTGAAACACAATAACTGTCGCAGGATTCCCTCACACCTCTACGGAAGATGATTTCTATTGTGGATATCATATTCCGAAAGGTTCTACATTCATCTGGCTTTCGTATGATTAGCAACTTACGTGTACTTCTTAGGATGTTCGGTCGTTGCTAACATTTGGTGAGTGTTCACGTCTTTATCTTAGATACTGTCCGTACTGACGACGCGCACTGCTGTTAGGGCCATGAATCGAGACCCGAATGTGTATGCAGATCCCGATAAATTCCTGCCCGAGCGTTATTTGAACTCTTCTACTGGGCCTTTCGAAAGCATCGACAACATCTACGCATATGGGTTTGGCCGACGGTTCGTCACAGTCGGATTTCTTCATCCTACTAATTTGACCAATCAATGATCTTCCTCAGAGTCTGCGCCGGGCGTTATATGGCTGACAACACCGTTTGGCTCACAGTTGCCTCTGTCCTGGCCGCCTTTACACTGGGTAAGGCCAAGGATGAGAACGGGAATGAAATTGATATCACCGGCGAAATGACCGATCTTTTCTTCCGGTACATGACCATACACTTTGTCGATATTCCTTGTCGCTCACATTCGTTTCAGTCATCCTAAACCTTACCAGTCCAGCATCACTCCTCGAAGTCACCTCGCAGAAGAGTTGGTCCTTGCAACGGTCGACCATGGTAACTGAACGACCCACGACTCGTCACAGGCGCAGCTGGTTGCTACTTGTATCATTGAGCTGTAACTGGATGTACCAGGGCTGTAATCATAGATTATGCCCGTGCTCTATTTTGTTTGTTTTTTGTTTCAACATCGTGTAAGATCGTGTATATGTCCGTGTAACTACTGTGTGTTTGTATTTTATCATATCTAGTACGTTCAGGATGGGATATCTGCAATCATGCGACGCAGTTAACCCCGAGGTTCATAATTGACATGATTTTCGAGTTCTGGCTTCCAAAAGCTGGGGGTTAAGGCGGGTGGGATGCTAAGTCTACATCTCATGTGTTAGACCTGAACCAGTCTGCTGCTGAGAAGCTATATGCGGAATCACTTTGCTTCGCTGACACCTTTGAGCGCCAGTTTCCGAAGTGTCAACATCCGAAGCTACTGGCTCGAGTCTACTTATGTGTATGTCCCCTGCTTCTTCATGAGTGGGGTACTTGTTCAATGATCAATCACACTCTTTTACTGCTTTGCTAATGAAATCTCGTTCATATGGATTCAAACAATTGAAGGCATGTACACTCCAGTCTCCGACAAATATAATGATCTCCGACAACAAAACACTTGCCCTCAGAGTCACTAATCGCAACGTGGAAGCCATCAGGCACAGTAAGAAAGTTACTAGACATAGCCAAAAACACCAAAAAAAGGCAGTCATGAATTGGGTGTCGACACTTCTGATGTCAGAACTTCTCCCGTTCCAATAATCTGCGCCTTCTTCTTTTTCTTCCGTTTCTTACGCTTCTTTTTGGGTTTCGATGGCGATGCACCCACCTCGTCAGATTCAGAATTGTCTCCTGGATCCCCAACAGGACCATTGAGATTTAACACGGTGTGTGTTGCGTCCGACTGAGATGAATTTGGTCCATGGCTATGTGTTTTTTTTGGAACAGGTGATGAGGGAGGACTTGGGGCAGTCTGGTTCGATGAGTCGGGTGAAGTTTTTTCAGTCATAGAGTCTGTACATGCGACATGAGCAGTCAAGCTAGATTTTATCATGAAGGTTCCACATACCTTTCTGTTTTCTCACCAGTATGGGAGGGCAAGAGTCTGTAGTATCCTGTTTTTTCTTGTCCTGACCGACATGAGACTGAGGGATGGGTTCCATCACTTGCGCGAGCGATGTGTGGTCTTTGATATCCCCGCCAGCGTTGCCTGGGGGCTTAACAATAGATCCACTGTTAACATTCATAGTACCCCCGACCTGAGACAGTTTCTTCTTCTTGGGTGTCGGCATAGTGAAAGGATTGGGTACAGTCTTCTTCCGAATCGCGCCTGCTCTACTCTCTCCTTCATCGTCTGATAGCTTACTGGACGAGTCTCCTTCATCTTCTCTGGCGCGCTTCTTGCCTTTACCGACCAGACTTCCTTTTAAGCGTGCCGTTTCTCGAGAAGAAACAGAGGTGGACTCTGGGATGGAAGCTCCGACACCAAGTCTGTAAAAATCGATTGCATATCATGATTTTTGAGAATTAGTTATAATACGTACCTACCTCGGCGGTCTACGCATATATTCCTTGAGCTCTGCCTCTAATGTCTGGTTATAGAGTGTTTTCGGTTTGTTTGAAGGCTTCATCCATGAGGAAACGAGGTCATTCGTAACTGACATAGAAAGGTCGATTTGAGCTTGAAGCGCCTCTGGTTCAATGTCATCTTCAACCATGATTCCAAAGAAGGGGACATTCAAGCTCAAGAACCAGTAAAATTAATGGTAAGCGCCAGCTGCAATATTATAGGCGCTTGTATTATTTTCCACATTTATTGTTCACAACGTTCACAGATCGCTAGATGAACAATCTAAAACGGAAAAGAGGTGATTCTGACGATATCGACGATGAAAATCCTTCGTTTGGGAAGCAAATTCTTCCAGTAGCCAATCTTCCGAATACTTTCGATGGAATACCCGGCGATGGAATGGAGTATCTTTTCACTGTCCGGTACGTCGCTTAATGGGTATCATTTGGCTCATTCTGACTATCCATCTGGTTGAAGACGAGATGCTCGCCTTCTTCCCCACGTGGTTCGAGTAGCAAATCCCTTTCAAGTAGAACAACCCTCACTACCTCCTCCTCGCAGTCTGGAGACTACCCATCCTTCCCTTCCATCCAACGAATGGCGGTCTTTGTTTGAAATCCGATTTCGGAATTTGAGAAAGGCAAGTCCCCCTTGCTGTGCTGTGATTCGGCCATTGAAATTTCACGCAGAACATCATGCAATTCACCAACTCTAGTGTTTCGAACAGCAAAATACTTATGCCCGAATTAAAGGACAGATCGGCATGGTGGGATTTTTTAGCAGGCAAGCCCGAATCTGTCTGGAACCCTACAAAGAAACCGAAAGCTTTGAAACAGAAGAAATTTGGACGAGGAATGCGTGCTTTTCATGACGATGCTACCGCTTTAGATTATAACGGGGTGTCTACACATGACGGTGAAGTTATTTCTCAACCAGTGGGCATGCAACCCGCCACGCCTGCTCAGCATGATGATAATAAAGCTAGGCTTGAATCGCCGCTGCCGCCGTGCAAACCGATAATACCTACACCTCTGCTTCTAGGTCAGATTGACGATGTGCGTTTCTTCTTCTTCTGTTTGGCTAGTATGAATCAATGACCAACCTTTCTATCATAGCGAACGGCCTTGCATCTTTTGATGTACTTTACATATTGGATCAACCAACACCTCGTAGAAGATCGTCAACCACCCTTTCCTCGACTTACACAAGCTCACTTCCAATGGATCTTTGCACTTTTGGCACGAGTCGGAGAACACATATCTGCTGACGATATGAATCTGCTCCGAAATCTTACTAGAGCATGTATCGCTCTGCTGAAGGTAACGATCTGTGAGCGGACTTCTCATAAGGCGCATTCAGGAGACAAGATGGTAAAGAAAGAACTGAAAGATCAGGAAGATAATGGAGAGGAGCATGAGGGGGGTTATTCTGACGAACAAGCTTCTTGCTGGATGATTATATCAATTGTAATTGGAATATGGGGTCAGCGCGACCTGTGGATGGATGCTGAGGATATGCTGAATAGTTTATCTAACGCCAAGTAACTTAATAGTCTCTTACAGTTCCTATGCGACGCCGTGTACATAAGTGTCTGAACGGCGTGTTTACGCCGCATGTTGCACTGGATTTTGCTTGAGCGTCGCTTTACCTCGCCTTACTCGAAGTCTGGACTGAGAACAGACTGAGAATGCCCGGTCTGTGCCCGTTGTTTTAACATGAACTCTAAGCCGGCTGAGCCCTTTTTACTTTGATACTTACGTAAACGTGCTAGATGTCAGTGTTTGGAGAGCGGCTTCAAAAGGCCACCATTCTTTTTTGCCAGTTTCCCTCATCCTCACGCTCAGGTCTTCCTTAAAAGACACCGTCACTCTCTTCGTTCCTGTCCAGTATCCTTCATAATGCGTTCCGCAGCTGCCCTTTGCCTTGCCTTCGCCGCCGGTGCCTACGCTTACACTGTTACGTTCCCCACTGAAACTGAGGGATGGACAAATTCGGGTGCCCAAGTGTAAGTTTTCCTCTCTCCTCTCACATAGCTCCTCCTTCCAAATCTTCTGACTTTTGCACAGTCTTTCCTGGACTAGAGTTGATACCGACGCTCTCAACTTCACCGCCGTCCTTGTCAACAACGTTAGTTTCCCTGCGTCTCTGTCAAAATCGGCCAACATTCATACTGACAAATGAGTCACCACTACTGTGCAGGACGCTTCTATTCTCTCTGATCCTCAAATTCTTGCCGCTCAAGTTGATGGTACCCTCGGTAATACCACCTTAAACCCTCCTTCTGGAGGTTGGCCATCTCCCGATGGCGGATTCCGCGTCAACTTGGTGCAAAATACAACTGAGCTCAACACTATCCTTGCTCAGAGCCCGACGTTTAATATTACTGCCGCAAGTAGCAGCTCTTCCTCTGCCTCTTCCACTGGCACTGTTGCGTAAGTTGTTTAATATTTTTAGTTGACGGCGTTCTCAAATCAATACACCAAGCAGTGCTTCTGGTACGACTGCGGCAGCCACTACTAATACCGCTGCAACCAGCACCGATTCTTCTGCTGCCTCTACCACTTCTACTACCTCTTTCAACAATGGTGCTGTTAGTTTTGGCGCTCAAACAGGACTCTTTGGTGTCCTTGCTCTCGTCGGAGCTCTCCTCGCTTGAGGAAGGGATTTGAGTTGTTACTCGCATCCTTTTTGACTTTCGTCTAGATTGGACTTAACTCATAGTTTATTATTTTCTGGGCTGGGTCTGTACGTGCGATTACAGTCTTTACCAAATGCCCACCCCGTACGTACCAACCTGATAGCTGTAGTTTTGTTGGTTCAATCATCGAGTCTGAATGAATATCATAACCCATAATACATGCAGATCCTCGACATCAAACGCCCAGTAGGGAATCTATTTCACACAATAATAGTCTCTTGTTTCGGTACAAAGCTTATCCCCAGTCTTTGCTTCTTGTCTTATTCCTGCCTGATACCCCAAATGTGATCCTGCCGAGGTGTGTCCCCAATGTATAAAATCACAGTTGATCGTACCATCGCTGAAAATCACGCTACTCTCGCTGGTTGACCCGGACAACTCCAGGCCCGAAACAAACTGCAATGAAAGGCGATTTTCTCTCAATCCAGCCACCATCTTGAATTTTTGGCTCTTATTTATTGGTCCTAATGCCTCTTCGTACCTTGGCAAAGGCTCCCTTTCGATTATCATGCATACAACCCGCGCGTATGATGAGTGTCTACGGACCCTCGGAATCTGGACATCCATCGCCAGGTAAGTTTACTATCCATCAAGAGATACCGGATTTGTGACGCGCATTTCAGCATCCCCTACCCAACCAACTAAACCGCGGAAGAAGGTCACCATCGAAGCTTTGCGAGCGATGAAAGAAGAAAAAACTCCGATAACCATGCTAACCGCCTACGACTACCCCAGTGCACTCGCCTGCTCTTCTAATCCTCTCGTCGATATCACCCTCATCGGCGACTCTCTCGCTCAAGTCTGTCTTGGATACAAATCCACAACCGAGCTTTCCCTTTCCGAGATGATCCATCACACTCGCGCCGTCGCACGAGGGACCACACATCCTTTCCTCGTCGCGGATATGCCATTTGGCTCCTATCAAATATCGAGCGAAGATACCGCGAGAAACGCCGTTAAATTGATACAAGAAGGACGCGTGGAAGCTCTGAAGTTAGAAGGAGGTTCCGAGATTAGGGATACTGTGAGGAAACTTACTGGGATGGGGATACCTGTCATGGCCCATGTGGGGCTACTCCCACAAAGGCACGTATCGATGTCGGGGTACAAGGTACAGGGCAAAGATGTGGATAGTGCTAAAAGGATCATAAGTGATGTGTTGGCTCTGGAAGAAGCTGGAGCTTTCTCGGTTGTGTTAGAAGCTATCCCAAAGGAACTAGCCGCGTATGTGACGAAACGTCTCCAAATACCAACAATCGGTATTGGTGCTGGACCGTACACGGATGGCCAAGTGAGTCTGATTAATCTGTATCTTCTTTTTGTTACTCATCTGTCGCGCAGGTCCTTGTTTGGGATGATATGATGGGTACTTGGGCAGGACATAAAGCAAAATTCGTGAGGAGATTTGGCGATCTCAAAGCTGCACGAGATTCGGCGATACAAAAATACGCTGAAGCTGTTAAACATCGAACTTTTCCTGATCATTCAGAGAGTTATACTATCGACAAAATGACTTGGGAGGAAATTTCTCGCACAATGGAATAATATCTGCATATGTCAGAATGTATAAGATTTAGATAGATATGTAGATATATACTTGGCAAACAGAGGGTCCAAGGTAAAGAAGTAGCAAGTAGTGAACACATTGGCCTGAGCATTGCGTCCAAAAAGCAGCCTCCTTCCCAGGCGTAGTAAGGACTCGCATGGCTCTATATAAGCCATATGCATAAACTTTGTTCGAAATGGGGAATTCTCAGTGTGAGCATATGATACATAGATAGTAGGCCGTGGGCTAATCTTCAGACTAGGGCCACCATGTCGAATTCGCTTGAACACCTCTTGCCACCAAGTTGGAAACCTCAAGTCACTGCCTGGCTTGCTGAAGACACGCCTTCTTTTGATTACGGAGGCTACGTCGTCGGTGAAGCTGAACGAGAGGCATTTCTCTTTGGGAAAGGAAAAACAATCGCTGTATTAGCCGGAGTCCCATTCTTCACCGAAGTTTTCACTCAACTTGGATGCTCGTATGTAGCAAGCACGTCCATGACAAGTCTTTGATTCCGATTATGGGACAGAGTTGAATGGCACATCAAGGAAGGCGAAACTTTCGAGCCCATCAAGCATGTTGCTACAGTTCGAGGCAAGGCGAGATTGCTGCTCCTTGGAGAGCGGGTTGCTTTGAATCTGCTCGCTCGTTGCAGTGGAATTGCTACGAAGTGAGCTCCTAAGCATTTTCTCAATTTTGATCCTGAACTTCGAGCAGATCGAAGAAGATCCAGGACCTCGCGAGGGGATACGGGTATGAAGGAATCATCTCCGGAACTAGAAAGACTACACCCGGTATCCTTTTCATTTGTCATCTATCTGGGGATTGTCTTCGCTAATAGTGCGCATCTTTCCAGGTTTCCGACTCGTTGAGAAGTACGGAATGCTTGTTGGTGGGATCGATCCTCATCGGCATGATTTATCGAGTATGATAATGCTCAAGGATAATCACATTTGGTCTTCGGGTACAGTCTCTCTGTATCCTTCGTAGGTCGGCAAAGACTGATTGGATGTCATTTGTAGGATCAATAACAGCAGCTATACAGCAAGCACGAGCAGTCGGCGGATTTAGTTTACTTCTCGATGTAGAAGTACAATCGGAGGTAGAGGCGGATGAAGCAATTGATGCTGGGGCCGACATTGTTATGTTAGACAATATTGAGGGTTCGGAGCTTGTATCTGTTGCGAGAAGGCTGAAGGAGAAGTGGAGGGGCCAGAGAAAGTTTCTTTTTGAAACCAGCGGAAATATCACAGAAGCGAATCTCCATGAACGAGCCATTAATGGTGAGTACTACCTTAGCTCGTGGTCATGCAAACTAACTTGGTTGCAGAGATTGATATATTGAGCACTAGCGTCGTCCATCAGTCAGTCCAGCACATCGATTTCAGCCTCAAGATCCAGAAACCCAAGACTGCATGAATGCAACGTATAACTATAATTTTATTCATAAGTTGAACAAGGAAATAGCATTGCCCCCCTTTACACCGTCCTTGTGTGCTTTTGTCCAACCTTGAACATTATCAATCGCATCCAAATTCTCGACTACACTTTTCCACTTCTCCGAGGACGACAGCGGAGGAAAAAACGGGTGATCCGTACCAAAAAGCATTCGTCCACTTCCTACACTTCGACTGCCAGGCACAATGTTTTTGCTACCGGTCTCGTAGCGGTTCGAGCGAGCAAGTACATCACTCACGAAACCAAGTTCTTCTGGCCCATAGCATACCGCATCAAGGTATAGTTTTCCAAGGTAGAAACGAGCGTCGTGCTTCAATCTAGAAGCCACGATGGGATCATGGTCTATACATGATGCTAATCGAGACGATAGCTGAGGTAATGCACCACCAGAGTGTGCAAGGAGCAATCGAAGAGAAGGAAATCTGTCCAAGACTCCCGACAAGATTAAACGTGTCGTTGCCTACGAGAAGATGATTGAGCTTCCAGTCAGTGGTCCAACCAAAGACAAACTAACGATAGTAGTTTCCATCGGGAATCCGAGAGCAAGTGGGAGAACATGTCCATTATTCTTCCCGCCCCAGGTTTCCTGGGGGATGCCATAATGCGGATGCAAAAACACAGTGAGTCCAGCTTCCGAAATGGCTGACCATACTGGATCGAGTGCTTCGTCGTCTAGACCCTTGCCTACTCCACGAGTGCCCATTATGAGACCCTTCAGGCATGAAGAAGCGGAGATTTGCCTCACGGCTTCGAGTAGAGATTTGGTACTGATATTGGGAACTATCGGGATCAGTCCGAAGCCATACAACTGCCTCATTGAAGTCCCCGGCACTGTTGGACCAGACGAGCAGTATTCTTCGAGGTCATCGTTAAGCTGGAGGGCTAGCTCATGAGCCTCTTTCGTAGAAAGAAAATCGAGCCATGGGTTTGCAGTACTAGTAGTGTTGAGTAACGACTGGCGCTAGACATATTGGTGTTCAAACTCACCTGACAATAGATATGTCAATTCCATGGTTCTTCATGAATTTGAGCTTTTCATCCCTCTCGACATAGCTTGGGCCCACAGGCCTTCCCCCACTGGGTTCATCTTTGAGAATAACAAGTCTCTCCTCTTTCTGGCCATCATCACGAGTCCGGGTGATGATTTTAGGTAGATCTGTCCGCTTCCTCAACAACGACGCGTATCTTGGAAGATAAAGATGCGTATGGACGTCAACAACGAATCGCTTGGAAGCCATTGGGAAGGAGTGTAATGGCACATGGTAATTGTCAAAGTAAAGAAGGATTCCGAAATTCTCACAGTGCATACGTGAATTCATATGGCCCCTTCAATCCCCGAGCAGGTAATTCGTTCGTGTTCAAATCTTGAGCGGTCTCTGACTTGATTATTCATGGTCACTTCCAGCTTTCACATATCAAGGACCAATTAACGAGCCTTTCACAATCATTCGAATTGATCCAGCAGAGGTGGGAGCAGGAGAATGTCGAGGCTGATACTCTTCGGAAAGAGCTCAGCTCAGCCAGAGCTCTTAATGAAAGATTTCAAATTCGGAACCAAAATCTAGAGGCTCAATTAGCGCAAAGAAAGTCTAGCCGTGCCAGGCATACCCTTGGACGACTCCTGCGAGAAGATGTGGCCAGAGTGAGTGGACTGTCCACTATATCAAAGAATAATCCAGCTTACATACAAAAGGCCAATGCAAGGCTTACTCACGCCCGCGAACACGACATAATTTCCAACTCAGACTCTGTGGGTGACGACGTCGAGAGTGAATATGGATCTGTTGGCACCAGTCTCTCAACGGTACGAGGGCATGACCGTGATTCAGAATCAAGGGTAGCAGCAACGGACTCTGAAGAGGAAGATAGAAAATCAGGAGAAGTGCCCGATGATTACCTCTCGCCCTCAAGTCAAACGAAACCCGGCGCCTTGCCTTCAAGTTCTCCTGGACCATCAGATAATCGAGTCGGTCAGATTGCCACGGATAGTCGCACCGTCAAGTCCCCAGCCTCCTCGATCAAACGCTACCACGAGACCGCTTCTGTGACGAGCGCATCGAGTACTCTATCTTCAGATTTTATACCAGAAAGCTTTGCCGTCCAATCCAATGCTCCTCAATGGACAATACAGATTCAGAAACCTCCTGTATCGGCAAGGGTCAGATGTGGTCCTATGAAAGGGTCGCACCTGTCCCAAAAGCTTGGTATCGAGGAGGATACGGTTCGAGTTTCTCTTTCGCGTGTAAGCGCTCAGGCTAACCCGGATGCGTAGGTCATCTCTCTTAGAAGGTATATCGTGAACAGTCACCTTGTCTGTGTTCATCTGTACTGAGAAGAATAGTTTGTTGTCGAACGACAATCTAGGTCTAGGTGTACGAATCCAGGGTGACTGTGCGTTCGTATACGATCCAATCTTCCTCGAGAACTTAGATACAACCACTCCGATGACGTATCTGTTTGATTGGGGGGATGTAGAGGCCAACCAGAATATTACACAGTATATCCAGGAAAAGAACGAACAAAAAGACGCAATCTTTCATACCTTTGTCTATATCTTGAAACCTGTATGTACTGGTCTCCCTTCATTAATTTCATTGAATGCTCGACTCAAAGACATATAGAGACGATGGTACTATGTAGGAGCACAGAAATGGGCTCATACCGATTTGAGCTGGAACATATGGGAGACATTTGGGCAACGGGTAAGCTATCGCAACTCTCAATTATCTGATGGTTGATAAATCTTTGTAGGATCACATACGCTATAGAGTGATCCAACGTCTTTACGACCATTGTGGCAAGAAGATAGAACGCGAAACGATCGCCGAAATGTTGGACAGTGGAGCTTTGAAGCAAATTTGTATCCATCTCTCCGGTGGTGATAGTCATATAGACTCTTCCAGAACGATGTGCATAGCAATGGGTTACTCCCCACCGGAAAATTAGGTTGCACCATTCGAATAAAAAGATGAACGTATGCTACGCGTATCATCTAACTGTGATTCCGTATGCCATTCAATGCCATTTATGGCATTCTCTTGTGAGTAGGTGTCATCGTACTGAACGTCGATTTCGTCTACTTACAGTATGTGCGTGGCGATACGAAGGCGGTACCTGATACTTTAATCTCGCGGACGTAGCCGGATTTCAATTAGCCGAACGGGGCCTGAGGTTTTTGTTTTTGATTTATCGACGGTTTCTTTACTTTTCTTTCTCCCTTCCAATTCTGTCCATTTTCTCTGCTTCTGCTTGGTCTTGTGCCCTCCCGAGGGTGTAATTTTCCTAATATTCTCTTCCTCATTCTTCATCTTCTGTTTCTTTGTTGATATGCCTCCCTCTTTGGAATTCACTCGTCGAGACAACACTTCGTTTACTAGGTCGATTCAGCCGCCATTCTCGTTTGTTCCTTTCTCTGCGACATCTTCCACTCTTTCATCTGCACCTTTCACTTCTCCTTCATTGAACTCCAACAGCGGTACCAGCACTAGCTTCGCTACGACCTCTTCCACCTCCACTGATGAAGTTTCGACCTCAACGACGTCTTCCAGTTCTTCCACTTTCAGCGAAGTTGTGACCTCGATCTCTGCGACACAAAGTTTCTCAAGTACGACGTCTTCGTCAGCCACATCGATCGCTACCTCAACACTGGCTACTTTTACGACGTGGGTCATTTTTTCTCATTTCATTTCACTAAATTACCAATGCTTTCCATCTGACGATTAGCTCTCCCTCCTTTACACCATCCATCACGTTTACTTCATCCATTTCCTCCACCTCATCCGCTTCCATCACTTCCATCACTTCCATTAGTGTTACAACACTGCAATCGTTTCAAGCATCGGAATCCGCTTCGTCTCCGTCGGGATCTGTGTCTGTACCTGCAACGACCACAAATATTGCCATCACCGATGGGACATCTACTTCCGTCGTTTTCGCCACCGCATCTATATCTGGACAGACTGCGGTCGCATCCTCGTCCTCTTCTTCCTCCGTAGGGTGTGTATTAATTGATTCCATTGGAATTCCCGGCCAGACTAACTCCACCTTCCTACTACTAGATTCTGGTCAAATAAAGCCGCTGGTAGGAACCAACGTTTATTTATGTAACTTTCGACGGGAAGGACTAAGAGTCATCATTTTCTAGTGGCAGGTACCTTCACCGCAGTCGCGGTTGTAGCCTTGGCTACTTTGGCTGGCGTAATCCTTTGTATTCGAAAAAAGCGTCGAGATCTTCACTCAAGGGACCGCAGCATTTCAGAGAAATTTGCTAGTATGGACTTTGCAGACACTCGTCCGTATTCAACCCCTTCCGAACCTGCCTCACACGATTTGTCGCATGAACCTATGAATGCGTATGCCAATAGGGATCCAGCCTTTTATCTAACACATGATCCCTTCGTTGCCAATGCGCACAATATGCCGTATGCTGGTAGTGCAAGTTTGCCAGAGATTACTTACAGCTATGCGCAGGATGTGAACAACCAGTATCCGTATTATGGTAATGAGGAGAACAATGTAGTCCCGCCGTCGGTTGGAATGAGGTCAACCCCTGCTCTTCCGACCCATGATCCTCGCAATCCGTTCGAATCCGTGAACGTCACACCTCCAAGGAATGCAGCTATTCCACAAGAACTTGAAAGAATCTCTTCAAATCCTTTCGAGGAGCCGGCTTTTCGAGCTTCCTATCAACCGTCTGTAGATTCATTCTACGGTGCGTCACTCGATGGTAGACCATTCTAATTTATTTTTTTTTGTGAGTTTTTCCTTCAAATCGAGGTCATCGGTTCTAATTTTTGACTAGCATTGCATTTTATCTCCCATATCGCTACTTATCCTTATTTACTTACTGCTGGGTCAATGTCATGAATGGTTGATAGCCTACGGTTCCTGAGTCAAACTATTCCAGGCTCTGTGCTGCTCTGTGTATATGTACCAATTTGCTGCTGGTTGTGCTGTACATAATCGCAACGTATTCTCGTATACATTGCATATATCACAGGAACGAATGTGCCGCACTAGTGCCGCAGTAAACAAACTTGTCATGAACTCCGTTGCGCTGAAGATATCTCGTGCTCATCTCATTCGATTTGCGTCGCCATGGACGAACTTTTGCACCAAAAGGTTCAATTCAAGTTCAGTAAACTCTCGGCAAGCATTTCTTGAACCCCTCGAGTGCCAGGCAGGAATTACGTGTCTTTCGCTCAATCGTCCTCAAAGTAAGAACGCCATCTCAACCACTCTGCTGAAGGTGGTGTAGTCAACTTCTCTCTGAATCAGAGGGTTGAAAGCTTCAACTCCTTGCTGGCTATATTCAGGAACTCATCCAGTGCTTGGACACGGCACAGTTTGATAAGAGGTACGTAGTAACAAATGTTTCTCATCATTTCCGTGATACTCATTATTAGACAGTATCCGTGTCCTTATCCTAAGGTCATCGACTACAGGCTCTTTTTGTGCGGGTGCAGACCTGATAGAAAGGCGATCCATGTCGCAAGTCCAAGTAGCGAGGTTTTTGTCAGATCTCAGAGTCGCTCTTGGGAAGCTCGAGACCCTCCCTATGCCAACTATTGCAGCTATTGATGGTCCAGCACTTGGTGGTGGTCTTGAACTTGGGCTTGCGTGTGATCTGCGCATTGCAGGTGCGGCATTATGGTCTGATATTATTGTACGGGACTCAAGCGTGACATAACAATCCAGGACGCAATGTAACGAAGATAGGTCTACCTGAAACAGCCTTAGGTATTATACCTGGGGCGGGAGGGACACAACGTGCCACCAGACTGGTTGGTCCAGCGAGGGCAAAAGATCTTATATTCACCGCTCGCATGCTTTCTGCTACAGAAGCTCTTGAATGGGGTGAGTGCTTATGTATCTCAGTGGCGTTATGTCCTTACAGATCTACAGGTCTTGTTGACTACATCTCTTCCCCCGAGTCCGACGCGTTTGAGCGTGCCGTTCAACTGGCCTCACAAATCAGGAACAATGGTGCGGACACATTGCGGTAATCTTCTCATTTTATAACTCCTCAAATGGCTTCATGAATTAGCTCCTCTGGCTCTTCGCGCTGCAAAACAAGCTATCTCGAGATCTGAGGATTTGGCTTTGGAGCCAGGTACGATAAACGCATCACGATTTCAGTGAATCTCACCATAACATACATTACCAGGCCTTGACTTTGAAAGGGCATCTTATGAAACTCTACTATCCACTCAAGATCGTATGGAGGCTTTGGTAGCATTCAAAGAGAAAAGACGTCCTGTATTTAAAGGAGAATGAATTCCACAAGTGTAATAAGTTATGAGCAAAAAGAAAAGAATAAATCCGAATTGCAACAGATATTGAACCATGAGATTAACTTGCAAATGGTCTCGAGCTCATGGAAAAGGTCCCAGTAAAACCACTAGGAAGTGTAGGTATTCCAACAGAGATACCTTCACTGAGCCGGAGCCCTTCTAATTTCAGCCCCTCCAACTCCTTCATCATAACACTAAGTCGGCCAAAGCGGGATTTTGCTGTGTCCGATACTGCACCATCTACGGACATACCACTGTCATTGAAGCCTTTCTCAAACTGACCCCAGTCGCTGCGCTGAGCGAGATAAGGTTTGAGGAGGCTTGGCTCGATTCGCCCGAGATAGTTTTCGGTGATGTAGGACTTCAGGATCTCGGGGCTCAGAAGGAACACTTGGCCAAGTTGACGAATGAACTCGAATCGTTCAGTCAGCGACGGGATGCCAAAACTGCTGATTGTATCTTGATACATCCGTATGTCCCTATCATAAGGTTTGGCTAAAAGAAGACACGAAGGGGGAACAACACACTTAGCTAGCATCAATCCACCAGTGGCGCTGACTGGGAATTTCCTAAGATGTTCGAGCAACAGACTGGCATTTAATCAGCACAAAGCTACATCAACGGCTTGTGAAAGATGACTCACCTATGGAATGAGATTCCAATTTCTGTCAAGAATGACTCCAGGTTCTTGCCACTCAAGTTAGCTTTGGCAGTGTCCCGAAACTTCTCAAGCATATCACAACAAGCGACGCAAGGCTCTGTATTTACTCGCGCAAAAGAAATATCATCGTTTTTCGGTTTGAAGTCATTCCGCTTTTGTTTGGAAAGCTGGCTTGAGAGCCAAGCGACAATTGCTAAAAACCGCTTAGATCAATAACAATGATACGTCCTTTGAGAAAAGAGGTGCTGACTATCTGCAAGACGGTGCATGACCTGGTTTACACCACCTTCTAATCGACTGACAGTCTGATTATTGAAGACCAACATTTCACGACGGATGGTGACAGATGAACTTGCAAGTGGAAGAAGAGCGGTATTCACATACTGTTGCCAAAGGTGACAAATAAGGTCTACTGTTCGAAGAGTAATCAAAACTTGAAGCAAAGGTTCAGCCTTAGGGTCGCTGGCATCCAATCGAGCTTGCGCTCTGAGTATTGATGGTATCAAGTCAGAAATTAGGGTAAAGGCTCAAGCATCTCACGTACGTCTCGAGCGCCCCTTCGATATATGCAGTGCTTATCGCTTCGGCCAACACTCGAAGTAGAGCAAATGTATTCCTCGATCTGAATGGCTTCAAATATCAGGACAAGAAAAAAACAACCAAGATCTATCACCTACAGATCATTGGGTGCACTTAATTCCACACATCTTCCTATAGCTTCAGCATGCCATTTCAACATCTTTTCGGCAACGTCAACGCTTAACTGGCCGTCTTCTTCTCGTACGGGTTCCTCGTCGACGACGTTTTTTTCTGCATTGAGGCCACCAAATCTCAGGATAGCGTTGGCTGCTTGAGCAGAAGTCGTTTGGACGCCACCACTGGACGTGGTAGCAGCCGTATTGCTGAGCTGATTGACAACACGGTCAAATATGGAGGATTTTCCTTTGGGCGCTTTAGCCTAAATATGATTTTCTAGTATGAATACGAGACGTCCACACCGATGAATGAGGATTACACATACCTGATGGTAGCGAGTGAAATTGACCAAAATACCAGCGTAGAGTGCGCCGAGGCTTTGACTCTCTCTTTCCAGATAGCGTTGCCCTTCTGTGTATGGCACAAATAATTCCTCCATCGCAGTTTCTAGCATTGTAGACAATGAAGTTGAAGCGTTTATTCCGACGTTAGTGGTTCCGAATAACGTTTTGTTCAATTCCCCCGCCTCAAATGGTACACGAGATCCTGATGCAGGTAGCTCGTACACTTTGAGATCTTCAACGAGGATGGAAGTTTGGATGTGCGCAAGCTGCAGTACTCGGAGATATGCTAGATCAGATATAGCAGTTGCTCGATGAAGTAGATGTTCCACATGTTGTTGTATCTAGAGAAACAATCAGTTTGAAGAAAGGGAACCATATATGCCTTACCGATTGTGCGAATACGCGCTGTAAGAAGACTTGCATCACCACAGGAGGGTTAGGAAATACAGCTTTGACTATCTGAGCCTCGGTGTCTACCGTAGCTCTGATCTCGGTGAATAACTCTGTAAGTCCGGCCTCGTTCTTGGGAGGGATAGTGTCTGGATTGGAAATAACGCTCCATCTACGAAAAGAAGTATCAGAAGCAGTTGGTTGTTATCAAGTGAGGCCGTATACAAGAGTGAGTCTTCAACACCTTTTGATTCCCTGACATTGTTGATGAAAAAATCATGTTGATTCACATAAACTTGAATGCACGAGGAACCGCCGTTAAATTCTAGAAGAGTTTGGGCGCAGTGCTATAAGAGATAGCAGTCAGAAAAGGAAACGGGAAGAGAACAGATGCTCGCACATGCATCATTTTTGGGTCCCCTTTGCGATAACAACGATCGAAAAGATTTAACATTTCCTTTTCGAACTTTTCACAATATTTCTCAATGTTTTCACGAGTCTGATCACACAAATGAGCAAAATAGCGTCGCAAAAACTTGACCTGGTGCGCACCTTGTCGGCCATCGGCAAATCCACTTCTTTAGCTACTGTGTTCAATCTTCTCAGTAGAACAGCTACCTGCCGTCTCCCTTGACGACCTTCCTTCCGTAACGTATCCAACCGTGATGTATCTCCTTTGGAAAATTGATTATAATAATCGATGATATCGTAGGCAGCTTGAGCTCTCTGGCGTTCGATGTGGACAGTCTCCAATTGTTCCCCTGTAGTAGGTATGAGTAGACACAAAAAGTAGATATATGGACACGCACCAATCCTGATAGCCGTACTACTGACTTCATTCATCCGGCTTTCCATTCCGGAGAAAGAGTTCCCAACAGACTGCACTACACCATGAGATAAGTAAGTTCATTGTATCGGGAATGAATTACCTCAAATCCACGATTCAAGTCGGCCATTTTCTTGGAATATTCTCGCTCTGACACTCTGACACTCTTCTCCATTTGTTCGGTCTTGGCTTGAACTTCCTTCCGAACTGCGATGAGTTTGTCTACGGCGGCCTCGAAAGTCTTGATGAATGGGATTGGGTCAAAGGCTTTGTGAAGATTGAGTGAGTCCTTTCCATCTAGGACTGAGAAATCTCGACATACGACCAGCATCGGATTTAGACTGTGCGATGAGTTTCTCAGAAACACCACCAACGAATTCTGTGACATCGAATTTCCCCTGTATATAGTTCAAGCATATGTATATATCGAGCCAGTGTGAAGAACTCACTTTGAATGTAGATAGCTGAAGCTGAGCTTCGACAGCAGGATCGAGTTCCATTAGCGTTAACGTTGAAGGCAACCCGGGTGGTGGCGTCTGCCTAGCGGCATGGGGACACCGGCGCTTATTTCAAAAATTTGGAATTCGACACCGACGATGGATTCAACACATCCTTTGAAAGCTCTATTGAATTTTCATCTGGCTTCTGACGCTTCCGCAGTTGTACATCTTCCCTTTATTACCGGAATAATTACTGCTAAACATTTTCTTCCCTCGCCGCACCTCGCAAAATGGACTTCAAGAATTAATTCTCTTCTTCACTCAAAAGATGCCGGGGCACGATGGGCTGGCTTGTGCTTGGCTCATAGGACCTCTATATGCTCCAAGTTGGTGATGATTGAATCCGCTCAGAGCTGGCTGGGTGTTGCAATTCCTTTACTGTCTGTTCGTACATCTATCCATATTTCTTGTCTTCGTTCTTAATACTTTTTGAAGAAAAAAGAACCCTTGCCTAATCTGATTGCATCTATCAGCTTGTGCAGAATGGTGTTCCGCAATGCGACAGATACTCCTGAGTTTCAGCGACAAGTCTCTACGCCCAATGTATCAAAATTCACTACAGCGCTGATCGTTTTTCTCGAAAAAGATTCCGATCTTGAATTAAAGGTTCGAAATTTTTTCGGTGGCTACTGTACTTCTCTCTCATTTCTCTAGTACAGAAACTTGTCCTCAAGACTCTTGCTCGGCTTATTCCGTTATACCCAAACATCTATCGGGCGTCTCATGCATCCCTTTTATCCATCGTATCGCGAATTTTCTCCCAAAGCGCTCCCAATCATATCAGCCAACAACTTGTAGAGCCCGCATGCTTGCTATACTCTGTACTTCATTATACTGGAGGAAAAGTCGGGGCTGCAAATTTATGGCGCAAGTCTCTTGACGACTCGATAAGTTCTGCATGGACTGCTTTCATCGGCGTGAGGACCACATTTCCAGACGAGAATGGTAAGATTCGAGCTCCAGCACTCAAGTATGAAGGTCATGGTTAAGTCTAGGACGTTTCCCGCAAGTACAGCTGCTGCACGAAGAGCCAGCAACCTCTGTTACACTCAACATGGAGCGTTTATGCATGTCCGTTCAATTGATAGGCAATTTACTTCAGTACGTCTTAAAATCATCACATCATCATAATTAAATTTCCCCATCCACGTAGGTCCCCTACTCAACGACCTGTTCAAGTACCTGTTGGTTCATTGATGAATCTAGCCTCAAAAATGCTACTTGTGGCTGTCGAGGATGAGGTGGGTAGATTTGTTTTCCGAGTGGGACATTGTGCTGAAACTCTGCTAGACGCCATCTAACATAGATCCCATCGTTTGGGCTATGGAGACAGCTGTCATTCCAAGGATTTGGAGGGCAGCTTGCGATTTGATCAAACGGCTTTGCGAATGGTGCGTTTGCCTTGTTCTACCTCTCATCCCTTCTAATCAAAGGTCCATCAGCATTGACCGCCATTTGACCACATACTCGTCGAGGCTGCTGTCATATATTGCCTTCCGCCTCGAACAAAAAATCTCTTTGTAAGCAATGAATAGTCCCGTTTTATCACTTATGAAAGCTAATTGTAATTGATGTAGGTTTAACCAAATACCGTTTCTGGAGACAGTGCATGCACTACTAACGCGATGTCATCCTTCTCATTCACCACTCCTATCTTCACGCTTGACAAGAATTGCTTTGTCAAACCTCATGGTCATCCTGCCTAGTCAAACCGACGTGCAAAACAGCATGGCTCAAACAGGCGGTACGAATAAGAGCAAGAAAGGCAGGAAAAGAGCGAGAAATTATGAAGGAGATGAACTGTTCAAAGCTTCGGGAGATGTTATATGTCCTACAATAGACGACGTCAAGTCGCTTCTGATTTCTTGCGATGGTAAGAAGCCGTACGCTTAGTTCTTGTGATTACTCTACAACTGATTGCCTTGCTAGTTCTACGATTACTTCTTCAGAATGCAAATGTAACTCCTGCACTGCATTCAATGGCATCTCGGGTCATTTTAGCCATATCCCTCGAACTACCGCAGATGACGCCAGCCACGCTATCTCCCGATCCACATGCATACCACGCTCTAGTACAGAAAATTCGAGATACAGCGGTCCAGCTAGGATCTAGTACTACAAGTGCTATGAGTCAGAGTTTGAACCTTGTTCTCAGCACGACTTCCGGTACAGACGATCAGGTAAGGAAAATCAGTTTATGTAGATACATAATGTTAAATATTTGCCGATAGGATTCATGGCGCAAAGTAGACATGCTCATTCACCCTCGGTTTCCTCCACTACTTCGACCGCTACCAAAACTTGATTCATTCGCCTTATTCCGGTCCGAAGAGAGTGCTGAAGAAGCGGAGGAACGACAACACTTAGGTCTAAATGTCCCCTTAGCTCAATCGAAATCTGTATCCGCTGCGATACAGGATATCCACATGGATAATTCTTTGAAATCAGCAGGGTTATCTATCGTTCCTGCTCCTCTCTCGACGGGGCTTTCCATCACATCACAAATTTCTACGGCCTTCCCTGTTGAACGCCGCCCAGATGTAGGGGCTCCCTCGTTATCGATGACGACCACTGCTGAATTTCAGAGGAATTTGACTTCATCGTTGCCCTCCGTTACTCCCAGGGAATCTGCTGCCTCGTTCACTCAACCTTCGCAAGCTAGTGGGTCAACGGAGGAGACGAATGCTACTACTTCAGAAGATTTGGACCTCGACGAGGATATGCCATCAATAAACTTGGAGTCCGATTCTGATTCGGAATAACATATGGGTCGTCAATGACAATTCTCATACCCTGAAAGATATATGCAAGGTAGGATGTGTCTGAGGTTATACTATACAAAGTACTAATATGCAATACAGATGAGTGAATAATGATATGCAAAGCAATCAAATGTCCTAGTTCGGTGTGAATAGTGCTGGGTCCATCTTAATCGCTTCATATACGTGGAATGTTCGCACATGTGTGGGCTCCGTGGCGCTGTAATCTGGAGGAGCCATACTTTCTCTTCGTGTCTGGCTCGGAACCATGGCTGGTTCGTGCGATGTAAAGCTCGGCAGATATGATGATATGGTTCGTGTCTCCGAAATAACACTTGGAGATCGGATCCTCTCGTATCTGTCGATAGACTGGTGTGATTCCGATATGGGAGTACTGTGTTGAGGTGGAGAGGCCGAATTACTACGCCTGGCCCTGGAGCTATTTGCCGTAGCTTGAGAATCTTCCATAGACCATGCGAAATGGTGTCGAAGTTCACTGAAATGAAGATTTAGTTGGCAAGTTCTTATATCAAGAATTGTAGATTCTCACAAATCGTAGTCCCACATGGCAGAACGAGCATCACTAGTGACAGAAGACATGGAGTAGATAGAATTATGGTCTGATTCAGACCGCCGATTTTCCCGTCTGAAGCCACGTTCGGTATCCACCGAGGTAGAGGATGTTGAAAAAGGCACTAATAAGGTGTTCAAAGTCGTTGGTAGTGGTGGGTTCAACCGTGAGTTCAGGAAGCTTGTATTTTTTTGAGATAAGAATGATAACCAATTCTACGAAGAAGATAAGGGCATACCTTTCGTATTCCCACATAGCCTCCATGAACGTATCGTCCTCCGTGTCGATATCCAATGTTTCTGAAGCGTGATCAGATAAGGCTGCCTTGGAGGATAGCAGAATACGGGGATGCTTCATGGCATGTGCCTGTAGCTCCGTGTTGGACATTGGAAGTAGAGTAGATGGCCACAGTACAAGCCCAGGCGAAATCTCGAGCGGATTGTGTTCATTGGGATCCGCAGGTTCTACATCAATATCAGGTGCATGAGAACTCGATGCGCGCGTACGTTGAGCAGGGAAAGATTCTTTTGAATCAGCAGGAAAGGTGTTTGTAGGAGTAATTGGTCGTGCATCGTGGAGCGCTGTGGTGAGATGCATGGTCCTAACTTCCCTCGAATGACCAAAAATTTGGGATAACATCTCCTGAATGAATTCGGAAGGACATAAATGGATCCCGAATCGGAAATTCATCATCTGTTCGAAGAGCGCCTCTAGCTCCTGCGACGCATCCACCTGTTCGGCCCAGTACTGGAATTCGACATTGGGTACACTGACAAATGCGGAGGTTGCTGCAGGCGTTGTGACACCCAGAGGTGGCGATCTTGCATTCCGGTGCGGTCTAGGACCAGCTCTGTTCCCATTTAAGGTTGCAGTATCAGACGCATCCCCTTCATCGTCGGCTCCGACTCCGAACAAGTCTGGGTCATGTCGCTCTTGCGATGACGGTCTGTTTCTGCGATGAGCTTCAGAATTCATCGGCGGAAGTGTCGGGGGTGACGATAGCGGTTTCCCGTAGGGGAAGAAAATGTGGTCGTCAATTAATTCCAAACGTCCTCCAATCGATAAAACTCGACAGACTTCTCCCAAAACATATTCCCATTTGTCATACGATATGGCATAAGTCAGATTCGCCATACGAACAAGGTCAAAAGATTGGTCAGGAAAGGGAAGTGGTTGCTTCAGGCTGCAATGTCCATGAGCTGCGAAAACTTGAAGGAACGGTAGTCAGAATGACTCACAAATTGCTCCGTACAAACTTAATGTTTTCGGCAACGCCATGCTTTATGGCTAGTGGACGCAGCACTTTCATAGTATCTGCAATATCCACGCCTGTAAAATGGGTGCCATAACCTTTCCAGTGAATGGCTGCCTCCAAAATCCAATGTCCTTGCCCTGATCCAAGATCTAATACACTGGAGGGAGGATCATTCCCAAAATGGCAAAATGAAGGCGTATCAGTGGAATTAAGACGCCGAAGGAGTGTATAAGTAGACTTGTCGCTGGATATCAAGAAATCATTCAGTAACTTGAATGCCTGCAATATTAAGTCTAGAAATACTGACCTATCGAGAAGCGTCGAATCATATGGATCGAGAGGATAAGTACCAAGCTTGGAGGGGATCCGGACTGCTGCTTCACTGCTATGCGCCGCTGTATAAACCTCTCCAAACTCAGCAGCAGTAGGTGTAGGGGTATCAGGATCAACATGCGATATAGTATCGTTAGATTGAGGAATTTCTGGTATGGCTGGAAACTGATTTCTAGAGCTGCTTTTCTTTTTCCGATTAAGGGAAATGCCCATAAATTTCTGGGCGGCCTTGTCCCCTTCATTTTCGTATTGATCCAAAACCTTCTTCTTTCTAAACTTCCGAGGCCCGACGTTGGGATGAGCACGCGATCTGGTCGTTGGAAAAACGAAGCCCGGGTCTGAACTCTTCATTGACGAGCCAGAAGAGTTGCTCGCCGAACCGAAAGACCGTGGGGATTTCAATGAGGGTGTGGAGATCGACGACGGTCCTATCATAGATAGTCTTAACCCGGCGGACGTTGCTCGAGAAGGAACACGATAATCGGGGCTTTGTGGGCTATAGCTACCTTTATCAACTACACCGGTGGTGACTGCGTCCAGCTCTGCACCCTTACTCCTTTTCTTGAATTTGAATATCGGGCCGCCGGGGGATGGCCTCCCCACTGAGCGAGATGAAGGATAAATGAAACCCGGCGAGGTCTTACTGGGCGATGAAGAAGACGGTCGTTCCAACTCTGCACTAGAACCAGAAGATGAAGAAAAAATGGATGCCGGAGCATTCACTGCCAAAGACGTCGATGATCTCATACCGCCAGACCTTGTAGAAGCAGAATCGGAGGAAGACTCTGAGATCAAACTTGGTAAGGTCGAGTGAGCGGCACTGGCCGGACTTAAGCTTAGCGGTGAAAGAGGATCGGAGTTTGATTCTGGCGGAGAAGGATAATTACTATGAAAAGCATGACTGACCATCCTTGACTGGGAAGAAGAGTCTGTCGCTGAAACGCTAGAAACCGAAAGCATTGATGTTGGCGCAGAGCCATAGCGCATCGGAACATGTCCCGACCGCAATTCCGGTTGTTTCAGAAGAGGGGAAGGGGAGGGTATTCGTTCCAATGAAAATGGCCTCATTGAAGAATCGGAGGATGTGCCGCGAAAATCAATGTCTTCTGCAGATCCTGGAGGAGAAGGATATAGATCAAATGTGCGCGGGTGGGTAGGACCAGTAGCGTAGGATGAAGGAGGCGCCCTTGTAGCTTTATGTCTGATTTCTGACGGGCCATGGGAGTGGAGAGCACCGCTGCCCGAGCTTATCTGCGGATGCCATTGTGTTTCAGAGGAAGGTATTCGCGATGTGGAGGGGACTGCTAGAGTAAAGTCTTCGTGATCAGATGTGTCTGAAAGATTATATGGTTGTCGGAATGTAGTTTGATGCACAGTAGGATTCGATAAAGACGAAGGTAGAGATGAAGATGAAGGTGGCGATTTCGCGTCAGAAGTGAAATTCTTCTTGAACGCGGACTTGAAAGAGCTCGTCTTCTGCTGCTTTGGTTGCTGCAGTCGTTTCCTTCCTGCAGCGGTGCGCGAAGACATTGTCAAAACACGTTAACCCGAATGGCGCACGGCTATGCCAATGCTAGACCTGAAAGGATAAGAAGTTACAAAGAGAAATAGAAACCGTGGCGCATAGAGCAAGAGGCACTGGACATGGAAGAAAGAGGTAATATCGAAGCACCAGCGACCTTCAAGTAGATCAATTTGGCTGGAGATAGGCTACTCAATAAGCCCGATCGGAGCTTTCCGAATCGTTTTTTCGACAGTGCCGAAATGCATGGTGTACAATTTTCCACAGATCCCTGTCGTGCGCTTTCAATAAGAGTCGTATACGGAAAATTCCAAAAGAACATTTATATTAATGTGTACAGCTCATGCTTACGTCCAGCGAATGTTGTACGGGAGGATATCAGCCGCAGATGTTTTTCTACGACCTGAACTATAAGTCTTATCGTCCAATCCACATCCGAGAAGCGGAATTCGGGGATCCCTAAACGCCAAGTGCATCACCGGGTCCTACATGCACTCCTGCCCGTCAATGTCAACTGTACCTTTCAAGGTGCAAATTTCTCGAAAGAGAACTTACGAGGATTCAGCAACGAACGATGACATTGAGAGCCCTCACTCACCACTTAACGCATTCCGCCAGCAAACGGTTGCGCCAGTTGACTCCTTTCCACTCCTTTTCATTGATCGGTCAGGTCCAGAAAGGTCCAGCTTGCATTATGATAGTCCATATGGTCATGCCCACGCAGCTCTTGATGATACTAACAAGATTCGTTCCAGTTATAAGTCGAGTTAATACGTACTGCCGATCAGCAATGTATGATATCGAGTGTCAGAAATGGATGGATTGTATTTTGGTGCATAGATTAGTTGTACATCTGCATGTGCGAGTCAACGGCAACTCACAGAATACACCTTGGAATGACCATTTTGGATGGATTACCGCCGAGGTGACTTTGCCTCATCTCAGGTACGGACACAGTTACAGATATCCTCTCTGTTCGATGAATCGTGTGCTAGGGCTGTACACTTTGACGTAGGGTGTTAAAGCGTATCGGAGCCGCAACAATCTTGCTTATTTGCAAGAATATAAAGGTGTAAGGGGTGGATATGCATTACAGCTTCAAATGAAATGCTGAAAGGGAATTGTGGGATGAGCCAAACGCGTACCATTGGCGCGCCAAGTCAGGTAGTATTACTTTTACGATCCCTCTTCGACCACGACCAAGGGATTGAGAGCACTTCGAAATCACGTTCTGAATGAGCCCTGATGATAAATGATTGTCAGAGTCAGCATGGAATGATGCTACTGTCCGTTCAAAGGTGACAGTGAAGACACAGTAGCAACATACTTTACATGAGCTAGAAGTTCATGGATATATGTTTGTGGTGTATTTGGAAGACCCTTGGGAAGCTCTAGAAAACGGGAAAAGGATGATGTTCTGAATGGACACAGAAAAGTAAGTTTCAAAGGTTTCGATGGAAAGAAGGACTAGAATCTGAACTAGGACTTCGAAGGTGACCGGTGATGTGTCGGCCCATCAATCATCACATGGCAGCTTTCCCATCACTGCTACCCGCATCTCTCGCATCTCTCACATCTCACATTTTCCCGGCGTGCGCTTCTTGGGCTACGAGATACCAGATAGCATTCATAGTGTTACAGGCCTTAATCATCGTAATGAACTTACAGATGACATATCACTTTACTTGACCGTGACTCTTCGAATTCTGGGCGTGTGAGGCACCATGTTGCTTTAAAACCTAAATTGATTAATACAGGATCCTCTTTCGTTGAACAGTTTCCTACCCCCCTCAGCATTTCGAACATCTCGAGTCAAGCTGTGATACTCATAAGCTCCTGAACTAGGAGACCATGGTCAACATCACTTATGATGCATCTGGATCCATCGTATGGCAGGATCCTGACACAGGAAAAATCTTCGTCTACAACCCTGGGGACATCGCATGGACTTTAGCCTCAACAGCGTACGCGTTTTCTTTGGCTCAGAGGCATAATGGTGAACCAGCATTTCTAGATTGGTGTTCATAATGATTCCCGGCCTTGGATATTTTTATTCTGGCCTACTACGGTTCGAAGCTGGAATCCCGACCACAGTATGCATTATCTAAATCTGGTTCATTTAATTATCCAGGCGGAAAAATGCACTCTCGATGATTTATCTGAGTGTAATGACTATAGCAGTCGTTTCATTTCAGGTAGGTACGCACAACTATGTCGCCGCTCTGACCTAATCACAGTCCTTCCAGTGGTTCTTCTGGGGCTTCTCTTTGACATTCAGTGACACTGGTAGTGCGTTCATTGGAGACTTACGTACGATACAAACCATCTACAGAAGAACGCTTATCTCAACAGTGCTGTGACAGGGTATTTCGGCCTCAAAGGAGTCCTCGAAAAGCCATCCATTGGCAGCGCTCGCATCCCAAGCATTGTTTTCTGCATTTATCAACTGATGTTTGCAGCCATTACGTGCGTATAGTAGACTTTTTGGTCTTCTACATATATTGATTTGCTTTTAGGCCGATGCTGGCAATCGGAGGGTTCGCAGATCGCGCTCACCTGGGTCCTTTACTTGCGTTCGTCTTCGCATGGTCGACCCTGGTGTACGATCCCATTGCTTGTTGGACTTGGAATTCGAACGGTACGATTATTTCTCCTGAGTTCATACCTTTTACCCAATTGGAAATATACAGGATGGAGTTTTGCCCATGGTTCATACGACTTTGCGGGAGGAACCCCGGTGCATATTTCCTCGGGGAGCGCCGCTCTCGCGATCTCGATCTATCTCGGCAAACGTCGAGGCTATGGCACAGAAGCACTAGCGTACAAGCCACATAATACTACTTTCGTGGTTCTGGGCACTGTCTTCCTATGGTTTGGATGGTAAGCACCAATATCGTTCTCACATCAGGGTGAAGTGTTCTAACGTCTATGATATTTACTAGGTTTGGGTTCAATGGTAAGCGTACATCTTTTCTTGGTCCCGAGCTTGCCTTGAACATTACGGGCACAAAAGGTGGTTCTGCACTTTCAGCCAATCTGAGGGCAGCTCAAGCTTCTATCGTGACGAATTTGGCCGCCAGTGTTGGGGGTTTGACTTGGATGCTCTGGGTAAAAATACTCTCACGAATCCTCCCTTACATTTCTCTAACTTCAGATTTGCCATGATATAGGATTATCGAATCGAACGAAAATGGTCTGCGGTTGGTTTCTGTTCTGGAGCTATCGCTGGCCTGGTCGCAATCACTCCAGGTTCAGGCTTCGTCGGATCTCGTGAGCCCCCGTGCCTCATTGTCTTGGCGGATTTCTTCTTATCGCCTGCTCTGTTTAGCTGCTGCTGTTCTCTTTGGTTTCATGGCTGGCACTATATGCAATTTTGCTACCCAGCTTAAGTTCGTTTTTGGGTACGATGATTCTTTGGATGTCGTAAGCTCATTTCCTCCAAAGACAAATGAGAACTACTAAACTTATCACCCTATCTTACCCCAAGTTCGCATCTCACGCCATCGGTGGAATCGTTGGTAACATTCTCACTGCGCTATTCGCTCAAGCGAGCGTGGCGGGATTCGACGGTTTCACTGTCATCCCAGGTGGATGGCTAGACAGACACTGGATCCAGTTAGCATGGCACGTTGCCGACTCGTGTGCTGGAGTTTCCTATTCGTTCACTATGACCGTAAGTTTATCTGGTTTTAATTTTGGAAAATATTCTCATCGTTTTATACAGACAATCATATTATGGATAATGCATTACATTCCTGGTCTTAGAATTCGCGTTCCCGAGGGTGTCGAAATTGTTGGAATTGACGAGTCGGATATGGGCGAGTTCGCGTATGATTATGTCGCAATGGAGCCTGAGCTGAAGGGGGTGAGCTATGTCTCTTCCGTCGTCAGAAGAGAAAGCGATCCCGAATCACTTATGAAAGAGAGGCACAGCTCAGCTAGTGGTAGTAACCATTAGTTTATCGTTATACATGAGGATATTTATTCACTGATTATGAATTTTCACATTCGTTTTTGCATCTTGATTCTTTGTAGTCATGCCACCACTACATACATATGTTTGTAAGTTGCCACTGTGGACGCTACCAATTAATTGCTTGTTTTAGGAGGGGTGAAGAAAATACAGTTTTATTATACATGTGTATGTGGAAGGGAAGACAACAAGTTCGATTTGAATAGAAACACATAAATAATTGATCGAACACACAATCGATGGCATTACTTTCCAACAGGTTTCCAGTAGTATTGCTTGTATTTTTTCGTCTCGCTACGTTTCCCCGAGCCTGGCATAGTGAGTCTGATGAGTTGGGCTCGCTCCACATCCGGATCGCAGTCGGGAACATAGAAGAAACGGGAGGAAAAAGGCAGAGGAAGATTCCGACTCTCCTGTCGCAAGATGTAAGTTTTTCCTTTCATGTCGAAGCAAGGGACAACAAACGCACATTTCGAAAACTACTTTCAACCATACCAAACATGCCATACCTATCTGCTGACTCTGTCATGACCCTCTCAAACTCGGACACCCACATGATGTCTGTTTCTGACATACCCGCAGTACCACCTTCTTCATTCATAGATGTGTTTCGCTTCGGGCGTCCTCTCCGAGGAAGGTCGTCCTGATTTCCAGGCACATGTCCACAGAGCCCCTTCGAACGAAGTTCCCTAGTCACAACGTCAAGATGAGCCCAGTTTGCTTTCATGAGCTGGGCGAAGACACTGTTTCGTGTCTCGCGCACCGTCTTGTACAGAGAGAAGGCCAGATGCGAGGACGATCGTGAAAGACTCATAGTTTCAACGATGATTCCGACGAGCTCGCGATCGAAAGGTGAAATTGAAGAGAGCGAGGATCTGGGTTTCTGATGATTTGAGCCCAGAGCGTTTTTCTCCTTCGTCGGAACCTCCTCCTCCTCCTCCTCCTCTTCTTCTTCTTCCTCCTCCTCTTCTTCTTCCTCCTCCTCTTCTTCCTCCTCCTCTTCTTCTTCCTCCTCCTCTTCTTCTTCCTCCTCCTCCTCCTCCTCCTCCTCCTCTTCCCCTCCCTCCTCCTCCCTCTTCTCTTTTTCCTCTTCGTCGACGGCCTCACTTTCATCAGAGTCAGTGAGTTCGGATTCCGATGACTCTACATCGTTCGATAGCGCAGGGTGGGACGTATGAGATTTGGAGCGTCGCTCGATCTCAGGTTCCGAGTCAGAGTCAACCATTTGCCTGGAGGACTGTCGAAGAGGTAGCCTTTTCTCCACCTCATCATCTTCATCTTCAGATTCAGATTCTATGACAATTCGCTTGTGCGGAGATCGAAGGAACTTGACCTTGAGCGACCGCCGCTCGTTATCGTCTTCATCTTCGTCTTCGATGGAGCCGATTTCTGGCATGGTCTTGGCTGCAGTCTTTCTTCTGAGGGTTTGGGGTGAATGATGAGGAGACCCATAAGCAGCAGCAACTGCATCCACCCAGTTTTCATCCACCCATGTATTATTGTCTGTCGGAGAAGAGGATTTGTCCTTTGATGGGACAGGAACTTCAACGGGCACGGTCCGGAGCCTTTTCTGTGGATTCGAGGAATGTGAAGGGAAGGCGGGAGAATGCTTGGAAGAGATTGTTGGAGAATGTGCAGAGGAATTTGATATCTCTGGAGAAGGTATTTCGTGGGATGCCTTGCGTTTTGCGGGAACAATGGATAAAGAATCCGTTATGGAGGTATTTGAGGTGTCAAAAGAGGTGCATATAGCTTCAGCGAGAGAAGAAGGGAGAGAGTTTGATGCCGTATTTGTTTGGTCTTCCTCGGTAATGAGTTTCAACTTTTTTCTCGGTGGATCATCCAATACCTTACCCTTCGAAGCTGTCTGACTGGTTCGGCCACGTTTCGAGGACGAGGAATGTGAGTCCAGTGGCTTTGTCTTCGAAGATCCCTTCTCCTTCCCTTTTATCGACATGGATGTTCCTTTCTTTACCGACGCCTCGTTAACGATGTGGTGAATTTTCGGAACAGGCCTCATTCGTTTCACGACAGTTACAGTAACACGGGGTGCACTGGAGGAAATTGAAGGAGCTGACGAAGTAGATTTCATCTTGGTTTTGTTCTTGCTTTTCGCTGGAAGTTGTTTAGGTGAGGCTTTGAGCGCAGAAATAGAAGTAGAAGGGTACGGAGCAACCGGAAGAACTGCAGTGTAATGATCAGCTGCTGTTCGAGTCTGTCTTAACATACATACCTTGTGCTGAGTCGGCACTGATAGAAAGTAGCTTTGATTCACTGAAGATGGAAGCAGGCGGTGGTTCATCTTTATTCGAGGATGATTTGTATGGGCCACAGTCGTCGATTACCTGTGATGGCGAATGTTGGCTTTCTGTATTTTGATTCAGTTCTGGTGCTAACGAAAGGGATATTTAGGAGAGTAATGTAAGAATGGAGGAACTTATTCCTGCTCACCTGACTCTTCTGTAACCAATGTTGCGGCCACTTTATTCGATTCAAGATCGATGGCTCCGGCAGGCGAAAAGGGGTGGTCGTCGTCATCGTCAGCTTCCACGGCAAAGTTTGTGACTATAAGGTCCTGCGTAAGCGCCGACGTTGGAGAGCTATTGTCTTCGAGCTGAGATACTTCGTCAGAAACAGGATTGAGAGATTTATGCGACTACAGATTCAATCAGTTTAGAGCGGGTGACAATGAACGTCGAGAATCAGACCTCTATGCCCTGAAGTCCCAGGCAGTCTACATCAACTCGAGGCTCTGCTGTAAGATTCATAACATCTGTCAGGGGAGTAGCTGTGGTGACAGAAAGATCATTCCCATGCATCAGGGGAGAAAGTTGGGCTTCCGAGGTCGGCGGAGACGAAGGGGGTAATGACGACAGATACGCGGATGGAGAGGATAACGGTGAGGTGGCGGAGTCAATGTACAAAGCCTCTTCCGTCTGATCCGGAGACTGCTGAAGCACATCTACTTTGGCTTCCGAGAAATCTGGGTTGGCCATATCTGCAATCTCAACCAGCTGATTCAACCTGTAACGTACATTGACAGGTTCCGGGGTGCACCGTTCACGTTCAGATGACTCTTGGAAGTACGTTCGACGGGGAAAGGGTGAAACTTTGCTCGGAGAGAAGAATATAATTTCGGTATCTTTTGATGTAGAGGGTGTGTCTGTGTCTGAAAACAGATTCTTTCGACGAGTGGGAGTTTGATGGATAATATGTGAAGAAATTGTTTGGATAGGAATGGTGCTTTCGAGATCCAATAACACATGTCCAAATGCTGCGTTTGTACGACTCGAGGTCCGATTTCGAGTGCAATTATCCTGTAGTTTATTTACATCAATTTCCGTATAGCCTTTGATGTGCTGGGGAGTCGAAGGTATACTAGTTTTGGTAATGGGTTGTAATGTGTATGATGAGGTGACGTCGGGTTTGGGTCGAATTACAGAGAAATTTTTGAGAGGAGGAAGGGTCGCTTCGAAGGACGGAGACGATATCGGCGAAGAATATGTACGGATACGCAGGTCCTCCTCTTCTGGCCTTTGTACCAGAGAGTCATAACGCTCGCTTTTGCCAAACAGGGACTTGAAGCTCGGTAGCTTAGGCCTCAAATCATTTTCGTCGTTTTGGGAAAAATATCGTACATCCTCGTCGTACTGCCCATCCCGAACCAAGTCTGACTCATTGGTATCCCGACCGACAATTTGAACTCTCGATGCATACGCATAGTGATGATCATCGTTCAAGCGCGTAAAAGCAATGAGAGGGGAAGTGACAGGGGGTGGTGATGAAGAGGCCGTCGAAGGTGACGAAGGTCGTTGTGCATATGATGACCTACGCGAATATCTAGGGTTTGGCGATGGATATGTCGAAGAGTGGCCAGAATGAGGAGATCGGGAGTGTTGCTGAGGTCCATGTGGATATATGGCAGGTGATAACATTGGTGACGAGGGCAGTGGTGAAAGATGTGAAATTTCGTGGGGGTGAAATTCTTCAGTATCACTATATCGACGTGATTTCAATCCATTATGCGTGTCATACAGCATATGCTGTGAACTTTTGCGATTCTTCAGCGTCGATGAGGAGGAAGCCGGGAACATGGAAGTAAAGGTCGGACCTAGGTCATGAGCTGATTTGATATGTATTTGCTTCTGATCAACAAAGATTGAAGTAAACAAAATCACGATCACCTGGTACATCCGCTGCGGACCGTTCTTCCGTGGACGACGCGTAAAGGAAATATTCTCAAAAATGGTTCGTCGATATATCGAGAATCAAGTCGGTCAAATAAAGGTACTAATCCTACAACTTTTCATATTCAATGCTCGCTAAGACGAAGGCCGCAATCCCTTTTAGGTCATTGATGTCGATCGGTTGACTAATGTAGTACTGAAGAGCAAGCACGGTCAGTCCAGTTGGTAGTAGAGGAACAGAAAGTGAAATCAAAAGAAAACGTACATCGAAGTCGCCCTCAAGATTCAAGCTTCCTACCTATACATCAAATTTAAGTATTGGTGATGAGAAGAAAAGTTTAAGATGGGACCCACAACGACTGTATTGTTCCAACTCATCGTTCCATTAACATCAGGAATGACCCAATTTTGCACCATATATCCGTATGCCTTCTTCGCGGCCGCGACAATACTACCATCAGGATCCTGCACGCGACCCAGACGAACTGCTTTCAACAGTGCGTATACAAACATCGCCGAACCACTGCTTTCGAAATAATTTCCTGCGCGACCTGGTTGAGTGATAACCAACCACCATACCCCGCTCATATGATCAGTTGCATCGCGAATGTGGGGAGTCAAGGTTTGGAGAATGTGCAGAAGGACATCGTGACCATAGTGAGAGGCAGGTAAAATGTCCAAGACGTCGACCAAGGCCATCATGTACCAGCCTATATATACAAGTCAATAATCAAGTTCGAGCATGTATTCACCTAAAGCACGATCCCAAACCTCCGGAGAATGACCACGATCTGGAGATGACCAGACTGCTACATGAGAGTAGTCATATCCATGATACATGAGATGAGTGTTATTTGGGGCCGTTGCATTTTGTATGGTGTTTTCGAACATTAGTTGAAATTGAGAGGTGATATCGTCCCATGCAGTAATATTATCTGGCTGAAGATCGTGTGTGTATTGAGCGTAGAAGACTTCGCCCATATAGATCCCATCCAGCCAACCTGCAGAAGGAGTCAAGTGTAGAAAATCTCGAGTGAAATTTTGGAGCGATCATTACCTTGATTGGGATAAATGAGTTTGTGCCAGAACTGACCTTGAGCAGTACGAGGATGAGAGTTAAGCTGGCCTCTGAATATATCGGCGGCTGTCTCCCATTTCGATTCTCCAGTTATATTCAACCTTCCTGCAAGTCAGAAAGATTCGGGCAATCCGATGAATAATAACCAACAGATATAAGAACGTTGGGCCAGTTCTAGTCAGTTGCAATGAAAACTTGAGAATACCTCTTTGATCATTGCATACACACCTTAGGGGATCTAGGACGTAGTCGGTGACACTGAAACGTGAAATGAATATAAAATTGTTCCTGCTATGTGATGGGCTTTGCGACTCACTTATATGACCCATGAACTGTTCCATTGTCGAAAACGATGTTGTTCGCTCCAGTCTTGATATAATCAAGGTAAGTCTCGTTCTTGTCTCGCTCATAGAGAAGACGAAGAGCCCATTGGAACTCTCCGTGGTCATAAGCGACTAATGGTACACCATTCGATAATCCATTGCCTTGGCCACGAGCAATTGCGGAATTTGCAGCCCATACAGCGTATGAATTTGGCTTTGCCTGAGCCAAAGAGGCAAAGACTCCAAGGGATAACGCAACGAAAAGTGCCTTCATTTCAAAAGCCACATCCGAGTTCTACAAGAATGACATTCTTTTATAGGTGCATCAGCCCATGATTAGTAGGCCGGACCGCCTTGAACAATCTGCACACGAGTGAGAAGGAGTAACGTCAGATGAGCATTGATGTAATGAAGAAGACTAGTCGGCAACTCAGAAAGTATGTTAGCGCCTATTAGCGCTCAAAATAGGGAATTCGAAACGAATCTTTATTGTTACTAAAAATCGTAGATAGGATGGGATGGATATCAAGGGATTGCGCGCATCAAAGAGTCGTCCGAGAGCGTCCGAGCCCATCCAGGAAATCCAATAAATGGAACCACAATCATGGTGAGAAAGAAAGTGAAAAATTGGGAAGGCACTGTGGATTTGCGAAAGCAATCTCATCAGCCTGGTCGACATAGCTGCACAGCGCGTCACGAAGACGACGAATTGTGAAGATTCAGAGAGGTTCGATTTCGGATTTTGTCAGTCAGTTCTACTGTCCTTGACCTTGTGACTTTGGAAGTTTATCGATACTTGAGGGTCAATGGCTTAGGGAAGGCGATAGGAGTGCTGGATTTAGTTTTGAATTCTCGTGCCGAGTCGAGTATAGAGGGGCAAAGCGTACTCAGTTTACCGGCGCTACTCATCACGAAAATTCTTTCCATTCCTTCATGTCTGCTAAGCAAGATTATCTATCTTCTCACTTTGAACAAAGTCGGGCGGATGTAGTTGAATATGCTGGATGGTGAGTTAAAAAATGCAGGTGCGAGATTGAGTTTCAAAAACTCAAATTGGCTCAGGATTGAACAGAAATATGCGCGCCCTGCGCTTCAGAAGGTGCAGTCATCCTACCAAAGGCACCCTTTCTTATCCGTATGTCTTCTATTACCTCGAAATTCCTGCTGTTGATCCCATAATGCAGGTTTTCGCTGCCGTCTTCATACTGTTGAGTCTTTTACCGGTCGCGATATACATGCAAGTCACATTAGTTTGTAATACAAATCCATAGTACATACTGATACAAAGTTTGCAGCGGTCTCTGTCTGTTCACCCTGACTCTACTTCTGCTGTTGGGTCTGTGCGTTGTGGTTCTTGTGTCCATTACAATTGCGTTGGCGTTAGGTAAGCCGTTTGAAGATTATACATAACAGTAGAACATTGACCTGTGTTCAATATCTCCTCCGCAGGCTTTATCCTCTCATTAATTCTCTTAACCAATCTCTTGCTGTCGATCTTCATCACATTCTTTCTTGTGGTCGCTTACTTCTCGTACAAGATCGTCTTCGCAGGCTACACGGATGGTTTTGACAGTGCTCGTCTACAAATTCTGGAATCCTTTCATGCGCTTTTCTCTCGTGTTCAAACAATGATGAATCAAAAACCCCCAAAAAATAACGCTCCGGCCGCCGGTGAAGGAAACGTCGACATATCACGCTCTACCAGCCCAAATTCTACTGTGACTGATAATCCAGAGGCCAACAGTGCCGTGCCTAACATTGAAGATTACTCGACGGAAATGAAGCTTGAAAAGGAGTATTGAACTGCCTGTTTGTATTTATAACTAACGTCCGTCCGTTGCATCGATGTTTTCTGATCTGTATACTAGTGTACCTCCCAATTAATTCGCGTTGTTGTTACATTGATGCAAGTCCGAGAGCAAGCCGAACATGCTCCAGCTTCGTGTCATGGGCCCGCTATATGCTGAAACAGACTTCTATACGCATCTATGCGATATGCTGTCAATATCACGACCGAGTATACTCCGTGGTTGCCTTCCACTGAACACCGAAAAATAGGCATATTTTCGGGAAACGTCCATGCTCATAAAAGACCTTTGCATCCTGTCACACGAATCATCAAGATCACAAGGAAACCATGGTCAAAACGTTGGAAATCTGCTCTGTTGTAACCCTTATTTTCGCTTACGCCAACGCGCAGTCTACAGCGTCGCAGTATGGTCAGGTAATGTTGAAGAATTTGAATCATAACCCTGATACTGATATGCTATTTTTGCAGTGTGGTGGAATTGGTTGGACAGGAGCAACGTTATGCCCCTCGGGATGGTCATGCAACGTTGTCAACGATTATTATTCGCAATGTCTTCCTGGAGCGGCGACCAGTACTGTGACCGTGTCTGCCTCTTCTGCCTCAACGTCTGGAGGAAGTACAAGCACATCTGCAACCGCTCCAGTAGCCACTTCTACCCTCCTTCCTGGAAATTCTTTCATTCGTTCCGTGGTACGTCCTTAAATTATCTTGTAAACCTTCCTGGAACAATCTTTGTTTTGTTACAGGAGGATCCATACTTCCACTATTATCTTCAGTCTATCACTCCCGGAAACGCCACAGCCGCTATCATGGGCGTATATACCAGTGCGGCACAGTTCCAGGTCACCGGTGGTCAACTCATCCAAGAATCAACCCCACCTTTGTATGCAATCGTTGAGGACCGTGCCAATTCTACTGTCATGAAACTGGGTGTTTCTTGGAGTGAGACTCCCGCGACTAGCGGGACGTTTGATTTCAGTGGGGATACTATAGAGTGGAGCATACCTACAATCGACAGACCTCAAGTGAATGTACGTATCTGGTTTTTCCGAAGGTATAAAACTGGACTCATTTTCGTCGGGTTTAATGCTAGGCCTGGTTGGTTTGCCCGGATGATGAAGAAAACAATCTGCTTTTCGTGAATTTGGGTTATTACGATTATGAAACTCCAACAGGTTGTGCGGACGAAACAATTCATTTCTACACGGGTGCTACAGCTGTCCCGTGAAAATCATGATGATACATAGTAGGACTAGCAATGTAACGAACATATATACAAACTCTAAGAAAAAAAACTTGATCTGTTTACACAGATGGACATTCCCGGATGGACAATTTATCTGAAAGCGGCTTTTCAATATCCTCGAGCTCGATAGATGCTTCCTCTCCGTCTACAATGTTCGCGATGAATTCAAACTGTTCGTTCGGTGTTGAGGTTGTTTTGGGCCAAATTCGGTAGGATGTCCAGTACATAGAAGCGGCAATGGCGTATGTTAGGATGAAGCTAGAGGTAAATAGCTTTGAATCGATGGCAGGACAACATTAAGGAAAGGTAACAACGTACGACAGGGTAGATAGCCGTGCGGCATTCAAAGAGATATTAACATGGTTTGAGATGGTCCAAGCAAAACTAACAACAAATATGACATGTGAACGAACGTTGATCAAAGAGGAGCGTTTATAAACCTACCCAGGTAAACACGGGATTAAAGCAAGCACTGTAATGATGGGAGCCCGAATGTTCCATCCCTGTGCTCTAGGATGAGTAGGAGCAATCAACAAGTCAGGAAAGTGAACTTCACTTTCTTGTACCAGTAAAGTCCTCCTGGTCTTCCATTGTACAATTCAGCGATGACAATATTACCGTGCTGAATGAAGAAATAGTCGACAAATATAATGGCGGCCACAGGAGCTAGCCAGTAGCCATATCCACTGAAGACGAGATGAGGGGTCCACGAAACAGTAAATATACTAATAACTTACGCCAGGAATGCCAAGAAAGTGGTTCCATTCTGAAGTATTTTCCATGGCGCGATTGCAAGTCCAAGGAGGCAACAACTATGACGTATGGCAAGGAAGAACGGAACGTTACTATATATTTTCCTTTCTGATGCCACGATGCCACGATAACTTACAGAAATTGTCCTCGCTGGATATTCATGTATTTGGGGAAGAGGGCGGAAACATCGGATCCAAAGGGCAAGCACTGTAATTACAAGTATGTCAGCAAGCAGGCACCCGCGCTACTGATGTCCAGCTCACATTAGTCGCGAGATTTACACCAATGAGTGCAAGGGCTATACTTCCTGCCGCCAGAAAGATCCCGAACCTAGCTCCAGAGTTGTGGGGATACTGATCTAACATTTTCTGTGTGACATCCCACAGATTCCATAATGGGGCACCGTACATCTCCTGTGAGGCAGACGCGACAAGAACGCCGAAGAGACCTGGAAGTGCAGAGGCCAGAGGGAAAACAAAGATTTGTCCCCACAGTTGATCGTTGGGTGATTTCGCGTAACGTGCAATGTCAGCTTGGTTCACGGTAAGCGAGGAAACAGCGCCAAATCCACTGTTGAATGCTTGCATCCAAAGCCAAGCACGGGTAGTTCCAGATAACTGTGTACTATTTTGTGAAGGAAAATGAACACCTCCGTTCTTCCGCATCCACCAAGCGAGTATACCATGCATGGCGGTCAACTACAAAGTATATAGTATGAGGCCTCTTTGACGATGGAATATGTAAACTCACCACGATGACCGATTTAGCAACGTAAAACCACTTCAGGTCTCGAGGATGTATGAAAGTGAGGCATTGAACTGAATCGGGAGGTTCAAGCGCTTGTCATCCTAGAGAAAGCTATAAGGCTCACATATGAACCACGCGATAATGACTACGATGGGGCATGATAAGCAGGGTTAACTTATTCGTCCGAAAAAGGCTAGTACGTACATCCGGTAAGCTCTCTAGTTGTGATCCCTGCGGATTCGGGTAGCGTGTTTGCAACGAGGGCCCACGAGGGCCAAATGCATTGAAGGCACACGTCTACTAGTCGACCAGCATAAAACGTATTAACTCCATTCCAGATAATCTGGAAGATAGTTAAAGAATGTGCTTCGCGGGAAGACGTTGTGATACACATACACAGATCACAGCTCTGAAGGTTGAACGATGATGTGAGATAGAAAGAATATACAAGATCACTCAGACATACCTCATTGCTACTGCCATATAGGAGCCCCACATTCCCCAAGACACCCTGGCGCAAACAGGAAACCCTACATGATACCGCGAAGCCATTCGACCGTTAGCGACTATCAAAATCGTCTATCAAGCAAGTCAATACACGATCATCGAACCGGGGCAACAATGAAGACGACTGCATACCCCGATCATATGAGCAACGTTTAGAGCGAGCCAGGCTTGCCACCATGTAAGTCCTAGCGCTACTGTAGCGCTTCCTGCTGTCCAAGCCGTTGCATCAGAAGCATGGGCCGTCCAAAACGCAGCGAACGTCCAATAGGTCCACTTGCGTTCTTCCGGAGGCGTTGGGGCAAGGCTGAACAGGATTATAGTCACTAGCTAGCTAGCGCGGAATTGCGCTCGACATACTCTTGGTTGCTCCATTGACTGGATACACCTATTCAATGTCAATCACAACGTTCGTGATACATACAACGAAAATCATACCTTCAGTGAAGAGCTGGCCTTGGGGAACCCGAAGAGAGTCCTTCAAATAATCCCAACGAAATTGTTGGATAGATTGAAAACAGCGGAATCGAGCCATCGACTGGGGATTAGACCGGAGGAGACTTCTTATACGCGTCAACAAGATATCATTTTGTGAATGCTGCAGCCAACTAAGGGCCGTGCGCGGTGTCTGGAGACAGATGAAAACATTTCCGGGAGACTTTCAAGTGATCGTCGAAACATAAGCGGATCTCAAATTTCTGGCCCAAAAGTTCCATTTTTGGTTATCTTCTTTTTTTTTCGGACGATAGACGCCGTCGTCGCCGGGGAGTCAACGCCACAAATGTGCATGTACACAATTGTACTGCTAACTTGGATGAGGGGAACAATCCTTGACAGCAATTAAGTATCTCAAGCAAAAGAAAGCTACTGGCTACTACACATAATACCTGCATAATACCTATTTATAACAGATAAAGACTAGACAGTCCGTGGTAGCCCGGAGTCACCGTGTGCAGCACAGTAAATCATGAGATTCTGCAAGACAATTGCAGTAGATTTCGTTGCTCCTCGATTCAGCAATTGATTGATTATCATCGACATTCCCAGAAGAATGGGCCCCAGTAGGATACTTTAGTTGAGATTGCAAGCCGAATGCCTATACATCTCCAGAGTTTCCCTTCTTAGCTCAGATAAGCCAGTGGTCTCGGGGTATTCCATTGCAAAATGCGAAAGTCGCATTGTCATCATCGAATCTCCTTCCAGCTGGGATCACTCGCGTCCATAATTAAGAAGTGATACCACGTAGAAGTAATCGGTGCGGTGGCAAGATGCCATAATGCGTGAGCATCAAGGGCTTTTCTCCACGGAGGAAAATCGAAAAGCTCGAAAGCTGTAGCCGCAGTAGTTAGAATCACTAGAAGTGCAGCCCTACCCGCGACGCGTGGACGATAGCTTTTTGGACGATTTGGAAATCGCTTTAGCAAGGAGATCGATGCTGGTAAGGAATAGAGTAACCACAACGCGTTATGACTGAGGCCGAGAACGAGGTTGAAAATAATGTTGTACTGATAGTCGAACCGGGGGGGAAGCGAGAGGTAAAGGATATGTCCGATGAAGGCAAGAATGCAGATGATGGTCCAAATTCGGAGGACAATGATCCTTGCAGGAGAAGCTCGCTCGGACGTCGAAGGCGTGTAGAGATGGAAGAAACGGATCACAGTGAAGTACAATGCAGTCAGAATGGTTAAGGCTGCGGAAAAGTAGTCCAACTTCTCAGTCAATGGCGTATCTGTTTCAGAAAGGTAAGGGTCACTTTCAGTGTACATGAAGTTTCACAATATTCACCTCGAGTATGAAAAACTGCAGACCAGATCCAGGTATTCATACTTGCAATTGACCAGATCAGATAGAATCCTTTCAGAGGATGCGCGCGAGGTATGATTCTTCGAATTTTCGAGTATCCTTGAATATGTACCCATAAATTTAGCAGCGAGAATAATACGCTACAGGGCTCCTGCATGCCAGCGACGCGTACGAATGGCCATTTACCGTAATATTGCAACGGTTGTTTACCAGCAGCAATCGACTGGGAGGTGATTTCATGCATGCAGTTATACCTGCAGTTGTCCAGGCAAGTCCATCTTGTGATCCTAAGTGCAAGTGGTAGGGGCGTCGGGGAAGGACCTTTGCATTCACGATTGTCGCATAGAAACGAGCACCGCTGAAACTCTTGAGCTCGATCCCCTGCAGACGCATAGACAATGGAAAGAATCGCGGAAAATTCCAGTAGAACGGCGATACGCATAGGAGATAAAGGCTCGACACATCCCTACACATCCCGATTGTCGTGAAGGTGCGGAAGCGCTGTGAAATTATATAATTAAGCGCCCAGGGTTGAGTTGAACGCGTTCAACAATCAGCGAGAATTTCAGAACTCACGCAAATCTTTTACCTCCAATATGATATCAAAAGGGCATGTTCAAATTACCATAGATCAAGTCTAAGCACTTGGAGTCATCAAGCCGTTCGAAATCTTGTGAAATCAGGACGACCTTCGAGAGCGTATTAGAGACTGAAAGGGGAACCTGGACTGTTCAATTGCTCAAATCCATCATGCAAGAAGGCTGAATTCAAGGCTTGCTCGAGGTGTAAAAAGGATATACCATTGGTCCGAGTCTTGTCCGCGCACCAGGAAACGTTTCAAAAAGTACACTAGCCCTTACACAAAAAGAGTTGCGGAACTCACGCCCCTTCAACGAAATCCTCACTCGGTATGCGACTGGCTAATCTCTCTTCAACCGCGATTCAGATTGTCCAAAATTTCGTTGGATACGCTATCATCGCCCTCGACCTGACCACCAATTAGCGTGCATCTTGCTCGCGTGATGAGTGGACAGGCTCGATCTGGATGCAGATCTGGGTCTCATGAAAACCTCTGAGGTTTTTCTGAAAGAGGAGGCTCCGGCAAAGTTGGGAAAGGGAGGACGTCCTAGGAGTAACATTTGTTTTCGTGCCGTTTGTCGAAGATGGTGATGGCTCAGCCGAAGAGAAGACGGCTAAAGGTTCAACAGATGAGACGGTCCAGGCGGATACTCCCCTCTTCATGAGGTCTTCCATGGTTACACAATGTCATATGAACCGAGCTCGAGGAGTCACTTCTGAAGTTGAGTTTCATATGTTTGGTTATCAAACGTATCAACTCAACTCAATAATATGGATACTCAGAGAGCAAGTCGTCGTCTATTTTGCATTAACCTTTTCCCTCAGGCTCTGATTCCTTCATTCGCAGAGGTATCGAATAACTCCATCAGGATGGATAAAGTCAATACTGAACAGAATGAAGCGCCACGGTGTATGGATTTATCGTTGTATTTATCTGCGTCATACTCTAATTCGGACTATTCCTACAGTTTTCGAAAGCAGCATAAGACTGCTCTTGTCTTTTCCCCCTATTTGTTGTGGATTGTGTGCTGTCTACGTGCATATATACATGCAACCACGCAACCTTGCAGTATTACCATAACAGCGTCCTCGAGCAGTATTATTATAATACAAAAACCCGAGCTGTGATTTGTTGGAGTCGGGTGAGAGTTGTGGAAATCAAAGAAATATAAAAAAATATTCATGACATACATACTATACGTCGTCCTCATATGCAAGCGACCAAATGTACCTATATAAATCCAGAGTTTTACGATGCAAACGATGCATTCAACCCACCTTCAAAGTTTCGAGTTATCTTATCGTTTTCTCGGCTGAGTCAATACAGCCCCTTAAAGGATATTCCGACATCAACGTTCCGTGGTAAACTTCGACAGCGTGCCTTGCGGCTGACCTTCATCTCGAAGCGCTCTCGAACTCTTTAGATTTCAAAGGCTCAGCTGGACATACATAACTAACGAGGACTTAATCGTTCATTCGATTCTTCAGTCCTTTTTCATCTACGAACTATTTGCTCTTACTTTTATGGCTTCACTCTCACCGTCCGGCAATTCCACGTCCAGTGCCAGTCCCACTGTTTCTGACACAGGTTCGTCTTCGTTCACGTCGTCCCCGTCGTCCTCGCTCGTGTCAGGTAGCTCATCGCCTTCCACCACGTCGAGTGAGTCCATCCACCCGAGCTCAAATTCTTCCGTTTCCTACTTTCGATGTCGTTTTAACACTTTCTAAATCATCGTCATCTCCAGCCTCGGATACGTCGACGTCTGACACTTCCTCTACCACGTCCACTCCTGATACATCTTCTCCTCCTACCTCTTCTTCCACCTCAACTTCTTCTCCCTCATCTACCGACTCAACAAGCTCTACAACTTTGCCCCCCACATCCAGTACAACAACAAGTACATCAAACGTTCCGACCTCTGCGGCTCCAAGTTCAACCTCAGACACTGATTCCTCAACTTCGACCTCCCCAAGTGCATCTGTCTTAACTGCCCCAGTCACAACTGTAGTACGAACCACTGTCGTGTGAGTATCCTTCATCCTCTGTGACTGATCATTCTGACGCTCGATTTTCCCGCACACCATCTTCATCTCCCGCGTATTCTCCGGTCGCACCGCTTTCCATATACCCGGAACGCACGCCCTCTGTCTCCTTGTTCGTCGGGTTCAAAACACCATAGCGGTACATCGAATGGCCAAACATTCACTACAGTCTTTTCCACAGAATCTGTAGCTCCTGCTGGGTCTACAATAACTGTCGGTCAGTTCTTATCGTGGTCTATATCTGTCTTTAACTTCATCTGATCTTTATGCACCGTTCTGTCACGGATATTCTTAGGTTCTGATTCCACTGATATCACCAACTCTACATCTCACACCGGCGCTATTGTCGGAGGTGTTGTTGGAGGCGTAGTAGCTCTTCTTCTTCTCATCCTTGGCGCTTTATGGTTTATTCGCCGACGCCGGCGTTTACAAGACGAGGCATTTGACGGTAATTTTGACCCCGATCGCATCGTACGCCCGGCATCGGGAGCTGGTAATCTTGGTGGTCGAGGTCCTACTTTACCCAACATTCCTGTCACAAATTCGGATGATCATATAGGTGCTGGGTCCCCACAAATGGCAGAGGTAGAAGACGACGGGATGGGCGGTCGACTCAATGGTTCAGCAATAGGGGCTGGAGTCGTCGCACCGTATCCCCTACATCATCCGACCACGTCCCCAACACGTTCAGCTGCAAGCCCGCCACCTTCTGCTAGATCATGGGGTAACTCATCAGACGCACAACATAGCCTGTATAATGGTCATGTAGCTGATTGGCGTGGGCCCTCTCCGGGTCCTTCGATACCAACACAATATACAGGCGGTTCGGGTTCTGCAGCTCCTCCTTCATCGTACTCACACGGAATGATTTCAAATCTTCCTCCAGGAGCTTCGCCTGGTCCGGCCGGTCCAGGTACACCGAGCAGTGCATATGCATACCCTGGTGCTACAGGAACTCACGGACGTCGGTACTCTGCCGGTACCTCAGCATCCTCTGGAGATCGTCAACCTTTGTACGCAGCCGCTGCAACTGGCAGCGCGAGCAGTTCAACTGGTGGCGGTAGCGTACAGAATAGCGGTCGGTTTGCTGTCGCAAACCCTGATGACGGAACATACGCTGGTGGGTTCAATGAAGATGCCCGTAGAGCGTATATTACTGGCGGGCCAAGTGGTGAGTCACGTTTGATATAACTCTGACATCCATGTCTAATTCCTTGTATAGGTAAATCACCTACTGGCCCTTCGCAATCTCGTCCCCGTGAAGTGCTCGTACACGAAGACGGTGGACGAATCGAAAATGCCGACACCACGCCTGAGTCTGAGGGACCTGAAGAAATACCACCAACTTATGACAGCCTTCTTGGTGCTGCAGGCATGGCTTCTAGGTCCGAAAAACAAAATCGCTCTTAATCTTCAGATGACCAATGAATGATAATAACGAACTAATGGAATATGTATGATATATTACCACACTGATCGTTCCGAATAACTTCAGGCATTCAAGTATGCAGTCAATATTTGCCTTGCTTGCTTCTAGCCGTGTTCTTGTAATAACACATAGACTTTTCATTTGCTTACTCCAAGAAAAATAGGTTGTCTCCTGCATTGACTTGTTCTCCTTCTTGAACACCTTTTCCGAAAGCTTTGATGATTCGTCCTACATGCTGCCTTCCTGCTTTCACAGGAATCTGTGTTTTCATTGCTTCTAGGATGACCAGGGTTTCATCCTCGTGCTGAATTGTTGTTCCAGACTGAACCAATATTTTCCAGATCATGGCAGAAAGTGGAGCAGTAAAATGGACAAGACCGTCTAAAGGATATTCATGTTTAGTGCAATTAATGAAGGGTATGACTTGCGAGGCCATACCCGAATTGATCTGAGTAGTTTCCGAATGTCTAGAATGATTTCTCTGTTCCTTCAACCATTCCTCAAGGAGCAATTGTTCTCTATTCTTGGTCAGCATCTGTGCCCTTCTGAGTTGTGATCGATGACTTACTTTTGCTCTTGCTGAAGAACTGCCTTTGTTTGTTTATTCCGGAAGGCAGAAGTTTCTGTTTCAATTGAGTTTATAAAGTCGGTATAATCTTTCAAGGAAAATATGCAATTCTCCATCTGGATGAAGAATGGATAAGTGTAAGGTAGAAATATCGGTACAAATTTGGCATTTACCTTGAATGAATATTGTCCTGCGTCGAACTGTTGCTCCAACTAAGCCACATGAATAACATAATTTACTAGCAACGACAATAATTAGTCTGAGTTTTCACACACCTTTTGGTACTCTTCTTCCTTGATAACTTCAAAGTGTATCTGGTAGAGATTAATGACTGTTATCTCTTTGAACCTCAGTCATACCTGGTCAAATGGTTGCAACATCCAAGGTTTATCAGGAGAGAAATTGCTTCCCTGGCCCCAGGTCTGCCAAGCTGGTAAAGTTCTGCCATATAATTGATATCCACCGGGAGATTCAACAGGATATATTGCTGAAACCAGACCTGCAAGCCCTACTGCACCCTGTTGGTGTTATGGGAATCTATAAGCTGATAACATAGTACCTCCAAGTTAACAGGTACTTACTCTGGGTGTATAAGTCCTCGATGGGTTCATTTTTTGTCCGACTAATCTACATCTTGGATCAATCTTTATGGAGCAACAAATTCAAGAAAATCACTGAGAACACTTGGAATACTTATCTATCTAGTACTCACGGGAACAGTGAAAGGGCAGGATAGATAAAACCCCACACCAAGCACAAGCTGTATGCAATGTATCATGGTGAGATATTCAATCAAGCTTTGAATGAATAATCATAAAACCGCAACTTACATGATCTGAAGCAACAATCTTTTTGAGTGCAATTTGAGAGCTTCCTAATCCATTATTCTGTGCAAGGTATTCAACATTGCTAGGCAAGTAAACAGCATTGTTACGGATGGTCTTCATATACTGCAAGATTGCATCATTGCACCATTGGTCATTCAAAACCAAGGGAAATGTGAAGCGTCGACCTGGAAAATACAAATTTGTCACAGAATTTGGTAGAGCTCTAGCAGCCTGTGCTAAAACTGTCAAAACCTCTCTTTGGGTAATTGTTTTAGGGTCAAAATAGCACTGAAAATTTTCTCAGCCTTGAACCCCTTCAAAAGTAAGAAGTACCCAACCATTGTTGACCGGATACAAGGCGAGAACTTTTCAATGCCAGTAACTCCTTGCTTCAGGACCTCCAGCTCAAAAGCATGGATGCAGGCCCGCATGGTAAGATCTAGATGCATTGGCCCATACTCTACTAGTATTGTTGAATCTCCAGCCTGTTCAATGTGTTATATCAAATGAAGAATATGTCAAATTTTAATCAAAGACAAACCTGACGGAAAACCACCTTGGGATTTTGAGAAGTAGGATATATTGTGAGAAGTTTTGGATTGAAGTGATGCATATCATGTTCCATCAATGAACCAGCAAGTGGCATAGGAGGACAATCATGGTGGTTGGACAGAGAGTATTCAACATTATTAATCCAGCTTTCCAAAATGTTGCTCAATTGTTTGGCACTGTCCCAGGTCATTGGTATAAATTTGATTGTATCTCCAGGGCTCAGTTGCCCAAGTATCCACCTATGATGAGAATATTGATAAGTATAACTCCATGTTGTGCAAAAGAATTGAATCTTGAGCCTACATGTTACATGAGGCAACTGTACACAGACAAACATATCCTCCCATATCTGGACCTTCTTTTGTTAAAATGACTGGTGTGTCACCATTGATATTGATTGTTCCAGGTGCATAAGCATTATCAAGGATGTTGCTTGGATGAGAGCCACCATCTCCCCCATTTGTTCTAGCCCATGGAATTTTCTCTGAGCCTTCTAATCTAATGCCTTGCCTATTACTGGAACCACTAACTTGCCAGTTAATGTTGAATATCTTCTCTGTTGATTCCACAAATTCCAGATCATTGTGTGGGCCATTCAGGACATATATTGTCCATTTCTTTGGATACTGTGGAACTATATCCTTAGGCAGTGTAGGCAAAGGGAGAATCAGAGTGTCTGTGTTAGCAATGGCTATATGATCACCAATCATGAGTTGTCTGCCCTATTGATAATGTAGAGAAGCAAATTAGATATGTGAGGAGTTCTGTGCTCAAGTTCAGTAAAAGTTAATCTGACCTGATAGCCTCCAAACTTAATGGAGGTTGACTTTGATCCCAAATATTTTGGTATCTGTGGGAAGCCCCCCCTACAAGCAATGTAATTTCTGAAACCAGGGGTTGCAGCCTCTCTAGTCTGTAATCTGAGTATTGTATCTTGTGCAACCTCTATTGCAGTCCATGTATCGTGAATTGCATCATTGACCTCCACTATGACATCTTTCCCAGTTACTGCAATCACAGCTTTAGCATGGAAATGCAAAATGAGATCCATGCCTGCAACTATAACTGTCTCCATTGCTTCAGTGTTCTGGTCATTTCCGACCAGAATGTTGGCAAGTCTAAATGCAGTAGGATCCATGGGGCCGCTAACAGGTATGCCCAGGCCAACAAGGCGCCCAGGCAAATCTTGGACAGTTGTTTCTAATCCCGGTGATAAGACAGTAAATGCACTAGCCATAATAAATGTCATTATTGTAGGAAGTAACAGTAAAATTACAACATTTGAGCTCACCATGGTACATATTTAAATCTCTTCAGAAATTCAGTGGTTGTTTTCCCTTCCTGAAAGTCAATATTTGTGATAATTTGTGCCAAATAATCCAGATTATTTGGTGGACCTTGGATCTTAGCTAAAGCCAAGGTAGTAGACATCCTATCGAGAGCTTCTGCTCTGCTTGATCCTATCACCACAAGTTTGCACAGTAGAGGATCAAATTGTGGTGTCACTACAGTCCCTGTAGAAATCTGAAAGCATGTGTTGTACAAAAATGAAAAATATCACTATATGAATCTTGTGAAACAGTTGTATCACTTACCCAAGACTCCACCCTAAGCCAAGAAGGATGACCACATTCAAGGTTGACTAGCTGGAGGATTCCAGAGCATGGCTTGAAAGAATCAAAAGGAGTTTCGGAATAAATTCTAGCCTCGATAGCATGTGCTTGATGAGCATTTGTCTTGTTAGAAAAGTTCTCCTGCAATAAGAACAGTTCATTTCTGCGCTGTGACAATCCATAATCAATCATCATTTTGATGATATCAATATCATATAAGGCTTCTGTCAGTGGGTGTTCAACCTGTGTTTACTAGAGTAAATCATGATTGCATAATATTGGAACAATTAGAAGCCAAGCCTCAAGCTGACCTGAATCCGGGTGTTCATCTCCAAGAAAAAATGCCTGGTTGATTGATCATCCACAATGAACTCAACAGTCCCTGTTTCAATCCATATCAAGATTTGAAGTGCTAAACTCACAGCTAAGATAAGACCTACCTGCAGAGCCATATTGAATCAGTCTACCCAGTTGCAATGCATCATTTATGAGAGCAATTTGCACTTCTAATAACAAAAACAAATTTTTATCATCAATCTGAGTATTAGTGTTCTTATGTTTGAACTTGCCTGGATGAGAAAGGCAAAATGGACTGGGTGACTCTTCTATGATCTTCTGATGCCGCCTCTGAATACTGCATTCCCGCTCTCCCATATCTACTACAGCACCTCTCCCATCTCCAAATATCTACAGAGAGAATTCATTCATTTATGCAAGTTAACATCTACTGATGGAATGAAATTCTGACCTGCACCTCAATATGATGAGCTGAAGGAAAATAATGTTCAATGAACAAGCCAGGATTTTGGAACAATGCCTTGTACAACACTGTTAGGAGTTCAATGAATTTGGCCTGAGTAAAATTCTTGTACCTCTGCATGTTGACTTGTACGTGAAAATGCTTGAAATAGTTCTGGTTCATCATTGCAAACAACTAGTCCCAGTCCTCCTCCTCCTGCAGTTGCTTTCAAAATCACAGGGAATCCCACCTGATGTGCTACAGTAACTGCTTCTTCTTCATCCTTGACTAATCCTTTCGAGCCTGGAACAATGGCAATTCCAGCTGCCTCAGCAACATGCCTTGCTTCATGTTTGTTTCCCATGGTCTTGATTATATCTGAACTCGGGCCAAGCCAGGTGATACCGTTCTCTACAACCGTTCTCGCAAACTCCTCATTTTCAGAAAGAAATCCGTAGCCTGGATGTAGAAGGGTAACTGAATAGCTCCTGCAAATTGAGATAATCACTTTGCTGTCACAGTATGCCCTGGATTCCGACTGGCCAGACACAAGAGGAAGAGCGACGGTTTCATCTGCAAGGGTAACATGCGGAGCAAGTGCATCGGAAGGAGTGTAGATAGTTAGTGTCGCTAGTCCTATCTCTTTTGCAGTCCGAAGGATCCGGACAGCGATTTCACCTCGATTGGCAATGAGAAGCTTTTCGCCTTCATACATGATGTTCGAAAGGAAGAAGAAAACAAATTAGAAGGACTGTTTAAATATTTATCGACACTTGAGTGATCAAAAACATAAGGCTGATTCACACAAAATATCCGGCCAAACGGTTACTTTCGTCAACTAAGGATTTCACAAGCCGCGCATTTTCTACTGCACCCTACAACAAGTGAAGAAAGATAAGCCAAGCCGACTGAAGATTGACCACACATACGGGCGTGTCTGAATGGCAGCATATGGTGACTTCATTGATGTTACGGCCCAAAGGAATGACAGTGTTTGCATTGGTTGAGACTTCATGGTATTTGAGTAACCTCTCCACCTGAGAAACACAGTCAGTCGTGATTGGATACAACAAGAGACCTGTTTACGCGGTCACAGATAGTATCATGTTTCACAGGAGCGTGGATTCTTGGGAGCGAGATCAGGAATAATGATCAGTGAAAAATATAGTACTTACTGAGTAATGATAAGTTCACCGGATTGACTGTAATCGAGGTCGGCGAACCATTCTGTATTATCTTGGTCATTCAACAGCGCCACCACAAGACTACAAGGATACAAGGATACATACCTGGAATAAATCGGACACCCAAATCTTCGGCAGCTGTTTGGTGCGCGGTCCCTGCTAGTCCAACAAAAGCTATTTGATGATCTTCAGTAGAAAAGATTTTACAGACGCTGACTGCAGCGCGTGCTAACTCGTCAGATCTAGCTGTTTGTCCATAGATCGCACCGTGAGGTTTAATCTAATGGAGCGAGGAATATAAATTCAGCGCGTGACGTGGATAGATAGACGGCAACTTACATGGTTCAACACCAAGCCATATCTTTGAAGAAACCCACATAATGCGCCCACTTGATAAACGAAACAAGATATAAGCTCCTCCTATTCAAAACCTTATAAGATAAGAAGAATGACCATGGGATGTGGGTTTACCAGTTTCATTTTCATTTCTCTGCGCCCGAAACCTTGTCTGTCGGGCAATGATGGATGCGCGCCAACAAGTACAGAGTGCTCCTTTGCCAACCGTACAGTTTTGTCCATTACTGAGAAGTCACTGATGAAAGCGAGGAATCCGTTCAAAGAATTTACCAGAATATTAGATTGAAGCAGCGTACGATGCATGGAATCCACAAGCTACATTGGCGAGATGGATGGTTTTCATCAACGCCTCATCGTCACTCTATCCCAGTACCGGAACTGTTCGAAGAGGATCTTTGAACTTCAAAAAGCTGGGATGGCTTACGATTGTGTAGAGAGAAAATCCCTGGAATGGGATTAGCGATTCTCGTCTATACAGGTCTCTACTATGCGGCATGATCCAACCTCACCTCTCCCATATCACAGTTCACGGTAGCTTTGAGAGGGGACATGCTGGAAGGTTCTTGCGTTGTCATGAGGAGAAGGAGAAATAGAGTTATCAGTGGATTGAGCTGTGTACAAATCTGCTCCGCTCAAATCTATGTACATAGTGAAAACCGAGAAACAAATGCCATTCCGAGGGTTCGGCGCGTGAATTTTCCTGCGAGCAGATTCTCATCTGGCCCTATCTGGAATTTGCTTCAGATGACTGGGAGCTGGGAGTCTCTGGGAGCAATGTAGTGTGGAAGAAGGCTGGGAATTCTATAAGCGCCATCTGTAGCGGCCGTCATCAGGTGACGAAGGAGAACCTGCCTTGGACTCGGACGCAGAGGACGACAACCCCGGTAAGTGAACCCGCAGGTGTGTTTTACTCTACAAATAATTGCCGCGCCTAACAAATATTTAACTTGGTTTGCTCAGGCTCTTAGTATCCTATAGCCGCTTCCATGCTCTCTTACTACTAGTCGCGGTATTCCCGACACAAGACCAAACTACGGTAATGACTTCGATGTAATATACATGAACGACCATGACAACCCATTGCTACCGCAAAGTTTCCGAAACTCTCAAAATCCCGTCGTTGCCCCCGATAACGAAAGTTTCAGATATCAAATATCGCCACGAACTTTCTGAAACAACTCATTTTCCAATAAAGTATCAACAACTTATCCGGTCTCCGAAACGGCGAATTTGGGTACCAAATCACCATTGTACATCGATCTGAGGTTTGCAATAACGACAAGAAACGACGAGATCATCACCATGGACTAGCCAGACATCCTCTTTTCTGAAGCAATCAAAGCACCGAAAATAAATTCAAGTCTCATCAGCTCGCTCCATCCCCTTCGCGTTTCTGTTCTCGTTTCTCCCCGAGTCTTTGCTTGTATTTCCTACGAATTTGGACTTCGCTCTTCACCCTCCTTTGCATCTCTCCTACGTGGATCCTTCTCCGATTCTCCTCCTCACCTTTCTGCACTATCGTTGTCACCAAACCGAACCACTCTTAGTTACCTCGTTTCACGATTGTATTGTGTATTATCCCGAACTTAATGGATGCTATCAACTTGGACTCCAGATTTCAGCTTTGAGAGTGGTGTATTTCAAATCAACTTGCAATTTCCTCGATTCTACATGCAAGTGTCTTTTGAGTTGAGTCGGTCTATCGATGCGTACATACATGAGTATTATACTAAATCTATACAGGGTACTAAGAAATACTGAATCGTAGATAGGTAAAAATTGAACTACGGATGATGCCAGTGTGGTCATGAAGATGGTATGTATGCAAAGTCAGTGTACATATGTAAAGCAAGCGTTCAAAGTGTGTAATAATATACAACAGATAGTGCAAGGAGAAAGTATTTCAAAGAGAGCGAAGAGCGCGTACCACGTCTGCAGGATTTTCCTCTTCCCAACGTTTACCCGCCTTCTCCCATAACCACTGTCTGACACTACCATGTGTCCTTGTGCTGGATCTGGGGTCCGCAGTCGAATGTTTAACAGCGTAAAGCGCCATTGCAGGATCCCAGAGCTCCTCTTTTTCCGAGTCTCCCGACTCTGTACCAGTATCAGGGTTGCGATGGGCATTTTCGTCGAGTTCTTTCAATCGTTGCGCAATCATAGAGTCTTCCCTTCCCTTCCCTTTCCTTCGTACTGTGTCCGGCTGAGACATCTCCCAATTACGAGCACGCTGCATGGGCACGGGTGCGAGAGGGACGAGATCCTGAGGTATTGTTTCTCCAAGGTGCCGCTGCAGTTTTGTAATGCGCTTCTCCCTCGCAGTCCTCGGCGTAGGCGGAGCCTGCAGTATTGATGTTGGACTTGATGATAAGGGGAGTTTAGAGCTGGATGCACGTGAAGGACGATTCAAAACATCGGAGGAAGTGTCGAGAGTCAACAATATAGAGGGATGTTTGCGTTTCTGGTAATTTGGTTTCGGAAACGAAGTTCGTCGCGAATTTGTAGGTGGAGTGCCGGGAGATTCGAGTAGTGGAGGTGGAGCAGGAAGGGGACGAGGAGGAAGAGTCCTACTGGGGCTTGCGGTGGGAGACCTATCCGGGGTTGGTGGTCTAGGCAGGGGTCGAGGGTAGCTCTGTGCATTAGTTTTGGTATCTAAGTGAACAAGACAGTGAGACGATCAGGCGAAATTTTTGAGAGATAGAGACGCGAAGTTACTAGAAGAATTCGGGTGCGATTTACGCGATGGTGTATGATAGTACATGCGTCGAGGTAAAAAAAGGTCTGTTGCTGCAAGAGGATGAGAGCCTCATGTGGTGGTGGTGGGCTTGACTTAAGGACTAAGGACTTCCTTGACGGTAGCAAATCATCAAACCGACACAAGCTGTGCTGACGCTAAAAGATTAGGATCTCTCTCAAAAAACAAATTGCAAATCGTCGAAAAATCCGAGAATCGTACTTTCTGAATCACAGAATCTATCGTTTATGGTAAATATAGCTCATTTTCTTCTAAATCGGAAGCGAAAAAAGAACACGTACTTCATTATGAGCACGCCGCAATTCCCGAATAGTCGAAAAAGTGAGCCATGGTTCGGGGCCCGCCTTTCAAGAATTGATGGCGTGTATAAGCCTGTATAAGCGCAACCGTTACCAAGAGGATGAATAGAGCACTGCCTTCGATACGAAACAATTATATTTCATGCTCCAAAGCGTGCATGCGAATATGAATACGGCGATAGCGAATATGGCTTAAATCAATCTCAGTCACGCCTCCCTCTACTCTGATCATACCGGGGCCATACTCAGGCCTACTCAGGCTTTGATGATTATTATCATCTCATGGAAACAGTTGGCTTGCCCTGAGTACAGTGAGATAAGTACAGTTGAATCTGAAATGCGGACTTACGCGTAAACCCACAAATTCTGAGGGTTGTTATAGGTTTCGAGAGTAAAAGGAAAACGCACTGGAACGAGAAAGCGTTAGTTTAGCCTCGGCTGCCTGCGCTGTCAACTCACATTTGGGAAGCTCGGAAAGGAACGCTGTCGGTTATATTAGTACTATACAAAAGAGGATAGCGCGGATACCCACCAATTGGAATGCTTTCGTTGAGCCAACTCCAAGCTAGGATATGATGGCATGGTCAGAGATCTTCACTAGTGCGATGCGATAAATCATAACTCACCAGTACGCCAGTTATGCCTTCGTTTTGAGAAGCAGTTAGTGCTCTTGACCACCACCGTCGTTTACAGTCACCCACCTGAAGTCTCCTGAGACTAGCAAGTCGGGAGGTGCCAGAGGATCCTGCAAAAGGAAAAGATTACAACGCTTCCTCAAAATAAAGGACGCAACTGACGTCCTTCAACCCTGCAGTCTTTATCTCCGTATCAATATCAGCCCATTCCAAAACCTGATTTCCTGCCATTCCTAGACACATTCAAGGTTCAGCTGATTTGTTCTCTTTTGTTTCCTGATCCGTTTCCTGGATTAAATTCGATTTCACCTTTAAATTCGACATTCTCTCCAGGCTTTCCGCCAAATACTGCAATTTTCGTTTGTAATCTCTCATTCATAAGAGTACTAAACATTGCACAAGTGGATGCGCAATTCCCTGATTTTCAATCCGTTGTTAACGTATGTTTCGAGAATTCGACCAAAACAACTACCGACCATTGCTCACTGTGAATGATGCTGGGGTGTGAGTGTAAATTTGGACCACAAGCAAGGCATATACCTATGGCCACGCTCCTGGAATTCAAAATAGTCAGAAGAGTTCAACTTGAGGTAGGTCTAATTTTACTCTGTGGGGAAAGGAGGATCTTCAGGTATCGTCTGAGTGAATGACAACTGGCATGTATCCTACAACCGAGCCCTGTCAGTACCCATGTGAGACGGACCAAAATGGTATCTACCCACATGGAAGCGTTGAGAAGTTGGTTCGTTAACGGCGTTGACGGTAAAAGGTAGCGAAGGGTCGATGTAGTCGTAGCTCGCAGGCATTTCCGTGTCGTTCAAGAAAGCCCCTGAGTAAGCGATCGATGAAACAGAATATATGAATATGCAGAGGAAACACGCACAGTTGTCTGCTGAGTAGAAGGTGATTGTATCATCATTTCCGAGAGCAATATCCGCCGCTACAATTTTTTGTGCCAGAAGGTTTGCACGGTTAGTTGATACAAATCCACTGAATGATACTGACATTTGGTAATGATTGAGGCAAGTATTAGAGAAACTTACGGATACCCAATATTTGAGCCTGCAAGATACTGGAATAGAAATTGCCCCAGACAGACAAATCCCCCTGTGAAACAAACTTAAATACTAAAACTTCAACAGGGCGGGGCGTTGGCTTACCACCGTTGTTGGTCAAATCAATCAACAGCCGTGATACACCTGCACTCTGGAACGCAGATATCGCTGCGACGGTGTCCGCTTGGAACTGATCAAAGTCATCCGGCTCAAAGGATCCGACGAACATCTTGAATTGTGAAGTGATTAGAAGCAAACGTCTTCTAAGTGCAGAATTTTACTCACCACCCCAGTTATATTATCAGGAAGAATAAAATTCTTGATCACGTCCTCACTCCCGTCTACTTGGGGAGCAGTCGGAAGGAATTGCGGAGGTAGCCCGATTGCACTGTCGTTTGATTTGTCGATAATATTACCTTTGGCAAGCCGTCTACGGGGAGTCTCAGTCAAGCGTCTGGTAAGGCCGGAGGTCCGCAGGTCCACGCCATTCGTATCTGAATTCGCGGCACAGTTGTTTTCCCAGCTATCCAAAGCACAAATGAGCCGGAGGAACCACAGTTGAGGAGAGGGCACGTACTAAGAAGCCTGATCTGTGAACGCCACACCCAGGAAGCTAGCTATGAAAGGTATAGTGACAGTCTCTTCTGTGGTAGAATTCGCAACGATGAGTTTGACCTCCAGAGAAGTCTGTTTAACTCCGGTGGGGCCGGCTGTACGAGAAAGGAAATTAGAGCTTTCTTCCGTTTCTACGACCATACCAAAAGAATATTCACCTAAATCACCCAGCCTCTGCGAGAAGTCGGTCCCGGAAATCCGATAACTCGAAAAGACAGAGTTCACTCGTACCCCGTGGTCAAGATAATTGCCAGAAACAGTGTCTGCCACGAAGTCGGCGTAATCGTATGGGTCCTGCCCTTCGATACTTGTGATTTGTGCTCCAGAGAGTCTCTGCCAGTCGAATCCCATCTCTTCAAGTAAGTCCGTGTAGCTTGTTCCAATCAAGTTAATGAAGTCAACGGAATCTGGCGCGATATAGACACCCTGTGTACCATTTAATTCTACATTGATGAAAGGGGCCGGAAGAATATTTTGCCAATTGGTATAACAATTCGTAAACCAGCCTGGATATTAAAAGTAGAAGGATAGTGAGATGAGAAGAGAAATTGGTCAGGAGAAATCATATTACGCGTATGCCCGTCATTTAGCTGTGTGGTGAAATCGTACAGGTCAATATTGAAATCATAGTCTGTCTAAGCACAAAATTAGCGTGAATCCAACGACCAGCCAGACGGATGCTCGCCTCATACTGAGTCGTGTTGATCCGGGTCAAATTTGCTCGTATGTTGTTCGTGGATTCCTGGAAGGGGGCCGGCGAATCCAGATACCAATTTTCAAAGGTATAAAAGTCAAAAACCCGTGAGACGGTGGTGAGGACATTTTGGCGGAGAGTCTCGTTGAAAGGAAAGGATTTTTCGCATGCCAGCACATCAGCCGGGAGAGCGAATAATTTACCTGCGATTGCCCCGCATGGATCAGAAGGTGCTGGAGCTGCGACAGCTTTGTGGTAGGAAGCCAATGCGACCGTCAGAGACGCTACAACTTGTAACGTGAACATATTCGACTCGGAAAAGTGGGAATTTGAATCTTTTCTTCAAGATGCAAAGCATGTTGTATTTATATACTATGACCGCGCGGTTTCTCCTATCATCAGTGGGCATTACGAGGCGTCTTTACATGTGAGCTATGAGCGATCCGTGAAAGTCGAGCTTGGGATCCTTGAGATAACAAAGGATTCAAATGAAAGTTTTGAGGAGTGTCAACCTGAGCAAATCAATTCTAGTCCATATGGCGCTTCAGGGGACATCAAGAACGGGAAGAATAGAGCATCGGTGGTCACCAGAACTTTATCGCATTCGTGCTTCAAACGTAGAAGGATCGAACAGAAGGAAGGCGTTATATTCAGACCAGTATAGATGAGGACATATGAGAGCGAAGCAAAGACCCCGATTTTCTAGCCTACTACACAGAGAGAAGAATGAGGATGCTTCCGATGGGCATAGTGGGAGCATACGCACCAAAGTATTTTGGATCACCTTGCCACAAGGACGTGAGTTCAAAATACGAAAATTGGTAAACTGTACGCGCAGACAAGGTGAGAAATGCCCAGAAACGCCACCGTGTAACGTGTTGTTTTCAGAAGGCTGAGCTTGACGCCAAAAGTTACGCGATTGAGCGCTACTGACAACGTTAACGCTCTTTTAAACTTCGACGAAATGTTGAACTGGACTCTAACCAGCTCTAATGGACTCTTTTCGGAAATTTCCTTAATCGAAGAAAAATTCACATCCCATGCGATGTCGGAATTCGTTGTTTTTCCCAGCTAGGATTTGTCTTATTCTTGTTCTTCGGTGATGGCAAACGTAGTCAGTCAGTATGAGTCTAAACCTCCTCCTTTCGGTCACGAAATGCGCAAATGCTTTTCGTTCGATCCAGAGTACATTAATATGAACCATGGTATGTGCTCGAAATCATTTTTCAAAAAGTTATTTGTGTTCATTATCATTTCAAGGATCATATGGATCTCTCCCGTCGCCTGTAGCAGAAGCCATCAAACCGTACTACGCGCTGGCAGAGGCAAATCCCGATCTTTTCCACCGATTCACCTCTATCGATCTCATCCGTGATGTTCGAAAACGTATAGCCAAGTTTATCGGTGCAGCGCACACTGAGGAAGTCGTATTTGTACCGAATGCATCTCATGGGCTGAATACTATCCTGAGGAGCTTTATCTGGGAAGAAGGCGATATAATCAGCAGCTGTGAGGCCGTCTTTCTTTTTCCGTTTCGAATACAGCATTAATACAGCGAATTTGAATTCGGACTCAGGCAACACGACCTATAACTCCATTTCGAGAACAGCCGAATATATCTCCGATATCCCTCCACATCCCGAGGTTGTTCAATTCACCCTCCTTTTCCCGACTTCACATTCCGAAATCATCCAAAATTGGCGTGCATATGTTAGATCTCTCAACGAAATGCGCGACCAATCAGCTCAAAAACTGGGCCGGCGTCCCAAGATCGTCGCAATAATTGATTCTATCATCTCGGTGCCTGGCGCTCTGCTACCTTGGAAAGAGATGGTTAAGATATGTAAGGAGGAGGATGTCTGGAGTGTCGTCGATGGAGCTCATTCAATCGGACAAGAGTTAGACTTGAATCTCGCTGAGGCGAATCCCGATTTTTGGGTCACGAACTGTCACAAATGGATGTACGCTAAACGAGGTTGCGCATTGTTGTATGTTCCTAAACGGTACGTTACTAGCTTGGTTTTCACTGTTAGAAATATTGACCTCTATCGTTCAGCAATCAGCACATCATCAAGGCCTCTTTTCCGACCTCTCATGCTTACAAAAAAGGCGGTGGGTCCAACTTCGTCGAGCAGTTCGAGTGTGAGTTCCTTGGTATATCGACTTTTGTTATTCATCTCATATTATCTGTAGGGAACGGCACGATTGATTTTGTACCTTACATTAGCGCGTCTTGCGCACTTGACTTTCGCGCCTGGCTAGGAGGAGAACACGTCATTAACGATTATTGCCATCGGATTGCCCTCGAAGGAGGGAAGAGACTCGCTCAAATTTTGGGAACAGAGATAATAGACCAAGATCAAGACTTTCAATTCACTCTGAGCATGGTGAGCCTTTATTGTATTTTTAAACAGCATGCCCTAACTAGTTACTTCGTTTATGTACATAGGTGAACGTCGCCGTCCCATTCCCACCTACAATGTCCTCCGCTTTTGAAATTGATATGGCATTTCGGCGGAAGTTACTCATCAAGAGGAAGATATATCCCGCTTTTTTCTATCACAACGGAAAATGGTGGATTCGTTGTAGTGCACAGATCTGGTCGCAGGTCAGTCGGCTGTCTACTTTTACTTATCCAAGTCCGTCTCACTGTCGGTCCTCATTCCAGGTGGAAGATTTTGAAGTGTTAGGCCAAGCGATTTTGGAAGCGTCGAAAGAGATTTTAGAAGAGTTTGGTGATGGTACAGAAAAGAAGACGATGGGTATCGAGGATAAGGTTGAAAAAGTAAATTAGTCTAATGCGGCGCGTATATTTGGACTATGCTTTCTTTCCATCTCATAACTTGTACTTATACAGTTGTGTCGGGTTGTTAAATGGAAGCTTGACCGCATATACTATGATATAGCTAAACTAAGTTATCCTTAGTATCAGTTTCACTCGCTCAACAGGGAACGCAGCATAGGTAGACAGCTAAGGTTTGTTAATATAGTTGAACAACCATCTTATCGTGAGTGCTTATTTACTCGGACCTTTTTCGCGCCACAAATCACTGTTCCCTTGTAATCGCAATCGTCGTCGTGGACAAACCAGTGATTTCGTGGATCCGGACTCATCGATCGCTACCTAGTATGCATAATGATATGTTTGTGCCAATTATCATTGCAGTTGGAAGTGAAATTTACTGTGTATAAAACACAGATAGATACAAGTTATCGTATCGATATCGATATTTCTTACACCTTATTGTATTACTGATGTACGCCGCCCAGCGCCTGATTAGGTATGTACAACACGTTTTGCTTTGTTCTTCCTCTAGTCTTCTATACCTATAAGCACTTCTATGAGGATCGCTTCTTTGCCTCAAGTGCAACGTTGACTCAGAGTTTATAATACGGCTTTGTTGGGAGGTTTTCTGTAACGTTGACACCGGGTTGACGATGAATGGGTACGTTTTATCCCCTTACATATTTGATCATCTGAATTCAATCCTCACGCGCCCAACAGAAATAGTCCGTCAGTACTCTTGATATCCTTGGGTTTCAACGTGTTCTTACATTCATGCAGATACGGATGGCCTACAGGAAATATTCAAAGACCACAAAGCGTTGATCACGGCCATTGGTCAAGCGGGCCTCCAACACCTTATCCTCAATTCGCTCAGAAACTTCCTACAGTAACTGCACCTCATTTGCATCCAATTCCAGGAACTCCGAGCTGGGTTTTGACACCTTTACCATCACATTTTCCGTTACCTGCCCCCCATTATCATTACCAAACTTCCCCACCCGAAGTGAATGAACTTCCGCCCTTGACTCCAGATTCAAATAGTGGAGAAGACGGAAATCTTCCTGTCGTTGTATCAAATCCAACACCTTGGGGTCTACCGCCATATGGCTATTCAGCATCTCCCTTCCCTGTTATGCCTGTCATGGGACATCGGCATCATCATCAACATCCTTCAATGCGAGTTCCTCTGTATTCAGCTAGACTGCGCGCTTCAAGTGAAAGCACTATTCCGATTTTGCACATTCCTCGCTGGCGAATCAAAGGCCGTCCATCCCATTGGAGATCTGGGTATAAACCTAGTGCAAGTACCCGCGTAAAAATTTGCTTTTCAAGTATGTTTCTTCGGTTCTTTTGTGTTTATACGTTGACATTGATTTAATCTGATAGAACCGATCTGTGCCTCTTCTGTTCATACGTTACACGAACTTATCTCGTATAAGTTTCCTCGACAGTTCCCCTTGCAACTGGATCTTCGACATCCATATACGATGACCCTATTTCACAATCCCGAGCGCTATTCCAATATAGTTGATTTACATCAGCTTGCTACTAGTCCTCCAACGCACGAAATGCAGTTGTATCATCCCCTTTTACCTTGGCACGTCGACATCAGGGCTAGTACTCCAAGCGGTATCACCATCGGCGACATCTTGCAGCAATTGTGTAACAGCCTCAGAACGCAAATTGAGGAAACTGATTACTCCAATGATGTTCTAACCTGGGATGAAAAGCATCAGATTGTAGACACTTACTGTCTGCGGAATGGTGGGTTACCGAGGAGCTTGGCAGAGGGGATATGTAGAGTTGACTTTCTTGGTCCCGATGTACTCTTTCGAGGATTGACTAAGACAAGAGAAGGATGGCTAATCAAAACAACCAGTCTCTATTGAAATATGATACAGTACCTCTTTCTTGGACATTAAGCTAATAATAATTTTACTGAACTACATACCCATTTCGAAACAGATCGTTCACCTGAAACAGACATCAAGATCCAATGGTGAAGAACGGTCTCTTCAGGACATCATTGGCTTCCATTTCCGCTTCCTGCGCTTCCCTAATCCTGCCAAGATTATACAAACAAAAAGACACCCGTGTGAGTGCTTTATGCAGAGTCCGGATGTTCCTCACTCGTTCGTGGGTGTGAGGATCAGTGGAGTTGAACCTGTAGGCAAGCATTACCGCCTTCCGCGAAATGGAAAGAGCCTCCTCGTGGCTCCCATTGTCAGAGAGAATGAATGAGAGGTTTACAAGAGCATTTGCTAGATCCATGCCAAATGCATCAGGGTCCTCCCTCTCCAGAATGGTAAAGTGGTGAACAGCTTCTTCTGCAGCAGCCAAGGCAGAAGTCAGATTTCTTGACCTCTGAATAGTATTATTAAGAATGACATTCGGATTTAAAGATGAATTGCCTGAAAACTTGGGTTTCGGGGGTTCGCTCTGGAGCACGGACAGATTGTACAAGGCCGTTGCCAGATCTACCCTACATGCCTTGTCCTCCTTGAAAGCTAACTTGTAGAGCGCGATGCTCTCCGAAAGTACCGCGGTCAACTCTGCACTGACTTGAGTCCCCGCGAGATGAGAGTCGACATGAATGTCTTTGAGACAGCGAGTAAGGTAAGTGAGGGATCTGGCCAACGCCGCAGTGGTCGTAACACTCTTGTCCGTTGCATAAGTTATTCGTCTGAGCGCAACGGCTTTCCTGCCTGGAATTAAGGCTTCAGACAAATGCTGGTGCGATCTGAGACGTTTACACTCGGAGTCGAGTTCGTTGGCCTGGTATTCATAACGTGGATTGGCACTCATGGAGGTCACACTGTTTTCTGACTTCAATGAGGAGAGGAAACCCATGAACCTAGGTCGCCCAAGAGCAAAGGTCTTCGGCTCTTTCGGTGACGTGTTTTTGCTGATCGGTACCACGGCAGTTGAGCTGTATTTGCTTACTTGGATGGAAAGTTCCTTAGACCTGGAGATCATTCTGGAAGGGGTGATCCCCGTCTTCGAAAAGCTCTTGAGAGCAACGCCGGGGACATTGAGTGCATTGATGCTACTGTTGGAGCTACTGTCACTTGTAGTACGTACCTGAAGGGGTATCGCAATTGGCGCTTTGGCGAGGTCGCGATCCACAACCGTGCCGTTATTAATGCTATTACGGACTTGTGTCCTTCGGAGTAATTCGTCCAGTTTACGATTGATTTGTACACTGTGATCTCCGAGTTTGCGCTCAATTCGAATAGTGCCTAGTGCCTGCAAGAGTGAATAAATCAACGTTTGCAAAAACATTTCGAAGATAGTGCCACGAACGCCGAATTCCTGGAAACAATATGAAATCTGCGTTTCTACCTCCTGGAGAGCTGATGCGATCGAGTCTTTCAAAAACCACTCTTTCAACTTCACACGGAGCCCAGAAGTGGGGCTTGTAGATTCCAGACACTTGTCCAGGATTCTTTGGAGATTGCTGTCGAAGTCAATTGATAACGAAAAGTAATACTTGAATAATCGTCTCACGTTTTCAGCTTGTTGACCACGATTATCAATTCCGGAGATGACTTCGTGATCTTTCTTGACTCGGCCTTTAACTGCCTCAACGAACTTGTGATGCGATTGACCAGCAGGCGATGGGCCTCCCGATTGTATTTAATCTACATAGACGGTCATTAATTACAAGAAACCACTTGATTCATACACACCTGCTCGATGATAGTTTTCACCTGGAACGCAATAGATACAGTAGTGGATACGAGAGCAAACACCTCCGCCATGCTTGGCACCGCCAAAATGACGGGGTTGTAGAGGTTTGTAGATGATTCAGTAAAGAGTTAGAGGAGGGGAAGAAGACGGATATAGAGGTACACATGACATTCATTGAAGTCATTGCCACGGAGAACTCGAAGCTAATTGGAAGAGGTATACATAGCGGGTCCAGTTTGGTTCCAGGGGAAGAGAATAATTTTCTTGCTCGGCACAAAAGACCGAATCGCCGTTCGGACCACCAGTGTACGACACAGTTGAGCGAATTGAACGTGCGGAGATTTGAACGTCTATGTTCCATGCAAGCGAGCTTCAAGATCGTGTATCTAACATGGTAAGTCATAACTGAAGGAGGAGCAAACAGCAAGCGAGAGATAGCACTGACCAAGAAGTTCAGGCAGGATTTGTTCCCAATGGTAAAGTGCGATGCTCATCAAGATTTAGTAGCGTCCTGCAAGTCTCTAATGCCAGCGAATATGTGTATGCTAAGTATACTTTGAGTCCGTATATCTAAGTAGCCTGAACATCCCGTTTTCTCAAGGAGCAAGAAAGGGATGAAGAGTGCAGGCGGCTGCAGGAGGTCATGAGTGAAATTCAGCTGTTCAGGTAGGTTATGGAATTCAAACAGGTGTTGAATCATTTGAGGGGGACGAAGAAAAGTCGACAGGTTGACCAGGTCCGATGTGCGATCTGCAGACTGAATACTGAGCGAGTTTACAGCTTGAACCCGTTCATAACAACGTCGCCGTTACTATAAGTGATGAGGCAACTAGCGCTCTGTTACATACTGCAATCTCACGTAAGTCTTTTAGTGATGATCTTTCTCTTCCCAGCTCTTCCCTTTCTTATGGTACTGACCTATAGATCCGTCTTCAACGTCGCTCATATATACAAGATGGCGACGGGGACCTACTTTCCAACTCTATGGAAGATACAAGGCAGTTCCCAAAGTAAATCTTCCCATTTCCGGCTTTTTTCTGAAATCTTCTCATCATCCGATACTTCGCCAGAAATGACATGACCTTTCCGAGCAATCTGGCGTTCAAAAATACTTGATGTCCAATGGACGTTTTCAGTCTCAGTTCACCGAAATCACCTAATTGAATCTATTCCTTCTCCGACTTGGGCACGCCTTGTGGGGGCACTGCATATTCTCATACTCGTCCACCAAAAGGTTGCTTTCCATTTCCGCCACACACGGACCTTCACTCGTAAGTATTTCATCTCCATAATATCCTTCGATTACAGCAATTTGCTGAAGAAAAATTCAACTCTTTCGGTGAACTCACCGTTTGTATAATAGGTCTCATAGACAAGAATCTCTCCCTTCCAAAGCATCTTCAATAGCCCTCAACGACATGAATACTGCCACAGACCCTCTGAGCTCAAACATCGATTCCTCCTCCTACTATCTACGCCCAGGCAATATCATGAGCGAAAAATACAATCTTTCGGACCACATGTGTGATCACTATGATTCGCATTATCTTGTACTGTTCATAACCCTCGATTTGTTTCGTTGCTGATATTTAGTTATAGGTTCGATGCGGCTGCCCAAATGACAGGCCGCCTTATCATCCTATGTATTCCTTGGACGATGCCTACCATAGGGAGTGGTGTGCGAAGTGTATGGCATTTTGCTATCAGCCTCCACACTGCAAATATACGACTCAGCCAAAACGTCGACTTATCCACCCATTATTACTTGCCATTTTACTCAAGCTCATCGCTCGTAAGTTACGGTTGTGAACCCTTTTAGCCGTACTTATCTTTATTCTGCAGGAATTTTCAAGCCTTTCAGAGGATGCATTTAACCTTTGGTTTTTTGTCGCATGAATTTCTCGTATATGAATGTCTCTAAGTATTGCCTGCGCCGCTGCCACCTCTCTCAGGGTTGAGTCCTGTTGACCTCGATTGATGCGCCACCTTCCGCCACCGTACTGCATGAACAAGTTCATCGCTCCCGATTGCTTATTATTTTAGATAGCCAATTTGTATGTATTCAATCTACGTATCCAAGTAATGTAGTGTTTCTGTCTTTATCATATATATGATGATCACAATGGCATTGTTGCTCTACATCTACATGGTTCTGTATTTGGAGTGCTTGATCGACTGTATTAAAGAACATGTACATATATGTGCTGATCCCTGTAGTGCTCAGATATGAAATCAAAGAGGAAGTAAAATAAGACTCGTACTAATTCGACGACGGGGGCGTTTCACAAGAAAGAATTTGCGAAAAACCGCACGGGACAAATCATAGCTCGTAAGAAGAATCGACCGCTTCAGTTCTGAGAAAAGATATGTACATCAATTCTGAGGTACGATGTTGGTTTCATTAGACCGTAAGTATATGAGTTCAATGATGTGAAACTACGTAGCAAGTTTTGCAGAAAATGTTCTGGTGTCAGGCATGTGCTAGAACCATTGGCATCACCTCAAAAACTTTCTCGTAGGCTTAAAGGGGTTTGCTTTAGGTGTAACTTTCACGGAGTGTTTGCGGAATTTTTTGAGGTAGTTACTTGAAAGGTCTGTTGCCCAGAATCATGATGGATGAGATCTCATTGATATCGGGAATACTAACATCTACACAAAGCCTTATAGAGCTGTTGTTTTAAATGAAGTCTTGACGGCCTGACAGAACACATCACTTTACCAAACAGTCGCGCGCGAGGTTCTATGTATGTACCACTGGAAATGAATCCTGAGAACCGATTGCTCTTGGACTCTCCTGGATGTTTTGAAAGCACATTGGATATCATAAATAAACCTGAATACACCTTGAATTTCAGTGCAACTTGAATATAGCTTTGTTTGAAGGACCTACCTACTCTTTAAATACTGTTCGAAATCTCGGATTTGTTTGTCTGTCCAATACATTTTACCCCGAGAAGGATTTTTGGCAAATCAAGCCCTTTGAGAGCCTTTGAGCCCGAGCCCGAGCCCGACGAGAGCTCAATCGGAGTAAAATGACTTGGACAAACAAATAGGAATAAACAGCTAATTAGCACTTCGCACTGTATCAGACTGTATCTCAAGTTCAAGTCGATTCGCTCCCTTGCAAGTTGCACAGTCCAGCCCTCACAGATGCATAATGAAGGTGCCAAACTGCTATCGGTGATACGTGAACCCTGTGAATCCCAATCTATCTGCTTATGGTTGGCGACATTCCAACCGAAAATTATGTATCTAGCTTTGAGAGGCTTTGAGTCCTCCCCATCTCCGACTCCATTCTTTCTACTTGAATGAATGATAGATCACTATGGTAAGACTCTTGGAAGGAATGTAGACCAAATATCTCCTAAGACACTAACCCTTACGTGAAATTTCTTTTTGTTTTTTTTATTCTTCAACTTATCAGGACAGTTGACTGTTAACATGCGCAGACGGCCTAGCGAGTTGGAAACAAGCCACTGATACTATGTTCACAATGGGAATCGATCATGCTGAATCAACAGAGTACGTGGTTTGAGTAGTTAGTCTCTTCAGCTCCATTTTACTAACTACTCACGGCATTTAGTCCTGATTTAGAGAGTAGTTCGGAGACTTCGGTTAATACGTCGATCTGCTCCAAACTAGCACACTGCCCTCCATGTTCGAGAAGGTTTTGGCATGTAGACAACTCTTAGCGGTGAGTTTTACAATTAGTGTACCTGGTTTTCGTTCTACATTCTCATATGTTCCGCGGTCGATTCTGGAATGTAGCGTCGTTCAATGTTTCTTCACTGACACGCTTTGCACGCTAGCTTGATGTGGATGACTTACATTCCATCCGACTACTCCATACATTTGAGCACGGTATAAATTCGTCTGCGCCCTTCCTCTCAAATTTCAGATTGCCACTCCCCATCGCAATACCCAATGGGAATCCCAATTGTTGTATGTGTACAGAACTATATCTGCGTGCTGTGCTGAAGTTGTTCACAAGCCCAAATCGACTAAAATCCTAGTTATAGGTGGAGGTCCTGCCGGGGCATATACCGCTTCTGTTCTTGCCAGAGGTAAGCTGAATATTCATGTATACTTCGTGTGTGCTCATCAAGTGATTTAGAGGGATTTCAAGTGACTGTTTTTGAGAAAGACCATTTTCCGAGATACCATGTTGGAGAAAGTATGCTACCCTCCTTCAATGCTTTCCTTGAATTCGTTGGCGCGAAAGAAAAGGTCAAGAAATGCGGCTTCGTTATGAAGGTATCAATCAAATTCTTATATGGTTCGAACAAGAATGGTAACAATATGTCCTAGCCTGGAGCAGCAATCAAGTTAAATCAATACAAGAGAGAAGGATGTATGTATTTCTTTCTTAGTTCTCGATACTGCAACCGCTCAAATCTTAGCAGACACCAATTTTATCCAATTCAACCTCGAGAATAGTGCCTGGAACTTAGTATGTCTCATTCGAATCGTACGAAAAAGTTGCGGCTGACCACTCCGTTCTACAGTTACGTTCTGAATTTGACGACCTTCTACTGAAGCACGCCGCAGAATGCGGCGCTCAAGTGCACAATGGGGTGATCATCGACGAAATCCATTTCTCGAAGACAGACAAAACTCGCCCCATATCAGCTTCTTGGAGCTCAAAGTATGGTAGTCAAACCGGTACTATTTCCTTCGATTGGCTGGTAGATGCTTCTGGACGGAATGGCATAATGTCGACAAAATATTTGAAGAGCCGCAAATTCAACGAGTCTCTTCGCAATATTGCGACCTGGGGATACTGGAGAGGTGCTGGTGTTTATTCACCTGGAACCGATCGGGAGAACGCTCCTTGGTTTGAGGCTCTCACAGGTTCGTATCGCCGCGCTTCGTCACGGCATAAAGTATATTAATACTTTTCAATTGCAGACGAAACGGGATGGGCTTGGTTCATACCCCTTCATAATGGTAAATCCAACGATTTTTCCGAAAAGAGATGGCATTAGTAATCGAAACGTAGGCACGGTGTCGGTCGGAGTTGTCGTATCCGAGAAATCAAATCGTATCAAAAAATCTAGGATCCAAGCCTCCTCCGACAAAGACACCACTGTGGCCCACTATCTCGAGCAACTCAAGCTGGCACCTGGAGTCCTACGCCTTCTTGGAGATGCCACGTTCAATGGTCTAACCAGAAGTGCCGGCGACTACAGCTATTCTTCGAAGTCGAATCACTATGCTGGAAACCATTATCGCATTGCAGGAGATGCTGGCGGTACGTCCCAGGTTTTATCAAACACTAAAACGCAAACAAGAAACTGAAATTACGAAAAGCCTTCATTGACCCTCTATTCTCATCAGGAATTCATTTAGCGTTTACGGGTGGACTCGCAGCAGCAGCTTCAATTGCTTCCTCTATCAGAGGGGACTGCACCGAAGCCGAAGCAATTGCATTCCACAATGCCAAAATAGGAACGGCTTACACCAGGTGATGATCTGAAAAAAATACAATCTGATACATAATATGCATGGCTCAAATCGTATCAGGTTTCTTGTTGTGGTGTGGGCGGTATACAAGCAGATGAAGTCCCAGACAGCGCCGATCCTCGCTGAAGTTGACGAGGACAACTTTGACCGTGCATTTGATTTCCTTAGACCAGGTGCGTATTCGGTTCTCTTCACTTGATGATGTATCATTCAATGCTTCCGAAATGATCAGTCATTCAAGGAGGAGCAGAAGCTGACCCTCATCTCACTGAAAACGAACTGAACGAAGCGCTCGAATTTTGTGAGCATGGCGTCGGTCCTGCAAGTCCAGGTATATTACACATTTGCATGTTAGAATTTACGATGAATGATTATCTTAGATCTTTTTGCGAACGTCGCTCAACGTATTGACCCAGAGCTACTCACTCCTAATGCTCCTTTGATGAGCGCGAAGGAAGTCGATGCAATCACCGGAGAAGACGAAGAAGCCAAACAAGTTCTTCGAAAGCATAACTCTAACAAGGCTCTCAGTATCGCGTTTGATTATCAGCACAATTTTCGCAATGAGATTCTGAATGGGATGTATGTACATTTAGAGAAGGGGGAGCTTGGTTTACGACGTATATGCGACTGAAGGCGTTAAACGCCTCAAAAGACTTTATAAGATTTAACGAAACGTATCATTTTTCTGAGTTTGTAACTATCTATGCCCATTAATGTCGTAGCACGTCGTGGTCTATCTGACGTGTCAGTCCAGGCCAGTCCTCCAATCTATGCCGCACATTCAACAAACTTCTTTCATTGAAAGTCCGTTTCAACCCTCCCACTTGTTCCGCTCGATAAAGATGAACAACAAGCGAATACTGACGGACATCTCAGCTCGGAAGGTGTCTGCTCGAGGCGAAGAAAAACTAGCTACTACAGTAGTTTGGTCATTCCTGTCATCATTCCGTTCCCAAAACAAAAGTTCTCATGAATTCTTAAGGTGGTGATCGGAACGACGAAAACCTTAGGCAATGTGCCAAGCTATATCTTGAGACTGGCTAAAACTTATGATGGTGAGCTTCTTGAACCAAGCAAGCAATTATTGATGTACTCATCGGGAGTCGAAGTGTGTTCCAATGGTAGCCACGCCGGAGTGTTATTGAAACGGACCCCGGTCCGATTTCGTTTGCCCTCACTCTTACTTTTCAGAAATTTCTCTTCGACCACCACGCCCAACCTGGTTATACTAATTGTTTCCCTCGCGGCTTTGCTCGACATAGGTCGGCATAAACTCCACTGGTGGGTATATCATAAACCCTAATTTGCCATTCTGGTCCTGCATCGATACGAAAACACGTGCCCTCTGATTGTTGTTCCACTGGCCAAGTTTTTTCAGATCATTGGCTCACTCTCCTTCCTGTTATTTCCTCTAACTTCGTAGAATTGGATTGAAGCTGGTGTTCGAATTTTGAGAGGTATGTGCACGGGCTTAACATGCCGGATAACGGAAAGTTAAAATCATGTGTTCGAAAGGTTGCTCTATTCCCAGTCAGGCGAAGGCACCGAGGATTCACCTATTCCTCGAGTCATTCTGACATTATGGACTCTTACACAACTCCAACACCAGTTTCACCAAATTCGCGTTCAGTAACTGCCAATAGTTCACCATACACGACTTATACCCGTCACCATCGAAAGCGTATCAGCGCCCTGCGACTTTCTTCTGATACTACCTCTACATTACCGGAATACATACCGACAAATCCGAATATACCTTCTGTCGCACACTGGCGAACAGTTCCCGAGGCAACAGAAATCGACGACGCACCTCCAGGATACTCATCCGACAGTGCCCAAGAGGCTGACGAGGATACTGACCTCAGTGACGAGGACAGAAGGAGGCAGATTCAGCGTTCCGTGTTTGCTACTGTTGGAATTAATAGTGCCCCCGCTACCGCTACAACCTTCACCTCATCACCATCGCTCCGCCCAAGTCGTCCCAAACGAGAACTATCCCACAGGCGAAAACGTTCTAATCCTACCCTCAGCCTGGATCCTATCCAGTCCAACTCCGATCTATATCTAGATTCTCTTCTTGAACGCAGTGTACACGCGTTGGAAATGTCAAATGTCCTACTACAAAGTTCCATGTCAACGAAAACGTCATTATCTGGTATCCTTCACCAAGAAACTGATGAAGACGAACCCATGGTGCCGTCCTCGGCTATGCGACCGTCGACTTCGCGTTCAGTGGCTGGATCTGGGATGAACTCTCTAGAACGTAGTGCTCGAGGGCTCTCAGCTCGAATCATGGGCGGCGGATATGTTCATGAGACATGGATAGAGGATCTGGAACAAATAGGGAAGGATGTCGATCAGCTGTTTTCCGAAGAAGCGCAGAAGGAGCGAAGACAGCGTAACCGGACGAGGCGAAATGCTTCTCAGTCTGGGTCTTCACAAGGCAGCATTAGCTCATCGCTTCCAGTTGTCTCCTCTACTCCACTTCAGTCGTATAATAAATTTGATAGAGACCGGATCGCCCACTCTAGCGGTACCTCTCCGCAGCAACACTCTAATCACGTCAACCGAAGGACTTTGGTAGACCTGCGCTCCCACTCACAAACGCGTTCTTTTTCGAACCCACATCGTCCTGAGCATTTAGAATCTTTGAAACGGCATGATGCCATGGCTGGGGTACCTCACCTTAGGTATGATGTGCAGGATCGAGAGCGATTTATTTCGCAACCACCCAGGGCGTTGACTCAGTATGTTGTCGTCAAAGGCGATCTTACACATGGCCACGAAGAGGAAAACAGTTTTCAGCATCATCAACATCATCGAAGGAATTCAAGTAGGGGTCTCAATGGCGATGGAAACGACAACAACTCTGACAACGGATGGCAGGAGGGTCCCATTGGTAAGGAAACGGAGCTGCGAAAAAACGATGAGGATGAACCTATCGTACTTCCCTCGACACTCGGGCTGAGAAGCCTAGGGACACATAGCACTATTCGAAGGAATAAGCAGTTGTTGTCGCGCTCTCGGTCCCCGTCTCCTGAACGAAGTGCGTCGCGCTTTGTCCACCACCATGATGATCAGCTATCAACCCCAGTCACTATATCTACTCCCACCATAGTCCTTGATCCTTCGTCTTCCCTGCCTTCGCACCCTTCACTTCCTACTCGAGCTCCTAACGCCTACAACATGCTATCTTCATTTGTCTACCCTGCTTCATCTTCATCCTCCAATTTAACACCCAAACGTTCGGACTCATCGTCATCCAACTCTCGCCCCAAGGGCAAAACTTCACCTTTTGCATCTCCCTGGGCATCCAGACGTAGTTCAGTAAATTCTACGGTGGCTGAAAGACCTTCGTTCGGGGCTACATCCGGGACCAATGGTCATGAGAATTTCGCAAGGAGACGTCACTCGACGTCGCCTGCTGCATCCATGATGTCGAATAGAACTACATGTACAACAAGATCCGGAGGCTCTGGATCTAGTAGTACGGTTACTGCCGGCTCTGGTTCAAGGTCAAGGTCACAGACACCAAAACCACTGGAATCTGGACCCGTAGTGACAAGCTCAGGAAGACGGCATATGACTCCGCCTCTGGAGGTTTCTAGCAATTCCGGTTCTGGAGGCGAGGGTAACTGTTCAGAGCGAAGAGATGGAAGCGAAGGTTCTTCAGATTCGTGTCCTACAAAGCAAACCATTCTCTCACTCCGAAAGATCCTTGACACCCACAGTCCTCCCGAGAAACTTTCCTCAGACGATTGGACTCTAATTTCTAAACCTCCCCTCCTCTTACAGCAATCTTCGAAGGCCGGCGTTCCCGTAGAGGCTGGTACATCCAATGCCACAGCTTCAATATCCAAACTGTTTACTCGAGGTGTCCACTCACATGAAGGAAGTGTCACTCGACGGTTCGATGAACAACGGCAGTCCAGTTTCAAGGGGAAGGGGAAGGCGACTTCTACTGATAGCGCAGCTTCCTCTGCGCCTTCGACACCAATTACAACGAGTCGCGTTCCCACTCTTACTCCCAATAAGATGAGCTTCGATAATATACCCAAACTCCTTGGCACTAGCGTCGCTCTTGCACTTGGCGCCTCATCTCCGTTATCATCTACACCATCTTCCGGGGCCTCGACGCCTGCTACACCCAGTCATCTGAAAAGAATAAGTTTTGCCGAACTACCGGAGGGAACGCAGGGGACAGGTTCAAATCGGAAGAGCAGGAAGCGCAAGGGGAAGCAGAAGGCTTCTGGTAGTCGCCTCAGTAATGGGGGAGCATCTTACACAAAACAGAGCGGGAGCGACGACGAAGGGGATGAACCGAGGGGGTGGTTGCGATGGTTGATCAATGCTGCAGGTGCCGACAGTGGCCGTCCGGATAAGATTGATGAACGTTTAGGTAAAGGTTGGGGTTCTGCTTCAAGAGGCCCTGGATATGGCGGAATGGATGAGTGGGGTATATGAACCCCTGTCCCCTCCTACTTTCCTAATTTATTCATACTTAGCTTTGATTCGTTTTATGGCGGACATATGAGTCTGCCTCTCGCCTTATCCAATCGATGAACGTGATGATTAATCTACGACCTTGTATCCTGTACCATTATAGTTTCTTCGTCTGATCTCATTCCCTATATTCATTCATATCACTGTTCTCTTCGTACCCCTCGGATAGCTTCTTAGATGGTTTTTCACCTTATAGATACAGTCCTGATCAACATTCCCTCACATTCTTTCTTTGGGTATCTTGTTTTGGAGGCTATCATCCATCGCCATTCGTTTATCGTGCTTTTTTGATGCTGTCGATCGCTTTGTTACTCAGATATTCCGCTACAAAAAGCCTGTCCACTTTCCCCCTTGCCCTGCTATTTTGCCTAAAGGGATCGTCCTGGAATCGTCCTCCACTGACAATTCATACACAATGATTCCACTTGATACATAAGATGACTACAATATACATAGTTAGAAATAAATATGTACGGGTCTCAAAATTAATTCAGAAAGCTATCATAGAAGTCGAAGTACCAAAGGACATGGTGGTTGATACTCCGGGCAGCCTCCATTCCAATTGTGTGCCATAGCCGTCTTTGCAGAGGCTAAAATGAAATGTATGAGATATACACTAGAGGAATTGTCAATATACGAACCTGCATTCCGAGACCATATGTTGCCGGTGACACTCGTTATGGCCATATTACATGCTTTCGCAACTTCGGGATTGCCATTTGCAACGCTCCTTAGAATGGTGATTCCACCGGCATTCACGATTTCTTTTCGAATAGCAGAGCCACCGACATCCCCAAGAAGACTGATGGCGAGAGCCAATTCGATATGAACATCGTGGCATGGTTCATCGGCAGCTGTACGCAACGCAGCGAGCAGCGAGTCAACCACCCCAGCCTATTATTCACAAGTCAGATGGTGGAATAGAACAGATACAACTACTTGACCGACCTCCACTAAAGTCTGCCGAATCTTTCCGCTCCATTCGGCACAGCTGAACCTTTGAACTGTGAAACCGAGAGAACCAAGGGCTTGTAAATTTTCCGAGGTAAGCACCGTAGGCAGACGAGCAAGCCCTTTGGCGACATCGGCTTCGAGAAGTATCCTTGCCATATCACTACTGTTTGGTCGCATGAGACATCCGACGGCTCTTGCACTCCAATGTAGAACGTTGGGGTCGGTCGAGGTGTTAAGATGATGGACTATGAGCTCCACACAACCGGCTTTGGCCAAATATTTCGCTAATTTAATTGAACGAGACATTCGTGCAGCGGCGTAAAGACCGGCGCAGATATGGTCTGGATTCTGCCTTGGACTCTCAGTGCTTTGCCGTAGATGGGACACGATGAAGGGGATGATATCCATGGCGGCGAGAAAATCAGCTGTCGCGTCATTCTGAACCACAGTACCGAGACAATAGACCGACATGCTGACCAAGTGCATGTCTCCAATAGCATTTTGCCTGAGAAGGACAGATACAATATTAGTTTTGATCAGTCCTTGGGCAACCTCCGGGCTACGACATATCCTCAATAGACACCAGACAGCAAGGAGAGAGATCTCGTTGGATATGGTCGATTTGCAGAGTTCGATCAGCGTCAATGTTGTGTTGGTCCGGTATATCATGTTGGCGCTGATAGAGTCGTACCTATTGAATGGTGGGTGCTATATGACTTCTATCGAGATCAAATAATCAGAAAGGAACCTACGCGAGAGTGCCCAAAGTGATGAGAACAATCTCAAGCCCTTCAACCTCAGCGGCGCGAGTTTTCAATAGATGTATCAGTGCAGGGACTGCACCAGCCGTTACCAGCTTGTGCGCTTCCTTATAGGATTCTGAAGCAGAATAGTATATTTTGGCAACGTATGAATCTATTGCTTCCGCATTGCGACTGCTATTCAGCTCAGTTTGTAATGCACCAATCAGTAAAACTGCGGTAGTTCGCCCTATAATAATCGGCAGTGGTTGAGTTGAAAGATAAGGGGGGAACTTCAATTGTCTACCTTTGGTACTCCTGGACCCGCTTGATTCAGTGCGAATCGACACTACGTCTGAAAAGGATTCCTGTCGTCCAGGATTGTATGGCCTTTGACTTAATTCCCACCGCCGAGTGTACGAATCTCGAGGCCTTTGTGAGTCAACTCGAGGGAGAGCTTCACCTATAGTGGTCATGTTGGAAAAACTGGAAGTTGAACCACTGTCATCAACAGGAGCTAGAACGACACCATACGTGCGTTTGGTAGAACCTCCCTTTCCTGTTATAGAGCAGAATATGAATAAATGGACTCTGGCCGTGGTAAAAGTCAATCTTACGAGTACGAGATCTGCGTGCAGATGGCGAAGAGTCGGGAGAAGTAATAGGAGTGTCGACTGAGCGACTTGAGGAAGAACTTCCTGAAGATCGCTCCGTACTGGGGATCAAGGAAGAATACCAGCTGTAGCTGGGCGACGGTGGGCGTATCAGAGGACTGGGAGGCTCTACATTGGCCGGAAACTGTTGGACTGCTGCTGGTGCAGTATTAGGTGGACTGGGTTGAGATGGCCCACCAGTTTCATCATCGACTCGGCTACCCGCTGTCGACGAATACCAACTATAATAATGCGCAGCAGGCGGGATTTCCTGGCGGCTAGAAGTAGATCCCACCCTGTGGAAGGAGAACTGTTGGAGCGTAGGTGGAGCAGACATTGGGGTCTGTGCCTCTTCGAGTTCGTAAGCTGGAGGCCCACTATAGTTAGAGGCGACTGAGAAACGAGAAGGATATACCGGTGAAAGAGAGGTAGTTTCTGCATGGGGTGGAATATCAGCCTGGCTACTACTGGCTCGCCAGAGCCTGACGATAAAATCAAAAGTCGGACGGCTACGAGGTTCCTGATGCCATGCCGAATCGATGATATTCCATAAATCATCTGTAATCCGGTGATCATCCGGTCGATCCGGTCGGGAGTTTTCAAGGACGACTAGATGATAAATGTGTTTTTCAGAAAGAGCACCCCAAGGTGATACCGAAGTAAAAATCTGAAGTGATGTTAGAGACACTGGTTTTGGCTGAATCAAGTAATCTGTTACCTCCAGTGCACACATTGCAAAAGAATAGACGTCAGATGCTCGGGAGCGAGGGCTAGTCTAAATACGACATATTAGACTCCCGTTCAAATAGTGCAAGATAGAAGTCATACTCCTTTCAAGGATTCGGGGCTTAAATATTGGTAGGCTTGGGGATGCCTAGAAGTATGTTGAAACGCGAACATGCTATACTCGGAGATATTGACGTGTCCGTCATTTGTTATAAAGATATTCGCTGGGTGAAGGTTTCCATGTATCAGACCGTTCTAAGAATTCAATGAGCAAATATGCGATTGATAGTTTGGTACTGACTCGCCTTGTGTAAGTACTGCATTCCAGACGCGGCCTCGAAAACCTACAAGAGTTCAGCGCACATTATCGTAAAGGAAATGATGAACATGCCATTTGTTGACGATTAGACTGTGGGTTCTGAGCCAGGTAGTGATGAATGTTTCCAAGATCATAGAAAGGCATAACGATGAAGAGAGGATCCGAGGCACGATCTGCTATTCCGCATATTCTGGAGACGTGAGGGTGTACACAACTACGCCAATGTATGGCATGAGCTTCTAGCATCTATAGACGGTGAATATATGATACTCCAAGCGTGCAACCGCGACGTACCTCTTCTGATACATCTAAAGCCATCCTTTTCACTACAACAAGTTGCCCATTCCACCGGGCTCGTATCAGATTCGTGTTAGGGGAACTCGGCTCAACCTCGAGCGAGTCAGGCCGGATGAACAGATCTCCATCGTCTGGAAGAGATAGTGGCTCTGGAAGGAAGGACATGAGTGAATAGCGAAGGAGCAAAGGGTTTTCCCACTTAAACAGGTACTCTAAAAGAACGACGTAGTATAGGACCTGAATAAATTGGAATATTGGAATTACACGGAATCCACGGATCCCAGTTTGTAGAGCCCATCGCAGATTTGCTTCATCGGAAGAACATACGGAGATTGTCAAAAGTAGTATAGTGAAGATCAAGATCGAGTGATTCCGCTTCAAGGAAACGGGCCGCCTACCGACCGGCCGGGGAGACCTTCTTCACCTTGTTATTTTGTGAACTTGTCCTTCGACTTTCGAGACCAACTCTTACAGCATTCAACGTCTTTCGCTTTATGGACCAGACTTCCTGCAGAACCCAGGTGCCGCCGTCGCTGCCGCCCTTCATTTTCATGGATATTTCAATTTTAACGCCCGATCTCAGTTCCGACGCTTTCCATAATTCACCATCGCCCAATAACTCGAGTGCTGGGATTGTCCCTGCCGAAGGTGCGGACTAGGCTCTGCTATAGGCTGCTATAGGCCGCTAAGTGCAATAGCGATCAGGCACTTGGTCGCACTTCCATGCGGCCATGCCAGGTCTCAACGTATTGACCCTCGGAGAGCCAACGGGGGACAGAGTGGCGCAGGCTCCGAAGGATACGAGTTCCGAATCCATCACCGGAGAGATGAAGATAGGAAATAATCAGGCAACATGTCCGATCCCTCCACACAGACTCCGGAAACTCTTGATGTTTCATCAATTCACCTTTGTACGATTCAGTACTTATTCAGAAGCTAGCATTTGATGTTCCTTGTTCACCATGTCCTCTTCAATCGACTACGGATATGAACTTGAGTCCACCTTGCACTCTCCTGCAAGCTTGTCCAAATCCGAATCTTACCGCCCAATTTCGTACTCTCCATCCTCTATCCAAAAAAGCAATGGACCGTTGACCTATCGAGGCGAGCAGACCTTCGAACCATCGAAACTCACGGAGGGACGATCAAAGATTGGCCAAGACCGACAAAATCGTCTGCTCAACGTTTATCAATCCCTCAGTTGGATCTTTGGATTCAAGGAAAAATTCAGCTTAATCTTATGTGCGTATTTTCTTCGCACAGCTTGCACGAATAAATTGATGACTGATAGGCACTGTAGTCTTCGTCTGTGGAGGAGCGTTGCTAGGTTTTTGTCTAGCTAGAGCGTATATGATGAACGGTAAGGTCAGTACTTCACTTAATATCCCATCCTTTACTTTGGAAATACATGACTGATACAATTTCGAACAGATCATGCGGGAGCAAACCGTTCCGGGTGCGCATCTAACTCAATACTTTCCTCTGTGGCCTTGCTCTGAACTGTCTAATCAGGCGAATTCCGATGGTTTAACCTCAAAACGTACCGCATAAATTATATCATTCACATTTACCTCTCAATAGGTATTGTTGGAATAAGCTCGCTTTAGGTTTAACTAACTCCTTATCGCGATTAGTTGGAGGAATACTCGTCGGTCTGCAGTTCCTCCCGACTATACGACGCGTATGTCATCAAAAAACTGCGCACTTCGCTCTAAACCTAATACGCTTTTGAAGAAATCTGTTCTCTGGCACAGGATCAACGGTATGTGTGCTCCCAATGATGAATGAGCTCCACATACCCACAATTTTCCTTTGTAGGATACACATGTATCATACTGTTGATCATCGGCAACGTCTCTGGAGGTATTATCTCTCGGCGTGCTTTTGGTGGAGAAATCAATGCCCAAACTGCGTACTATATCCTGGCAATTATGCTCATTTTCTCTGCTCTCATGGGTTATCGGAACGTCAAACGGAATACCAGGAATCACCGAAAATGGATGTTGCGTAAGTGTATCGTTATAGACATACTATGAATCCATAAATGGTCTACAGGTTCTGTCGTTTATTTCTCCGTGGTCATAACCGCCCGCCTCATCATGTTGGCTTCACGGTTGATAATATCTAATATTGGGACTTACTACTCTGTACGTTTTTTGCAGAAAAAGTTATCGAGGCCGTGTTCTCAGTACCTTTGTTTATTTAGCTTTGGCGCTGCGACGAAGTGTTCTTCGTGCTCCAAGATGAAGATACCCTTGTACAGCGATTTGCGCAATGTTCCTCTTCAACTCCTAGCGACAATGGCTTATACGTTCCAGTGCATGCGTCCGTTCACGAAGGAAAGCTTGGTACAGCGTCAGCTGTTCGAGTAGTCCAGGGAATGGCATTGTGGGTTGCTACGATTATACATATGGCTCTTGTGGAAGTATATGTGGGTACTCTTTTTCTCGTTCTTTTGCTGAACATTTGTTGAGTCGACCCACAGATCCGAAGCACCGAATCCGCAAACCATCAACGTCACGGATTTGTGCTCGAAGCTCGCGACTTTGATTCCTCGAAGACATACTCTCCTCGAAATTCATATTGGTAAACTTATTCGCATTCGTTGTTCTTGCTGCAAGGTGTTTTGTTGAGACTTTTTTATTTTGTTGTTTGGTTTTGGTCTGCATACTATGCATCTCCCGCGTCGTGTAAACTTTGTATTTGTTCAATCTATTGACCTTGAAAGAGTGCCAATGGTCCTTTGCAAATACTTCTTTGGTTTATCGGTCACAGGGTGGTAAGGTTCAGTGGCGTGTTGAACGCCTGAAATAAGAGCACCAATCTCCGTTTGACTGCCCATCATCTACTGCACTGCCCTGAAGGGTATCAGTCCCATTATATCTCACCTGTACTCAGGATAGTCAGCACTGAAAGTTAATGCCATTAGCAGGTCGATTACATACTATTAGTACCACCTGGTGTCACCCAAGTTCTTGCTTAAACCTGTACGGTTTCCATACAATATGCCGATTCTTGGGAAGAAAACGCATCTTACGTACTAAACTTTTGAAGATATCCTTTCTGGATTCTCTTCCATGTGAACATGGTTCTGCTAGTGGTTTTCAGGAATCAGCGATGTTTCCACAGCTCTCCACAGTATGTTTCAACTTTCATCGACGTTTCATCTTTATATTATTCGCATTTACGATGAGGAACATTGTAAACATGAAAAGATTCTTGTTCCCCTCGGACTCGTTCAGGCTACTAGGCGAAGAAGTAATCTATAACTAAGGTTGCCCTAGCCGACGACAACCGAGGGAGCGGAGGGAAGCGGGTAGAGAAATCTATACCATCAAGTTGGTGCTCACTCGCAATGCAACCACAATCCTTGTGTAGTGTTAGCGCATTTAGTCACGATAAGACAGTCAGAAGTGCAATTGAGAACGAGAAGTTTGACTCGTCCTCTCCTTTGTGCGATACATACGCAGAATAAAGTTAACAACTTGGAAATGCAGGACATTCAACTCGAGCCCTCCCTCCGGCCCCTCACACATGATCACACGTTCCTTGCTCCTCTCTCTAGGACTTATGTAGCTCATTAGATGTTGACTGATTTCATAAGAAACAGACTTGGACTAGGATGTTGGCCCCCAGACCACTAGCTAGCACTAAGCGATACCATCCCAAACAGACCTAGAATCGAGGAATGGAGACGGGCATTAGGCAAGAAACACACCCAGTCGCTACGATTCCCCGCTCCTTGGTACTAAGACTTACTTACTTGCGGCTGATGAAGAGTTTTTTCAGAAAAATGACAAAGACTAGGATGTTGGCGTCTAAAGACTCTTAAGCTCTGGCCTTTAGACGCCCGGTCTTAGCTGTCCAGTGTCTTGCAATAAAAGGTTTCGCACAGCCATCACAAATCACACCACTGCCAAGGGTGAAACGCTAGTAATGGTGTCGTTTCCAACAAATGATGGACCTGTTCGGTATCAACAATCGCTGATGAATCGATGTATCAGGTCTTTTTCACCAATGACGATCATATGTTATCGCTGTGGTCTCAACACTTTGACCTCCGTGTGTTTGGGCCACCACTCACAATGATCATCCCACAATTGCAATGTTGGCGAGAGCAGTAACTATCAACAGGCATTCGTTGACAGATTTTTCAATTGCGACTCCAGCTGCAGCGCGATGATATTTGATTCCCGTGAATCCAGTCTTACACGTCAAAAGTTCTGTTCCGTTTTCATTGATCATGACTTGCGCATGCGCAGGTGAGTATTGGTCCTTACTTTGTTATCACTGCAACGTCGTGATTCGTCCTTTTGTTTCTTTCTTTCGCTTTCATCATTCTACCACTGACTTTCTTTTTCGTTCATTCTTTCATTCTTTCTGTTAATAATGCCACCTTTAATTGCAACGTCCTGGAGGCAGAATTCTCGACCAGAGTCGAATACTGCAAGATCCATTCTTCACGGTGCGTGATCACCCCCATCCCCCACAATAGTAATGGCCTGCAGTTATCATTTTCCATAGTCCATTCATTCTCCGGTCTCAATAATAATACATCATTTGAGTCGGTTGCGGGCAACTCCCATGACGGCGTAAGCAGCGGTGCGCACCCTCACTTCGTTCCTCGGTTTCAGAGATTCAATGATTGCCCAGATGCTGGGTTTCGGATCGACTCCGAATCTTCTTTCACGAGCACTATATCCATGCAACCCTTCTTGAACTCGCCATCCCAAGGAACAGGCTTCCTTTCAACCGAAACGTATGGAATTTTCCCAATGAGAAGGGCAGTGTCGGGCAGTTTGTCAGATACAAGAGATGCAATCAGCTCCGATCATACCTCATCTACTGGTGATGTCAAAGGTAGTAGCTCTACTCATTGATATGTGATCATTCAACAGCTACTTATTCATGTCTACTTGGGATTCCAAACATTTTTCCCGTCCTCTCTTTCTTTAGCTACGAGTACTACTCGCTCCCTAACTATGACCTTGAGTGATTCGAGAAGTGTAGTGAGTTCACATTCTCCTAACGACAAGCTCTAGTTGACTGTTCACAAAATATTTCAGGGTTCGTCCACTCCTACTAACAACCAAAAAAGTGGCTCCAACGGTGCTCAAGTAGTACGTCTTCATCGTTTCTTATATATCCACACAATCCTCTAAACAGCTTCTTCGTGCGACCCTAGACTTCTTCAACTTCTCTATTGAATCCTACGCAAGGCGTACATTCCACCAGTATCGAAACAGCATCTTCCATTGCTACTACAGATGAACAACAACACAGTAGCGCTACCCCTGTGATTTCGTCAAAATCTGCTGATACAGCATCTTCCGCTGCTTCTATGGAGGAACAACACCACACTAGTACTACCTCTGCAACAGCGTCAATAAGTGCACATTTTTCTGACGGGAACTCGGATGGCACTTCAATAGGCGTTAGCACCGCTCAACTGGCCTCTACGACTTCGGTACGTGTGTATTCCTTTGGATTGGCCTTTGTTTAAGTAAAATTTTATAGACGTCCTCGACCTCTTCTGGTGACAAGAATTCACAAACAAATGGGGTTGGCTTCCCCACTTCGAATTCAAGTGCAATCACGCCTACCAACTCTCTAAGTTCCCCTGCACCAACACTCACTACCAAATCATTTTCGGATACTGGAACACATATCAGTGGGAAAACTACCGATACTGGAACACAGGTCAGTGGGAAAACTACCGACACTGCTATTTCCTCGCAAACATTTTCCACTACCACGTCCTCCCCGGGTCTCTCGGCGACTAGTACCCATGGACATGGTATTAGTGAAACTCAATCTAGCAGCTCAAACGGCCACACCAGATCTACAAAGGGTTCGGCCAGCGCTTCGGTGACTCTTACCACCTCAGCGACTTCATCTGTGGCTTCCCAACATTCGAAAGGGCATAACGACGGCGAAACAACAAGTTTTGGATCAGGCGGACTCGGAATTGGGTTGAGCGTTCCTGGGCTTGGTCTTTCCATCACGGTCGGCAAAAGTGGTATAGGCGCAGGCGCTTCTTTGGGAGTTCAAGGACATTCCAAATTCACAGCATCGACCACAGGCAGTCCTCGATCTTCAGATTCCACTCATTCTCAGACAGATGGCGTGCCTTCTACTACATCCTCGGATAACTTTCCAACTCGTACACCCAACCAGACTCTTCCTCCTCCTACACTTCCAGACCCTATCCGGAGTATAGTGACTAAAGTTGTCAGTGCTCTTAACCCACACACCACTCGAAGCTCAAATGAGAATCATACCCCACCTCCAAATCCACAATCCGCTACTCAAAGCTCGAACGGGGATGGGTCACATCACAGCTCATCTTCGCAGGCCGGGAGCCCACCTCCGACCGGTGAGCCTCACCGGAATTCTCACACAGCCACGCCAGCTACCAGCACCCAGTCCTCTGGCAGCGGCAATGGGAATGGGAATGGGAATGGAAACGGCAACGGTAGCAGTAACAGTAACAGTAATGACGGCTCACCTACTGCAACGAATCCGGCCACCAGCAGCTCAACGCCTTCGTCTGGAAGCGGAAATAATAACAATGGAAATGGAAATGGAAATGGAAATGGAAATGGAAATGGAAATGGAAATGGAAATGGAAACGGCAATGGTAACAGTAATGACGGTTCACCTACTGTAACGAATCCGGTCACCAGTTCAACGCATTCGTCTGGAAGCGGGAGTAATAACAATGGAAATGGAAATGGCAAGGGGAATAACACTGGCAATAATGATGTCGGTTCAACTACCTCGACTCAGTCCGATCTTGCCAGCCCAACACACAGCTCCGGAAGCGGGGATGATAATGGTAATGGCGATAGCAGTAGTGGGGATGGTTCACCTACCGTAACGAAGTCAAGTGGAATTAATGACAGTAGTGATAAAAACCCTTCCCCTACTGTTTCCTCCCAAACAGGAGGGCGACTCCCGGACAGTGGAACGCCCTCTCTCACTGCTTCGCAGTCCCCATCCGATTCCATTGCTCAAGACCGCCCTGGCCAGACTGTAGCATTGACCCGAACCACAAATGCCCTTTCTACTGCTGCTACTGAAAGCAAAGCCGCACTTGGAGGAACTGCATCAGGTAATGGCCAACTTGTTTCCGGGCTTTGCAAACACTCAATCCTCTATCTGATCTAGCTGTGTCTGTTACATCTACTTCGACTGTTGTACATGACGTGAACAGTACCATCCCGTTGTCGGTACCGTGAGTCGTTGATAATCCATACCTTCCCGACTTTCTGACTTTTCATTCAGTCCTGGTCCTTTAGATCGTGTGGTTAATAGCAACGCGAATAGCAACTCCGCTCCTTCCACCGGCCTTCCTGCCGATCGTTTTACAACTTCCACGTTTGCATCCACTTCTTTTAGTTTGGAGACGATTACTACCATGTCTGGGGGTACTCTAACAACAGAAACTACCTCCAAACCTTTTACGACGTTTACTACAACTACTGTGGTTCCTGTGAAATCGTGAGTTTCTGACGTCTACACGAATAAGTAATTAAGTCTAATATTATCTGTGTAAGAACCGTCGCGACGAATCATCAGGCCATCACTGGAGGGATTATTGGTGGTATCCTCGCAATCCTGTTGGCGATCGGCTCTTGCTTTTTCTATCGGCGCAGGTATAGGAAGCGCTCTATCAACTTTGTCCCCTACTTGAATTTGGATGGAGACAAACCCCCGCGTGCTTCGATTGCTCATGACCCAGAAGCCCCGCCGTCGCCAATATTCAATCCCATGGCCATGGTTGCATCTTCATCCCGCGTAACGACCCCAGCTCAAATGTCCGCCACGTCTGTTGTGACCAGGACGCCTATTCCATTCCACGATTTCCTCAATGACGAAAAGATGACTATAAAGAGGACAGCGTCGTTCAGCAGACTTTCAAGGAATTCCTACCCCCGAAGTTCTTTCTCTTCACAGATGACTGGAGCGAGATCGTCTCGTTATTCCTCCTCTTCGTCTTCAACTTCTTCTTCGGCTTCTGGCTCTTTCGTCACTGCTGATGGAGAATCTTTCGCTAGCACGGTCAAAGTTGGGGAGCTTGTTAATCCATTCGCAGATCCTGAGCCCTCTGTGTTAAGGACTGAGGATCCATTTTCCGATTCCTTTGGTTTGCAAAAGACCAGTGTATTCACTGCCAGTGGCGGAGAACATCCCCGCTTCCTACCGCTTCTGCCTCAACTTCATCCAATAAAGCCGTCTACTAGTGTCGAAGGCACTCGAATATCTCAAGCGTCTGTGGAATCGAGTCATGTAAGTCTTCTACTCTGTGACGAGTTAATTGTTTCTCTTCCTCGAGACTGACGGATTATCGTCTTAGTGGGGTGTCGCGATGTAAATCGTTGAATGGCCAATCACGCGCGGTCGGTGATCGTTCGCATTGTACGAATCCTTGCAGTCTGTTTATTTATTCATCTTGGACATCGGGACAATTGACTATCTTTGGACAACTCATATTGTAAATACAATGCGGTGCGGGAGCAGAATCAATATACCTTAGTACGAGCTTGAATGGAACAGCTTTGTTTATTCACTGGATGAATAACTTCTCAAACAACTAGATTGACTTGATAGTCAATACTGTTGGTTTGGAATTTACATCAAAGGCCAGTACAATATGACGGTGAAAACGGCGCCGCTCCCTACTCAATCCATGTCCACCCACCGAGACCTACTGAGCCGCTTAGGACTGTCAATTTAGGCAACAAGCGAGAGGGCTACTGCAGCCACCGCAGTCCCAACAATGCTCAAGTTGATGACACGTAGACTAAGAGCTGCAGAAACCGCATCTGCAAGCTGAACGCCGAGTGTGCTACACGTTGTAGCATACTCTGTATAGAATATGCATCGAATATAGCGTTGAGCTAGGGGGCGATTACACAAATGATCAGAGCTTACCAGCGAGTAGCTGTTGGCCAGTAGCGTTAGTGAGCCCGTTGTTTGTGACCACACATTCGAGACAACCTGTGACGGTACCATACACGTCATTGGAGCATTCACAACCAGAACTTGTACAACTCTAATAGTAGAAACTTATTCAGCTTGGAAGACGGGGAGGGGAAAACGGGTATTGAAACGTACCGTGAGCGCAGACAAGGTGTCTGAGCTGCACTGTGAGGTACATGCAGACGGAATCACATCGGAAGAGATAGCGGTGGTGTTTTTCGTCGCAGAGGTAGCAGCGGTAACTTGACGAAGGACTAGTTCATGAACTGGAGTCGCAATGACTGTCGAGATGATAATGCATTTCTTAACGCAAGGGTTGTCACAGGATACTACTACTACGTACCACCATGCCCAGCGAAAAATAACAGCGAAAGAAGTGAAAGAACGATGTTAATGAAAGCGACCATCCTGATGGTAAGATTACTTGGAAGAATGTAGGAGGCGAGCGTCGATGGACGATTAAGGTACTGCGATGCTTCTGTTCAATTTGACAAAGGAGAAAAATAACCTGTCAAAGGTTCAAAAGAATGAGTAAAGCAAACAAAGTGGATGAGGGAAGTGGTGGTAGAAACAAAACTAGTCTGGACCGGTGCAGTTTTTTCCAGCCAGCAATGATATCGCTGCGCAGTACACGCTAAAAATAGCTAGTATTGTAATTTTTATAGACACCACGGGAACGTCGTGAAGACTGATACACAGCGTAGCTGTGGTGACACTATGGTCCCAGGCCAGAACAGCCAGTCTAGGCCGGGATTGATGCATGTTGCAATAGACACTGTACGAGTATAAGAGCGTAGAGTATGCAATACCAAGCCAGGACTTGTCGCTGTAAAATGAAAAGCCAATTCAATCGATCGATCGTTGCCGGTTCGGGGAATGTTTATATAAATGGGGCCGGAAAATCCTAAGCGCCCGGCCCTCGCCGAAAGCCTGTACATTATTTAATCATAAGCCGGATCAACACACGGCAAACTCGCTATTCACCTTATTGGATCTTCCCAGTGAGTCCTCTTTGTCTCTTGTATATACATATGTAGGCGAAAACAATCCTTTGGTCTTTTTGCACACCCAGGGCATGCCTTTCAGCGTCGTTCTGCCATAATAACTCACCATCTGCCTTTATAGGGATATCTGTCTCCGAGTACGAGAAAAGCTCATACTATAATGGCATCACTGGGGACGCTGATCACCCAAACCTCGTTTACCGTTCAGACTTCCTCACTACGCCCTTCCCTAAGCCTGTCGGTAGACATGCCTCTCTCCTTATCAAGTCGCTCCGCGGTGTCTTCAGCACACCTCTCAATGGTGTCTGGGATTCTGTCGGTCCCCAAATCATTGACTTGCTAAATGCTCGGAAGATCGATTGGACATCCGTCGACCCTGCCCGCTTCTTCACCCATGCACCGTTAGGAGAGGATCCCAAGGGTAGTCTCGGTCCTGTCGTCATATGGGTCGGTGTCATTCCAGATTCTACATCTGCCAATACTGCCCATGAGGTCTCCCAACAAATCCTTACTCTGTTGCAGAAGAATGGCGTCAACAGTGCTGTTGTAGAATGGCGCGAGGCAGTTTTACAGATGCTCGCAGGTCTCCCTCTTATGTGCCATGTCGACGTCAGCGATGCTACGCATCATGTCCGTCGCTTCCTCACTCCTCTGCTTGGCACTCCTCTTACAACTGAAGGTATGGAGGAGGGTACCCTCACACTCTAGTTCCATGAGATCAAGGATAACGATGGCAACCCCAGCAACAAGGTGTATGGTGTTAGCAACTGCCATGTCTTACGCAAGAATACCGCCTCTGATTACAAGTATACAGACGGCGCACCCCTGCACTACGTTCGAGTGTGCGGAATGCGTCGATTCCAGCGAGGCCTCGACGAGATCACAAAGGCTATCTCTAACCACAGTTTCTCTGCCGATTTTTGGACCCTAGACATTGCCAAGCTACAGGCCAAGGCCAAGGAGAAGACGGACGCAGCGAATGAGAGAGAGATCAAGGCAAGGCAACGTCAATTAGTCAACGATACCAAAGCTACCATCGATCTGCAGGCTCTCCACGAAGACGCAACGAAATACTGGTCCGACCTCAAGCTCTACCGCAACATTGGGCACGTTCAGTATGCTGAAGCTATCTCGGTTGACGTGGAAGGCGGCACACGATATACCTTGGACTGGGCTGCGTTCGTAGCTGATGAGGCAAAGGTCAAAGATGAGTTTGAGGGCAACGTCGTTGATCTCGGTGCGTTTTTATTTGCCTTCGATACTTCGGCTCTAAAATTAAACATCTATACAGGATCCAAATACAGTCCTTATGTCCTTACACACATGTTCAATCCTCCCGGTGGTGGCTCGACTACATTCAAGTTCCCCTACGACAGGAAGCTCCGCATTGAGGGTTGCGCCACGAAGGAAGACCTCTCTCACCCAGAAGAGCTTGACAGCGAGGGCCAGCACTGCCTCATGGTCGGTAAAAACGGCAACACTACCGATCTCACTATCGGACGTTATGCGTCTAGTTTCGTTCACTAGAAACCAAGCCGGCATCGAGTCCATTGAACTCGGTATATATAATTCGGGCGACAGGTTTGCTGAACCTTTCTCCGCTAAAGGAGACTCAGGTTCCCTTGTCTGGCACTCGACAAATGACAAAGCTCGCATCGTTGGCCAAATCCACTCTGGACAAAATAAGGGCGGCTCCACTAGCAATCATGTCACATATTGCACACCTGGCTGGTACCTCCTGAGCCAGATCCAGAAAAGGTTTAAGTACGCCGATTTCTACCGCACCACCTGATCAGCTTGAGAATAGCATCAACAATTCGCTTCTCTCTTCTTTTTGTAAAATTAGCTGACGAATGTCAAAGCCAGTAATCGTGTATAAGCAAGGGCAATCGTTATATTCGGGTACATAACAGTATTTATTTGTATATATTACGGTAACTCATAAATCGCACCAGCAGCAGCAGTTGACCGTCTCCGCCTCTGCTGATTAGTGTTCCACTGATTAAGAACATTGACAGATGACAAACTGGTACGAGTTTTCTTTGATTTTGAGAACAAGGACTGGAACATGAGTATCGGCCACGCTAATCGTGCCCAGAATGAGCTGGTCTCTCTGTTCTTGAAAAGGTGTTTGCTTTGGAAGGCGATGACTATCCATACTGTGACTGCAGTCAGTGGGAATGCTGCAGCAAAGTAATGGGGAAGTGTTCCGAGCGTTTGTGCAGAGAGCTCTTTAACGTTCATACCGAATACACCCTGTAACAACCATAAGCGAAAAAACACGTAGAAGGTAAGGTATAATCTTACAGCTACAAATGAGGCAGGAAGGAAAATCATGGAGAGATAGGCAATCTGTTTCATCTAAGAAGTGCTCAGTGTACATACGTCGTTCAGTGATATAAACCCCTTACTGCTGCACTATCTCTGACCGCCGCCTCTGTGAGATCTTGCATGCGCTTACTGTCGAGAATGTTGACTGTGCTAAATACCTATATCTTTGTCAGAGACCGTTATGCATCCAGCGCACAATCAAGGCTTACTAGGTTCATCACATTTTTTAGCCTCCGCTCCTGCATCGTACGACTCTTCTCCAGCCGCTCAACTTCGATCAAGAGGTTGTTACATTCCTTCTCGAGAAGCTTGCGACTCAAAAGACGCTCATCATTTGGTAACGAATCCATCGCAGGGTTCAATGTGTCGTTAACGAATACAACGGATTTTCGGAAATCCTCTAATAAAGACGAATAATGTAATAGATGGGCTTGGATGGTATGCAAGTCCCGCGTGAGGTCCATGTCAGAGGAACGCATAATTTGCGATTCCTACCAGATCATTAGTGTAAGCGAATGACTGCAGCGGGAAAGAACTCACCATCCAACAAATATGTCCATAGAGTTTCTCCAGAGCTTCATCCCAAGCGTACATTGCATGCCAGATGAATGTAAGCAGAACAAAAGTAGGGTCTGGAGATTTTTGAAATATGCTTTGCCAATATACGCTTTGACCAGCAAAACGAATGCGTTCGTGAAGGTAGGGTGCTGAAGTAGCATTTTCGTCGTGACCGTGATAGGAGATTATAGTGCTTCCCAATCCGTCGTTACGACGGATAAGGTGAACGGATAGAAGATCGAGGGCTAGCATGTGCATGTCTTCGCCTTGCGGGAGACTATTAGCAGCGTATCGTAGCCGAGTATGAAGCCGCAACATTTACCTTGGCCGATTCGAAGTGGAGCTTGAGTGTTAATCATTTGCTCTGAGGAAATACTGATGAATGCTGCGAAATACAAATGGAATTCAAATAGCACACCTAGAGGTGGATCGTTATCCTTCATGTCGTACTCGGTGCTCGATGTTGATGATAAATTATGATCGGAAGGAAATAAGGGTTTTGAGGATGTCGCTCGTACCGTCCGAATGAACGACAACGTAATAGTAATGTCTTTGTGGTGATACTCGTGAGATCCTTAAAGCAAATATAGTTAATGAGGAAGGCGCACGATCTCCTTTCCCGGGCCTAACTTCTTCCTGAAAACGAGATGGGATTGAGGAAAGTGATGACGAAAAGAAAAATGGTTCTATGTTGTATCTAGACAACGATGAGTCCTGGTTCTATGTACGAAAACACTGTAGGATACGAACTTGGCTCCCAGCATTTGTAGAACCGGTCCAGAAAGATTCTGGATGAAAAGGGCGCGTACACGAAGATTGCTAGGTCTCTGAGTTCGCGAAAAGAAAAAACAAGATTAGAAATATCAAGACTCTCCACGTCAAATCACGCACGGTTTCATGAGCTATCTCATTCCAGAACACATCTACATCCCCTTCTCGTACGAAATGCTTCTCTGCGTCGGTGAAGAAGCCTCCGGTGTCGACGTTCACATAATGAATAATACATGGATCTGTGGCATCATAGTCGCGTACTGCATCAGCAATCCCGCTGCGCAGGACTTGACCAGGAGTCCTTTATTTGAAGGCTTAAAATTAGTTCTGAGCTGTATTAATTTTGGTGGACTCGTACCAATTTGGGAATCTGGATTGAGGATAACCTTTCCAACAACCGCCACAGTCCTGAAGGATTGGTGTCACGGGTAAAAATTGAAAGGGATGACGGGAAACACACGTTGTGATCGCAAAGCGGGGGAATTGGAGGTAAAGGTGATTCGAGTTGATTCGCGTCTACCTCTATGAGGAGTTGTCAGCGTGTCATGCTTATTTCTCTCGTACGAATAGTGTTGTTGACCGTCATGTATATCTATCCATGGCCTACTCATTCATCGTCAACGAACGTACAAAGAGAACGAATTCACGACTTTTTTACCATGGTGCACTAGGACCTGCGTGTCTATGTGGTGGAGGTGGTCTTGTATATCGTGACTCGGTCATGGCATATCTTGAGGAGGGCATTCCGACGAGCGACGACGAGTAGGACGTTAATCACGGTTAGAATTCAGGACGGCTGAGGTGTTTTATGGTATATGTGCATAGTGACATGGCAAATTTAGTGAGGCGCCTAAGTACTTGGTGACAGGTTGGCGATGCGCCCCAAATTTCCTTGATCCTCGGCAGTAGAACTAAGGTAATTTGATGGGCGGTCTTTCATACAGCGAGATATATTTTACAAAGTAGTCAAGTATGAGAAGGGAATTGCAATAGAATCTTCACAAATCGAAAAAGAGCCGAACCCTGCGATGATCGATGATCACGCAAGTCCTTGGTGGGCAGCGAGGGCCACTACTTGTGAGCGTGACTGATCTACAGCTTTAGCACTGCTAATTTCTCACGTTCCCGCTTGGCACTAACTCCCATGATGCCAGCTGAATGTCTTTTTATGACCACAATCACTGAATTGTCATACTCGAACGTTTTCCACTTAGGTTCGTATATACTCTCCCCATCTGAATATTGGCTCATCGCAATGTCCAGGTTTTTTGGTCTCATAATTTCCGATGATCACACGTTTTTCAATTGTCACTCTCATCCTGTTCATTTTGTCTATCGCTCTGGTGATTCGTCCAATCTATATACCGATACGACTTCCTCGTCTTGGGAAAAGAAAAATCCCAATAAATTTGACGACAACACCCCCCACAATCATTGCCATTTTATGGGCTTCTCAATGTCTTGGTCCAACTCAGGTTTGAGATTGGAACTTGCATTATATGTGCCGGCTCATATCCTCCTCTCAGATCCGTGATGGAATTGTTGGAACCGGTGAGCATATACAGTGCTTCTTACTCTTACTGTTGTGTTAAGTCATGTTTCCTAGATGGCGTCAAACCATATAACATCTTAATCCTGTTCTTTTCACTGGCTTATATGGCCATTACACTCGATATCAGTGGGATCTTACAGGCATCAGCTTTCTGGGTCAGTAACAAGGGTGGATCAAATGGCTGGAAACTTTACTTTTACTTCTATTTGATGCTTACATCGTTGAGTGTGGTTTTGGGAAATGATCCTGTCATTCTATCCGGAACTGGTAGGTCTATATCAATCTGAATTGGTTAAATTCTTACACTTTCTATAGTTTTCTTGGTCTATTACACAACCGCCACCGAATTGGAGCCAATCCCTTGGCTCATTTCCGAGTTTGCTGCCGCCAATACAGCCAGCATGGTACTTTTCGTAGGCAATCCAACGAACGTGGTTGTCTGTGAAGGGTTTGCTATCAATAATGCCGCATTCACTGCATATACCATCTTACCGTTCCTTGCTTGCAACTTTGTATGCTTCCTAGCGCTCTCCTTTCAGTTTCGTGACAAGAAGCACATTCCTCGCAAACTGCGCGCTACGGGTACATTAAATCCAAGAAGTGTTCTTCGCGATCCAGGTAGCGCCCTCGTCGGAAGCCTCCTCCTCGGAACATGCTTGGTGGTTATCATCATCGTCAGTTTCTTCAAAGTTGACGTTTGGAAAATCAGTTTACCGTTTGCGGTGGCGAAGCTCATATTTGACTTTGCCTGGGACCATTACCGTTTCACGACCGGAAAGCTTTCACATCACGGTCATTCGGATTCCAAGGAAGAGACATCCGCTGACGACGACGACGATCCCATGTATTCGCAAATCCAGCGAGCGATGACGTCGCCGACAGAAGAGGGTCCGCACCGAAAGGAAACATTTAACTCCAATGCACGCACCCTTACAAACGCTACAGCCTCAGCCCAAGTTGTGGACAGAGCCTCTCCTGTTTCCTCATCCAAATCATCTAAACTCAGTCAATCCGTCGAAATTTTCCCAAACACGCGCCGCCGTCTCCAAACCACACATGACGGGTTGGCTGCCCACTTTCCTACGTTTTTCACTGCCCTACCGCGACTGCCGTTTGCTTTGGTACCGTTCGCATTTTCGCAATTCATCCTCATCGAAGCGCTGCAGCATCAAGGTTGGATCGACGTATTCGCACATTGGCTTTCCAAAGCTTCGCAGGGCAAAATACACCCCTCAATCTGGCTAATTGGTGTCATCGGCGTGCTGATGTGCAACGTCGCTGGCACAAACATTGGTGCTACCATCCTCCTTACAAAAGTCGTTCGTGCGGCACCCAATTTCCCTTCCGACACCACACGAGCAGCAGGCATCGCGCTTGCTGTAGCCAGTAACATTGGCGCAGTCAGTTTCACCTTCTCGGCCAGTCTTGCAGGATTACTTTGGCGGACGATACTGGTCCAGAAAGGGATTCATATACAACAGAGACAGTTTGCTTTCTGGAATCTATTACCCATTCTTTTCATGACAGGCGCTGGTCTTGCTATAGTCTCAGCTGAAATGGCAGTACTCTACTAGAATACTACGAAATTGTAACATATGCTGGACCAAAGATTGATTGTCCTACTAGAATTCAAACGGTTCCTTAATCCTCAGGCTTTTCGACGTACAACGAGAACACTTTTCTGTATCTAGAATACATAGTATCCATGAACAAATTACAAATATTACAGATCACAAATGTCTTTTTCTTCCTCCATTGTGGCAGTTTGTCCTGCTGTTTCTGAACTAGCCTTCGACGGTTGAGCATGATGATTTTCTGGTACAGTGCTTGAACCCGAAATCTAGCAATAGATAAGGACGTGGTATAAGCCAGGATTTGGCGGTGCTCACATCGGAATATGATTTCGAGTATGACCTCTCGAGTGACACAGAATTCGAGGTGCAGACCCAATGCTCCTGCTAGCATGAAAAATAATGATTTAGGTGTAAATAAGGTCACGAAACTACTGACCGTTTTTTCTTCGGTGTCATTCCTTAGAGTCCTGTGCTCTGAAGGTATGTAATCGAAGTATGCCTCTGGTATCATAGATACATGTGGTTGATGTGAATCCTGCGTGGACTCAGAAACAATTATTGTGGAAGGTTGTCCTGAGAGTGTGGGCCGAGTTGCTGATTCGATATGGACGAAAGTCAATGCGCTCATGTCCATGGTTGGAAGCGAAAAACGATCCCGGACAACATCACCAGACCATGAAGAGCCTGAGCTGAGCCTGCACAAAATTTTCAGTGCTAACTTTCAGCCTTTGAACTCAACGGCACCTACCAGAACAAAGCGAGTGAATTAACTGTAACCTTCAGGAATTTTAAATGGCATCTGAAAGTCATCACTCGAGAGAAAAAAACACACGTCGGCTACACAGCTACTAAGACAAACCCAGCCCAGCTCGTTCCCCCCTAGCAGAAATAATATGGCTATGTTTATCTGAAATAATTCGTCACGGTCTTGTCCACCTTCAATGGGAAATGTATATGAGAAACGCACCATAGATGAAACAAGGCTCGTAGACGCTCCGCTGAGTACATTGTTACTGGCAATATCTATTATGGGTCAGATCGAGTGCAGTCACTTACTATAATGTTCTCTTGGCGATAGATCGTAGCTTCGGACTCATGGGATGTGATAACCATAGAGGCCAAAGAAACATAGCTGTAAGGAAGCTATTGAGACTTATATCATACACTATCAAGCTGATCGTACTGAGTAAGTCATGAGTTATGAGTTAAAGCACATAAAATAGAGGGAGAGCGTACGCATAGGATTTTAATCCGATGATACACACGCCGTCGCCACGAATCGTGCTGTCTCTTCCTATGACAGTCAAGGTCCCAACCACGACATATCCCAGTAGGACAACTGCACAAACGCGATATACTCTCGCCTTGAGACGTGAATTCTGATTACCGCCAGTCCAAACAATATAAACCTGTCGGAATTGTTCCCTCAAATGTGCTGTTTGAATCGGAGATTCTCGAACCTTTTCCGAAAGAAAAGCGTATATAAGGATCTGGGCAACTATCAGTGGGAATTTCTTGAGATGCCCAGTACCAACTCTACCTTGCTGATTGCGTAAAAGCTGATGCAGGTGTATATAGCAAGAGAACAAGTCGTTTGCGACCATGAGATGCTAATACCAGATGCAAGCAAGCCAGCTTCATGTTTTAAGCAAGGAGCGCACCCAGTGATTGTGATGCCTCAATACTCACCGAAAAAAACAAAAAGCCAACTGCGATAGGGTCATAAGAGTGTGACGATGACTAAAAGAAATTGATAATAACAACTCACGAATCGAGAAGCACCAATAAAACACATGCCCTGCCCCAGGTTAGATGCTTCCACTGCCTCCATCCTCTTGGTACACGCCGTGATAAGCAGAAAGAAAGCACAGAGACACCTGAATGATACGTGGATAAGGACTCGGGTTGCACGGATGGATTTGATCAAACTGAAAGACCTATGAGCGAGACGCAATTTGCCAGAATTTCGATCTCATGATACTTTGCCGGGTCATCCATGGTGGTGTAGAGGAGACAGTGGGTCAACATCCAACAAGCAAATCTAGGTTTTAAAGTATCCCAAAAGATCACGACGACACCGGCCAGAATTTGGCAAGAACCGACTAGAGCGCGCGAGGAGTGAGGTCAACAATGCATTTGATGGACAACTAGCGTGGCTCAAATTCAAGAGAAAACATATAGTTCTGCCCGTCTTCACCAAAGCCTGACCCAAAGCAGACCCAAGTCAAGATTTTCGGCATTGCAATGAATGGAATCCAGAAGCTTGGTTTAATGACTGACATTCGGTATGTCAAATACATCCTAACCTTTTGAGTACAGCCCTGAGTCGGGACGACCTTGGACCTTGGTGATATCACATTGAGGCGGCATTGGAGGATATCTCTGGGATAGAAGATATCAGTAGTATTTTTGACTACATAAATTTGAATGTATGCAATGTGTATCGTTGTAAAGTTACTCTTGCCGCTGTAACACGCGATCCAATGTCGTTATTAAAAACTTACACACCTTGGGAATATAGCCTTAAAGGGACAACCAGGCGAACAACTGTTTACCCCTGGAGCTTCAAGATTGAAAGGGGCTTGACGATTATTGCTCAGCGCAGAAAGAAAATTTCCTTGTCGGCTCCATGTAGGTTGAAGGGATAATATCTAACAACCCCCAAACCACCGAGTTTTAATTTGTCCCCGTTCTCAGACAAATATCGGACCGGTCAAAGCTGGTTGTATCTCGATGAAAAAGGAAGTAAACATTTAGATTTTCGAATTGTACAAGTTCAAGGTCAATCAATCCATAACGATCAAGTCATAAAAACATATCTCGGATCCGAATCACTAATTTCCGTCACTTGACCCAGAGAAACCTTTTCATCTTCGGTCATTAGATCTAGTCGCTGGGCATTACGTTTGTTGAGCTTAGAGAGCCTCATATGTAGTAGAAATGCTATGAGCATGGATAGGAACACGCAGCTGATTCATTCATCAGTGTAAAGTGAAGAGGGAAGAGAGGTAAGTCATACCCAGCTGCGATAGCGTGCCCCTTCCTATAACTGTCTTGTGGGTCAAAATAGATTTGTGGAGAAGCTCTGTTATCTTAGGATGAATCGACGAATCAGTGTCAAACAAAAATCAACTTACATTGACACGCAGTTGGATATTGAAACGATGAAGGCCGTCCCTACGCCTCGCTTTGACGTTGGTGCAAAAGTATTGGCAGCCCAACTCATGACAAGAGGGAATAAAGAGTAAAGTCCCCCGATCACGAGGAAGAGGGCAAAATACGCGGCACCGACGCTCTTCTGTACAGCGGTAGCCAATATAAGGTAACCAACAAACGATATGAAGCAGGAGAGCATGATGTGCCAGCCCCTGTCGCGGGTCTTATCGCTATGCCAGGCTTGGAATACCACCATAAACCAGCTGTAAAACATTTTCATTCGAAAATAAAATTGAAGTTTTGGGAGTTACAGCTTACCCAGCGATGTATGGTGCAACAGTCAAGCCCTGGGCGTTGATTGCAGTAAATCCGAGACCCGCGATGATCTGATGAAAGATATAAAGGTTTTGAGGCGATTGGACTTCAAAATCAATCCACATACTGTTGGTAAGAAGTACGAGATCGTGGCAACCCCAACATTGACTGTCCGATTGTGCTCAGATTGATTTTCGCGCAAATGAACTGGTGCCTTACAGCTCGCATATATGGTCATGAACATCCATGCATGGATGTCAGTAACCACAGCTTTGAAACCTTGCCAGCCATTCATTCCACCATGAGACTGAGGTTTATGATCCCGGTTGAGACGCGCTTGGGCAATAGCGCGCTCGCGGGGAGTCAAGAACGTGGCAAAAAATGGAAAGGGAGGCAAGAAGAACAAGATCATGCTGGCCATGATGAGAGTCGGAATTGCCTCTATCTATGGACCGGATTTGTTGAGCGATAGAAGCGAGTCGGAAAAACATGAACATACCAGATACAAGAATTGCCATCTAAAGTAGAGCATGTCAGATCAAAGTTGAGTGCTCGATCTGCGAGGCTTACCCATCGAGAAGAGACGTTTTGGCTCGAACAAGACCAAATGCGAGGAGACCCTGATATAGCCTCTTGAGTCTGTTGCAAGCAAATTTCATCTAAATCTCCAACTTACGCCAATGGCACCTGGATAGGTACCGGTCATACATAAGCTACTCAGAGCATGAGGTCATAGCTTATCAAGGGGATATAGCAATGCCTCTGACCTGACACGCATAGCAAGCTCATGCCTTGGTAGCAAATTTGAGTCAGAGACGTAATAATTATACATGAGATCCAAGAAATCCCCTACCGTTTATACCAAAACGACAGATAGTATATCATACCGGCGTAGTAACCTGCTTCCCCAATTCCCAAAAGTACGCTGGAGGTCATGTCGATATCAATGATCGATGAAAGGTATATGCACATTGAACCCGGTACATACCGTAAAGCCAGGAGAGCACCATAACCTTTTGCGTACACGAACGATAGCGATGCTAGACCCCAAAAGGTTAACGAGAGGAAGAAGCTGTCGTAGAACCTAGTTAGCGATGAGGAACAGTGACAGAAGCGGGCTCGCTTACAATCTATTAGCGCCGATTCGTCTTTGCAAAACTGGATTAAGAACGTCAGAGTGAAAACGATCGTGGCTAGTAGGCAATTGAAGAGGTTACCATTGGCCGGCATTTCCAGCAGACCTGCGTGTGAATTGTCAGAGAATCAGTCAGTGGACCGAGATGCGTTTCGGTAACGCACAGTACCCGACGTAGAAGATACTCAATGCCAATGTCCATTTTTGATTATCTGTGATGCCCTGTGAAATTTTCCTTTAGCTGAAGTATGGTGGATAGCAATAGTCTTAGGGGACATACAAAGTTTTCATTGAAGGCGGTGATAACATGAGCATTGCCGCTGTTTCCGTCATATTCAGATCAAGCATCCTAAACGCCAACTGACAACTTCTTACATGTTCGTTCGGTCTGAATCATGAGTTAGGTTTGACTCGTTTGACAATATGCTCAAACTTACCAAACTGATTAACTTCACCCCAAACTTTGATTTAGCAACAAAAAAGGCCCGCGAACGAACAAAGACTTGCTCACATATATAGCTATAATCTGGTCAAAACCTAAAATTACCTTATCAATGAAAGATTGGCACACCTGCATATCACCAGAGGAAGGACCACATTGTCAATTTTTCTCTTCACTTTGTACTATGCCATCGTGAATTCAAGATTTTCCTAAAGTACAGTACAGAACATGCGCACATCTTCCTCCGGAGTATACTCCACTGTCTCTGCGTCCTTGTTTACAGCCTCAGCAACTGCGAGATCCAAAGGCGAGAAAAAATGGGCTCGTTTCAACTTTGGACCAAGTTCATTCTGACGAGCGATTCCCTCCATCTCGGCGTCAGAGGGGAGGCTTGAAGAGAGGCGTTTCTCCACATCGACATCTAGCTCGGTTTGCGGAAGAGGCTCTTCGCGCGGAATGGACATCTTGGAGCGAAGATTTCTAGTTTCGAGTCAAAAGAGCAAAGAATAGAAATAAGCTATCTATATATATTCTGAAAGTTGGATCATGCTGCATGAGGCAGCATGGTCATCGGGACAGCGTTGAACTTCTGATATTCCAAGCAAGTGGGGTCAGCTGAGCAGATACGCATAATCCATTGTACCAACGACAAGCGACAGCGTAGGAACAGCAGGTCGCAACAGGTCGCAAACTGGGTCCTTTCCGAAGGCATTTGAACATCTTGGCGATAAACTTTCGACAGTGTTCGAGAATTATGGCTAACCAGATAACATCAAGCGATGGAAATCGACGTGAAGGTTTGAACTGGTCTGCACCATTGCGCTAAAATATCGTCGTTTCAGTTATAAAAGACCTCGGTGTTCTGCCGGTGTTAGAGGTCAAAATAACCCTAACCCTATGGCATCACGGCCGTGCGGCCGCTTCCCTCCGGAGTCTGCGGTACTTCGATCTACTCGGTTTTTATATCATGTAGTACTCAGCTAAGGTATTACAGAACAGCCTAGCGTGTACAAATACATCTCACGTTTCTTGTATTCTGTTAATGACAATAAACTCGCGACGATAAACTTCAAGATTCCAGCAAGTTTCATTAAACCTGTCGTGAGATGGTTGAACGGACCGAAATCGTATTGTGGCCTGATTTTGCGCCTCAGAAGGGGTACTTAAAATAACCGATGAGTTCACCTTGTTTCCGGATTCCCCACCCTGCTCTCTACCGGTTTTTTTGTTCTTTTGTTATATAGAGCCCGCTCCAGCCCCTATCGTCAAACATCCCCACTTCGTGAATACCATGGCTTCAACTGATAAAGCAGCACGACGAGCTAAATTCGAAGGTGCCTGGAATGCCATCCGCGACGAGCTCTTGACTCATTTCAAGTCTTGCGGAATGCCCCAGGAAGCACAAGAGTGGTATTCTAGGGTATGCGTTTACCTGTATCGTCTTTTTACGCGTCTCAGGTCTGTATTTTCCCCTAGAATCTTGACTACAATGTTCCTGGCGGAAAGCTCAACCGTGGCATGTCTGTCATTGACACGGCAGAGATCCTACTGGGCCGTAAGCTCTCCGACGAGGAGTACCTTCAGGCAGCCGTCCTCGGTTGGGGCGTTGAGATGGTGTGTGCCATTGGTCTTTCGTTCACTTCTTTTTTTTTCTGATTTCGCCCAAGCTTCAAGCGTTCTTCCTTGTCTCTGACGACCTTATGGATTCTTCGATCACGCGTCGCGGTCAACCTTGCTGGTACCGTGTACCAAAAATCGGGTTCATTGCCATGAACGATTCATTCATGCTCGAAGCCGCCATCTACCACCTCTTGAAGGTGCATTTCAAAAAGGAACCGTACTATATCGACCTGATTGAACTGTTCCACGAAGTAACTTACCAAACCGAAATGGGCCAGCTAATCGACCTCATCACCGCTCCCGAAAACGATATCGATTTGAACCGCTTTTCACTGAAAAAGTGAGCATTCAAATACTAGTCCCCTTCGGGTATAGTCAACTAATCGTACTTTGAAGGCATTCGTTAATTGTTATTTACAAAACTGCCTTTTACTCTTTCTACCTCCCTGTCGCCCTGGCGATGTTATTCTGCCGTATTCCGACCTCGTACTCCCTTCCGTCGTCTCCCAAACCCATCGAGCCGTACGAAGTCGCGAAAGAGATCCTCATCCCGCTGGGTGAATATTTCCAAGTCCAAGATGACTTCCTTGACTTTTCCGGCGTTCCTGCTCAGATCGGGAAAGTCGGTACTGACATTGTTGACAACAAATGTTCATGGTGTATCAACACTGCTCTTGCATATGCTACACCAGCGCAACGAAAGATACTGGATGAGAACTATGGTGTAAAGCCCACAGAGGAAGAAAAGGAAATAGCGAAGAAGATGGCTGCAGGGAAGAACGGGGAAGAGCAAGGATACCTTGGTGAGGCGGAGAAACGCGTCAAGAAGGTGTTTGAGGAGATTGGGTTGAGAAAAAAATACGCAGAGTATGAAGAAGGAGTGTTTCAAAAGCTGAATGAAATGATCGACAACATCGATGAGGGCGCTCAAGGACAACAAGGTGTTTTGAAGAAGCAGATATTCATAAGTTTCCTGGGCAAGATCTATCGTAGGCAGAAGTAGTTTTGGGTCCCCGCTTTTCTTTCGTTTACTTACCGAGAAATGTTAAGAATTAGATATATTAGAGATCTTTAGGCAATAATAATTCGTAGTTCGTAAAGTCTTCGTGGTTGTTTGTCACCACGCGCTGCTGACTCGGCCGCACAAACTGTCTGATTACTCCGATTGCGGTCGAGGCGAACTTGTTTTGGTCAATGTTGACGTCAGTTGGTATTTACTGCTTTGGCATTTTCCAATTCGGGTTTGACAACAACATACCATATCATCATGGTCAGTATGACAACGGTCTTCCTCTTGCTGCACTCAGTTTCATTTGCTCGGCCCAATGGTTGGGCTAGAAGATTCAATTAAATTACTATTACGACCTTCAGATGAGATCAAGTTTGTTTTGGAATGCTTTTCGCTCTCTTCTTCTAATGACGATGCGAGCCAAAATGGAAGCAAAGGTCACCCAAACCTACAACGCCAGAGGATTGTCGTAGTTATAACACATAAAGAGGAAAATCATGGATGGGAGGAAGGAAGGTGAGCCATTATATCTGTATACATCATCTGATGATAACTAAGTATTCTTGCCCCGCAGTGTATTCGTGCTGAAGCGCAAACTCTTTTCATCCTCAACGAGCGATCAATTGGAAATACATCGGGTGTTTCCAGTATATGGGGAGTTTACTATCACCATGGCTCAACTGCCGCAAGACTCCAATAATCCTCAGGTCACTGACCTTCCCCGATCCCGTGCGTCGTTATGACTTTCGACTTTCTCATATGATGGTATATCTTCGATGAAGGCTTTAAAGTAACCATTGACTCTGGCCAAACCCTTGTTGGTAGCGAGCCATTGGATCTAGCAACAGACAATATATCAGCTTTGAAGGATGTCCTTGCTGAATGTAGGCGGCTCAAAGAACTCTCAGGTGCATTATCCATTAGTTCTCAGTGAAACTTCTGCTTGACATCATGAAAATATCCCATTGATAGAAATTGTCCCGGAAGTGAATTCGCCAACCCAAACATATTCATGGCTAGCATCCTACGCCACGAATAACAACATCTTCATACCATCTTGTACGACTGTCACCGTCATATTTTGACTACTACTGTTCATCTTCTTCTAGTGCCGTCGTCTTTCCCCGATTTGCGAGATTTGAATCAGCCTCTTTCCAGTCGTCTTTCACTAGCCAGTGCGGGAACACCAGGCGACGATTTAAATGATATTGTATTAATCAGAGACGAATGGGCACATTCAAGAGCGCGAAATCAATGCAGAAGAGGAAGTGTGAGATTAAAGTATGGGCTTCATGAGGATTCGTCACTTGGTACTCATGGATGCTTAGTCTTCGCCTAGGCACATTCAATGTCAACGGAAAGATGCCGACGCAAGATTTGGCTGCTTGGGTTAGAGGGGGTACCACGACCGCGAGAATAGAAAGCTCGAATGACTTCCTGCCTGCTGTGAAGGCGATCTCGCCTTTATCCTTGGGTGAGGTAGTGAAAGATCCTTTCGACTCGCAGCGTGACGGAGAAGGTGCCGTATCATCCGTTCTCTCGTATACAAATCCTCATTCGTGTTTAGCTACTCGTTCGAATGTCAAATCAACCTCCGCCTTTTCTACAACGTCATACTCATCTACAGCATCGACCGGTGCGCTGCGCGATCCATCTACTGCTTCCACATTTTCAGTCGCCCAACCCAATCACACGGCGTTCACACCTCTTTCATCGACTGTTACTAGTAATGCACCAGCCACTTCTTCCATATCCTCTTCGGACCCTTCAGAAACATTTGTGTCTACCATCCCCGAGTCACCAGAAGTCCCAACTATCCCTATCAGCAAAAACTCAGATCCGACTGGATCTGAACCGGATTTCGATATCTTGGTGTTAGGTTTCGAAGAACTTGATTTATCTACCGAAGCACTCTTGTATTCGACGTCCACAGCGAGAGAGGACGCATGGACTGTAGCCGTGTTCGCAGCTCTGGGCGAAAAAGCAGAAATGTACGAAAAGGTGAATATACTGTGTATTTTGCTCCCGTGCCATTCCGAGTCAAGATCTAATACGCGTAAAGCTCGCCTCGAAACAACTTGTCGGCATGCTTGTCATGGTTATTGTGAAGAAATCTCTACGATCATGTTTTTCAAATATCATGACTACGTCTGTTGGAGCAGGGATACTGGGACTTATGGTAACGGACATTACTTTAACTCAGTTCATCACTTATAATGCGCTAAAATTAGGGGAACAAAGGAGGGACTGCTGTTCGTTTGACTTTCTCGCCACCGACATCAAGTCTCGAAGATCTTGATTCTGCGTTGAACGATGCCACATCCATTGAACATTTTCAGCACGGAATTGAAAACCCTGGACCTACTGTCTTGACTTTTGTTGTCTCTCACTTGGCTGCTTTCGATGAAATGGTTGCAAAAAGAAATACAGATTTTCATGAATTATCGAAGCGATTAGTGTTTGATTCGAGTATTTTAGCTACTTCAGCTTCAGCAGGCTCCGTATCAACTACTAATAGTAGTCAAAGGAACAGTGTTGGTCCCGTGTCAAGCCAAGCTGTTGAAGATACTAGTTCGGCAATGCCAGGTGGACTAGCCGTATCGCAGGCTTTGATCTCAGTTCCAGAGAAGTTTGGAGTCTTTGAAAGTGACATCTTGTTCTGGATAGTAAGCTCTCGTAGTCCAATAAAGCTCTTGATTGATGACATTGTCTTGTCCCTCTAGGGAGGTGTGTTGGTGCATCCTTAGTTTCTTTTTCATACATTCTCATCTAGGGCATTCAACAGATTTAAACTATCGTATCAATATTTCCGATGCAGATGTAAGGGAACTCTTGAGTTCTGAAAGTTGGAAGGACAAGCTTGAGATATTGACTCACTTTGATCAGGTATAAATGCATCATCTCTTGTAATGCGATGCTAATACTCACTATCTCTTGCAGCTCAAGACGAGCATCAGAGAAAAGAAAGCCTTTGAAATTTTTCATGAGCATGACATTCATCATCTCCCGTAAGTTTTGGTGAAAGTGATTCAGTCTATAATGTAACCTTTTCGTTCCAGTACATACCGCTTCGGTGGCGGGATCGCTACCGATTCGCTGGGATACGACGTCAAGTAATTCCCCCATCTACTGCGCTTTCGAAAGCTCATTCGTCATCTAAGGCGCAAGCCAGCGTGGACGGACCGTATCTTGCATGCTTACTCTCCCTTAACCACTAAAGTGAATCAGTCTTCGTATTCCGGTCACCCAGAAATCACGATCAGTGACCATCGACCAGTCTCAGCAGATTTCCAAGTAGATGTAAGCCCCTGTGAATCCACTTTGCTTTCTCTAATACAATCCTAGGTTGATCTCTTTGATAAAGACCAATTGCATGCTACTGCGACTAATCTATTCCGACAAGTGCAAGGCTTGGAGGATCTGCAGGAGAGAGCAAAAGCCAAGCTTAGTCATACGTCAATTGATATGGGTGACATCTGGTGCGCTTAATCGAACTCAAATGCGTGCACGCACGCTGACATCTATTGCCAGCTATAAGCGTAAAAAGACAGCAAGTTTTACGTTCCAAAATTATGGAAAAGTAAGTGCGAACGATCGATGTTTTCAGGGAGAGAAAGGAAAAACTATATCATCGCAGGTTCCACTTTCATTTCGCTTTTTGCCAATAGAGATGCACGGTGAACTGTGTGAGCTAGCTTCATACAATGCTGAGATGACGATGCCGACATTTCATCGTTTGCAGTTCCGTCATGGTTGTCAGCATCCCATACTACGGGCTCGTTGTTACCAAATGAGCGCATCGAAATCGTGCTTACAGTGTTTGTCGATAACGCGATCGCCTCCCGACTCAATTTAGGACCAAGAGACCTCAACTGCACGCTGATCATTCATACTTTGATGGGCAAAGATCATTTCGTTGCAGTTACCGCTAAATACCGTACGAGCTATGAATGAAAGACGCGAAACTGCACTCACCCCTATGCTTTTCAGAATACACCTGCTTTGCCAACAAACTGTCACGTCTCACCCAGCTTCCGGGTCCGATACGCGCAATGAAATCACACAATGATCTTCTGGGTGAAAGTAAAGCTATCAATGCACCAAGGGAAATCGTGAGACTAGTTAACTGGTTAATGAGTTGTGTCCATCCCACAGTTGGCATATCCCCTCTTTTCATGCGATCTACTGCTCATGGTACTTACTAGGAGGATTTATTCATTGCAAAAGCAGACCCAGAAATTGTTGATGACATTCGCGAGGTCCGTTGCTCCTTATTTTCCGAAGCGCTGGCGGTCTGAAATATCAGGACAGCATCTGGATACCGGCAATGAATTTCCATATTCGCATGACACAAGAGAACCTTCAATCCCGATTGCATTCGGAGGCGCGTTGGTGGAACTCTTGACATCATTGCCCGAATACGTGGTACCCAAGGAGTTGCATGGAAGATGCGTGGCGGTCACAGATCGCGACGAAGCGTTTGAGGTAAATAGTATAATACACATGTGTTTCTGAAATGTCTAATCATTCTCCAAGACACTGGATGCGTTCCCACCGGAAGCAGTGAATGTAAGGTTTCTGTTACTCTGACGGTAATCATTTAACATCGATGCCCGATCGATCCTTACCTAGGTTTGGATATCCGTGACGGCCTTCTTGCATTATGTTGTCCAAGGTTCTTCCCTTCGCGCAGAGAAAATTGGTATGTCTTGTCCCCGTTAGTTCAATATTTACTGCTGATTTCTGTTCAGCGGCTACATTTGCACCGGTCTTCTTTGGCTTTCTTCGCGATGACTTGACATCTACGTCCGATAACACAACTGCCAGCGTTATCACTCCTCTGGGTTACCAGAAATTCATCATGTATTTTATCCAGTAACCATACATTGTCCCTCGCCTACCTTAAAAACACACGATCATCTAAACTTGTAAGTATTCCCGTACATAGTTGCTATACAACTGCACTGTGCATTTAACTAAACATCTTCTTGTACGCCTTCTTTTCCTTGTCCCGTTTTTCCTTCCTTTTATTTCTTATACGACCAAGCTCGCCCACAATGGCTTGGTCGTCAGGAACAAGTTTATTAGCTTCGATCAGGTCCTTCTCTGCCTCATCGTCGTCTTTAAGTATGGCATGTGCTATGGCACGACGGTACAAGGCTTTCGCTACAATTGGATTTGAAGTTGGATAAGAGAGGAACGTAATAAACAGGCAGAAAGCTTACCTTTGTCAGCACTACTGAGAGTGAGCGTGTTAAGAGCGCGCGTAGCATTTTTCACTGCAGTTTCAGCATTCAAAGACGTGGGAGGTTGGACCCGAATAGCAGCAAGTGCCGAGTTAAGCAGGAGAGGAGAAAGGAGAGCTTTGTAGGCCTCAGTAAGTTCTGGTGAGACATCATCCGGAAGAACATGGTGAACGTCAAGATAACGTATTGATTCTTTATAAAAAGTCAGAAACGATGCATTAATGTTCAAAACTCGAAACGCACTTTGGTATTTTGCAAGGGCGAGATCCGTCCTCCCTTCCTTGAGTAGCTTGTTTCCGACTTCACGGATTGACTTCGCAATATCAAGCGCGACTTGAGGATTGGAAACTTCATGGTCATCATCATCAGGATAGTCCTCATAAGGATCGCCGTCAGCATCGACTGGCAAAGCAGCTAGAGAAGGATCGTCCGGGGAAAGTTCGCCACAGTCTTCGATCACGATTGGTGAAGTCGGCGCATCACCAGAGGTTGTTGGGAAGTGCTCGATCTGACGGACTGAAACGAAATCCCGTCAGGATATTCATTTAACAATCACTGGTAGTAGGACAACATACCCACTGATTTTCCCCGGATAACTTCTCCAAAAACAACATGTTTGTTATCAAGATGCGGCGTCTCCGAAACGGTGATGAAGAACTGAGACCCGTTCGTGTTTTTTCCAGCATTTGCCATGGAGAGCAAAAAGGGTTTCTCATGCTTGACTGGAAATGCCTCATCTTCGAACTTTTCTCCGTATATCGATTCACCTCCCGTTCCTGCGCGAAACTGAAGTTAGAATTGAACGAAGAGGTGGCAATGTATTCGAACCGTTGTGCATCGTAAAGTCGCCACCTTGCACCATGAATCTGTCACTATCTCAGTACCAGCTTCTTCTGCTTTCCACCGTTTCTCTCACTGTTTAATGACCCGATGAAATCCGCTACCCTTGTAATGCAAGGGTTTCCCCGACTGGCCCATGCCTTTTTCTCCAGTACATAGCGCACCTAGTTCACGATGATCAGCGCTTTGATTTGAGTTAACAAAGATAACGTACGGAAGTTTTCTGCGGTTTTCGGGACGAGGTCAGCGTAGAGAGAAAAGACGATACGTCCGATTGGAGATCCACCGATCGAGATATCGAAGTAGGTTATAGGTCGTTTATTATCGGTAACTTCTGAGCCAGACATCAAGTTAATAAAGGATGAGAAGGAAGTTTTTGTTTGAAGCTTTTAATAAGCCAAAAGTTCTCCGGCATGTCCAGAAAAGGCAAGTGCTTTCGTTCATCTCAGTTAGTTCTCTGTTCTATGCTACTACAAGCTTAAGGGTCTATGCGATTTGTAAAACAGCCTTCATACTTTGGACATGTACAAGAAGTTTCCATGCGGACGATAAAAGGTTCTACATAGACGTCGCTACAAGGAGAGGAAATCTTACATGATTCAGGTTGATACAGGATGTTAAGGAGACAAGGCAAAGAAGAATAAAGATACCGTCATCTAAGGTGGTCCATCGGATACATGTATATTACGAAGCTGGCACCGGAGGTGCAGGGGGACCTCTCTTGGCCCTGGGTCGTCTAGAACTCGGACTCGGTCCGCTTACACTTTGAGTTAAATTAACGTCCCGCGAAGGGCGACTTGGTGAGATCGCAGATCCAGAGGGCCCTTCGCCACTGTTACCAGTGTCTCTGCCAACGTTGGGCGTTTTCCCCTTCTTCGATCTCTTCTGATGATTTTTCTGGTATTGACCCTTACTCCCCTGTCGGCCTTTATCACTAGATTGCAGTCTTTCGACTGCTTCCGTCTCCAATCGAACTCGCTCCTCCTCCGCATTCCACCATTTGAGGAAGTCTTCCTCCTCCCGTTTCGCCTGTTCCTCCTGTTGAATCTCTAGCAGTGAACGTTTGTCGTTGACATTGCTAGTGCCCTGTTCAAGCTGTAACTGTTGGATTGCAACAAATGAAACTCCCTTCAGATTGCTGTTCGTTATCGTTGGCGGAAGCGGTTCATGCACAGGTGTAGAAACCCAAGCCTTGGGAGTAGACTTGACGCTGGTGTTTCTGTGTGGACATCAGAATGTGGGCAGAGGTAGAACAGTAAAGAATGTGTACGTACGAGACTCTACGAGGCGCTGTTGCCGGAGCTTTGGGTGCAGGCTGACGAGAGGGTGAAAATATTGGTCCAAGGATGGGTCCTGTGTTTGAGCCAGAACTCGTTGCCTGTGAAGGCAGTCGACCGTTCAGAGGTGCAGCCGGATCCCTTGATTTGGACACAGGAGTAGGAGAGCCACCCAATGTTGGGAAAGCGTTTGGCGTAGCAGAGCCTGATCCTGGTGCGCTGCCAGTAGTGACCTTCCGAGACGATCCACTCGGCCGAGGGGATGGAGATGAGGTGGAAGGTAAGTCGAAAGTGGATCCTGCGCGTCGCAGACGTACTGAATAGGGAGATGAGCCATCATTAGGAGAATCTCTACCTTGAGCCGCCATGTAAATTTGTGTGGACCTCGGTGGCTGAGATTCAGAGACACCAGCTGCTTCGGCCATAACAGAACGCATGTCGACCCTGGATCCATGGTGTAAATTTCACAAGTACAAGTAATGAGATGGAATGTGACACATACCGAGGGACGGACGATGACTTCCAGGCTGGTGAAGGCCCAGAGGAAGATCGAGCTGTAGGAACGCGCGATTCCACCAGATCGACGGAAGGAAAACTAATATCCACATCGTCCATGTCGAAAAGGTCATCGGATTCAGGGATGGGAGCATGCGGTTTCAGTCCTGGGCTGGCAGTAGTCCGAGGCCTGGAGATAGGGCTGGGAGGCATATTCTTGCTGAGATCTTTCTGGTGTCCAAAAGAAGTACTTAGTACTGGTGAGGTAGAGGGTGGGGATGTAAAGGTGGCCACTTGAGACAGTTTTCTTTCTCGCTGCCTTCTGAGCGATCCAGTGCTCGGAACGAAAACAGTGGGAATATCTTCGTTTTCCAGCCATTCTTGCCACTTGCTCATCGCATGCTTGACTAGGACGTTACTCCGAACTATGGAGGCTTTGTTCTCTTGTCTGCTCCGGATATAAGAAGAAAGATGTTTGATAATAGACGGGTCGAGTACTTCCAGCATATGTGTCTCCAAGAACGTTTCCAAATTTTCAGAGATGTAGCTCTCGACTGAGGTGACCAATTCATATGCATGGTAGTGGGAGGCTTCAGATAGGATGTAACACGCATTATGAATGTTCAGGAATTTGAGTATCAACTGCGATGTGAGCAGCACGAGAGGGAACAGAATTAACTCATTCTGCGATGTTCAACATTTAGATTACAATTAGATAAATCAAAACGGGGGAGACTGACCGCGACAGCGATCACCTCGAACAGGAATTCCAGAATAGTGTCCACAGATTCAGCGAATTCTGGAATGATCAATCAGATAACGTAAACAAGCGTTGGGCGATATGCTTCACCAAGTGAACCAAAAAGGCCTTCAGTTTGACCGCAGCACAACCATCTCATCACGTATTCCATTACATTGGACTTCACGTGTCGCAGATCAACTTTCAGAACTCCTTCGTGACCCTTGCGTTTTTTGGTCCAATCTTCCTCGCTCAAAAAATCCTCGAAATAGACAGATCGAGCTCGCAAAATGGTCGAATGAGCGACAAGTTCGCGTCCTTCCGCCAATTGGATAACGATGTCGGGAGCGAGAGCTGAGGATGTGTAAAGAGTGGGTAAGGACGAACTCGAGTTGTTAAGATTCCATACTGTTGCAAGATCTGTTCGTAACGTTTCAGTAACGGGTCTCTTTACAACGCTTTCCATCGCCTTCAGCATCTCTGGAAGGACAAGGATTCTGGCCAAGTTCTGCAACTCAGATTTGACTTGTGTAGCAAGCGTTGGTGTAACTTCCAACGCCTCCGAAGACGAAAGTGAAGGGATACCTGTGGAGACGCGCCGATCCCAGATACAGATGAGCTCATCGGTATAAATATAGTGCAAGAGAATCAGAACGGCAAGTGAATGAAAGTTGGTGAAGGTGATGCTTCTTCGTGCAATGGCATTGCCATGAATTGACGATACAGATATGGTTTTTGAAATGGCAACAGTGCGAGCATCAACTTGGCACTTGAAAACCGACTCCGAAGGCGACAAGAGAGCGCTCGCCATTGCATTAGATCTTGCTCCCAACAGGACAGCGTGAAGGGGGACAGAGAGCTGTTGTGGCAAGGAGTAAGCCTTGGTTTTACTTCGACTTTTCTTCGTGCCGGCCACAGAAGGTTCGGAGTTTATGTATACTATGAGGTCGGCACCATACGGTAATTTCCCCGAAGACCCAATATTGGTGTCTTGCCTTGTTATGAATGCACATAACTCATACAACAATTTGATGTCCTGCTTGATACTGAGATCTCCGTCATCGTCATATTCATCAGCATCATCATCTGGTTTTTGGTGAACAGGAGACATAGCACCTGTCTGTGGAGGTACCGAGATAGACGGTGGATTAAAATTGACATCGCAGGAATCCTCGAGCCATTCGACATCCAATGGAGAGTCTACGGATCTCTTCCACATCCATGGTCTGATACTCTTCAAGTCGTGTACGAGGTCCCAACCCTTAAGCGCATCAACAGCTTTTTTCAGGCCTCGACCGACTTTCTTCGTAAGAAGCTCTTCGTCTACAGTTGGCCAACTAATGGGCCTAATGTCCGCGTCGACCCTCAATGCACCAAAAGCGCCGGTACTACTTGCACATACTCCAACGATGCGTTGAAGATATGGGATTCGAACGAATTTGGATTTCCCGCCGCCAGATGAAGATTTAGAGCCACCAAAAATGGTGTCGGAAGAACGCGCACGGACATACACGTGTCCCGAATCCGTGCATACAATGAGTGAACCATCGCCGCCGATAGCAACGTCCTAATAATGTCAATTGTAAGTTATGAAACATAACAGGAGGAAAGATCACCCACTCTCACAGCACCGACAAGGCCTCGTCTTAATGCCCAGACTCTTTGGGGCTTGATAATTTTCGCAAGAGCTATGCCAGATCCCGCGTTTCCATCCGCATCCGGGGAACCAGAGCCTGAGCCGAGTACACCCAAAGGAGGAACTCCTGGTACTCCGAAAGTGAAAACTTCCCCGCCCTCTGAGACACAAGCAAAATTGATGTTATTTTGATTTACATTGGTACTTTGAGAATTGAGCATCGCGGAGAGATTAGAGGCAGAGTTGTGAGACGACGACTGCGCAGAAGCGGCTGAGGACGAAGATATCGAGCTAAATGAAAATGGCGGAGGGCTTTCATCGGAACATACTATCTTGACAATGCGGGTGGACTTGAGTGCTTGCGGTGGACGATAGGGCGTAATTGAAAGAGGAAAAGTATGAATAGGGAAGCTAGGTGGAACAGTCAATTCATATAGCGTAGAATATATCAATTGAAAACAACTATACCTAACTCGTCCTACTTGATCTCCCCAAAAGACTAACACGTCCCCTTTCCATCCGCCTCCTACGCTTCCTATTCCGCTGAGCAAACATGCCATCGCACTTTCTCCCAGTGCGATTTGAACTACAGGCCTGGTTATCTTTGTTACTTTTCTCGGTAGAGACTGAACCTGCGCTCCAGACCCAGTAGCGGTCCTATCATATCCTAACTGACCACCATTCAAGCCCCACGTATAAACATTACTTCCTCCACCAGCTCCATCAGTCCCTTCCCGCACCCAACAAGCACTGGCCCCTTTGGACGCAGCGACGCCCAGGACAAACTCTTTCTTCAAAGGTCCATACACCCGTCGGGGTATTAACTGTATTTGTTCCCCGTTAGAGGAAATGGTCGAATCGGTTCTCGTGGTGCTCTGAGTGATGAATATAGAAGGGTCATCCAATGAGAACACATGAGCAGCACTCGATCCGTCGTCTATACTATATCCCAATTGAGAGAACCTGTTTAAACCCCAAGAATATATTTCGCCGTTCTCTGTCAATGCCAGAGTATGATCCTGCCCGAGAGCAACAGCAATCACTTTCACCCTGAATTGGGTTAAAGCTTTAGCAGGAGTGGATGGTGCCTGTGAATTAGCAGCCCAGGAAAGCGGCCTTAAAGCGTATTGTGTGTGCTGAGTTACGCCTAGACGTCCTCCAGAGCCAAAACCGCATAATGAAAGCGTCGACCCAGAGCCAATAGGAGTCGGTGAATTAGAAATGACGGCAGTGTGTAGTCTACCCATTTTTACCTGCAAGACTGCAGCACGAGCGAAACGGTCTTGCACCGGAACATGATCGGGGCTCTTGAGCACAATGCGAGGAATGGAGACAGGATCTGGAAAGGTACGATCGGAGCTATCCCCGTGCCCTAAAGAAGCGTTTCTTCAATCACGCATGAGCGTTCCGGAGATGATGCTAGAATGAACTATTAACTAACCTGTTTGCTCCCCAAGTGAAAAGTTCAGCTCCGCCGATACTTTGTAGGGGAGAAATGGTTGATGTAGCAGGAAATAAAGACGGTTCAGGCTTCGTGCCTTCTATTGTTGAGTTGTATAGATCGAACGCAGTGTAGCCCTCAAGATCTTTCAGGGTTGTGTCGGTGTTTGAGTGCTGAAGCAATAGGAGTCTTGAAAGTGCCAGTCATGACTTCTGAACGGAGAGGTTTGAAAATCTACACTTACACTACTCCCAAATTTCCGATATACATAGCGCGATGCAGAGCTGTCCACTGGCTCTCGCGGTCCTGTAGGTTTACATTGAGATCGGGTTGCCTAAGGAGTAGCCTGACGTATTCGACACTTGAAGCGTCGGTTGAAGCACTGGCAAGGTGCAAGACGGTCCGACCAAAACCATCTCTGGCATTGATATCAATTCTATCCTCATCACGGCCAACTTTGGATTTGAGAGAGCGTGGGCTGCTCCCAAAGCTCATCCCTCTAGAGGAAGCACCATCAGCAGCCCCTGACGATGCATTGTTCGAGGCGAGCAGGCGCTGGAACGCCTGTTGATTGCGAAGATGGAAGTGTGCATGAAGTGAGGTGCCGAAGCCGCTAGTCATCCAGGAATTATCTGTTCGAGGACCAGAGACTTTGCGAGACCGGGAAGGCTCAAAAAAGTCTTCTATTCGTCCTCGTTGTCCAGTAAAGCTTTGATTTCAGAGGTCGAAATCGAGGCTTTGGTAATAGTGATAAGTCTGGCCAAGAGCCTGATTGAAGGCCAAATTTTCTGAAACTCACGGAGACTACTTGGGGAGCCGATTAGCAAAAGACTACAAGTTATGAGTATAGATAGTGCTAGAATACAGAAGATGAGGGTTGAACGTAACGTTGACGCGCTGACTCGGACTTACGATGAGCAAGGCCTCGGGCCTCAGAGCCGGTCAGGGCCGGTCAAAGTGACGCTAATTTTGTTCGTGACGTGTAAATCAAACCGAACGTGCGTCGTGCCGCCTCGTGCGCCTTTTTCCTTCTCATTCTCTAGTTCTCTCTGTCTAAACTCGTCGAGGCTTATATAGCTCACCAGATTTGTATGAGTGTCACATTGAATTCAAGTTTACTGCCCAAAAAAAGTACTTTCAAAAGGGTGGTACATATTCTTTGTGGTTCTTTATCCTATAGATACACAGAATGATTTAGAAAACTATGATGTCTCTTTCTGTCCTTTTACTTACAATAATCGAGCAGACGGTTAATTGCAAGCTATTTGCTCGTCGTAACACTCGGAATGAACAAATCTTCGAGTTCATTTTCGCAGGCTTTTCAATTCTACAACATCGTAAGCAAACTCAGATACCACTTGTGCTCAACGTTCGCTCGTTTGTCGCGACACAAATTTTGAAACAAGTTGGAGAAACCTTCATAAGCCTCAATCATTCTCAGGCTGCTCTAACCATGAAACCCGGGACTTCATGGCTCAGCTCTTAGTCATAATTTCTATCTAGTATTGGATCTATGTATAGGAGTCCATTCGCGGACATTTGTGTCAAGACGGGGAAAAGCCTGGAAGGAAGAGCAGGGAAAGTCACTGGAAAGTCCTGGAAAGTCTAGAGACAGAACTTGATTGATTGATCAGTGGCAGTGCTCATGCGGGGAAAAGGACGAATCAATTCTCACGTTTTCAACTTGCCTTGTCGACTTACAGTCAACTACGTATGTTCACCCCTCCTTTACTAACAAGTTCACGTCAATGCACTTCCATCCTTCAAGCCAACTTTGACAGACTCTGAGCTCGTTGAACACGCTCGAAATATCACGTGTTTTGTAATGTCGTTATTTGCTCGCAATATGAGGATTCGTTTGCTTCACGTTCTCGGGTCAAAACGTACGATGAACAGCTTTGTATCTTCCTCAACGATTATACAGTACCTCCGGGATGCACACTTCTACCCTCTGGAATTCGAATTCCGTGTTCACTGAACCGATGCTGATTGTCCCATTGAAAACACCATTACCACCTCTCCCAACGGAAATTTTAACGCACATTTTCACTCTGACCACGACCATTGACTCTGGAGCATCCATTCGATCCTTGTTACGTGTTTCCCAAATCTTTCACGATATTTGCGCGCCTTTGAAATACCACTGCTTGTCATTGACAACAGGCTCGAGCATTGAACATTTGCATCAGGAACTAAAGCGTCTAGAAAACTCTCCAGCACATCTGCGGAGAATACTGCACCTTTACATTTCTCTTTCCCAATCTGACATACAGGGGGATACAGAATGTGACACCATAAGCCATATATTCTACATCCTCCAAAGTGCCGCGGAAACTCTCAGAACTCTCACCTTCATCTACCATAACACAGTCTTCAGTACATCTGTTCTAGGACAACTCTTGCGGAAGTCGTTCCCAGTGCTGACAGAATTGACGATACATGGGTTCTATCCTTTTCCAAGTCCCATGCCTCCAAGCGAATTACCAACCCTCATAGAAATGAATAAATCATTCATGCCAATGCTTGAGCGCTTGCACCTAAGCGGTAATCGTAACCCTTATGGATTGCTCCAGCTCTCCTCTCTTGACGAATGTTTCCCGTCACTGAGCCATCTTCGAATTTCGGGCCTTTTAATGGCTGGATCATTCGTCGAGGAGCTAAAAAGTGCTCTCGAAGAACACATCGCCTATGATGATAACCCCAAGGATCCTTGCAACACGCCCACATATGTCCAAGCGAAACTGCCTTGTAGACTGCGGTGTATCGTTCTGCAACCCGGATTTATGCCTCCGTCTAGTCGGCCAGGTGTAGCGGGCAGTGCAGTACAGAAGAATTCATGGATGATGACACGATTGAAGGATATCGAAGAAGCTGCGAAGCGCCGTCAAAATGTGCTCGTCACACTGAAGGCTCGTATGCAGGATCCGGATAAAGTTCCCGTGAGTTCGGTGTTGCATCGTGATTGGTTTGGTCGGATGAATGGGGATGAAGGATGCTGGTGATAAGTTGGTATTATTAACTTGCAGCTATGACTAGTGGCTGGCATCATGTTCTAGATGGAAACTTGACAAATATTGTTCTGTACTCCGCCGAGTTTCTTCTCCATACTGTCATGGCACCAGCTCTATTCATATAGTTTAAGCCTCTCAAAAATCGGCAAGTCAAAACTCGGACTATCTACACCGCTCTGTGTGAACCATTCTCTTCGACTGGTTTATAGAGTTCAGTACTACAACGCCAAGCTTACTTGCTCGAAGTCGGGCGCAAGTATCTCAGCCTCGAACATCTTACCGAGTTCTATGGATAAATGAGAAAGCGCATCCTGGTCGAATTGCAAAATTGGTCGCGACATGTTGTGACTTCCTAAATGTGTGCAGTGAAACTAATAAACAAAGGGGTCTCCCTGTCAGATTTTTTTTTGAATTATTCAGGCTTCCTTTGCTGCTCTTATATCGGAAATAAGGCTGTATTCATGATCTTCGTGCTTGGGGGTACGGCTTGGCACGGGAGTGAGCGAGGATTACCAGAAAACGGGATAGAGTAGACTAGGAGACAATAATGAGTAATAGAGAGACACCGAGGTAATGTGAATATGAATAAGTCGTCTAACATCGGAGAGATGTAAGTAGTATGAGCGGCGAAGTAGTTGACCATTAGAAGGACCAAAGATTTCCCTTCAACCTACCAAAAAATGGTATGCTTCCCTGAAGGTTGGATTCTGATCATGGAACTTCCTTGCCTCTCGTGTGTTAGTTCACACCGCCCAGGGCGCTGTATGCTTCAAGCGGTATCGGATCTTGCCAATTTTTCTAACCGTGCATATACAGCAAAGTGCAACCCGGTGCAAAATATGTCAAATATGTTGAATATCGCGTCGCTTCCAGCATCAGTTCAGCAGGTGTTCGTCAGGTGCGAGGGGGCAAGACTTCTAGAACAGTGGCGGACAATGAACAGGTTTATGTTCCACAGTTCGGCAACTGTTCAAAAAATAAATCCCAATATTCGAAGATAATCTTTAGAGTATACGAGAATTAATTATGGTACCGCCAGGAAGGGCGAGTTGGCCACGGGCATAACGAATACGAGTCTGATTTTCAATAAGGAGATTGCTTGCTAGTTATTTGCTGCGTATGAAAAATCACCCCAGAATGTGTGCTGTGACTTCGATCGCGCTTGTATTCGTCGCCGTGCATGTAATACAGTCAGTCATGTACTACCAATTATGGTTGGAGCCATGGTTATGGACAGGTATAGACTCGTGCTCATGATCCATTTCGGTATGACACCGGTGTGGTACCACTCCATGTTGGGACGAAGTCACACATGTATTGTGTCTGCTTCATTATTATATATTATCATGTAAGTAGTATCAAAAATGGGTCTACGTGGTTCCTCCGTGGCATACTCTATAATGTACAGGTTCCGAACAAGAAACGGGAAGATGAATTCACGTTAAACTACGTCAAAACCATCCTTCTTGGGATCTTCGTCGTAACGGTAGAGGTATCCATGGTCTGCGCGGTTTCGGCGAGTTTGATGAGTGGGAAAGTCCAACCTTACGCATTTTTACCAATTTTCGGAAGCCTAAGAACGCAACCATGAAGGATACGAATCCTGCGACCCCGGTCATTGCAAGAAAGGCATAAGGATGGCTTTCGAAATGGTTCGTTAACTGTGATGTAAGCCGTTACGGATGGAGTATTGTTCTACATAGAATATTAAGCGTACATTCATTCCCAGTAGACCAGTAATCAAAGCTCCAGTCCCAACGCCAAAGGTAGCAATAGATACCTTTGAACGGCAATGCATGAGTGAAAGGTAGTAGGAAGCGATGCAAGAACAAACCTGCAGATCGAGTGCTAAGAGTGCATTACGGTTGGAATCTAGAATAAGTTCAACAATTTCTTGGGTCGATTGTACATTCGCCTGAACAAGGGTCAAGCGACATGTCTTTACAAAGCGGAATAACACGAACTTCTAGATTCTCCACCTCATTGACGATCTCCTCCACCTGTTTAGAAAATGACTCAAGCAGTAGCTCGAGCTCCTCATGATCAAGGGGATCATGAGCAACACCATTACGTTTATCTGTGAGGTACATAGCCGACAAGTCCTCGTCTGAGATGCAGAATCAGCAACATTATAGTTTCTACGCGTTTAGAAATATACCCTGAGTGAGAACCTCGTCAAGGGCCTCGCCAACCTAAAAAAAGAATTTCGATTTGCGAAAATCATGCGAATGAATTCACATACCAGTTTTGCCCTGTTGTGGAAACTAGCCAAACGCCGGGAGTAGTGTAGCAAACGTTTGAATCGATCGTGGTCGATATCATCTTCGAGCTCTGCCAAGAGGCCGCCGACAAGTGTACGTATGAAAACCTGGGCGAGGAGGTATTAGCTGCCAGACGCGTCACATCCGAAACAGTATCACCATTTCTGCTTCCAAAGCTGACAATACAGATAACAAGGTAGACTCAAGAGCTCTGGCGTCATGATAAAGATATAGTGTGAGCGAGGGTCATTTAAAGCATACCGGAATTCATAAGGCAGCCCGCCCCCTTTGAGCTTCAAATTATGCTGTACATATTTTATTTCAGAGGGGAGCAATTAAACCGATGAAAAGCGTTACTTCTAGGTGGTAAAGATAAACGGAGTGGAGTCTTGAGTCGGCAGAACCATATGTATCGAAAAGCACAACAGTATCAGCCTTGATGAGAGCTCGGATATGGAGGATATTGACCTGTAGCAAGTTGTTCACCCAAATGTTGGGGATGACTGGACACTCTTACCAGAATAGCTTCCTTTCTAATTAATATGGTGGGGACGAGGTTTGGTACTCTAGAATCAATTTTGCGGAGATCACGAGGCTTTGGGGCGCATCAGATTATAAGAAAACAATCGATTTGTTCAAAAAGACCAACATTCAATTGATGCTCGGCACTCAGGTCGGACTTTTTGAATTGCCCAGAAATCGTCTTGACATTGCCTACATATTCTTGTCAACTTTCTGAACAAACAAGAGCATGTCCACAATCACCTTCAGCGTCCAAAACTGTACCTGAATGAATCTGGTAAGTCAGTAGGTTGATCCGCATCTCGAACCGGTGGCTCACAGCGTAGCATGAGATCAGTAGGTTGGCGGCCCTTCATAACCTTCTCCAGGATGGCTGCTTTCCCTGCCTCCTCTTCCGCTGGAGAAAGAGGCCTCGATTGACCTGGCTGTGATTTCCACATGTGTCGCACTTGGTAAGCAGTAACGCGTCCAACGACCATATTTTGGGTCAGTGGAGAGGGATCAAGCAAGGAATTGACGCTTGGGCGAAATGACCTCCGAAAGGCTTCGCATCCTGGCCAGCGGGGACCGCCGTGAAGCGTTGCACGTTGATAACTCGATGATAAGCCAGTGACATTGTAAGATGCATGCACTACATGTTTCACGAGAGATTTTGGACCAGCAGTATGCATACGCAAAGGGTAAATTGAAAAAAATCGGGTCCAACGTTGAAAATTGTGTTTGTATCACAGCGACGTGACGGTCACAGGCACGGCGGATCAACTTGAACTAGGCTAGGCCCCATGTCGGCCCATGAAGAATATTTGCGGGGTGATCTGGGGAAATCTATTCTTCACTTCGTCCGGCCAATCTCCAGCTTTGCGCACGTCGCTGAAGCTTTAGAGAATCAATAAAAACTCAAAACACTATATGCCTGTGAAATCAAAGTGCTTTCTCGATCTTCTATATTCATGCACTGACAAAACAAAAAGACATTTGCTCCTTCTTAAATAAGAACTCAGAGATTAAACTTATTACCTGAATTTTCCTTGCGATTCATTTCGCCAACTTTTTCTCCAGGAGCCCAAAACAACGTGCAGAAGGCTTGATCGGATAATCCCGTAATTGGGAAAGATAGGATAGATCTACATTCTATGCTGATCCAGGTTTACGCCCTCACGGATTCAATATAAATAACGAGATTCCTGAGGGAACATTCTTCAATATCGTTTCCTTTAACCGTATCATGAACTTCCTCTGCCCTTCATAACCTCAAAGTTACTGCCACAATATGACCGAGACTCGAAGACTTTTGGAAGCGGCCAATGCTCTTTCTCGGTTGTTGGTCGCAAGCCGTGTGTCGCATGCTTTCTACGGTAGTGTGTTCACTGCCATACTTGCAAACGCTCCTCAATGTGAGGTGTGTCGTCATTGTTTGAACGCTCATTCTAGATTTAATGTCTATTAACAAGGAAATTTACTGTATCGTTGAAGGAGGCCAGCATCAAAGTCATCCTTTTCGTCGTGTGCGCGATGCAATTTCGGACAACGAAGATTTCTCTACAACTCTTTCACCTTGGACCAACAGGTACGGGCGACAGTTCTAGCATTCCTTTTCAATAGCTAAATCATAATCAGATTACATGTTACTTATCGTCGACCAATCCCGGCCATTGAAGTAAGATGTCTTTTCAGTTGCTCGTTCGATCTTATTTACTCAGACGGTCAAGATTGAGATACTACCTGCTGGTGAGGCTGGCCCTCGCCGATTGGACGCTTCAACCGTTGTCAAAATTCAGGGAATACCGTTTCTTACCATCTCTGAATTCATACGAGCCAAACTAAAAACGTGGATGATGTGAGCTCATTTTTTGAACGGTGTATACCATTGAGTTGCGTTGAACAACTGGACATCCATAGTCGAATGTCAGACAGAGACGCCCAAGATGTGACTTTCGTTCTATCTCGATATTGGAACCGAGTCGATATCAATCGCATTCCAGAACAAGATATGAATTATTTCACGACCAGGAACCCTTCTTCCCAGCTTTGGTGGTTAGCATTAAAGAGGAAATATGGCATGTAAACTCAAGTCGGGTCGGATATATCAGGGTTCTATCAGTCACATCTATTACAGTAATTCTTTACTTTAAGATTATTGGTTCGACAACGATACAAATTAGGAATAGTCATTCGAGGGCAGGTTATAATAGCTTCCCATGTTTATGATAGCAGCGTATGTATGTACTCTGGCGTATGTGAATCGTTCACTGATAAGACATTTGACCTTGAAAACAAGTCATGCAATCGATGAGAACGAATAGGCTTTTGCTTAGTCCGGTAGTATAGCGTATCTGTGGCGGCACATCATGCATCATGACTCGGAGAACCTCAGAGAGTAATGTCGGATTCTATACGCATAGCCATATCGGGGAGCGTGTTTAGAGAGCAAGACGGATAAACCTCAATAGTCTTCAAATCACAGGAGCGAGGCCTACGTGGTCAGGACCCCCGAAATAACGATATGTCAGAAGAACATGGAGACGGGAGCGACGACCTGGCGCCTAGACCGTCGGTGGATTGAAATCAGATAGCCAAAGGAAGAAAAGCCATCATTAGCTAATTTCATCACCCCGAAATTAAGGATGGCCGAGCGCGAGAACTGTAACTCTTCAGCCCAGTTTTACCGCATGCACCAAAAAACATCCTGAAACTTACACAGAACAACTAGACCAACGCGTAAATTGTACTATATTGTACATGTTCATCCTGAGAACCAGGCAATTTTTTGCCGCAGCAATATGCGCTAGGCAATGTCGACGATTGCATCCGGCAGAAGATGTCGTGCGACGCCTCTTATTCAATGACTGCACCTTGCGACATGATATTCCAGGACTACGGAAGAGCCAACACCCTTGTGGATCTTTCATTCCCTCCCGGTCTTTCTATGAGTCCGAAAGCGACTAGATATATCCAAATGGGCCATGGTGCCCATCGTGATATTGAATCGATGGATGAGAAGAATAGATAGTTTAGCATCAAGATGGTTTCAAAGATCTCAATACCTCGTCTACACTTTCCATATACTCAGCCCAATTCGCCTGACTTTGCGCGCAATATTATGAGTACAAGAACAGGAAATCCGCATGGACCTCACCTAATATCTATGATATCTGAAGACCTCCAATCTTGCTGTTGTGTAGTCGTGGAGTTGATTTCGATCGCTAGACATGAATTGTCAATGACTTGCAGTTATAGCTAAGAATCACACTTTACATTCAAGCGCTGGGCCTACATACAACGAGGCTGCAATAGACATATTTTCAGAAACTGGATCGTGAAACGAGTTTGAAGTTAAGCTGGTGGGCGGGATTGAGTTGAGCTCGAGTTGTTCCTCTATTAAAGGACCCGATGAACGTTGAGCATCCACAACGACTTTGAGTTGATGCGAAAGAACCTGCCTATCCCGTGATCGAATTGCATTGCGGATGCGGATGCGGAGTGACGAGGCTCAGGTTCTGACCTTTGCTTCCCTGTGACAAGGTTGTATACGCCAGTCAATCCACTGATAAAGATGACATTTAATAGGGTGTCCCTAGAGGAAATTCAGTATTTCGCTTCTTCTGAAGTTCATACGTAGATTAGAATACCGTAAGCGCCCCGCAAGTTGTATCCTGCAAAACATTTGAGTAGGAAGAACAAAAAGTCAAAAAACGCTGACCGTTGTTCGAATCGTTCTAACTGAAGCATACATTTGACTACATCACCCATTTCGAGATCTATGTCTATATCCAGGTCTAAGCGTTTTGCTTTCCATATATTAATCAGTAGAACGATCCCGGAATTAGCAATTGCAGCCTGTGTATTAAATTTCATCTCTCAGGACCCCCTCTTCGAAGACAGTAATCTTACCAGCAATTGTGGACCAAGCGAGAGATAATCACGCTTGCAATGTGCTTCCACAATGTGAATACATGAATGTGCTGCATTGACACATACTTCCAGCGAAGTAGGAGATGTCGCTAGACCATTGCGATACGTTTCCATCCGAAGGAAAAAATACATTATATAAAGCATTGCGGACTGGTGAAATGACACCGTATCTTGACGTTGGGGATCCCATTTCACTGAAAATCAGGAATTTGAGTCATGAGATGAGACGAGAAGTTGGGCATACACTGTGCAGGAATGTTTTCCAGCCAAGAACCTAATGCTTTGTCAATCTCGATCACGGCCTGTTGTCTTAGGAATAATGCATCTGGGTCAGGTTTACGCCTAGGACGCACGGTGCTCTGAATCGACAATTTTCAGCAACGACTTCAGCAAGGCACAAGTAATAATCACTGTTGCACGCTGAACAGTCTCTAATATACCAACTAGTTTGAGCATGTGTATCCAATATGACAATTGGCAAAATTTCCCTAGGGGTTGTTTGAAGGCTAGTTCGCCAGACTGCTCCCAATATTCATCATCACATTCAATAGGAAACTCTGCATCATAACTGAGTAGAATACGTTAATGGTTTCACCCAGTAAATATCGCTTGAACTCACTCGTCTGAGGTCATAGCCCGTGGCCTACCGAGATTGATACTCAGAGAGAGGTCAATGTAGTTCAAGATCCAAAAGGCTCGTTTCCAGAGTTCTCCCGCAACTGTAGGCGGCGTAGATTTCTTACGATGTGCGCCTACATCTTGAAGAAGGCGGATTCCCAGCCCCGTCAACCCCAGACTGGAGTAAGGCATAGACGTAGTTTGCATGAACATGACATAGAGCTGTAGAGTAAATGAATGATCCACCGCACGCTAGATACCAAAATCACTCACGATAAGTTTCTGCACTTGCATTAGAGATGGTGCCTCCGAGAACGTGATTGGTGCCGGATTCACTTGCTGCATCCACATAAAGCCTGCGGAAAGTGGCGACCCATGCGTGAAAGTTCGAGGATCGTCTGAGTGTCGAGCAGAGAGCGCACACATGGCCAACAAAGTTTCGCCAAAGTGTCGATCATGGTAGTGTAATCCAGAAATCACGGACCTCTCGAAAGTCGGGCGATGGAAAAGAGGGAAATACGGCTGAGATTTCACAAACCAGAGATCTATTAGACGATCAAGCAGATCTTGCGGAGGAAATATGAGTGGTGGAAGTTGAGGTTCCTTTAAGAATTGCCACTAGAATACACAAAACTTCAACTGTGAAGACTACGCAGTCCTATAAATCACGTACGGGCTGAATGGTCCAAAACACAGGACGCTTGAAGACGTCATGATTTGTGTCCATTCCATTACCTTGATTAGCAGCGATACCAGACTTTATGAGCATGAGTCTATTGGAAGCAGAATACCGTTCAGGAGATTGGCTGAATTGTAATTTCTTCAATGTCTCGGAAAGTTCATCGGTATCATCATGATCGTCCTGAAATCCCAACGTTGATGGTTCTCCGGCATGAACCGGTATAGGTTCGGGGGATCCTATGAACTGTTCCATAACCTTGCGCACGGAAGAATAGCAAAACCCACCATTACCCAGATCTGAATTCGACATTTGAACCATAGCAAGTTGTTTCTCGAGTGTCCGGATATAACTAGCTAATTCTCTCAGGATTTGCTGCAGTTCAGTTTTGTCTTCTGGTAGCTTGTAAGGAACAGAAGATAGTATGGATTCCGTTAAGGCTTTTATGTTGTCACTTTTGAGCTGCGCGGATCGTCTAAAGGAAATTTTGAAGTATTAATGCCGACAGAGACATGTCTATACTTAGCCTGAAAGTTCATACCCAGCAGGTGGTCCTCTTTTCTAAAATTATCTGGATTGAAAGCTTGCTGCTGATAAGTTGTAGAATGTGAATACCTTTCTCGGTACCGTATGGAGACAGTCAATCTTTTGTTGAGTGAGAACGGCTGAATTTTAAAGGATCAGAAGCCGACCTTCATGGATGTACAGTTGGAACATGCCTCTCCTCCTCTAGTCGCGCTGTCGCCTGTAGATCTTTCGTTGAGTAGAGATTCTCCCAACGTATGGAATGACTTACATCGCACTTTGCGCCTTCTACAGTAATTGCAAGCATTGGGTTGCCGTTTCCTTGAGCCTCCAGAGGTGGCATTGGAATCAGCATCCGACATTACTGTAAATGGCCGAGAAACACGAACAAATGACGCCCTTTTAGTCAGCAATTCCTGAAAATTCGGGGAATTGACTCCGCGACCCACCCCGAGAACTTGGGGAACTTGAACATCGTAGTCTGAACATAATGACTATTGGCCGATCGCGATAATCATCTAGCTATACATCGTTTACTTTGGAAATTGTAGCATATAAGTAATCTGATCAGTAGCTTTCTAGCTCCTAACAACTAATACTAAGTTTTAAATATAGGGTGTCTGAATCTAATGGATGAGTTGAGAAATGAAAATCAAGTTGTATTAGGCTGGGTTGTACAAGATAACGTGTACAACGACAGAGGCCTTGCCTCTCAATACTCAAGGCTTGAGTTTGCGGCCTCCATGGTGATTATCCTTCCAACGCGATTACGTCCAGAGAACTAGATTGCAGATAGTATGATTGAAGTCTGATGAGAATGAGGAATGGACTTGCGTTGATTTTCCGGACGAATGGATGCACAATGATTTGAGCCGTTGATTTGGATGCGGCTTCTCGGAAAATCAAGAGCAAATGAAGAACTTCAGCTGGTAGGCCAAGCTCATGAAGTATTTCGACAATGATGGCCTGACTCCTGGTACTCATTTCGGAGGAAGGAACTAGGGATGAGAACAGCTCGAAGAGCGATGCTCATTGGAAAATTCCAAGGTGCGATGGTAAAACTAAATGATAAAATTTAGGTTCAAAGTCGACGGCAAGAGCGAGGAATTACTCCCATTGCCCAACGTTCGATTGATACTGTGGCGCATTGACCTTTCTCAAAGGGATCAATACATCTCATTTCGTTCCAGAATATGTAGCCGTTTTGAGCAGTATCCTGCAGTATCATGAATGATGCAAACCAAATCATGAACAGGAGCAGTCTCTTCAGCGACGTTCCCGTGATTGAAGAGCATTTCCGTCGGCGAGGATTGAATTCCGATAGTCCATGCTAGAAGCAGACGCAGAGACTCCAACGGTTTTATTTGGCAATGGATCTCTTACTCCGATCGTGGCGCCATTGCTTGAGGAAGTCCGTTGGCCGATCATATAGAGAGGGGTAAAGGCTAGCATTGCTGAACACAACTTCGGTGAATCTTGTTTGTTGAGCCAAGTATATAGTCGTATTCGATATCCACATACATCGAGCCTCACAAATCCTCACAAATCATCGTATGAAATGGTGTATCGACGTTCAGCACAGCGTTCACAGGCTACCCACTTTCGAGCCCCACGTATATGGTACCCGCAACAGTCGAGGGTGATGAGCTTGCGGCGCAAGTTGAAGAGGGGTTAGAAGCATAAGAGTGGGCTTCCATTTCTGGAAGGACTATTTGTGCAGGTTTGTGTGCATAATCCACAACGCTCAAACATGTAAAACGGTGCGCATCCATTCTGAAATGGAGTCGGACCGTCAACTTACGAAAAGAGTTCATATAGACTAGGCCATAACAAAGTTGTACATGCTTGCATATTAAAGGTATAATGATACATCTTCCATCGTTGTACTTTCAAGAGTGCTCAAGAGTGTCGTTTGGTTCACGTCGAATTCCAAAACTCAGAGTCACCTGAATAATCCCCAAACTCAGACCAATAACCAGCCCCTGCGATGTTTTCACCAGGAAGTCCTACGAATCGAGCGGAGTCGGGATATTGGGGATTCTTCATCTCGATGGGTGGAATGACTTCAAGATTAAAGTCGTTCTGCAAGAGCATGCTCGGCTCTGTTTGCCATATCGTGTTGGGATCCCACGGATAGAAGGAATTGTTCATCTCGTGTGCTATAGGAACACCCGTCTGGATATCGAAATTGGTAGGGATCTGCTGTTGTAGGTCCCAAGTATCGGGACGAGGAGGTGCAACGAATTGATCGAAACTTGATGGAACGTAGTAGCTCGAGATTGTCGAGGCAGGCGTGAATGGTCCGGAAATCGGTGAGGAGGCTACAGAAGATGAGGCAGATACAGGATCTATGTTGAGAGTCGGAGGCTGAAGTTGTGCGGTGGCTCCACTTCCGTTTGATATCGGACCATGCGCCGGAAAATCGAACAATACGGATGTCTGTTCACGAATGCAACGGAGATCAGTATTGATTCAACTATATTGAACGCTAACGCATTTACCTGAAGCCCCGCTTCATGATCAGGATGTCCGTAAGAAGGCCCTGGAAGATTACTTGGGCAAAAATCAAAATTCGCCATGATATCGTCCTCGTTCCCGGTGTAACCAGCCCGTCGACTGATCATAGGAAGGAGGGAAGAAGAAGAAGAAGAAGGGTATGAAGGAAGGACGTTTGGGATGTGGATAGTCTGATAAGACGGAGGCGGCGGGGTAGGGGCAGAATTCGAACGAGCGATGACCTGGGGAGGGGGGACCACATAAGTTGTTAAGCTGCCTGTGTCGGCTTTCTTCCCAGTATCCGCCGCTCTGCGCCTTGTATACTTCTTGTTCCTAGCCTTTCCGTGCTGATCCCGAACACGATTCGGTCGATAGACGTAACCGGGATATTTCTCCTGATGTATCCGCTTCTTTTCCTTTGCCAAGTCCTCCCAATACCGTCGCTCCTCAGCAGAGAGGGCTTTCCATTGTTGGCTGATACTTTTTGACAGATCCGCCTGGCGTTGCTTTTTGCAACCGTGGCGGGAGGCATCCTCCTCCGCCTGCTGACGACCCTCGGCGCACTGGCTTCGGAAGAGGATAAAAGAGTTCTCCGGGCGTTTGATATAGTCATCATCACCCTTCCGAGGTCTACGCTGAGCGTCGAGGGTTGCCGACTTGCTGCCTGCAGATACTGATGGTATTGATACAGAAGATACCGAAGAATTGGGAGATAGTGTTCGTGAAAGCGGTGGGGTTGCCTGATAACATGATGGCGCTGGGGAAGTGATGTTAAACGAGGAGAGGTCGGGCTCGAAAGGAGAATGAACAGGTGTGGAGTACGGAGATGCGTCGAGAGTATGGGAAACAGGAAACGTGAATGCTCTGGGCGTTGGCGCGATGATGGCCAACGTCGGGAATGAATAGTGCGTATCTACTTATGAAGCAGCTAATTAGAATCATTGCATCAAATAATTCGGAGGGCATACCTTGATATGGTTCATCGTGCGTGCGTGAAGGAGGCATGACAGATTATCAGATCGAACAAATAAAACAAAGAACAGAGATGGGAATATCTGAGGGGAGGGGTAATCGTGTTATTGTGAAAATAACGACGAGTGGGAAGTGCGAATTGCTCTCCAGCTTGACTGCCCTATGCTGTCAAGATCAATTGGGTAAGAAACGAAACGAAAAGACAATACGACGCGTACTTATAGCCTCGTTGAGATGGTCCGGAGCTTCATCCTGATCCATTGTCTTCCATATCAGGAATTCGAGGGGGCGCGCCATCCTACGGGAAAATTTCAATTAAAATGTCTTGTTATCGACTTGACCCTTTGATTCCGTATACCCGACTGAGAGTCGGTCAGAATTCCATAGACTACAGGCGACTATTTGGAAAGTTGCTTTGTGCACTCAGCACTATACTTCTGTGACTTTTCACCTCTTATCACCAAGTACGCCTTCGGAAGGGTTTTGATTCGGCAAATTGAAGAAATAATCATTTACTTTGAAAGTTCCTAATTGGGAACGTTGGATCCGACCTCATATTCAACTCCTTCAAGATGCCTAATTTGTGTTCTTCATCGATGCGTGCTGGTGTCCTCGTTACTTGTGGCCATCTCCTATAAAGAAGAGTGAAGGCTTCTTGGTCAAGCGTCGTCGGTTCACCGATAGTCGCTTGCCTTGTGCATGACCTACGGACCCCTGCGGATGTGTCTCTTGTCTTGAAATAAGCGAAGTAAGACTTTTCCCACATTCACCGCGGACCCGTCTTGTTCACCTCGAAAATCCTTTGTATCCGCGTTTCAAGCTTAGCTCGAAATCAACAAATTTGTTCGTGGCGGGATTGGAAAGTTGACTGGCAGCTGGTGATTGATGTGCTCAAATTTCGAAAGCATTAAACGATAAATACAAGCATATAGCATACTTAGGTACGCACTGCTGAAGCCAGACTTGGAGGAGGAGGAGGAAATTGTTGGAAATTGGCGGACGGAAGTATTGCGTGTCACGTCATAGAGCCTTAGAGCGCCATTTTCACATGAAACGCCATGTGGCAAACGGAGGCAAAGATGAAGCTTGACAACGCTCTACTCACAGCTACTCACAACGGATGTAATTTGAACAAGGCAAGAAGGAGCGTTGAATGGAAGATTGCGCGTTGCAAATTCACAGGCAGGACACGGAGACGAGGTAAAGAAAATACACTCTCCAAGCCATCAACTCACTCAACAGCACTCAACACCTTACATCCTATCCGACGTTGAGCATATATTTGAACGAAGTCAGTCACAAAATTAACTGTTTCCCGACTTTAGATTCTCATAAAGGTAATGTGATCGCTGAACTGCTGATCGATGGCGAAGACCGCTGAAGTGACATTTTAATTCAGGTTGAATGCTCGATGAGCGTTAAACTGAAGTTCTCTCTCAACTTCTCGTACTGAACTGACCTTATGACCCTTGAGCTCCTGGAAATCAACCAAGTCGGCTTTTGATTCGTTCAATTTACCGCAGGAAGAAACTCTGTGAATTCGGAACACTTCTAAACCTTTCAATCTTGACATATTGCATGCAAGCTATCATTAGCTATCATTCAATCATTCTTATCCGGTTTGTCGGAAGTTCATGAAACCACTTATTGGTTTACCCTATCTCTGCGGCAGCCCCATAGCTCCCCATAAGCGCTCCGGCGTTTTCGAACACATATGTACATGGAATTTAGAAGGAGAAACCACCCCACCTTCGACGCTTCGACGGTCATCCTCGTTCGGCTGCGATTGAATGCGCTCAAGTTTATGGCAAATGCTATAAAAGCCAAACCTCAACCCAAAATACTTTCATTCAAGTTCCCCGTACCATGACTTCCCCCGAGAGCAACCACGTCCGAAATGCGACGGTTTTGGGTGATCAGAAACTGACGGATTCGCCGACCAGCCCAAGTTTCAGTAGAGAATCTTCTACAGACAGTCAAAATTCCACCACATCAAGCAATGTTGTACCTCCGTTGACCGCACATCCTTTCCGCACACTCGTTCTCTGTTTTGACGGGTATGTCTTATCAATCCTCTCTCTTCATTGATTTTTTATTCGGCTATTTCTTTGTAAACCAGGACTGGTGATCAGTATGCTACCTTGCACACTTATTATTAGCGATTCAATTGATCGGTTCGGATTACCAGATTCGATTCTGACAATTCGAACATTGTGCAACTATTTTCCATACTGAAAAAGGATGATAAAGACACACAAATGGTCTACTACCAGGTATAATCCTATATAATCATCGCTGTTGTTCGGTATTTGACTCTGATTGAAATACCCTTCCTTGTAGGCTGGTATAGGGACTTACACGTCTCCGCAGATTGCTACGCCCTTGATGGCGAAGTTCTCGAAGGTACGATCCGTGCATACTCATCCACTGAGGAGGCTGTTCCACACCTGATACTTTGCTCATTCAACAGACTATAGATATGGCAATAGGTGCGAATACAGCGTTCTGGAAGTAGGCGTGCATTGATCGAAATATGAATGGAATCAGGATGGTACTTGGATGCTCATGTTATGGGTTCGTTCGTAACCAAGATGATCGCATGAACAGCGATGAACTGACCGTCGAGCCAGGTGGCTATGAATTCCTTATGCAGAACTGTGGGCTTTTAATAATTACTTTTTGGGAGACTTACCACTAACTCCGGATCATGATCAGATAAAGCTGGCGATCGTATTTGCATTTTTGGTTTTTCACGAGGCGCATACACTGCTAGAAGGTGCACTTCTCCTCCACTTTATCTTCAAAAACGAGCTATGCCAATTTTAACGAACTCCGTTCAGTCTGGCAGGAATGATTCACAAGGCAAGTAGGACGGTATATTCCCCCTTCCGAGAACAATTCCTGAGATTTTGATCTAGGTCGGGATACTGCCTGCGTGCAACCACCAGCAAGTCCCATTTGCGTACAAGATGTTCACTCGCGATGATGAGATCGGCTACGCGCAATCCGCCGCTTTCAAGAAGGCGTTCTCAGTCGATGCTACGATTGAATTCGTCGGCGTTTGGTACGCTCGTCCCTTCATCATATGATTATTTTTCCCCCTCTAATTGACTATGCAGGGATACGGTGAATTCGGTGGGCTTGATACCCCATCGTCTACCTTTCACTAGGTCGAATACCCTTGTAAAAACCTTCCGTCACGCTGTGTCGTTGGACGAACGTCGCGCAAAATTCAAAGCAAATCTTTGGAATTCTCCTTCTGATGTCAATACCGACAAGATTGAGGAGACAGGAAAACACTCGCATCATCATCACCACCATCTCGACCGTGAATACCTCCGCTTCTTCAAAGACCCAAACCAAAAGACTGACATTGAGGAGGTGTGTGCTGAATGACTGTAGAATTTTATTCCTGTAATGTATTTTTTTCCGTACATAGGTTTGGTTCGCTGGATGTCATTGCGGTAAGTGTTGGTCGACGTATAAATTTACACGATCATTGAAATCGGTTATAGATGTTGGAGGAGGATCTGTTTCGAATACAGAGACGACCAACCTCGCTAGAATCCCCCTTCGATGGATGATTCGCCAGTGTTTCAAGACTAATACTGGGATTTTGTTCGATTCAGAAGGCCTCCGCTCGTTGGGATTGAATCCCAGTTCACTGTGGCCCAAAGTTGAACCTCGTCCTGCTTTGACAGCCCCAGTGACTCCTTCCCGCATCCGGCCCATCCCGCGTAATCCCCCTCCTCTAAACTCTCAGGATCTTTGTCAGGATCTTTCAAAAGGGTCCAGCCCTAGTATATTCAAAACTGAAGAAGAGCTCGACTTGGAAGATGCCATGAGCCCTATCTACGACCAGCTGAGCCTTGCTCCCGGATGGTGGGCGCTGGAGTTCCTGCCCGTGAAGAACAAATTCCACGACGGATCGGGTAAGTTCTTGACGGAGATTGAGTGCAACCTAGGGAGAGCAAGGAGAATTCCGAGGCAGAAGCAAGGTGTGAAGATCCATAGGAGTGTGAAAATGCGAATGGAGGCACAGTATGAGAATGGTAAAAAGTATATTCCGAGAGCAAAGTTCGATCCTCAGTATGTTACTTGGGTTGATTAGTCTTTCGTTCGAGATTTCTGTGCAGTGATTGATCATATCATTCCTTTTCCGTCAAGCATGATTATTGTAATACTTATGTATTAAAATAGCTACGTTTCCGAGTCCTGTGCCGGTTTCTTTTCCTGCCTATTTTGAACATGTACAGATTCGAGTGCCACCTGATCGTTGCAGCTTGATGAGCAGGCAATCCCAGTGTCAGTCTTTGTGACGGGGATGCCGCTAAATGTTGAACAAACGGGACATAGTTGCACTGGATCTTTGGCGAAACTTTATGCAGTGGGGTGTTTTCCTTCTTGGCGGAAAAATAGACGCTAATAGATAGACGCCTGCCGGAGATAGCTTTGTCTCCTAGTTTGTCCCAGGTTTGTCCTGTACCAACGTTCAAGCCAGTTTTGCTGTTTCCAACAATCCTAACAATAACCGCTAAATCCTACTGGTCAAATGCACAGAGCTCTACGAGGGTATAAAAAAGCGTGAAACAGGCAGAATGAGTTGGAACGATGTTCTTCTCCACTTGTATTCCAGGTTTATGCCATATGAAAACTTGGCCAAATTCAGTCGTGTCCTTCCATATTGAAGGCCGGAAGCCTCGTAGGTTACGAGAGAGAATAACTATTGTCAACAGTCACCACTTGGTCACCCCGCTGATTTCTTCTCTTTTTGTTTTAAGCCAGTTGTGGGCTCCATCAATATAAATGATGGATCTGATGTATTCACGGTGAGTTCACAGGATTAAAATATAATACGGAATTCGAGAGTTATAACAAGTCCTCCCTAGACTGTCAATCCTTCGCGTACCTTTCTTTCCCTTACGACTGATACTGCTCGTCATCCACGAAGACAATGTCGATAACGAACGCGAACCACCAACGAGATCCGACTGGCGGGACATCTGTGACGATCATTAATGACAATGACAGGGTAGAGGAGGAATTGAAGGAATTGAACACGCCAAAAGGACTGTTATTCTCTGTGGATCCTCCAGCCAAAGACGCCTCGACTATATCCCCACCCCGTTCTCGACCACGTCCTATGCGTGAACACAAGATAGATTCGCGTATTATACCTCCGACTATACCTCCCGAGCATGAGCATCGGACTCTGGTCCTTTGCTTTGATGGTGATTCTCTTCCCTTCTCTCATCCTTCTATAGCTAATACATGTCCACACAGGTACTGGTGACCAATTCGATGTCGACAACTCAAACATTGTGCAGTTGTGCTCGCTGTTCAGGAAGGAGGACCGGTCGAAGCAGATGGTGTATTATCAGGTTCGCGAGCACACCGTAACTTACATTCTAGATGGGCGCTCACGAAATGATTTGGCAGGCGGGTATTGGGACGTACACTTCTCCCAGAGTCGCGACGCCCTTGATGTCCACGATATCAAAGGTGACGTCAAACGAACCCGACATCTCGAGAGATGCGTATTAATATCACCTTTTCTGGCGCAGGCGATGGATATGTTACTCGCAAATCAGCTAAATGCGCATGTTATGGGTAGGTGTACCGTCGTTTGACCTTCCGAAAGCATTAGATTCTGATGTCAAGATGTGGTTGTCAGACGGGTACGAATTCCTGATGCAAAACTGTACGAGCAATGCTACTGCGGACGGCGTCCCGAGCATCAAGTGCTAATTAGACGTGTTTAGATACAGCTGGTGATCGTATCTGTATGTTCGGGTTTTCGAGAGGCGCGTACACTGCCAGAAGGTGATGAAGCTGAGATTTCACCAAGCCCCATTATGTTGATTGCGGCCGCGTTTCATAGTCTTGCGGGCATGCTTCACAAAGTAGGGCTGCTCTCTAAAGACAATTTTCAGCAGGTTCCGTTTGCATATAAGATGTATACGAGAGTAGACAAGGTTGGGTGGGAGCAGTCCAATGCATTCAAGGAAGCGTTCTGTAGGGACGTGATTATTGATTTCCTCGGAGTATGGTGAGTAAACCTCTTTGTACGGGCAGCTAGCGAGCTTCTTGAACTCACTGAGATCGGAATAGGGATACTGTGGACTCTGTAGGTTTAATACCCAAGCGACTTCCATTTACCACCTCGAATACCATCGTTCGCACATTTAGACACGCGATATCCCTTGATGAACGGCGCGCCAAGTTCAAACCCAACTTTTGGAATCTTCCTCATCCGCGGTCTGATCATTCACAGGACTTGCCTCCAAGTCGACCGACATATTCTGGTTTCTCGTATCGTTCAAGTGGCAAAGAACGCTTCCGCCAACTATCGAGAAGCCCGAAACAGAGGCTCAGTCCGTTGCCTCCTTCCATTGAATGGGAAAGTTCGGAAGATAATCGACTAAGCGATTACGAAGAGCGGTTCTCCCTACACAGTGAATACAATACGACTCCAACGGACGTACAAGAAGTCTGGTTTGCTGTGAGTAATTACCATTCAATGCAGGTCACTATTCCGTCTAATTCCGTTTTTAATTCCAAGGGTTGTCACTGTGGTGAGAAATCATACATATACAGCTTTCCGCATAGTATTCTGACCTTTGTTTCCTTAATTCATAGATGTGGGAGGTGGTTCTGTGAAGAACTCTACACGCCACACTCTTGCACGAATTAGCCTTCGTTGGATGATTCGGGAGTGCTTCAAAGCTAACACTGGGATCATGTTCAATTCACAACGTTTGAGGTCGGTTGGACTGGATCCTTCGGCTTTGTATCCATTTATAAGTCCGAGGCTTCCACCACTATCAAGTGAAAAGATTCATACAATTGCGCCTATTCCTCAGAAGAAGTCAAAATTACATCGAGTTTTAGCAAGTTGCCGGAAATTGATACCTCGCAATACGGGGTCGATATCCAATTCCACCAATTTGGGGCCCGATTCACTGGAAGGCTCAAAAGAGAAGGATAACGAGAAGACACGAATTTTGTCGGAAGAGGAGGAGGATCTCGAGGATGTGCTCTCTCCCAAGTATGATCAACTCAAAATAGCTCCGTTTTGGTGGATTCTTGAGGTGATCCCGATGCAATTCCGTTATCAGAGGAAGTGTGATGACTGGGTGTCATATTTTGGGTTTGTACTTTTGCGTTTCTTGCGGGGCTTGGTTTGGACTCATTCAATATTCTGATTAACCTTGAAGATTCAATCTTGCCAGACCTCGGCACATACCGGAGCAATCTTCCAATGGTGTTTATGTACATCGTAGTGTTAAAATACGAATGGAGGCGGAGAAAGTAGGTTCGAATGGTAAACACCGTAGATATTCGCCCAAAGCGCACTTGGAAGTTGAGCCCATTTGGTAGCTTGGTGACCAAGCCCTCTAAGAGAATAATCAAAAAATTTGATTAAAGTTCGCCTGCGGGGCGGAACCTCGATAGAGGGCTTGGAAGATCTGAGTTTAAATTGGCAGGAACTGCGTTATCATTTTTAGAATGTTCTGGACTGCTTATTAATAGCCTTTTTTGGTAACTGACTTTCGGAGATAATCCATTTGAGGAAAAAGGCTACGAGATAATTGATCCTCAGTCAGTGGAATGAGTTGGAATGCAATTTGAACATTGAAATACTTCAGGAATACTTGTAGGAGCTTGTAGGCCAAGAGTACATGCCTGAATATGTAGATACAATGTAGGGTAGGCAAACAGAGAGAAAAAACCTTCACTATCCTTAGTAAGTGATACCTTCTCATCCAATTAATTCTCCAGGATGTTGGTGCTCATAGGCTTTATTATAGTAGAGATTATCAAACAGTGATAGTGACATAGATATAAGATACTGAAGTCATGAGGTATAGAGCTCTGTAGAGTCGGAGACATCTTGCAATTTCTCGCAAATCATGACTTTCAGTAAATGAATAGGTTCGTGGCCAATTCCCCAATTAGAATATCTCCAAAAGTCAATTACCAAAAAAGGCTATTAATCAGCATTCCAGAACGTTCTAAAAATGATAACGCAGTTCCTGCCAATTTAAACTCAGATATTCCGGTCCCTCTATCGAGGTTTCGCCCTCATAGAGGGGCGGTTTCCGGTCTACCCATTTGGGTCGATTGACCTTCAAATCCGAGTTTCAGACCTTCCATAGATTACCTTAGAACTCTTATGTAATGATCATAGATAATCGTTATCAGCTGTACTGATCGATCTGGAACCGGCGCCTAAACTAATGAAACCTTCTTTCAGTGCTACGATGTCATTTCAGTGGCTCCAACTACATCTATGATCCTAAATCTAATGCACATCCATCGAATGTCGTCACAACCAAACGGCGATGTTATAAGATTGACTCAGTATCACTTTTCATCTCATCCAATCATCCCATAGCCTTCGCCATGGTCTCCCATCACGCACCTGCTCTTCGAGTCGGCTTATATTTTGCCTTGGTATGCAAATTGTCATTGCTATCGTGTTAACTTTAACACATTGCACTTTATAGTCGCTGTTCTCCATCGTCTTGCTTGGACTCACAGCTGCCAGGATCCATCAGACGTTGAACTTTGCTCCTGGAACCAGTTTCTATGGTGTGTCTTCTACTCAGTCACTAATAATGATATCATGTGCCATGCTCATCAGCCTCTCATTTATAGATCCCATTGTTGTCGAGTTGCTTGTCACGTCTATTCTCGCCATGATCTGGTCGTGGTTCATGTAAATATCTCCAGTTTCGCTCGCTTCTAATCACTCATGAAATTATAGTATACACACTATACACACCATCCGAGTTAGCGGACCCTTGACCACCTTCCGACACGAATCCATTGGGATTCTCATCATATGGATAATGTTCCTTGTCGGTACAGCCATAGCTACGGTGCGTAAACATCAATCATCTTGTTCGCTCAATAACTCAATTTTTTGCAGAATTTCTGGGCGAATCTTGGTGTTTGCTTTGGTGTATTCACCTGCGATATTCTCACCGCCATTGTTGCCTTTGCCTGGCTTTGCTTTATCACAATGACTTTGATTGGGTTCTCCACTATGCTCTTCCTTGCCAGGAATAATGGTTATAGCAGTTATGACGAACCTTTACACGGAAGATGGGGAACTGGGGCGAAGGTCTAACCCAAAGCATCACAATGGTCTTGTTTTATTATTTTATGTCTTTCATGCCTTTTTTGAAGTAGTTGTTCTGTGCTCTCTATACTCTACACACCTTGAAGAGTAGTATCCATATATTTAGCTCTGTAAATTTACGTATTTGTGTTTTTACGCTGACTGTGATTTATTATTCTAGTTATCTGTGCTGTCACCCACTACTGTACACTGAGAAGTAGTATCTATACACCATTCGGCTTTGTAAATTCATGTCTTGTTGTATCGATTATCATTGTCAATGGCCCAATATTGTTGGTGTATTATTAAACGCCGGCGTGTGTACGTTCACCACTTTCGACTCAGATCCAACGCCAATACTTCCTCAAGTTTTGTCCGACCTACTTCACCATGAACATAAGATTAGCCAGGGTGCGTGATGCTCTGTTTGAGCTGTTGACACAAGAATTGCCCTGTAAATGATTACAGGTGCGATGAATTTTTTGTTTGAATAATGTCGTTTTCAAACCACGATACTCAAAGCTTCTCTTGCAGCCTGAAGACCTTTCTGGCATGCAAGGTATGCAACTCACTTATTTGTGACTTGTGCGCAAGCAGACTTCGTCTACCACCAAGCTGGAAATCTTGTGAACTTGCCCGAAAACTACGTGCGTTATGTCGTCGTCGAAAGAGTCACTTGGTCTTGATCACACATAGTACAGTTGATGAAATTCTGTGAAATTATTACTACTTCGACCATTCTTACGGGACCCTGACGGTCTTCCCCTTTCCTAGGGATGTACCACATTATAACATGGCCACAGCTTTCATTTGTGGCGGAGAATGACAAGGGTCATATCGTAGGTTATGTGTTGGCAAAAATGTGCGCTTTCTTGTGGTTCATTATAAGTGTCTGTCCAAGCCTTAGATTATCTCACAGCGATGAAGAATCGGAAGAAAAAGGCGGCGAAATGCATGGCCATGTCAACTCGATCTCGGTCTTGAGATCATATAGACGTCTGGGGCTCGCGAAAAGACTGATGATGCTATCCCGTACGCAATCGACGCTTCTGCTACCATCCCTTATTGACAACAGGCGTATCAGAGGATGCGATGGCCTCAATATACAAAGCGAATTACGTGTCATTGCACGTTCGCAAGTCGAACATTGCCGCAATCGGATTGTACAGAGATACTCTGGGCTTTGAAGTTGCGGAGGTGGAGAAGAAGTACTGTGAGTCGTTCTTTCACGCGATGCGCTTGGATCCCACCTGACAGATTACACAGACGGGGATGGCGAAGATGCCTATGTTATGAAACTTTTCCTCAAGAACCAGTCATAGGTTTTACCGACTACCATCCAATATCCTTACTTCACTCGTACCGGCATCGTTCGACATCGTTATCCCGTCCTGAGCTAGTAGTCTGATTACCTGAGAGTTGTAATCGTCTTGTTTACCTAAGATCCAGGATTAATGACATTCGTCAATTCTTTTCATGAACGACCGGCCTAACTTTCTCTCTCAGTCTCTGTCGAATGTTCTGTGCGTCACAGCTCTCCTGACCAATCTCTATGAAGCCTTATCCCGAAACAACAAATCATGGCGAGAGACTAACTACACTTTGCTAACACACTTCCACTCTTGGTAGCATACGCGTCACAATTTTGTCGGACTAGGTTCCATTTTTATATGAACTCCGGAAGCCACGAGTCGATGGTGCGTTTCGCTCCAGATCTAAAAAATGAGCCGATGATGACTGGCGGCAGAAACCGAATAACGAACAACGAACCTCCGTCCTGGCTGAGGCGACCCGTCTGCCTACAGTCATTGTCGTATTCACTATCCGTAAATTTTCTCCACTAACCAAACCAAGTCAGCTCTGCAAACTTTTTGTACTGTGAAGCTGCTCACATTGTGGCGGGAGCGTGATAGACGATGTTCAACGACTGAGATACGCTAGAAGAACGCCACAAAAGGATTCAGCGATCATCACCCGAATAACGAGGGGCGACTCGGAGAAGGGACGCGCTTACTCAAAGCTAGCAACACCTTGCGAAATCTTCAAAGCCATAATGGAGCCGGTTGAGCATCTAGTATCAGCGTGATTTCAAGTGTCAGTCTTGTGTAATATTCATGATAGAAATAAACAAACATGCATACACGTCTATGAGGAAGGCAGAGCAGCCTCCGTGTATATTACCTCCTCCATTCACCATATCTACACAAATGGTGCGCGTTAGCCTGTTTGGATGAAAGCCAATCCTGCGAAATGGACGTATATAACTCACCTTCTTCCACAGTAATTGTGTATACTACCAAGCTCTCTTTCCGTTGAGGCTCTATCACATTACTCTTGATTGTTACTTCAGCCAGTGTCAATCGCCTCAGAATCGAGGCGGCAAAGCTATTAGGGCGGCCATTTAAAAAAAGTTTGGGGATATCCTTGAGATGCGCTTTGATTTCCTCTGAACCGTTGCCCACAATCGCGCTCGACATGAGCGTTAAGAGGAACTATGAGTTACCCGGGACTGCCGAACGATAATCATATGCTTAGTTTATTGCTTGCAACAGAAGGTGTATTCTACACTATTATGTACATATCAAGTTCGATGATATACGATATACGTTTGTAACTAAAGCTTGGAGGCGGCGGTGTCGTTCTTAGGATTGCGCTGCTTTGGTTTTTGAGGTTTTACAGTGACATGTACCCCAGAAACCACCAATCTATGGTGGGTTTCACTCCATATCTTCCGAAACAATGAATCGATGAGTATCAGATTGTGATTCCCAACACTAACCTCGGTCCTCGCTGACTGGACAATTTCGCCCGCAGACGTGCACGTATTCACAACTTGTAGTTCTTCACCACTGTTTGAGAAGATGGTGTCGGTTAAAACAATTGTCGTCGAATGAGGAATGAAGGAGATTGAGAAGCAGTGAGAACACACAGGACAGCAGGCGCGTGAAATACAACGTGAATCGTTTCGCTGAACCCGAGACCGGGGAAACCTGTTGTGTGTATTTGGAGAGCTATCGTGGCCAGGGAGGAGCAACTTGAGCAGTCATATCATCGTGATTTAGACCAAGCCTCGGATATCAACGAGGAAAGGAGCGCACAAGTCAATTAACAGGGCTGAGCATCCTCCATGAAGAGTACCATGCCCGTTGACCATCCCTAGTGCCAATGTCCTCAATGACAATGGAAGAAAAGATCGTTCAAGCGCTCACCTTGAGTAATACGAGTTTTGCACGTAACCTTTGCCTCTAGACTTGATGGTTCCATAACGTTCTGGTGGATTGAAATTTCGGAGAGTTTTAGAGCAGCTACAACTGGATCACCAAATGTTGCTTCAAGGTTGGGAGCGAGTCCCATTGCCGCGAAGAGTTTTCTGCGGTCGACAAGGAAGTGTTTGATTTTGTCAGAAGCATTTCCACCAATATGAGAGATATCTTCAGACATAAAGGTAGTAAGGCAAGCCTAAGATATATCATAGACTAAAGTTATCAATATGTTCACGTCACGAGTATGAATTATGCCACACCTTACTCGGAATACAGCCCAGAGTACGAAATCGTACTGAGACTAGCGAGAAGTTCTCAGTATTGCCATTGAGGTGTATAGAAATGAACCCATGAATTGACAGCACGAATCGCTAAATCCATGTACATATATCCAGATTGAATATTCCAACAGAATTCCGACATCTCCAATGCAAAGTCGAAGGGGTCGTAAAGATGTTGGTAAAACCCAGGCATTCCTCGTTTCATCGTATTTTCGTTGAGCTTTTCGTATGTAGAGTCACGATCGCGTACGGTAAGTCGGTGACCAGTATCGCCAAAACGTAGAGGAAGATTTACGTTATCAAGACTTCCAGCGCTTATTGCAAGTATTTTGTCCGAAATTCACGGACAACATCTTTATCCAGTTCTACTTACATTTGCCGGACCACCGATATCGATTCGGAATTGCGCTTCTTCTTACACCTGGTCAAGCTACAAGTCTCTTCAAATCACACATGTGGTTTGTTACAATTGGTGAAAAAAGTAGCGCTTATCATCCTCAACGCTTGATGTCTTCTCTTGTCTTTCGTCCCATTTCTTGAATAAGAGATCCCGTGCGCCCACGGGTGGCGGACTCCGAGAGATTCAGACCTTGCAGTTGAAGGAATCCTTCAGATATTTTGATTGAAGCTCACCGGTCCCTACTCCCACATTGTCTGCTGATTTGCAATAATCACCCAAGACAAACTTACATCTGTATGAAGGCTACAGCATTAAATCAATCGATGACCTCAAAATATTCGACGACCTCGCCTCGGGCATCTTCACTCGTGACCTTCATTAGCCAGATCTTCCCAAATGCCATATCATGCAGGGTGTCTGCAGGTCCTCAAGATCCTGTAAACAAATGTTCTAGCACAAATCTATACTGATAGTGACAAAATCCACAGCATATATCGGCCATCTATTCGAATTAATGGATTGAGCCTGACTAGCTTCTGAAGACATACTTATCCTACGTGGGTTTCTATTGGCTTTCTAGACTAAAAGCTTTTCGAACAGATAAAGTTTTTTCGTCGGAAGAGATGACACATCGAGGAATTTCTAATGCCCTGTTCTAAAAATCGGGATCAATGCCTGCATAATCTGGGGTTATAGCCTCTCCACTAGTAGCATGGATTTGCCCGGGCCCAGCGACGTACTCTCAATGAGAAAATCTAGGTTAACAGTCATTTAATTCGTTTCGTAAGAAAAACCCTCTATCATAAACTGCTGTACTCAATCCGATCGATTTTCAAGGGCTGCGAGGAATGTGCCAGGAAAGGAAAAGAAAGATTAACCGACACGGTCCCATTAGTTGATTGATTTAGGACGAGACTGCCAACACCTAGATCTTCGATATTAAATGACCCCCCACAGATAGTGCGTATATGTATAGGTCCCTCTAAGAAGCGAAATGGTGCAATCCGAAGAACTTATCTCGTGGAAGACACGGAACTATGCGTTATTGGAAAGCCTTAGACTGTAGGATGGTTCTAGATACATATTATCTTTAGTAGCAATAAGCACAATCAAGTGGGCGCAAAGCCGCTGTCATTATACACTTGAAGCGTGTGTAAATCCTGCGGCTTGGTCCTGTGGTTAAGTAGGTTTCTGATTTTTCTGGATTTGACGCCACTCATGATAATTTGAGGCTTTTGAGAGCCTGATTATCCTCGATAGAGCGATAGAGGATTGTGTTAAATTGTAAAGTTGAGTGGGAACAGTTGAAGTTGACAACACTTGCTCATGAATATCCGATTGCAGTGGAAACGAAATCTGGAGGAAACCTTCAGCATATTTCATATTGTACTTTGCTCTCTTCCGAACGGAGATCTTACTGAGAGGTAAAAGTGAAAGAATACTTATTGCGGTACAGGTTCAACGAATTCCGTACTGAAAGACGTGAATGAGGTAATTCAAATCATACAGTTCAAGACTCCTCAAAAAGGTTTGCAGGAGCACGACCGCAGACTTGCACCACAGTGACACCGACCAGTGGACCTCTCGAATCGCGTGAGCCGAAGGTAGCTTTGGATGTTCATCGCTGTAGCAAAATTGATTTCAGTGCAATGACGGATTATACGGGAGTCCGGAATTCGAAGAGAAGGGACAACGTATTTGTGGCTCTGCCAAACAGCATAATGTTGGAGGAGCGATGAGATCATCCGAATTCTCTGAGCGTGAAAACCTCGGAGAGACCTGCCAGCGAGAGGGAGAAGGTGTTCGGTCCCTATAGTTTTGTTCCTAAGTTGAGTTTATTGGCAAAATGGAACAACTATCGACCCGGTTGAATGATACAACCTTCTTTGTAAACTGTGGCGTAAAATTCCCAAGAAAGAAACAGATCAGATACATCGAAAACCTCGTAAAATATCTTGATAGCATTGAGAATTGAATAGCATGTGTGGATGCATGATAGGGTACTTAATTGGTATATACCTGTTCATGGGCTGAGTAGTAGTGTCATCGGAAGTCGAGAAACGACCAACGTTCAGCGATATACCAGTCGAGATTAGTCCGAATCTAACTGGACAGTGGCAGGCTTTGAAGAGAGGCAAGCGGAGAAGGAGAGAGCTTGACTGACAAGGAGGATACTTAACTATACCCAGAAGAGAACTTCAGAGAAGGGTATACCGCATACACGAAATTTCCGTTATATTCGTGGCATTCGCGCTACTTTCTGTCCAAATTCAGGTCCTGTGCGACAATCTAGCGTAGCCTCGTTGTTGGACACGATGATGATTGTGTGGTTCCAGTGGACGCATGAATACGGGTCTTCAATCATGAATCACTGTTGAATGCTGCGATAGCGATATCAGCTAGGCTTTCAGACGTTGAAGGTCGAACTTGGCAATGTCCGAGATGGAAACGAAGATTATGATTGGATGATAAGGATTACGACACGAGGTTGCGGGGAAAGCGCCCACGGATGTCCCTTCCCCGCGCAGCCTCTCCTCCGTCTGCTGGAACAAGAATTGGTCACCACCATCGAGCACAGTCCCCCAGTTCTTCGATTTCTCATGAACGGAGGACTTCTCTCGGCGATAAGGCGTCCGGTTCGGTCTTCATCGATTTTATAAACAGTGACTGTTATCTCTCGAGCATAGCAATTGCAATGAGGCTTGAATCCGAGTATCATGTCCACATTTCGGGAGTGTTTGAAGATATATCACTGTTGGCACCAAGTTTCTACGCCCATCCTTCCTTTTTAAAAAGATTTGATTTGCGGGAATTTGACGGCAACTGCATGAGCGTCTTCAAGAATACGAGGCTGTTTATGTACAATGTCTGAAGAGAATCACAATCAAGGGGACGGAGGTGAGAAACACCCTTACATGGGTTTTCAGATCGTATCTTAACCATTGCCTCGAGGCAGCTTTGTAACCATCGCAGAAAGCGAAATATGTTCAGGGTCTTGTATCAAAACAGATTGATATTTGAAGAAGCAGTCGTCATCATCTGTATAATCTTTCCCTTTCTTTCCTTTCGACTGAAAACACTCGAGAATTTCCCGAGGTCAGTATGAAGACAAATGGCAGCTAATCTGGTATGCTTACCCATTACATAGCACATTCTATAGTATCACCCACAAATAAATACCAAACCTGATTGACGCGGTACATGCAACGTCGGGGACGATCCCGTCAGGTTTCTCATGCTGCGCTGGCACGGAAGGCATCAGAGGAAAGGGCTAGGCAACAACGGGCGCTGTTGGAAAAGTTGACCACCACGACAGCGTTTTTTGTTGAAGAGATGGGATCATCGGAAACTTTCGAACAGCCTTCATTGGAAGCTGCTGTGGAAGGATATCCTGCACCTTCCTTGCGTTTGCCACCAGAGGTTGCTGGTTCGAGTAGCAATTCCAAATGCCACTATTCACCAGTGCGGCACTCAAACATCATCGGTGAGCACAGCCACTTACCATCCTTTATGTCTCGTACGACCACAATCTCACCTGTGACGTTGCGCTCCTAGATCTCACTGGTCCTGAATTCGAATTCTCGTCGCAATTTGAGCTCCATTTTCAAGAATTGGATCTTTCCAGTTCAATGTTGAACTCTGAAATATACACGTATCCACCATCAATACCCCCTTCTCCTATAACTTCCGCGGCTGTGACGCCCGACACGTCTGAATCTCAAACATCCGATTCCTACTTCTCCCTGAGTTCTCTTGAAGAAAGAAGCTCGCCAACGCCTCTTACCCTTCTTGATCAGCTTCACACGGCGTACGCTCTCGATGACCTCCCGTTGGCAAAAATATTGTTGCTCAAGATAACCCAAGATGTTCAGGATATCACCTCGCGAACGGACCCACGTCTCGACGCTGTCAAACCCGAGGACTTTGACGTGGCGTTTTTGCCAAAAGGAGGGCTTATGACTCCCGAGGACGAGGCACGTCTATTTGCAAGACAGGAGAAGGAGCAGAAGCGGTTGCAGAAAGAGGCACAGGAGGCGCAAGAAGAAGCTAATCGACACAGGGAGAAAGTTGAACGCGAGAGACGAGAGCAGGAGGAGAAAGATCGAGTCGAGAAAGAAGAAAGAGAAAGGGTGGAGAGAGAACGAGCTTGGGAAGGTTGGGTTGAAGGTGTCTGGGAGAGCGCGAAGAAGGAAATGGAAGAAATGAAAGAAATAAGAGAGTTTGCGAGAAGATGCCAAGAAGATGTAGAGCGAGCGTGTCAAGAGCAAAGACGGCAAGATCAAAGACGTCGAGTCAATGCCGACAGACGTCGGACCCATACCGCGAAGGGATCAGTGTCAACACCGCTACCGCGCATATCCTATGCTCATCTTCCCACGACTCGACTTGACTCCTTACCTCCATCACAGACTGAACTATTATACACTCTTCCCAACATACCGAAACATTCCACTCAACGAAGACGACTTACTTGTACAAAGGATGGGTCATCTTGCAGCACTGCATCCACACCTTCACATCCCTTGTCACTACGTAAAACAATCGTCCCGTCTTCGTCACCATTCTTGGCATTGGAGTCTCTTCGCGAATCTAGCACCGCCTCCTCTTCCTTAGGCTTGGATGCCAGTAAAAAGTATCCCTCTACTGTTTCCGTCCAAGAGGTCCTTGCAGCAATGCGAGGCGAGTTATTTCCCTCGGAATTTCTTCAACCAGAGAAGCGAGATTCCTCTCAGCATACTTTGCACGGCAGGACAAAGTCCGATGACCTCGACCTAGGAGGTTTGAGGCAGCGGAGCAAGACTCCTCATCATGGTCTCAAGGCAAACTCGATTTCGTCATCCAGTTCTGCGTTGACGCGTAAGCAGAAGCGGAATGAAGCTCTACTTTCAGAGTTATTGTCGACCTCCAATGATCAGCTAGGGATGGACAGACTGTGTAATCGAAGAAAGGGTAAAGCATCAGATGACATACGGATGAAGAGGATGACTCCACTCCGAATGGACAGTTCAGCATCTGTGACTTCTGCAACGTCGGCCAAGTCGGTGTGTGCAGCTTGTTCCGAGAATCTGATGTCACCATCTACGATGAGCAGTGGTATATCCAGATCAGGGAGCTGGTTATCATTCATGTCATCTTCATCAGTTTCTTCAGCTTCGACAGTGCTGACAACGCCTTCGGCTTCGACGTCCGGATCCTCTCCGCCTATCCAGCCTCTAATCCGCACTGGTAGCGTTTTCTCCACTTGGTTGAAGGGCGTTGCCTCTCAGTCGTCGCCGACGCCCACGGATCAATGTACCTGTGAACACTTGAGTGTTTCTCGAATGTACACTGCATCTCGAGGAATTGAGTGTCGACTCATCCCAGTCGGAAAAGACGAATCCCCACTTCCGCTAGATCTCTTGGATGTGACTGTATCTCCTTCCCCGACATTGACAAACACCGAGTCCTCAGCAGCTATTAAGCAATTCAATATGGCATCTGGAAAACCTACTCACTCGATGGCTTCCCCCACTGGCTCGAAAAGCCTTCTTCGTTCTGTGACCAATTTCCTAGATGTTGCTAAGAGCTTTCAGTCAGCTTATATGCACGCAGCTATGTTCGCAACTCTTGCAACAGTTCCCAACGTCAGTTTATATGGGAGCGATTGGGATCGTGAATATGAACACAAGCAAGGGAGAAAGCAGAGCAACGCAGTTGGAGAACATGGTGGGAGCAAAGTAAAACGTAGATTGCAACCTGTTGGTTGTCGGGTGGGCACAAATGAAGTTTCCCTTTTTACTTCTGCCATCAAGAAGAGCAGTCAGCAGCCCATTGATGCTGATGCGGGACAACCGGTGACTGGTGAGGTACTTTTCAAGGCAGAGTTATGAATCAAACTGATAAATTCCGCCAATTAGTTCCGAGTGGATTCAGACCCAGAATTACGCCCATAGAGTTGTTTCCTGCTGATGATTCTGTTCAATATATTCCTATGGTCCCGCGGAAGTTGTACAATGGTGAACACCCACCTCGTACTATCCTTCCAAACCCTCTTCCATTTCCCATTCATTTCAAGCCACAACGTTCACTTACCGGCTCACCTATACGGCGATGGTCTTTTGAATTGCTTCAAACTCAAGCTCGTTCTTCTTTCAAACGCCGTCCGGTCTCTCCTCTGCGGTACGGGCCGAATGGATTTCGTCGATCCTCGAGAAGGTCAACCTCCCCACCGTCCTCATCAACACAACCTGTTCTGCGGCCGCGTTTCGTAGGGAATCCGGTCTATCTACGACTCAAAGCCTTGCAGAATTGCACTGGTATTCCAGTCATGGACTCGCAGATCCTCGAGCTGCATGAAGAAGGTGTATCGATCAAGGGCGGGATTTTGGGTTCTGGGAAAGAGAAGGTGCTCGGTACTGCTTTTGAGGATGTTGGAAGAAGTAGGCTTGGTGTCGACCTTCTTCATGAACCAACGCTTCAACATCGCGTCACATTACCTATAAATTCACCTATACCGTGGTGGCACCCAAGGAATGACATTGATAACGTACAACTGCGCTGGGAGGACGGCAGTGTTCGTAGAGGCAGGAGTGTCGTCAAAGGTTGAGGTTTTCTCTATGTTGAATACATGCTTGTTGTTTTGTTTGCTGATTTCAGTGTTGTCTTGCTTGTTATGCTTGCTACGAACCGCTACGAACTCGTTACTCTGTATAGTGAATCATTCTTATTAGTCTATCCTTCTAACGCCCTACCTTATCTACCACGACGACTATTCCAGAGTGCTAATGCCTTTATCTGTACTTACATCTTTGTTTTTCATTTGTTAGTGTTTCTATAGCATTCTCTTCGAGCACTTCAGCGAATGTTCGTTCAATGATAGATCTTTTGCCCAAGAGTGTTGTGAAATATTGTCGTAGTGGTAGGTAGCATTGGCAGGATTGGCGGAGAAAGGTGAATGCGGTTTTGCGCTCACAGAGCTCATTTATATATTTACGTTCGTCACGTCAAATTGCGTCTTTTACGCGACGGGACGAAGAGTCTGCTTCACAGTGGAAGAGGATGATGCGATTAAAGGTACATGAATGAGTGACTAGACTAACCGTCGTGTGAATGCAAGAAAGGAATGGTACGTCCAGCGTTAAATACACATTATATACAATGATGCTTAGAAAGGCGTAGAACTGGCATGCGCCAAACTCAGAATGATGTATCCCAGGAGGACCCCGGAATATACAGTTCGAAACTAGGAAGAGGTGGGCTCCTGTCACGGAGCTCAGCGTTGCGTAGTGGTCCTGGCAAATCATACTCCCGATGAGAAGTGACGGGAGGTGAAACCTTGATCTGTCGCGCCTGGGACTTCGGGGTTCGAGTAACTCGGATGGGACCACTGTAAGAGGGTACTTGGGACTCGCTCAGAACATGCGAGACCTGTTGCTCGAAAGGCTGCGAGTGCAATTTGGTGTGGTCACTAGTGAGTCGTGCGTGGTCTTGGACTACACGCAGGCTGTCGCAGAGGGCTGCGAAGTCATCCAGGTCGCTCTGATCAAGAGGTGATAAGCTACATTATACATTATAGAGCAAAGAAGCAGCAACTCACGTAGGCTTTCCGACGCGAAGGAGGTGAAGGCCGCTTAATGATGGGAGAGGAATTCTGTCTCGGAAGTTCGAGGGTGTCGGGAGATGAGCAGCGGATGAAATTGATCTCGGAGGCGGCCACGTCACCAAACGCAGATATAGTGTGTTCGTCGTCGTCGGCAGTGTCAGACCCAACCAGATCAGAAACGTCGTTGGAATGACAACGCAACTCCCTCGTGAGACCTCGTCTTGAGGCTCGTCTAGATATACTGCATTGTTCCGAGTTGCTGTGTTTCTAGATATAAGTAGAAGCGTTATTATTTCTTGAGACGAAAAATATGGTTATTGGTCAAGAACGCACCTTGAATAGCATGACAATCGAAATATAGTTTCAGAAGGACGAGAGCCATGATTATATACCAGTTCAACAATGTTTAAAGACCCTCGCAGGGTTGGTCATCGTTGGCCCATCGACCATTGTCTGTTCAAGATTTGAATAAAATGAAGGTCAAAAAAGAGGTTACCAAGGGTCAAAGCTGCAAATGTAATGCCGGAAATGGAACGGTCAAAGCGGCTGTCATGACGGAAACTGAAGAACCAAATTCTCTTTATTGTTTAAGCATTCTTATGTCCAGGAGTGGTAATAGTGAGCTCAGAAGAAAACACGAAAACTATTGAATCCTACGAGACACCCGTTGAAATATGAGTACAAAACGAAAGGAAGTCCATGACAAATGTCCAAAGAAAGATAGGATGCCGAAGGCAGAAATTACTATGTATGTAGTTTAACGGGGACGTTCTACAGGTACGTCTCGATAGCGGAGATGAAGCTCTTGCTTTACTTCGCTCAAAGTTGGTCAGCAGAAAGAGCGTCGTAGATGGGGCACAGATCATCCCAAGCAGCTGGAGACAACTATCAGCAAGTCTCCAGACAGCAGACATAGTGAATACTCTTACTGGAGGGAGTCTGGGTAGTGTTCCAATCGGCAACATCTTCAGCAAAGACAATGGCAAGACCGCTAAAAGAAAAGTGAGCTTAGGTTTTCTCCGACGTTCAGTAAAACTTACGCCTCCAAATGCCAGTCAATGTGGCTATACGGAATGATAATCAGTCTTTTTTTCAGAGTCTGTCGAAGGACAGCAACACGCACCAGTGAAGGAACCAAGGACCCGCGTTATCTGTGGTGAAACGGATTGTTACATTATCCCCGGCGGCTCCAGTGCTGACGACATCTCGACGGGCCTAATGAAAATGTGAGAATAGTTGACAGTAAGAGTTATAGAGGAAACGTACTGGGTTAGCGTAGTTATAGGTCGTACTACCAGCACTGCGCACGACGTCGAAGGTATGCTGAATGAAAATTCAGGTGAGATGTACTCCATGCAAAATAATGGCGAACTTACACCGTGAAGATGGAAGGGGTGAGGGAAACCGGCAAGTCCTCCAGAAGGAATAGAAATCTCGATGGTTGAATTGGTGGGCAAGGAGTAAACAGACCCCGTAGGCAAAAGCGAATCGGCCGTTTCCGCACCGCTGAGGATTTGAAGCAAGACGGGTACCGTCGGTGAAGTAAAGCTATAGCCATTGATAGTGAAAGCCGTTCCGGTCTGCGGTGACAAAATATTAGCGATTGGGTCATAATGGTCGGAAGAGGGCGCGCTTACAAATGCCATAGCCAGATTTAAAGCATAATCGACGCCTCCTACTTCAGGTTCTCCTGGAGCGCCAGGGTTCTCTAAAGGCTGCAATGATACGTCAGACAAGCGGTAAAATAGGCCTCAGATATTGGAATTTACCACAAGCTGGGTTTCGTTCAGGGCGAGGACACTTGTAACCTCTGGGGTACCGGGCTCGCTGTCGGCGGCCCCACTGTATCGCAGAATGGCAGAATTGATTCCTCCTGCATATCCAGAAGTGCCGGTGGAGGGGTCAGCCCGAATCCCTGTAGAGAGATCACCGTCAACAAGAAAGCACAGTAGTGTTTTACTCGCGCCACTTACAATAGTTATCCACAGATTGATTCGCTTCAAGCTGGATTGCTGAATGAACAAAAGAAAGGGGGATGAAACAATGTATGCTTACAATAAATGAGTATCTCTGGCCTGGCATCCAAAACACAAAATGAGCTGCTGGTGCGCGAAAGGCAAATAAACGTACTTACCAGCAAAAATTTGAATGGAATCGACGACTAATTGCTCGTGGTTGACACCATCTGCTTCGATAACGGTCATCGTATGATTATCGATGCTGAACACGAAGTTAGGATCCTAATTGAAGAAGTATCAGCTCTCTTCGTTGCATAAGGAAAACCAAAATTATCCACTTACACAAGCCAAATTGACCAAACGAAAACGGTATCGAGTTCCAGAAGTCACCGTGATGACCGACAGGTCCGTCGCATTACCTCCAGAATACCTGCAAGCAAATCAGACCGGGTTGTGAGCTTTCACTTAGAGGACAAGACTTACCGTCCAAGACCGTTGATTAAGGTAGCATCCGGAAAGCTAAACGATGACCTTCAATTGAGAATTTGAGAAATACGAATATACGGCACCGTACGGGAAGGTAAGAGTTTCAGCCTTTTCGTGGTACCAATCCATGAGACTGAGGACGGTGGTATCTACAACGAGTGATTAAATCCGCAACGTCTTTCGGTGTTGCATACCTCTTACCATCGTCAACATCGTATAAATCGGCATAAGGATCATCAGGATCATAGATAACTAGAGCACCTCTAAGACCATCGCAGTATTGCGTCGCTGTCACGGATTTGGTCAACCTTTTTTCCGTCTCGACTTGCAGAACAACTTACAAAGATGACTGCAATATCAAATATCAGCAAGGTGCAATGAACGAGAAAGTGATGGTCCAAGACTAACCTGTGATACCAAAATGTCCCTGCTTGATCAGAAACGGTGAAGTCGTATAAGAAGGAGTTGTTTGCTGCTATGGGACACTGATTGATGAATGCACTACATATCAAATATTCAGTGGATCCGGGGAAGACTCGACCCCGACTGAATTCTTACGGTCCATCAGCCCAATTGGTTCCCTCTTGGAAAATGCCGTGCCAATGCTGTCAAAATGGATTATAAGGCATAGAACGAGAACAAGAAAACCTCTACACATACGACGGTTGTAGATCGCAACATGGTATCGTCCGTCAACTCGTTCACAACCTATCAGAAGGTAAATTGGTACAGTGCAAACCAGCGAATCTATACACCAACATTGATTTGGAAGTTATCGCCCTTGAAAGAGGAAATTCAGCCTCCATTTCATCGTATCTCAAGTGAGGCCTACCTTGTTTCCTGTGACAAGTTCACCTACGACCCCACCGCCAGCAAGGACAGCGGTACGGCTGAAACCATCGGGGCTGACTGCAGCGTTAGAAATGACGAGGTCACCAGTTGTTTCCAGGACAGCAAAAGCTGACGGAACAAGTGCGACCAGTGAAAGGAGGGAGGTAAAAGATTGAAAGCCCATCTGCGACGGTTGAAAGAAATTTGAGAATGATGTTTTGTTCCAAGTATCAGTTACCTTTATAACATGCTCAGGCTAACGTTCATCACAACCGATAGTCGCGTTGAAGCACAACTGACTCTCATGCAAGCGAAATCCTTTCAATTCGAATAGGTCAATCGGGAGGTTGGTCGTTTCGTTTCGGACGAGCCATTAGTACAGACGAAATTGTTTCGAAAGTTCGGTTCGAATTTTGGCTTTGTTCCCTAGCTGTCCCTGAACGAGGGAGCGATGTTTCGGACGATGCAACATCCAGAATTCTGTGATTATATGCTGAGAATTCGTTCTATGTGTTTATGTCCGTCTCTGATTTACATCTCCATCCACACGAACCGTGATTTATGCCGCAGCTTTACCTCACCAGCCAATTCCGAAAATACAGTCCCCGTCCCGCAGCACATAAGGAAAATTGAATCGCAGTATTCTATTCTGGTACAAGGTATTAGGACAGGGAAGTTCTGCTGGGACTACGAGGAAGTGCAAGGAGGACGTTGCTTACATTCTATATAGTGCGCAGTTCCATCAACCAGTCTCTTCATGAAGCAAGATGCTGGTATATTGTAGTATGAGAGAGACAAGCTTTGCGAGTGCCGAAGGCGGCAGAAATTACGCGTACACATATGCTGACAACACTATATGGCATCGACAGTGGCGGTTTCCTAATCCTATCCCGATACCATTCACGAAGCATCTCGTATGATTATCATGTGAGGTTGTACATAACTAGGTCCTCAATGCTGCGCACGAAAAAGTAGGTTGGACTTGTGCAGACTTGTGTGCGTATCGCAAATGAGCAGAGAGCAGCAGAGAGAGCGTCGAATTTGATGAATCTATCAAATGGATCATCAATCATTGTTGACAGTCTATCCATTGGGCCAAAGCAAGCGTGCTCGTGCTCGAGCTGGCTTGTATGGTACCTTACGGACAAAACTTGGCCACTATGATTGTTCGCCTCGGAGAAGTTCTCGGGAGTTCTCGATTACAATTACTGTAAGGATGGCTGACGGCCCGTTTACTCCCGTTTTGATTATTCAACCTCAAAACTCCGCAACCGGTTCCTGGATGTCATTCCCACTGACCAGTCACTAGTCACTGACCAGCATCGAATCCTGGAAAGTACATAGATGTAACCTTTGTCACGGTTGTCGGCTCATCTTCCTTCTACATCCTTCCCGGTTCCTTATTTTCAGGAACGCCTGGATACGAATATTTGTAAAGTTATACATCACTTAGAGTAAAAGGCATTTGAGCAGCCAGTCAATCCCTGACTCATGCATTGATATCTTGTTACAGGGAATGAACTGTAGTGTTAGTAGTCGAAAGCCGCCGCTGGCTAGCCATAAATGGCGCTGAATAATTCGCTGCTACTCAGCAAGGTTCACCTGGCTCGCGATATATCCGATAGTCAGAGATTTATCGTCACCGTGAATGCGTATGCAACTTGATTTCTGTCAAGTACATCACCTTGGCCCACTGGATTGGCTATTTCATTGTGTTCTACAACCTATGCCAAAGCTTTCTTGAGGATCTCGACGACCCTTTCTACTTCCTTCACCGTATTGTAGTGGACCAGCGATATCCTGACCACTCCGTCATCAACATCGATCTTGGGTTGTAGTTGGTCGATAAGGCTATAAGCGTAGAAGTGACCGAAACGAATCCCGATCTGAGCAACGGAAGTCAATTTTGTAGTTGTACGAAATGATTCTGAGCGTACCCCTCCTTGCTTGTCAAAGACTTTGACAATATCGCTACTTTTGGTGGCTTTCTCTCCGACGACAACGAAAGATATGGTAGGCACCCGATTGGTACCAGGACTTTCTTCACCAACAATCCTGACACCGCGTTCAATTTGTTCGGGGGCTGTCAAAAACGCCAGCAAAGGCTGTAGTAGCTTCTGCTCATGAGCAGCAATGGTGTTAAAGGAGGCCTTAAGATCATTGCTTGGAGTGAGTGAAAGTAGGTATGGCAGCACACCCGTAGTGCCATAAACAAGCTCATACCCCGGACCACCGGGCTGAAGTTTGTAAGATTTATGGTCCACCTTTAAGAAGTGGTGCGTGATCGCAGAAACGGATCCAAGCAGAGATGACAATCGAACGTATAGTGCAGATATGTGAGGCCCATAGACCTTCACGAAAAAGCGATTAATAAAAAATTGTGAATCTTGGGTTGAATCATCCCCACCTTGTAGAAAGAAAAGACACAAAAGTCGACATCCCAATCGCGTACATCGATCAGACGGTGAGGGGCGTAGGCTACACAATCTACGGATACTTCGAACTTCTTCGATCCTTTTTCTTTGGCCGTATTACGAGCAGCGTAAACTATATCTTTGATCGGAAGGATCGTCCCAAGTATATTGGAGCACGCTGCAAAAGCCAAAATACGGGTCTTGGAAGTGATGAGTGGGAGCAGTTCTTCCACTTTGTAATTTACAGAATATGGGTTATTGGGAGTCGTAGGAGTAGGGGTCCAGTATTTGAGGACTGCACCACGGCGAGCAGCCAGTCTCTTCCATGGGCCCACATTAGCTACCAGAGCCACGTTATTCACCTTCAACGCTGATACGGGATACATACGTACCTTCGTGTTCAAGAGTAAGAATGAATTCATCTCCAGCCTGTATGTCGCTATCCAATCCTCGAGCCAGATTCTCGAGGTTAATGGTTGAGCTAGCCCCGAAAACAATTTCGTCAGGTGAGTGTGCATTGAAAAGTTTTGTTGCCGCATCAGGGGCCTCCTCCATTACTCGACGAGTACTTTCCGCAGATACGGAGTAGTCTGCACCAAATTGCGCATTGGAGTTCAAGAGATATTCGTAGATTCTATCAGCTACATTCACAGCGACCTGGGAACCGCCTGATCGATAAGCCTTTCAGTCTACAAGACAGTCAGAATGATCGATGAATGGTGACTAGCCTGCATTATCTCCATAGATGAATCCTGTCTTGAGTGCAGGAAACTGGGTTCGAGCAGCTTCAACGTCTAAAAGATCCATAATTGAGAGCAGAAGAAATTCTGACAAGGAAGATTTCAATGTCGAGTTCTTGAGTTAAGAACACGCGTATGTTAGGGTATGTTGTTGACCGGTGGGAATCAACATGTATCCGTACTGGAAAACTCAGTCGAGCAGTCAATAATAGCGGTTCCGGCAGAGTACATTTCGCGATGTGAAACACTGAAAATGGACAGGAGAATTCAGAAGAGTGTTAATCTGATGTTACCGACACTGTAACTTCGGAAGCAGGCTGATTCTGAGTGAAAGCGCTGAAGACAGCCGGCTTGTTCCGGATCTTGAATAGGAATTCGTCGGAAGGAGATTACACGGCCGGTCCCTAAATAGAAAAGCGCTTCGGACCTTCCGGGATATCAATTCAGTACGTTCAACCAACTCTGGTTCAGTGTTCAATATGATTATTTTCTGGTTCAACTTCTCTCTTCAATCTTAACCTATTGCAAGTTCAAGCAAAATCTACTCATGCTCGCATCTTTTGACAGGGCTTCGCTCTTAACTCACCCTTTCTTCATTGTCACGACCATATTCGCGAATGTTAGTTGGTCCGCACATCCTCTACGCAGCTCTACGCGCGATTGATTTTACTTCCCTCATCTGTAGGCATCTTGGATGATAGCCTTAATATCTCAGGGACTTGCTGCGACGAAATGTAGGTAAGATTCCTAGTTCTACAGGGCTGTATCACAAAACTCTACTGATTGCTGGTCTATGCAGATGGTCGCAGTACTGTCGCAACCCTATGGCTAGCTATCCTTTTACAATTGCTCGTTAACATTGGTGTGTTATACGGACTATGCACCAATGTAATACATATGTTCCGGCTTCAAATATCTCTCTTTGCTTCGATGGCTGTCGTCTTGGGTGCGCTGGGCATAAACAACAACATCTTCTCTGGTTTCAGGTCCCGCGATGCAATTGCCGCTGCGTGGATTATTCTCTCGATTGTTGATCTTCTATGGATCCTGGTATTTTCATCCGAGCGTGACTCCCCGGTGCTACAAGTGTTGTAAGTTCTTGCTTTCTACTCTCTAACTTTCTGGTTGAACATGGCTGAACATGGCTTGGAGTGAAAAAGAAGCACGTATCAGGCTATCTTCGGACTCAAATTTCCCAATCAACCGCGAGGAAGAATCACAAACACACACTCCTATACCTAAGGATCCAATTTCTGAAAGCAAAGTAGCCCTCGATCCTCGGAGTACCATGCTTTCTGCTCCAGAAACTTTCAAGAGCGACGATGCTGCGCGGCCTGCACTATTCCAACCTTCTCTGATGGTCTACGAGGGCTCCAGAACGTCGTTTGATAGGCCCGGCTCAGTACTCATGAATGATCGACAGTCTACCACATCACGTTTGACTGTTCCAGCAAGTATTGCAACTCATGAGAGCAGCAATGCCGCCAGCTCAAATTATTCGTATTCGCAGAAAGCATTAGCCCTCTACAACTGTAAGTAATAATGCGCGATAGTTATAGAGCTTTGCTTTATTCTTACGCGGTTGTTTTGTAGACAATGCTATCAATGGTAGTACAGAAGTCGACAATTCTGGAGAAGGAGAACTGAGTTTCGTGAAGGGTGATATTCTTGAAGTTTCGAGGACGTTGGAAAAAAAGTGGTGGCCTGCCCGGCGATCAAATGGACAGGTCGGAGGTATGTGTACGAACATATGTATGTTGTGATCTTCTGCTCATTATCTATCAGTTGTTCCTTCCAACTATCTACAGGTCATTCAAGAGTAGATTGTGCCCAACAAGATCGTCCTAGGATAAGGCAAGAAGGACGCGAGCCCCCCCTCCCCCTTCCCCCTCTTAGTACTTGACGGCTCGAATTCTTATGGTTTTACTCGTCGTTGTATTGCCCGATCCCAGCACCTAAGTGTATTATCTGTACATCCTTGGATTTATCTATGAATATTATGAAGGGTCTCGCTTTGTCTGTATCTGTCAATCTAGTCAACATGTCATGTCCTATTTTGTAAAATTATCTTTTATACAGTACAGTGCTTTGCGAAAATATTTGTACACATGCGATTGCGCAAAGCGCTGTACAGGCCTCCCTGGACCCTGCCTACGAGAGTACAGGTAATGACAGGTATCGACCTGTGGAATTCAATTTCTATACCTCGAGGCTGGAAGTCACAGCAGTGGCAGTACCGGGCAATGCGGAACAAATCAAGAGTGAGAATTTTCTGATCTATATACGTATGCGCCACACTGCATATCGAAGAGCATCGACGTCTCCATTGAATTTCTCTTGCCCTCACTTCCATCTTTACCCACCACGAATTCACGAAGTATGAGTGAATTCGTTAGCGTGGGTCATCCCCGGATGTTACGCTCAGTAAAGGGACGGTCGAAAATCCAGCAATCCAACTCAAATCCGGAGCTGTCATTGATATCTTCAAGAAGTTCAAATGGAGCCCAGATTTTCATGAAAATGAGTACAGTTCGTGAAGTTACGGAAGAAGTGCGTATTAAATTCCACTCTTAGCTTGTGCTTTGCTTCTAAAGTCTGCACGCAGCCCCAACAGCGTACATTTCATGCCGAACAACAATCGTCTATTAGCTCTCTATCAGTTTCCAAGAGCAACGCGACATTATCCCCTCAAGAAAGGAAGGAACAAAAGAAAAAACGGAAAGAAAAATATGATAGACCTCTTCCTCCGACGCCTCCTCCATCTGAATCAATATTCTCTCCCGAGTCTGGTTTCGAGCTTGTGGCATTAGATGTACGCTTGCTTTCATTCTCACAATAGGTACGACCCAACGCTGAACTCGCACTAAGGATAATGCGTCCATGTCCTCGTCACCGACACTCACACATATTGCTTCCACTTCCACTTTCTCGTCGAGCGTGGACACCCTCAAGTCTTCAAAAAAGAAATGCACGTACAATCCTCAGGAGATACACTATCGCTGCTAATACATAACTATCGAATCCATGACAGATCAACCAGAAATGGTGCGGCCTCTATTTTTCTAATGCGCCGCTCTGCTCAATCTCTTATGGTACATAGATATATTTTGTACGTTGAGAGGTATTGGTCTATTCATTCGCATTCTAATTCTATACCATGTCAGCATCTTCATCGGCTGGTGGAACGAGAGATTAGTAAAGTCGCGGACGGATCGACAGAATCTGACAGTACACTCTCGCATCCTCCATCTGAGCTTTCAGTTGGAGCTGTCCCCGGTGTGGTGCAAAGTCGAAAATATCGCATCAAGCTAGCCCAGGTAAGTACATCTCACACTGACAGCTTAGCGTCACCTTGCTCATGTCCGACTCAGATGCTCTCCAATCTTGCTACACCAGAAGTTTCAAGTGCTTACGAGAATAAGATATATGACGCGATTACTAAAGACGAACCTCAAGTCGCGCGTTTGATAAAGATCATACTTGGCTCAGAGGAAGAAAAGACGGCTGCAATGGCTCTGAAAGGACAAGAGGCAGACCTGTTCATGGACGCTCTAGAGGATGTAAGTGAATTCTCAATAGAAGCACGAATTTATAACATTCGGCATCGCAGATAATGAGAGATACAAGCTTTCTCCGTGAATCTGAGCAACTCGACGCTCGTCGTTTCCTGATCAGTCTTTCGAAGATCTCGACGAATCTTCCTCAATATATGTTCATTGATGGCGTCGCTTCTGTGAAAGACAAGAACTCGTATGGAGGAACTTTTGGCGATGTGTATCGTAGCACGTACAAAGGGAAGCCCGTTGCGCTGAAGCGGCTACGGCACTTTCAGCTTGAGGAAAGCCATCGTATATATCAAGTTCGTTAACTTCAGCTCTTTCCACTGTCATCGTTTGTACATCTACAGTTTTCTCTTACAGAGATTCTGCAAGGAAGCCCTCATTTGGCAACGGCTCTATCACAAGTTTATCTTACCGTTTCTTGGTATCGACGCAGAGAACTTTCCTCGCCAACCTTGTATGGTGTCTCCGTGGATGGCGAACGGGACTATCACACAGTTTCTAAAACACAACCCCAAAGCGAACATTGATAAGCTGGTAAGGTTCTTAAGATCTTCTTTCTTGATTTCTTGATCGCTAAACGAATGACCTACCAATGACATTAGCTATTCGAAATCTCTCAAGGCATGTCTAGATTATCTTGATGTACTGACAGTGTGGACTAAGGGCATACATGCCGGAATAGGTATCCATTATCTGCATTCGCAGAATATCGTCCATGGTGATATCAAAGGAGTATGGAATGTTTCAACCTACCTTCTGACGCTCAATAACTTGTATTCTCAATCCCAGGGTAATATCTTGATCGATGAATCCGGACAACCTCGACTGGCAGACTTCGGTTTGACCATATTTGCTGACGGTACCCGACACAATACCACGGATCAGGGAGGCACTTTACGATGGATGGCACCTGAACTTTTGTATCCTATTCCTGGGATTGAGTGCTACAAGCGTACAACGGCCAGTGATGTGTATGCGTATGGTTGTCTTTGCATTGAGGTAACAGTATATGATATTCTCAGATGCAAAGTGACTTGACTTGATTGCATTAGGTATATACAGGTCGAGTACCATTCGCGGATGTTCGCAGCGAAATCATGGTTCTGGAGAAGGTCTTGAAAGGCGAGCGTCCTGAACGTCCATTGGGAACCAACGCCATGACAGACGAGTTATGGAACTTGATTAACGCTTGCTGGAAACATGATCGTGCCTCACGACCGAAAAGTGGACTCGTGGTGGATCACTTGAAGCACATCCTACGACGGTCTGCTACTGATCCCGCCGTCTTACCATTTGTGGACCCTCTCCCACCACCTACAGCTTATTCTTATACCTCGCCCTCAACTGCAAGGTACTTCACCCCGTTCAGCCAGACTTTGACTATGTACAGAGCGCCAACTCGTACTAGACCTTTAGAGGAACAAGCGGCAGTGTTGAGATCCTTAAAGCGGATCCGTCGACATGCAGATCCAGGCCGAATGTACCACGAACTGAAGCTTACGTATGTAAACCTCGTTTCTCTTCGACAGCCGCCTATCGACCATTTCAATGCAGATCTACAAACTCCTCAAGCAGCTCTCCACTCAAAAATTATGCTGCTCGAATAAAGGATACGAACTCGAGGGTTGCTATCAAACAGCTGGAAATATCCCAACTAGATACCAATACGTTGACACGTCTGGCGGATGAATTCAATGATATGCGGTTCCTACACCACCCAAACGTCATTAACTACATAGACCTATTTCAACATGAGAATCACGTATGGGTAGTACTCGAAGACCTTTCGAATCCGCTTTATCTAAAGAAGGTGATCGTTGCCAATCTCAACAGAGATGCGGGAATGAAAGAATCTTTCATCACTACCGTTCTGCGGAATGTTATTCACGCAGTTCATTACCTTCATCGACATCGAATAAGTCATGGGAGTATTAATGCTGAGCAAGTGCTCCTTAGTTACGATGGGCATTCGATACTGGTTCGATTAAGTGAGTAATTCAGATGGGTACGACCCGTTGTGCGGCTGACTATAGAATTCACAGAATTAGCAGCCATGATTCCAGATCCAGATGTCTACTCTAGAGCTAGGCGGCGTCCCCCAGGATTCAATGAACAGACACGCTTCGAAACCGATATTTGGGACTTGGGATTTTTAGCGATTGGTGAGAATGATAGTACTTCCATCTGAATGAACTTCCTTTCGCTGAAACCGAGTAGAAATGTTTGATAGCGCAATGTCGCTGGATTTCGAAAGTCCAGAACTGCTGCATGATTTCGAAATCATGAAACCTCCTCCTTCTCATTCGTTGTTGAGCTTTGTGCGAGCGACGATGCGTGAAATACCTTCTGAAATACCTTCGATTTCCGCCTTATTCCAGGTGCAGTCTGTTTCCCATCTTCGAGTCTATATAACTGCTGATGTAGCTGTGCCCATAGCTACCATTCTTAAAGAAATAGCAACAAAAATCGAAATACGCAGCGGACAGATTTATGTAGTATATTCGAAGGCTTGCTGCCACAATACTCTGGAAAAATCTCACTGTATATAATACCTCCTGGGACTTCATCAACTCATCTACATAACTTGCATCTACGTACATGGAATATATTTTACTATGAACCAGCTGTTGGCTAACTTGAAAGTAGATATAAGTGAGGGCAAGGTTTCTTCATTCGTGGCGTTCAGTTCGCCGTCTTTGGACCATGTCGTGTCTGTTAAGACGTAGTCGGATGGCGGTGTTCTCAACGCACAACCCTCTCACAGTCTGATTCTAGAGACTTCGACAGCAGTAGTATATGAATCTCGACATGCATAGAGAACTCATCCGTGGAGCCGCTGAGCTGTGCGCGACTCGGGGGGCGACTCGACTAGTGCTGTTGACGGACACTGTATACAGTATGTTGCCGTTCCGATCACTGTGCCCACGTGAGGAAGGCGATGACCCATACAGTTACCACGTGCTTTTGGTCGTATAACACGTCCTGTAACTTCCGAGTCTACAATGTCTACTAATGTCAAATCTTCTCGAAATCCATTTCGCAATCGAGCAATAACTGATGATACTCAGACGCAGTCATCATCAACAAACGAAGTCTCTTCTTCCTCTGTGTCCACCCGTCCTGTAACACCTCCTGCCTCAGTATCTGCGCCATCCGTACATAATGACCATCCGGTTAACCACCAGCGCTCATCACCACCATCGACACCTTCCACTTCCTCCTCGACGGATATTCTGAACGAGGAGCTTCCTCCAGCTTACACTTTTACGCCAGATTCCACTCATGGGGAGCAAACTGTTGAATACGGTCCTAGGAGACCTTTTCAAAATGCTCCGCCTCCAATAAGTCCTTCTCATCCACAGCATCCCCTCACTGCCAATTCGACTGGATGGTCTACTATTCAGAATAATGTTATACCACCACCACCTTCTCAACCTCAGTCTTTGTGGCAGCAGATTACGGGGCATCTTGCGGACCAACTAACGGGCCTTTCAACTGGCTCGCAATACGATAATCGCCACGGACCATATTCCATCCCACACCACAGTGGATACAGCCACCCATCTCCGTCTCCATCACAATCCCCCTGGACATCACAACAAGCTTCTAGTTCCGTTGAACCACCTCCTTTACCTCCTCGCCGTAATGCTTCACAAATGTCCCCGACCTCAGAATTCGCTCAGGAATTCTACGCTGCCGGTACAGGTTCTCCTTCGGACAATGTTACTGAGGCTATCCGATATCAACCTCCTCTGGGTCCTCCGCCATCAGGATCCCCGCGAACTCCTGATGATGATGGTAGGCCAACAAAGACACCCGTGCCAGGACATCCACTCTTGAATCACGGCAGGTTGCTTGTATATCCACCAGGTTTCCAATGTGAAAAATGTGCGTCTTTCCTTCCCATACACACATATTCTTTGCTAATCCAGTAATTGGCAGGTCGTAACGTCGGATACAAACAAAACGACCCATCAAATCCTTGTCGGAAATGTTGGTCAAAGTATGCCAAACCTTTTTCGGGTGCTATTACATATAGTTCGTTCAAGTCGTCATCTGCGGGCACAGGGAAAACATTTCAGCGACCTTTGCCCTTACTACGACCACCTCAGGCAGGATTTTCCCGCTCCCAACACAATTCTGGATATCCGGGCTCTGCATACGTCCAGAACCTCAGCCCGGGGCAAGACTTTTTACAACCCCCTCCTTCTGGTCCTTATTTACCACATTCGCATCCTCCATACCCTCCACACGTACCCCCGCCAAATATTCGAACAATGCCTAGTAACTATGCTCCGTATGGCCCGCCTCAACCTCCTCCGGGATCCGTCGTATACGCTCCCGGTGACCCTCGATTAGGTGGCACACTGTGTTGGAGGTGTGACGGAGATGGCTCAATTGGAGGGTTTCTATTCCAGGAGCAATGTCACGTTTGTGGAGGGTTAGGGCGAACGTATAGACGTTGAATCAGTTTCTTTTGGACTGCTTTTCCCTGGACGGTTGTTGTACGTTCCCAACGTTGTATTCTTACTCTGATGTATCACATTGCCTAACGAATGCTGTCTAATGTTATCCACGTTGTCTTCACTAAATTTTATGCCAACTCCAAGATAACATCAAGGAAATATCCAGGTTGGTACGACGTTCATGAACTTACTTCCCTTTAGGGATGTACTAATTCATCGCCTAGAAACGGAGGCTTCCTATGAATATCTATGATCAATACCTCTTCGTCCTCTTTCTTTTCTTACTCTAACTGTGCAAGAATTATCTGAGTTTTGTCCGGTCTTCGTTTTTCCCCCACCCAGCCCTCACCCAGGGTATAATTGCATGGGAAACCGGTGGGAAACTGTTCCTGTTCTTCCGGGACCGAGAAACAGCCAAATTTCGCCATTGGTTAGTACCAGTAGTGACGCTTGTTCTATATTTGTTCCTTCCTTCCGAACACAAAGACGGCAAGTGTTTATCATCTAAACGTAACCGCAGTAATCAAACGTTTGCTCAACCAGACGGAATCTGTTCTGACTTTCCATGCGCGTACAGATAGATGCGTACTCCGTGTGAGTCTTGCCTTGACCATCAATCATCTTTTTCACCATTGTCGGACCTGAATCTGTCTTTGTGCTAACTTTGTGCAGCAGATGCAAGCTTTAGCTCGACACAAACGCTGTCAAGTACTTATGTACATAGTGAAAAAAAAACTCGTACAGAAGGCATGAAGACATATCATCATAGCCACATAGTGGATCAGCATCTTTCCTGTCAACAGACCCGACAATCGCAACTGGATGTGGAAGGTCTGGAGATATGGCTTTCTACCTTGATTCACTTTGTGAAACCTGAAGATAGCATGCATATGTCCATCCATACATCCGTGAAATTAATATCGGTGTCTGACGGGATGTAAATGATACTTCACTACATAAGTACAAGCGGTAACTGGGAAGTACTGCGGAAATTCTAATGGGGTTCTACAGTTTGAACCACGAACAATCAGTATGTGAATAATATGTGTAAATCATAATCAAAGAATCAGTCTTTTCTCCTTCCGAAACGAAATCGTGCTTACTCCTGCTTACGCTACACCCTTCTTAGGTCAGGTATACTCCGACATACTGAGCAGTAAGACTCAGGTTCAAGAACCTTTCGGAAATCGGAAGAGTTATTCGGAAGAACGCATCACTTTTGGGATCGGCCATCATTCTCCGTGCCGCCTTTTCCCATCAATGACTGCAATGAACCATTACTGAACCTAGTGAACCGTTGCAAACCATGTTGTAAGCCTTCCATTCATGAAACGATTGGATGATTCGGCCGCCAGTGAACGTACGAACTCTGTATGCGTTCGCAAATAAAGGCGAACAGTCGTGGTGCAAATACTTGTCCGAGCGACGGTATCATACAAGTCTTCTTCACCTAATTATGACCGGAAAACCATTTTTAAGTGTGCCTGATGACAATGCTGCGCGTAAGTAAGTGGAGGCTGAGGGAACCTATAAAGCGATTCTGATTCAATGGTTACCTTCATTCTCCTTCCCAATTCCCAAATTCAAGTTCAAGCCCACTTCGAGTTTATTCTGATATGAAGCTTTCTCTTCAAGTCGCCCTCCTTGCTCTTGCTGCTGTTGGAGCTAACGCAGCAAGCAGGGTAAGTCATGATGTTCTTCTATGCGTTTTCAACAGATAGAATAACGTTGTCTTGCAGAAGAAGCGAGACGTTGCTGAAAGCGCCATAGCCGAAACCACCACCGCAACCACTGGACCTTTAACTTTGACTGCTACCAGAGTATTCAATACTCTTATTCCAGAGGCTCCGTATATGACTGCGGTTACTACTGAGGTGGTTTGGACGTAAGTCTATTCATCCTAAGGCTAAGTAATTTACTGAAAAACCAATCTCAAAGACAATACCCTGCGTCTTCCTCAGCCTGATCTCGCTTGTAGCTAGAACGCGACGAACCTCGTGAGTTTTTCTACTGCCTTTTGATATTTATCCTCATGATTCTTTTAGGCCGAACGAATGTCGCGGGAAATCTGTTTGAACTTTACAACATTCGTTACATTCACTCGTGCTATCCAGTATCCGTTACATTGTACTTGGACTCTAATTATCAAAGGTGCTATATAAGACTTTCTTTCCAGTGGTTTTTTTCGGTTCTTTAACACTTAGTACGTCATCGCTCAAGACGCTCGATAAGGCTTGATATCAACAGCTTTGACCATTGGAAAAAGACAAAAGTTGGCTAATAGATATTTAGCTACGATCGGCGGAATGGTGGATTACTTGGATGGTTACGAGTTTAGCTGAAGGCGTCAGCCTCATCAGTTTGTCCAAACAAGACTGTGAATCATGTCTCGTGCGTTTTCAATGTACATATAGATTCAAAGCTTCAATCAGTCCTAATTGCTGATCCGAGTTTTTCTCGAGAGCTTAAGTCTCTGTGCACTGCCGTTCTTTAACCGGGGGGACTTTGTACTGATATGAACTCAGTCCCAGACCGCTCTATTTTACTTCTGTCACTTTTTTATTCACTCAATACCGTACGGGTGCAAATCCGGCTACTTATTCCGTGAACAGCTTATATCTGTAAGCCTTGCAATACGGCCTCAGATACTCACACCACCACTCTGCAAGTTGCACAACATTAGAGCTCATCTCGCGAACTATACCATCATCACAGGATGTTCTTTACAGCTTAAATGGAGTCAAGTCTTCTGACACCAACTGAGGTCGATTTTTCCTGTGTTTTTCCGTCGAGGATGACACCCATTCATGTCAAATGAATGCGAGGTGTTGGAACTAGAAGGATGATCGCTACGGAGATATCTCGCTACACAAATTCAACGCACATAATTCGATGCACCTACAGTATATATACAAAGATCCTGGGGAACATATAGTAAAGATAATGTGGAAATTTGGAGCTCATACCTAGGAAGACGCTTGAATGAGCTCGAGAAGATCTATCAAGTTACCTTCGCTATTCAAGGCTGCCTGAATGAACGCAACATCCTTTAATGCCTCCCTTGGATTACCTATATCTAAAGCAGATTCTCCCGTCCCTTGCCTGCCGATAGCGTCGAAGAAAGCTGCAAGTTCGGTTTCCACACCCTTTCGGGGGAAGCTTATGATTTCCTCTTTCTCCTTATACTCCGCTTCTTCTCCTGTTTTCCCGCTTTCTTTTTCCTCCACAACCTTTACCACAATCTTAAATCCTTCCGAAGTCGAGTTGCAAGCAAGCCAACCCTTTGAACCTGTGATGACGAGATTCTCTGCAGCGGGGATTGATTTAGTGGGTGAAGCAAAGGTCATTTCAATGATTCCATGATAGTGGGACTGAGCCCGGACAACACAGTGGACTGTATCGTGAGGTGAGAGATATTCCTTGTTCAAAGAAGCGAAGCCAGATAAATGAGTGAATGGTTCGGGAAGCATCGTGCGGAGCGCCGCTATTGTGTGCTAGATAATACCAGGTTCCAGTCAAGGCATACAATTACGAGTGCTCAGATATAACGTACGACACCACCATCTAACTGAACAGAAAATCAGAGTTCATGTAATGAGATGTGAAAAATCACCTACCAAAAAGCCTCCTTGATACTTAGGTCATCCAAAGATTGAATCAATACACCAGTAAAGAAGGACGATTCGAAAAACAACACGTACGTCAGGTACTGTGCGCCAAGGAGTTTTATACCATTTGGAGGTTTTGTCGATGAAATTGACGACTGAAGCTTTGAAAAATATGACGTTTCCTATCTTTCCAGATCGTATGGTCTCGCCAGCAGCACGATAAACAGGTTCAGCCTCAAAGTTTTCGGCAACACGCCAAACAAGACCGTACTGTTGGCAGATGGGTTCCGCATCCTCAAGTAATTTAAGACCTCGTGCAACGTCAGGAGCAACAGGTTTTTCGCTCAGGACGTGTTTCCCTGCCAGAAGACACTTCACAACAATTTCTGGTTGCAATGTAATGGGCAGGGCAATAATGACAGCAGCTATATCAGATCTCGCAAGAAGAGCATCCAGATTGTTCGGGTGATCTCCATCAAAGTATACGTCAGGAGAAGAAGAAAGACCTAGAATTTTTGCTGCATTCTGGGCGGTTTCGCTAGAGCTCTTTTCCGATCGTGAATAGACCGCCTTTAGCGAGAAAGAAGTTGGACCTAGAGTAGCAAGGGCAGGTAGATAGGCTACAGATATTCAGAGATCGATGTCACTACGATTCATTGATATTTGCATAAGTTGAAGAGAAAAACCTTCGGCTACAAAGAGCCCAGCTCCTAAGATGGCAATACCGGATAGCGTTAAATGTGCCATGACTCTGAGCAAAGGAGAGCAAGATGAGAGCAAAATGACAAGATGTGAGTTTGTTCGGAATCACCGGTTGACCTCCCGTGCTTGGCACGTGGATGAACCGAAATTTCCCCGCTTTGGTGGTGCACCATCAGTCCAGTGGAGTATCCTCGGGTTGATTCTACTCAGGAACCAAGATTATCCCGCTTTAAGAAGGGCCATTCCCCGTTCAACAATGAAGAAATACAGCCAGACAGGTTGCTCCTATCATGGCCTCTGACTCTCTGACCAAGTTGCTACCTAAGGACTTCATATGGGGATTTGCTACGGGCAAGTTGATTTTTTACTATCTTAGTACCTATCGCTCACAATACACTTTAGCAAGTTTTCAAATAGAAGGTTCAACTGATGTTGACGGACGCGGAAAGTCGTTCTGGGACGACTTCTCTCGTACTCCCGGAAAAACACTGGATGGTCGCAACGGTGATGTCGCTACCGATTCGTACAAGCTATGGAAAGAAGACGTGGAACTACTCGCGCAATATGGTGTTAAATCATATCGTTTCTCTATCGCCTGGTCCCGTATCATCCCGCTTGGAGGTAGAGATGACCCAGTAAACCCGAAAGGAATTGAATTTTACTCGAAATTAATTGACGCATTACTGGAGAAGAATATCATTCCATTCGTCGTACGTTTGGACTTTCCCTTTCACATTTTGCAACTTAGGTCTCTGTCCTAGACACTCTATCATTGGGACTTGCCTCAATCTCTTCACGAGAGATACGGAGGATGGCTTAACAAGGAGGAAATTGTCAAAGATTATACTCGCTATGCAAAGGTACATTGATGAATCATTTTTATGTAATTTGGTTTTGGTTAAGTTATCGGTGGGGGCTCAGGTCTGCTTTGAAGCATTTGGGGACCGTGTTAAATACTGGTGAGTACTTTCGACCCGTATATCTTCAATCGCTGTACTTTAGGCCCCACGTTTCTTCTCACACTCTTGCATGTATTTTGCAAAGAATTATCCGCGGAGATTTTATAAGTTGGAAAAACCTCCAGACGCAACAACTAATTGATGTTATAAATATAGGCTTACCATGAACGAACCGTGGTGTATCTCTATTTTGGGCTACGGACGTGGTGTTTTCGCACCTGGGAGATCAAGTGACCGAGCTCGTTCCCCAGAAGGAGACTCATCCACAGAGCCTTGGATGTATGTCGCAAATATCTCTTTATTTGTTCCAATATTCAGAAGTTTCTATAGCGTGGGTCGCAACGTTATACTATCGCATGCTAGTGCCGTCAAAGCGTACCGAGAAATTTTCAAGCCCGCTCAAAAAGGCCAAATAGGTATCACATTGAACGGAGACTGGCAGATGCCATACGATGATAGTCCCGAAAGTGCGTCTTGTTCACGAAATGTCCACCAATATCGCACGAACTTACATGAACTTCAGATGTTGCGGCAGCACAACATGCTCTGGATGTAGCCATAGGTAACCGTCCTATTTTATCCTCCAAATGTCTTACTGATGCGTTCAGAAAGGATGGTTTGCAGTGAGTATCCACGCGATTGGTGTAATTGTTTGCGAACTAATAGAGGGCGGTATGCAGGATCCTATATATCTCGGTCATTATCCTCCATACATGCGTGAGATGCTGGGATCACGACTCCCAGAATTCTCTGAACAAGAAATCGAACTTGTCAAAGGGTCTTCGGACTTCTATGGCATGAACACGTACACTACCAACTTGTGCCGTAAGCACCATCCACCGAGACGGTATCTTAACAACACAGTGAAATTATGTTTTTCTGGTAGGTGCTGGTGGCGATGATGAGTTCCAAGGTTTAGTAGACTACACCTTTACTCGTCCAGATGGAACACAACTTGGCAAACAAGGTCCGATTTTTCAGATCATCGATTCAATTTCTTTGTTGACCCAGAGCTACCAGCACATTGTGCCTGGCTCCAAGATTGTAAGTCTGTTACTTCAATGACTCTGGCATCTACTCATCGACTTCGTTTAGATCCCGAGGGATTTAGATCGGTGAGCCTGCAGACATTGAATCAATACCATTGCTGACCTTCAAGCTAGCTCCTCAATTACCTTTGGAATGTAAGAATTTGATGCTATGTCCCTATGCAGCGAGTAACTTACAGTGAATTGTCGCATTGTCTTCCGCCAGCGGTACCATTTGCCCATTTAGTACGTGAGCTTGGAGATACTGTCTTTGGCATCATCTCATGGTTTCCCAGCGTCACAGAGAACGGTTTTGCAGTGAAGGATGAGGATACCATGCCTCTTGAACAAGCTCTCAATGACACTGACCGTGTCCATTATTTCGAAGGTACTACGCGCGTCCTTTTACAAGCAACACATGAGGATGGTGTTGACGTTAAGGCGTACTTCCCGTGGAGTAAGATTCGATCTTTACAGGGGTAATGTGGTTACTAACATGTTTCATTTTGTACCAGGTCTCTTAGACAATTTCGAGTGGTATGTTGTTTGCTGACGGTTCACTGAATCCCATTGACGACTGAGCAACTAACATTATAATACATATAGGGCTGACGGTTATGTAACTCGCTTTGGCCTTACATATGTCGACTATGATACCCAGAAACGGTATCCCAAACAATCTGCTCGTTTCCTTACAAAGGTCTTGATTTTCATAACCTACGTCGAGGTGCTAGATTAACAGCATGTGTCTGTGATAGTGGTTCAAAGAGCATCAAGAAGAATCTTCTTCTCCCTCAGGGATATACAGACGAGGTACAAGTAGCTTGTCCGAATCGTCGACAAAAGTCCCGGGTACACCTGAAGCCGCAGATGCTATCAAAGTCGCCACATCGAAACCCAGCAAGGACCCCTCTCGTTTAAAGAAGATCAAGCAAGCAGTGTGGAAGTTGATTTGTTAGGAAGAGGGGAAAGAGTAACTCACTTTGACGAAATTTCATGACGCTATAAGCATATGTACCATAATGTGAATTCAGTTCTCTGTCGCTTTGAAGGAGAGATAACCCGTCTTATCCTGTTTATATAACAGTAATCCAGCTTCAAGCCAAGCGCCACGCGTAGATATTATGAAGTGAGCACAATCCGTCTGGTGGCTGGCTCGAAACTATCATGATTTTCCATCTCAACAAACACCAGTACATACGAAAGTCTAAAGAACAGCGAATAAGTGAAGGTAAGTATATACACGCATACATTATACTGCCTAATCTTTATGAATGAAACGTCGAGTCAATCGGTCATAGTCTATATAGGGGAAGCAGCAATGAGCTCTGACCTCTCGTGCTCAGGTGTCTGCAAAACACTGTGTCCAGCACGAAAGGTAAAATCACGAAGCCAGGATTCTGATCGCTGAGCAGATTGGTCCCTACGAGGAGTGAAGACCATTTTCGGTCGAGGGAATCGCCTATCTCCTACCAAACCGTTGATTCCACTGATGATTGCTCGACACTGCGATGTGGCAGAATCAGAAGATATTCCGACGCCCCAAACACTACCAACACCGGATTTTGAGGCAGGGGAGCCTGGGGTACTGACTTCAAGGTAAGTTACAGCCTTCGTGGAATCACCCTCCAAATGTTGGTAGACGATTTCTCCGATGTTGATCTCCAATTCAAGGTCGCTTCGTAGTCCATCCAACAATGCCGACAACACCCCTTTTCCATCGCCCATAATTTTGCGTATGCGACCGTCCACAGAGATATGTCCCTCAAAACGAATAAGATTCGTTCCCTGCTCAGGAGGGGTGGATGTTCCGTCGGACTCCAAAGATGAAGATTCCGAAAGAGGTGAAAGCGGAGTAATATTCAACGATTGCAAATGAAGTCTGCCTATAGGCTTAGAGCTCAAGCAGTACTTCTGTTTGAAAGCGTTGGTAATGAGCGCGGTCGACATCTCTTTGCCAGAGTTTTCGCATTCACTTTGGACAACACCATAAAATGAGACCTGCATGCGACGAGGGAGGTCAAGTTGGAGAGTTTGTTTGATAACGTAAGCGGTGCCGGCCTTCCCACTCTGTGAGGAGACTCGGATGAGGTTCTCATAACCGTATCCAATATCTTTGGGATCGATGGGAATGTAAGGCATAGCCCAATACTTTATGCCTTCGCCGGTTCGGTCGACCTTCTCCCAGCGCGCGGCCTGATAATCGAGACCTTTCTTGATAGCGTCTTGATGGGTTCCAGCAAACGCTGAAAACACCAGGGTACCGGCATACGGATAGCGCACAGGAACTGCCGATTCGTTGCACCGACAGACAACTTGAACGATTTCAGGAAGATTGGAGAAATCAAGACCAGGTGAGACACCCTGCGAGTAGAGATTTAACGCGAGGGTGATGAGGTCAACATTCCCCGTGCGTTCTCCATTCCCGAGCAAACAACCCTCGACACGATCACCACCCGCGAGGAGGGCTAATTCAGTGGCAGCAACACCTGTGCCTGTAGAGGTCTTGAATATGACAGTCATGTGTACATTTCTCGACGACCTACCTCTGTCGTTATGAGGGTGAATGCTCAGCAATACGGAGGATCGCTGGTTGATGTTGTTGTTGAAATATTCGACCTACATGATACGTCAAATATGAAACAGAAGGTTAGAAACAAAACTCACCATGTCAGCGTAGTGGTTGCTTGGTGCACACTCAACGGTTGCGGCCAGGTTAAAATACACCTTATCCTCGGGGGAGGCTTTTCCCCACTCCATGAGGACTCTGTTACCCAATTCAACAGCGAACTCAGGCTCCGTCTGCGAAAAAGTCTCTAAACAGTAGTTCAAGGTAAAGCGAGCCCCTTCGATGAAATAAAGTTAGTCTTCCATCAATCAAGATACAAATCTGAATGCAGTCACCTGAGCGAGCAGTCTCCTCCTCAGTCAGCTTCTTGACAAGTTTCACAGCGTTGATGGTCAAATCAGTGGTTTGCTCTTTAGTGTTGCGAAATACGACCTCGCGGAAAACGGGCGACACCGCGTTATAGAGGTGAATGATTCCATGCTTGACACCGGCCAGAGAAGCAATTGACTTAGTGATCAAGTCTGGGCGAGCTGGAGTTATAATCTACCAGATGCAGCTGAGAATCTTCACATGACCGAGAACGCGAGCAACTCACTTGAATGGCGACGTCGTCCGGGATTTCGTTGTTTTCTATGAGATCGCGTACAAACTGAAACTCATTGTCGCCTGCTGCTGGATATGCAACCTCGATTTCTAATCTGGAAATGAGAAACATTCCAATAGGCAGATTGAGCGGTTACTCACGCTTGAATCCAATTCTGACTAGCAATCTACACGCATAAGAAAATACATGAAGACAAACAATATAAACTCGAAGCCCAGAAATCGACAAAGTATTCATACCTGAAAAGTTCAAGTTTGGTCGCGTTGCTCATAGGGTTGACCAGTGCTTGATTCCCGTCTCGCAAGTCTGTTGAAAGCCAGATTGGAGAAGTCGTTGTTCTCTTATTTGGCCATTGGCGGATGTACCCATCCGAGAATGGAACAGACGGGTATGGTAAATATTTCAAAGAAGGATCAGAACTGAACCAGACAGTAAGTCGAGATTGTTAACAAGAGGATGGAACAAACATAGCATACAGCATAGGCATCACTTCTGACAGTATGATAGACTGAAATGGACAAGAGGGATGGAGAAAAAGGCGATAATTTCAAAGTTTAAATACCAAAAACCCATCGATGTAGCTCCTTGTCAAATAATCGGAATGTTGGAAATCTCTCACCTTGAGAATTCCGCCGTGGAAACTGGAGACATTTAACTGTAATTTTGAAGCACTAAGAGAAAAAACTCACCTCGATGCCAAGGTCCCATTGTCTACCAATAATAGTGCATCCACTATCATTACCTGTAAAGAATTAACGCATGGAGATCTTGGATACTCGGACCATCACACGGAAATAAGGTGAGAGAATAGTGTCGACTTTGACGTCCAAACTAGGAAAGGAAGCATATGAAGGTCCAAAATCATGGAGTGTAGCACGGCAGGTAGGATCGAGAGTGCCTTGAGCTGATTATAGGTGCCGTTCCGTGGTCTTGGATAAAAGTATAGACCGAAAGCTCGAAAAGCACTACCAAGGAAAGAAGGAAGAAACCATGAGAAAGGATATGGTCTTAGTATCCAGTGAATGCTCACCCCGATACATTCAGAAGTAAAAGTACCGAATCAGGTAAGCTCATGAGTCTCCAGTGGAGTGGTCGTGCGCTCGAGAGGTTGGTACCCTTTCCTTTCTTGGGAGACACCATTCAAGAAAAAAATACGATGAAATCCGTGGACTCTCGATTTGCAAAGCTGTTAGCTATCTCATAACGGATCCCCGTCCACACTGTCTCTAGTGTTAAGTTCCTGAACACTTCCGACCTGGTTGAACTAAGTAATCACAAAGCTTACCTGTCCATGATTTGATGAGTCCAAAGAAAGAGTTTTGTTCCCTCAATCTGTCCTTCTTTTTCGATTCGTATACTCCAACAACGAATGAGAGTACCAGATGCGGATTTGAATAAGCTGGGCGCAAAATCATTGGTCCGAAGAGTTGGAATGTTCATATGAACGACGTCGCGATCGATTGTTGTTTCCACCGAGCAACCCCGGAGGAGAAGCGATGAATGATATTGGTAGCAAGGCGATATCGCGAGAAAGGTGAAAGATGAAGAAATAACAAGATAAGAAGATAAGAAGATAGTAGAGACTTGTTGGCTTGACTTCAGGAGGGGAGAAAGTTTAAACAAAGACGGTGCACTGCACCGGCTAACTCCGGTCAGAGATTTTTCCCAGATGGAACTTCGTACATTCAAGCCCTTCCCTCCATAATGACATTGCCATTATCTTAGTCTTCCTCAGGATTCGCTGATATCGACTACATACCTTACGCTGGACACGGAGTCCGAGGACATACATGGACTCACCACAATTTTGACGGCAAACCTTGATGTACTATTTCTATTTATGTCTTTTACTTCCAGAGACGTACTCGACAAAGTACACCAATTGCAAGAGATCCAATGCTTGGCGTTTCGTGAGATTTTCAAGCTCTCGGTATCTTTGGGAAATGCTGCATAATCGAACATTTCCACGACGTGAATGTTTGGCTAACTGACACAGGCATATTGTGCTTTTTTCGGATAAGAGTGGGAGGGGTGCTGAATTTACATACAAGAAACACCACTATCATTATGGTGTTTAAACCCATTGATACCATGTCTATGGCTTTTCCCTCAACGAACCACACGATCAGCTCTGAGCGAGGCCGCGATGGAGAAACTCTTTCTGATCCTTCGTCGCGAACGCATGAGGAATATTTGTTCACCTCCAACAGAGATCTTGAAAAGCTTGACATTGCTACCGCGGATAACTCTACGTTACACGGATCCGAATCCGCTTCGTTGGACACACCATCCGACACGAAGAGCGAGCCTACTAAAGAGACCATTTTAGTACAATGGAATGGGCCAAAAGATCCTGATAACCCTCGGAATTGGAGCAAAAAAAAGCGATGGACAGTAACCTTGGTGGTCAGTTTGTTCACCTTCATTAGGTCAGTGTGTCTTCTTCGCCCTGTCCTTGCTTTCTTGACACTAGTAAACCTCCAGCCCAGTGGCATCTTCCATATCATCACCGGCATTGCCACAGATTTCAAGCGACTTGCACATTCGACCTGGTTCCATCCTTGAAAACATGTCGCTCTCTATATTTGTCCTAGCTTACGCGTTGGGAGTACGTGGCTCCTTATTACAGTATGGCATTGATCAACACAGCTAACTTTTGTAGCCGTTGTTCTGGGGTCCGTTGTCAGAACTTTATGGCCGACTTATCATTTTACAGGTTTCCAACATATGGTTCCTCGGTAAGTTGAGTAAATGATTTTAACGATAACCAAACTCATATTTTGGAGGCAGTATTCAATTCTATTTGCCCCTTAGCAAGAACTCCAGCTCAGATGCTAATTTTTCGATTTTTGGCTGGCTTTGGAGGAGCTGCGCCCCAGTCTATCGGTGAATTCACCTTACACTTTCAATAGAATACATGACATTCATGTCTCCACAGGTGGCGGGGTGGTTGGGGATCTATGGTCTCCAGAAGAGCGCGGAATGGCTATGAGTTTGTACTCGCTTGCCCCATTGGTAGGACCTTCCACTGGACCACTTGTAGGAGGTTGGATCGCGCTCAGATCTAGGTGGCAGTGGGTTTTCTGGAGCGTTAGTATTGCAGATGGAATACTTCAAGTAGCTGGCTTTGTGAGTGTTCGTCACAAGTACATTCCATCCACTGAATCGTCATAGATGTTCCTTCGTGAGACGTACGGTCCACATATACTCAGAAAAAAAGCGCAAGCTTTGCGAAAGTCCACTGGCAAATTTTATTGCACGGCATTTGAGGCTTCTGGCCAACACTGGTCGACGTACATGGCTCGTGGCATGCTTAAACCTATCCAGTTCCTTTTCACAGAGCCGATCGTGCAAGTCTTTGCACTATATATGGCGGTCTTGTATGGTGTTCTATATCTCAGTCTTACGAGTGAGTCTCATCTATAAGTAGCACATTTGTACTCATGATCGCGCTTGCAGCTTTCGTACAAGTTTTCACTGATCTTTACGGTGAAAACTCGGGCATAGCCGGTGTTCATTACCTTGCAATCGCCTTGGGATCTACAGGTACAGATCATTTCATGTTCTACACTGGCCTAATGCGGCTCTGATGCAGCTCTATCGGTTTACAGTCGGAGGCCAAATTGGTGCTAGAGTTCTCAACACCATATATCGACGCCTCAAAGCTCGCAATGGTGGAGTAGGGACACCAGAAATGAGGTAAGTGTACTTTGATCTTTACTCAACTCGGATGTTCACTTCACCTTTGAAGGTTGCCCTTGCTCATGGTGTCGGCCACGACTTTACCTATTGGCCTATTGATCTATGGTTGGACAGCTGAAGCTCGCCTCTTCTGGCTGATCCCTGGTATGTTGCACATCTGATGATCTTGTTGCTTATCTCAGTGAGCCTCCTCTAGACCTGGGAGTGTTCATTTATTCTATCGGAATAGGTGAAGACAAAGCTTCTCGGGACCTTCGATTTGTGTGCTAAATTTGAGATATCACGTTATCACGTCATGCAGGTGGAAACTGGACGTGTATCCAAACTTACCTTGTATGGCCTTCCTAAGTTTCTGTTTTCACATTGTGCTGATTGCAATACATAGGTCGATAATTATGCACTTCACGCAGCCAGTGCCATCTCGGGTGTTGTATCTTTCAGAGCTTTCGCAGGATTTGGTTTCCCACTGTTCGCTGACGAATTGTATGGGAAATTAGGATACGGTATGTCTTTGAATTGTTTTCGCCGTGGACTTTCGCTGATATTTAATATATCCTCAGGCTGGGGTAATTCCATTCTGGCTCTTATTTGTCTGGTAATAGGATGTCCGGCACCTTTCATGTTCTATCGATACGGACCTCAACTTCGAGCATGGAGCAAATCAACCTCCGTGGAACAGTAGAAGTTCTGCAGAGATCTTGGCTCCGCTTGTCCAGTCATAATCTGATACAATATAGATGATTCATGTGTTTGTTCCGAACTGTAAAATATACATCATTGGGCAATGGAGCTGGATTTTGTTGAATATGAACGACGAAGCCTTGCATATGGTACGAAATATGCCATTTACTGCGCCATCAGGAAAAACTGAAAGGTTAGCTGCATTGTCACACTCAGTGGCGGATTATTCTACTAGTCAGACTTGAAGGGGCAAGAGGTTTGCGCGAAGTCCAAGGAAACTCAGCTGGTTGAATTTTCGCGGTATGAACTACAATCCGAAAATAGTAGCGACTCTTTCCTCAGTAACAAATGAGTGCCTTGACTGTTCGATGCGGGTGGAAACCTTAATGACCTTGGTCCAAAGGCAACATACTATTCCCAGCTTTATCGCTCGATCACCCAGAGAAAAGTTGGCCCGAAGTAGCCTCGTTGAAGTTTATCTGTCCTTGATCAAAGCGTGAAAAACTGCCTGAGTAACCAGTCGTCATATGAAGCTGTTCCTAACTTCCTATGTTAATCACGCATATTAATCGCGAATACATATCCCTATGTGGTATCTTCTTCCATCGGGGTGTGAAGTCAATGAAATTTCGCCAAAAACCTGACAGGAAGAGCGATTGTCTGCATAGTACGAGATCGTAACGACTAGAGGAGACAGAGGGGTTCAAAACAACAAACTTTTGGAAGCCGAGATCTAGACTTGCACATCGTGGCAGCATGAATGCGCAAACAGAAACAGAACGCTGAGAAGCAGACCTAATACTGCATGGACGATGCCGATGGTATAAGCATTGCTGTTAGATATTCGCGTTCTATTTCTTCAGGAGATCATATTACTAGGCTCTGCAGCTCTGCTAACCCTGAACTTCAAGCGGTCCTAACGTGCTGTCTAACCTGGAGCTACCATTTTATAGGGTCCACAAAGATTACTTCGATGATTTAGATGGTGAGGGTTTACCCCAAGCCATATTATCATCTTCAAGTAGCTCTGCCTACGAAGCGCCATTAATATTATTGGGTATGAGGTCTAAAGCAAGCAAACAAAATCCGGGCTGACCATTCCGCACGAGACGTCTTTCTTAAGGTCCGATTTAGGCGCCTTGATACCACAGGAATTATTCTGTGACATGCAGATATATGTGCTTGATTGTTAGAGGTACCTCAAACATCGAGAGGAATCACCAACTAGTTTTAGACCAAGTCCATCCTTATGCACGTTCTTTGCTCGGGACTAAGGGTTGTGATACAAATTGTGAGAAAGCTTGAATGACAGAGCTAAGACATACCTCGAGTGCATCGAGGAGGACAGAAATTGATGAAGGCATACACAGCTGGTTGAATTTAATTAAAGAGGTGGCGAGTGCGTATCTAGCCTGTCTGCAAAAGTCGCTTGTGCATTTTATATCTGAGCTTGATAACCAAGCTAGACCCGTTCGAAGCAATGTTCCTTGTTTAGAGACTTGGCACAAGTTGCATATGTCAGTCTTTTTTTATTCCGATTCCTTGAGCAGGTCAAGTGGTTTTTTCAAGACTACTAAGACAGCTACAGGTCAAGTGGTTTTTTCAAGACTACTAAGACAGCTACAGAATATGGCTCTTTTATTCCACGATCTTTGTTCGTTATCGCTTACCTATTCCGACCATAGATGTCCACGGAAAAGTGTAGAGTGAGTCGGACAGGGCAATGGCTAAGTATAAGACTCAAGGAGACTCAAGGTCACGGTTAGCGTCGAGGCTCGTCGAGGTAAGTATCGGAGGATGTCGCCGATCGGATCAACATCTTAAGCGCCAAGTGACATAATCAGAAACAAGCTCACATGGCAATGGCGATGTGCAATGCTGGGAAAAACCCCCAGATTTGGACCAAGCCGTTACCTTTCTTCTTTCTGTGAAGTCCAGGTGAAGTCTCTCAGTAAAACACCATTACACAGAAATCCAGCCAAAATACAACCACTGGCGTGTTTGTATCGTACTGCAAAAAGATTAACACACTACTACCAGGGTACTCCAGCATTCGCCAGCTGAGTGTGTGATAAAACCTTTTCAACACGTCGCATACGACTGGCATCTATTTAGGATTTGGATGGAAGAGCTCCACCGTGAATGAACATCATCTGCAAGGGTTAAGTCAGTGTCATCCTACTCACCAGTCGTCATGAGATATATTTATTTTTAGTTGCACCAGACTATGAATATCGTTATTCTCAGGCATAGAGCTTCTCGAAGGACAGTTCTCCAATAGATTGAACCACAAACGGCTGCATCCCGCCAAATTTCATATGGTTGGTGAAGATTTTGCTGTCCTTCAGTCATTGAGTCTTCCCTCTCTTTATTGCTCTTGTTGTCTCACGAATGATTGCTGTGACTTGAGTGTCATGCCCCGAAAACTCACAAGAAGAGGTCGCGTAGCGTTTGTCGGAACCGCACTGAACCAATCCCAGCCAGTCTCTTATTGAATGTAACTTTACTCCAATACAACATCGCTCTCATCGTCGCAAACAACCCCTCACGCATCGAAACCAGGACGGGCAAAATGCCTCATACCATTGGTTTCCTTTATCCTGTAACCCAACTTCAAGCATCGACGCAGACTACAAAAGCTGATACCGATTGCGGGAGGAAATAGCTACTCAAGTACTACTGAGATGAAGTTCCTAGTTGCAACCGCTTCTGCTGTCCTATTTACTCTGCTCAAACCTCACCCAGCTTCGGGTGCAACGGTTCCCGTTACTCTTGATATCATCAACGCTGTGGGCGCCCCCGATGGGTTTTCAAGAAGTAAGTCGTGCAGCATTGTGTCCATATAACAGCTTACCGTCCTATGCAGCTATGGTAACGGCGAACGGAACGTAAGTGGTCTCCGAAGTAACAAATGGACTTCAACTTTAAACCGCCCTTACAGTTATCCAGGCCCTCTTATTACAGCGAACAAGGGCGACACTTTGGTAGTTACAGTGAACAACAAATTGGTGAGTTCTAATATACTGTATGCATAGTCGTGATCCAAATTTCTTTTTCCGAATTAGACCGACGACAGCATGCGTATGAGTACAGCCATGGTAAATCTCTTCGTTGTGTCAAGGCATCATATGACGAGCCAATCCATTTCATAAGGATTTCGATGGACTTTTCGTTGACACCGCCAACTCTTTCAATGAGGGAAGCTCTTTTGTCACAGCCTGTCCGATCGCTCCAAACGCAAGCTATACCTACACTATTCCTTTAATTAACGACCAAACTGGTACTTTCTGGTACGTATCCACAGATTATTAATCTACTGTTATGGAACACCGATCTATGGCATCTAGGTATCATTCGCAACTAAGTGTTCAATATGTCGATGTACGTCTTTTCAGTTGATATCATTATTCGTCGAATATTTAACAATACCCAGGGTCTTCGCGGAGCTCTCGTTGTCTACGGTCTGCTCTCTTATATGGAGACGTCTATGGAAATTCAACGAATTTTTCAGATCCTGAGGACCCTTTGGCCGACTTGTATGATGTCGACGACGAAAATACAGTCAGTTGATAACTCTGAGAACTTTTAACCGCTTCTGAATTAACTCGTACCGTATAGATCTGGGCAGTTGGTGAGCTAATAAGCAAAATGATACTCTTATCGGAAACTTAAAACGGTCCTGAAGGCGACTGGTGGCACAACACTTCGACATCTATGCTTGTAACATATGTTGCCAGTGGTATCGTCCCAGTTTCCGACACGTACGCTGACCTGGGCAATTATATATGTCCTATCCACGATACTGATTGACCTTTAGTGGAACATTCAACGGCGTTGGAAGGTTCAACGGTGGACCAGAGGTTTGCCTCTCTCTCTGATCGTCCACTCTTTACTGATGAGGCTGTTGAACAGGTTCCTTTCTTTGTCACCAACGTCGTCGCTGGAACTCGCTACCGTTTCCGTATCATCAATCAATCTGCGCGTAACGTTTTCACCATGTCTGTTGACAGTCACAATCTGACGGTGCGTTGGCTTCATTTTTGGATTTGAACTAGATTTAACATACGAGTGGATATAGGTTATCGAAACCGACGGAACTCCGACCACTCCAATGACTGTCAATGAAATCCAAATGCTTGCTGGCCAGCGTTATTCCGTTGTCGTACGTACATTGCGCAGCGCACCTTTATGACGAGATGTTTACTTTTACGACATAGCTCGAGGCCAACCAGCCTGTTGACAATTACTGGATCAACGCCCCCTACACCGGAGGCTCTCCGGCTGTTAACTTGAACCGTATGTGGAGTGCTTATTCTCTTGAAAAAGTGATCATAACTGTTCCTCTTAGAAAATGCCACGCTCGCTCGTGCTATTCTGAGATACCAGGGCGCTCCTGAAACTGACCCCACCGCACCAATGTCTCTTGGCCCAGCTGAATCAGAATTGAACGCTCTCGTCGAGGCCAACCTACGCGTGAGTAACACCCTGAACGCTTTCCATTATCCTTTTGACAATTATTCTAGCCATTGGTTGCTCAAGCTGCACCAGAACCCGACATCAACATCACCCTGAACCTCGTTGTGGTAAGTTTGAGTGAAATATCTCGATCCGTGCCTCATCGACTGACTCTTCGTTACAGACTGCTGGACGAGCTCAATGGTTATATTTTCATGGTTATCCATAACAAGATTCAACATCTCATGATATTTTTTGAAACAGGAACGTCAACAACGTTTCATACCTACCGCCTTCAGTGCCTACTCTCTTGAAGGTGGGTCCATTATCATACCAAGAGACACAGCAGCTTATGAGTCATGAAGATTCTTGACGGTGCCAACAGTGCTTCCGATTTCAATGTAACTGAGAACACCTTCGTCCTTCCTGCAAACAAAACCGTGCAGGTTATATTCCCGCCCAGGTAAGAAATCATATTTTATGACCAAGGAGCGACTCTCAATATATCGTTGATGTAGTGATGACGACGAGGCTCACCGTACGCAATATTCCTTTTGATTCTTTCAAAGTGCATTTCTGAACATCTTCTCTAACAGCGTTCCATTTGCATGGAGTACGTCTAGAGTTCCTTCTCCTCGTCCTACAAACGCTGATCATGCGGAAATCGAACAGAACAACTTCTGGCTTGTTAAATCCAACACAACCGACGTAGTCAACACTGCAAACCCCATCCGACGTGATGTAGGCTCAATTACCAGTTTCTATACTTTAATACTGACTCGTGATCAAAGGTCGCAGGTGTCGGCGCTGAGGGTACCATTGTTCGGTTCTCCACTAACAACCCAGGTCAGTCATTCCACTTCCATGTCTATGTATGTCGATCAAGTCCCTGATCCGGTAAACCGTGTAGGCCCGTGGTTCTTCCACTGCCACATCTTCTGGCACTTCCAAGCTGGTCTGGCAACAGTTATGGCCTCGGGTCTTGATGAAATCCGTGAACAAGTTCACCCTACTCAAGCTTGGGATGCTCTATGCCCTGCGTACGATGCTCTTCCTGCGAACTTGCAATGATTATCGGAAGGGCTCAGATGGTCATGAACTTTGGGGAAACAAAGAATTATTTAAGCGATAGTTGTTACTTTTGTATCAAATCATATCCGTGGCAGCAATAAAGCTTTATTTCTTAAATCAGATTTCAGGTATCTTCCTCAGGGTATGTCAGAAGCATACGACTTGACGGGATTTTGTACAAGCAGGATTTGATATGAATGTGAAGGAGGATGCAGTGAGATAACTGATTATACAAGGCAGATATACTGTATGTACTGTACAAGTTTGCTTAGTAGCTGAGTTTCTTTACTACCTACAAATACATTGATTTTTTGATTTGACTGGAAGTCAACTTAAATACTAATCTGCAAGACAGTGGGTATCATTAGGTGTCAATTTCCTTGGAGCAAAATTAGAATGACTTACGCTGGCATCAGAGGTGGTGGTAACTGTGTCCTTGGGAGAAGAGGATACAGCGACTGAGGTACGAGCAATGGTTGCGAGATCAACTGTTGGACGTCATGTAAGGTTGAGATAATACAGGGGGAGAAAGAACCTCGGTCAAGTACTCACCTCCATCATTCAAGGCATTCTTCCTGAGTTGCTTTGCGGCTTCAATTTCACTCTCATTCGGGAAAGATGTTGAACGCTTCCTTGGAGTGGAAATTTCTGGGCAATCAATAGTGAGTAAGGATTAAATCACAGGGAGCAAAAAAGTCACCGTCGTTTACACTGCTACGAGTCATCTGGGCAGAATCGCCCTCGGAATCATATTCAAGTTCGTTCTCGTTCTCGATTTCGCCCAATTTGCCCCAATTGTGGGACCCTGCCCCTCCTTTCTTCATCTCCTTACTGAAACCGGAGCGAGATTGTGAACGATCTTTGATTATAGCACGCGGAAAGGCAGCTCTGGCGGTTCGCGTCATGGTGTTCTGGGAGATATACACGATGAGGAACAGCCATACTACGTTGAAGTCTATACCGGCACATACCTGTATCACACAAGTGGTGGTCTGTGGCAATAGTGTGGGGTGGGTCGCTCTCATGACTTTATATGACTATGTAGCTCCACGCTCGGCCTTCCCAATCTGGAACCCGAGTCCGTCTGGTAGCCGTCTAGATCTCGTCGCTCGACAAACTCTAGGTCCTTCTTCTACAGCCTTCCATATTACATGGCATTACCTATGTGCCTACATATTTATAGGGAAAATTTACGTCCAAAGAAACGCGAAGAAAATTTATAGCTGATGAACAAAAAACATAGGCCACCTTCGAGTTTTCATCAAGTGATTGCCGAGAATTCGCCGAGGCGCTTATACAAGCTTACAACTTTCGCGTCTTAACCACCAAGGTCACATCTTCTCTATATTCATATTGTTCTCTGTTTGTCTGTAGTCGCAGAGTAGATATTTGGTAGGTAGACAAGGGTCAAGTAACAACAACAAATCCATTCAATCATATCTAATCTCGAGACCAGCATTGATATTTGAGTTCGATGTGTCAGATAGTAAATACTCTCAGTTGGATGTAAAACAACTGTATTTGGTACCTGTCAGATAGTAAATACTCTATATGTCATGAGCATGGTATGTAAAGGTAAATGGTATGGGGCTCACCTCAGTTGGATGTAAAACAACTGAGTGAGCCCCCCATCCTCTGTCCGCTGGTGGCTTATAAACTGTACAGTGTATATGTAATCAGACGGAAGCAAAATGAATGGTCAAAGCTGTGGACTGTGCATACGCAGTGCGGAGGTAGACTCTAACACCCCCCTGCTCCACACAATACAGTCCTAGTAATCCAACCATCTTTGCATGGATCGTTCCGCTCAGGGCTTTAGTGAACACGTCCGCAACGTTCATGCCTGTCCGAATTCTCTTTGACATTCATTTGATATGTCTTCGGAGCCTCACAGTACTTCGATCGTTCTTCTAGTCATTTTCCTCAATCATGCAACTTGATTGGTCTATTAGACTAAATCGCAGTCTTTTAGATTAATGCATGATCTCGTTCTAGAAGGAGTATTTGATAATTCCTGAGTTCTAGAAAGTCATTTCTAGTCAATCCTCGGCTCATGGTCACTTGAGTAAGTTCTTCCAAACTCCTGCCAGTGTAAGGTCCAATAAGAATACCCTTGGTATGTCATACATGAATGGTCATCCTTCGGATGTAGTCCGAGTCTGGTATAATCCTGCTTGACAAACAGGTAGACTGCTATCCAAAGGTAGTATCGGGGATGGGTAAACTAACCAACTTGTGGTAGTATGGGTATATGGTCCCTTCAACTTATTAGACTGATTCAGTATTGACTTTGACTGTCCATCTGGGTCTCAATTACAGTCCTCTCGATACAAATCTATACGTGAAAATGTCACAATTCACAGTATAGACGTCTAGCCAAAATTTAGGCGTGTCACCGCTCGCCACCTTCTCCCTGATATAGTGTTCCCGTAGGTCAATGTGTTTCACCAGGGCATGTTTCTTGGAGTTCTCAGTCAGGCTAATGGACCCAAAGTTGTCCCCCAGTAAGGTGGCAGGCCCCTGCTGATCCAGGTCAACTTCAGTAAGGAAAGATTGTAGCCAGACCGCCTGCTGGCATGCCCGGTGACACGCCTAAATTTTGGCTAGACGTCTATGCTGTGAATTGTGACATTTTCACGTATAGATTTGTATCGAGAGGACTGTAATTGAGACCCAGATTGACAGTCAAAGTCAATACTGAATCAGTCTAATAAGTTGAAGGGACCATATACCCATACTACCACAAGTTGGTTAGTTTACCCATCCCTGATACTACCTACGGATAGCAGTCTACCTGTTTGTCAAGCAGGATTATACCAGACTCGGACTACATCCGAAGGATGACCATTCATGTATGACATACCAAGGGTATTCTTATTGGACCTTACACTGGCAGGAGTTTGGAAGAACTTACTCAAGTGACCATGAACCGAGGATTGACTCGAAATGACTTTCTAGAACTCAGGAATTATCAAATACTCCTTCTAGAACGAGATCATGCATTAATCTAAAAGACTGCGGTTTAGTCTAATAGACCAATCGAGTTGCATGGTTGAGGAAAATGACTAGAAGAACGATCGAAGTACTGCGAGGCTCTGAAGGCATATCAAATGAATGTCAAAGAGTCCTGACGTAGAAAATATTGAAGAATGCAATTAAATGAATACTATGCGTAACTCCCTTGATTGAGTATAGGCACAATGGGTGTCTATTGAAAGAGAGAAGCAATTAGTTTAATCCAGATGAATCAGATTGATAGGATTAGAATCAAGGAGAGCTGATTTGCCTCCGGACGAGGTGACAAACGATCGAAGTAAGTGTTGAACAGCAATGACAGTTGAACACCATTCGAGTCATCCTCCAAAAAACAATTAAATTAAATGAATATTGAAGTACCTGCCTATGTTTGGAGGTATACTAGAATCTTGGAACCAATATGGACCAAATAAGGACATGTAGATTCAAATTAAATGGTATCTGACTGAGTGTAGAAGTTTCCTTGCGGTTCCGAACGTTGATTGTATTAAATTAATTGTACTATGCGACTCTATATTCTGTATGTATAAATAGCGATCTGATGTATCTGGAATACAAGTGATTTTGGGACGACGTTGCAGTGCTAATCCGTAAAAAGGAAAGACACACTCCCGCCAGACTGAAACCTCTTCGCTAGCAGCCATTCGGGCCCGGCACTTGTGAGTATAGGAACGTCGTGTTCTGCTCCTTGTGACTGCGAGAAGTCTATCCAGTTGTTGGGTATTCTTCGAACTTAGGATCAGTCGTTGGTCTTAAGGGCAAATCACGCTGTGTGGTTGTGCCAGCACATAGTTCTAGCCCTCTGTAGGGGTCTGTGTGTTTTGGTTTTAATTTACTTTGATTCAAACCCCCAATTCTTGATATACCCAAATCGATACAAACCAAAGCACAAATCGTGCTAAATCTACCTTGATCAAAGGAATATATCGAATCCTTAGAACGATTCAAATTGATTGATCAAAGCTTCGTACTTAGCTCTCAAAGCTTTGCGGAACCTTTGCCAACGCTACCCCTTGCTATTAAATAAATTTGATAGCAGTGAACTCGCATATTGTGTATTAGATTGATTGGTTGGAGTGCCCATTAGATTCCTTCCTTTCTCTTTCACACAAAAACGAGGCAAGCTCGTTATCTGGAGCCCACCGCGAGGGGTGGTTTTGAAGCTACAATTAGCTTGATAAATTAAATTGAACGTTTGTTTGGATTATATTCGATTATTTGGTAGAAGTGTGTTGATCTTTGTGATACCATTTCTGTGAACTGTCAACATTAGTTCATCAGGAAAACCGCGTACTTCGAAGAATTTGGAGAAAGCAGGAGTATTGACACCGGAAGAATATCGTAAAGCAGGAGTTGTATTTGGGAGATCTACGTTCGGCACATCAGCTCGAACATCCCTATTAAATCCTACGAACGAATCCAGTCGTCCATCCTCTTCTCAAATACCGACAGAAGAATCGCGTGGAAGTTCTGTTTCTAGAGGAACAGGATCATCTATATCTCGAGGAAGACCTACATCTTTGCCGAGGAATTTGAAGAAATCTAGTCTCGATCTGAAAAGGAAGAGAAAAGAAATTAATCCGATTGATATTGAAGAAGATATAATTGAATTGATTGCTCCAGAGTCAATTTCAACATCTTCTACGTCGATTGAATCAACTAGATTGATAGATACGTTACATCAGACTATCTCTCAAGCAAGTAATACGATTGAACCAGTCAAAATGACTACCAATAATTATGGAATGCCTGCATTGTCAGCTGAAGCTAAGGCTGAGATTGATAAAGCCAGTGCGAAACTTCCAAGAAAATATAAGACAGCACCATTATTTGATATAACTGATCCAAGTCAAATGATACCATGGTTCGAAGCTACTGAAAGCATATTTGAACATGGAGGAATTACATCTGACGAGGCTAAAGTGAGATTAGCTTTAGAATGGACGTCTTATAAAACGAGACAAGCATTAAGAGTCTTTGATCCGGTGAAGAAACCGAATTGGGATCAATTTAAAAAGGATCTAAAGAATATGTTTCCGCAATCTGTAGGAGACGAAAGAGGATCTAGATTATTGCTTGAACAATTGGTCCATCAATTTAATCCAATTGATGCAGGTGAACAGGAGAAGATGAGAATCTTCAGACTACTCTTCGATGCTGAAATGAAAAAGCTGATGGACGAACCAAAAATAATCACAAATAGTGATGCAGTAAGATTGTTCTTGGCACCTATGACTCCCGAAGTAAGGAGAGGCGTGCTAGAAACAGTTGTGAAAGATGTATCAGTTACTTCTATGTCAGATAGACGAAAGGAAGACCCTTTTAAGATTGACGAAGTAATAAATGCGGCTGAAAAGTATATGATTGGGAGTTCTTTTGATAACTACTATCAAACACTTTCCATTGCTTCTTCGAGCCCACCAATTAATAACCCTAATTCATTTAGTAGGGGACACATTAATTTACCGTTTGCTGCAGATGTTCCCAAGACAGATAGGAACTATCTTCAAGCATTGAAACCCAAAGTAGAAGACGAATTTAAGGATCTTCTGGGAATTAAATTAGAAAGTTTGATTCCAAGGGAATTGACGGAGGAACAACAGCAAATGGTTGCATTGAATAAAGACCTCATGGAGGCAAACATGAAAGAAATTAGAGCTGTGAAGTCATTACAGTCGCACTTCAAAGAAGGAGCAGACATTATGACGCAGTTAACAGCAGTAATGGCACAGATGGCCAAAGAAAATGCTAAAAGAATGATTAATTCGATACCACCGAGTGGTCCCTCGAATCAATCTAATAGATTTGAAAGAAATACGACACCGAGAAGTTCGAATGGAACCCAGTGGGCATGTTTTTTGTGCAAGTCGACAGATCATTTCATGAATGAATGTCCACACTTGCTGGAATTTACGAAAAGAGGTTGGATGATGCCTGAAGGAGGTGACTCGAAGCGTTACAAATTAAG